ACCGAGAGGTCGCTGGTTCGATTCCTGGTCAGGGCGCATGCCCATGTTGTGGGCTTGATCTCCAGTGAGGGGTGTACAGGAGGCAACCAATCAATGTTTCTATTTCTCTCTCCCTTCCTCTCTCTAAAATCGATAAAGGGAAAAAAATCAAGGCTTTCCTAGTCAGGCAAAGTATTTTGCTGATGGAGAGAAAGGCACTAGAATGGATGCCAAGAGTGTGACGGGCCATGTGGGTTCTCTCCTTCCCAGGGGAAGAGTCAGGGCAGCCAAGGACAGAGCTATGAAACAGCCTGGACCCCAGGAGTACAGACAGCAGAGACAGGAGGTTCGTTGGGAGCGCTCCATACAGGTGGGGCTGGGTGTAGAACCCGCAGGTGTGAGGACATGAGCAGTGACATGGTCAGTCAGACCCCGTTATCAGGAAGTGTCTTGGAGCAGTAAATGAATTTAATGTTTAGTCTTATACTTGAAGGTGCTTCTCCTTGGGAACAAAGAGACCTTAGTGCCTGTCTTTGTTTTACAGATAGGTGTATTCTGAGAGAATAATTTGCCCAGGGTCACTTGACAAGTTAATGGTAGAATTAGAGATAGAAATCGTGTCTCTGTACTTTCAGTTAAGTACTTTTGCCTCTAAATCCTAAAATCTGCTTGGAAGAGGAAAGGTTGGTAAATAGTGATTCTTTTGCAGGAAAGGTGGAGGAACAGAGAACAATTTTTTGACCAGGTCTGTACTGTTCAGGAAACCGAAGAACTGAATCCAGGTTCTGACACCCAGTGAGGCTGTGCTGTTGCCTCAGTGACCCCCAGGATTTCTGAGATACTCGATGGATAGTTTCTGTATTCCTGCCACTATTGAAGGCAAAGCTGTTTTTCCTTGTGAATTTATTTTATCACTGCAAATTCTTTATTTATTTTTATTTTTATTTTTTATCCTCACTGGAGGACATTTTTGCATTTGTCTTCAGATAGAGCGGGAGGGAGAGAAGGAGGAAGAGAGAGAGAGAAACATCGATATGAGAGTCACATTGAGTGGTGGCTGCCACTCACACGATCCCAACTGGGGCCGGGTACAAACTGCAACCAAGATACGTGCCCTTAGCAGGAACCAAACCCGGGACTCTCTGGTCTGCTGGTTGATGCTCTAACTGCTGAGCCAAACCAGCCAGGGCTATCACTGCAAATTCTTAAAAAATAATAATAATAATAAAGATAAGTAGACATCCAGAATCAAAATGTAGAGTAAGACCTCAGAGATCTCCAGGTGAGAAAGAAGGTCAAACTTGAAACAAAAGCAGGAATATCTTACTGTCTGGTATGAAAAAATGTATAGATACCTCTGTTTGGTAGAAGTGATCCTCAAATTGAAACTGGAGTGGTATTTTACATTTTAGCTGCCCCCCGCCAGGTTTGTTTTTGAGTCCCTCCTGTGTCCCAGGATTGTGCTGACTTGTAGAGAGAGGATCAAAGAAAGTATTAATAAATGCCCTGCCCTCCTAAATGCTGTGACAGTGGCTGCTCGTGCGCAGAGGGCTGAGATGAGAGAGCTGGAGATGCCCGAGAAGGCACTCCCGTCACAGGCAGCCTGGTGGGACGGGCGGCAGGACTGGCCTTGGCTCATGGGCTTGTGGGGGTGCCCGATTATCTCCTCACCTGTCCTCATTTGCTTTTCCAGGAACCCATAAAGAGTCAGGGGCCAACTATGGCACAAAATGGCTTACTTAGAACAATCTGAAGACTGTGGCAACAATATCCATTTCCTTAAAGTAAATAGAGAAATTGCTTCCTTTGTTGTGTTTCAGTCTGTTCTATTCAGAATTAATTTGGCAGAGTGAATCAGAGAAGAATGACTGTCTTCATCCTTTTTTGGGGGGGAGAACTTGGCAAACAAGGCTGATATGGGCAGGCCATAATTACATTGCCTTGGATAATGTCTAATATAATTGAGACCAAGAACTTGTGAGCATGCATCACAAGAGCTGCCTGTCCTAGAGTCCCCTGGGTCTGTGAGCCCTTTCTTGACCATATTATGAGACATAATAGCTTAATTAAAATGAAAAAATATTTTTTAAAAGCCTAACTAGAAATAGACAAATAGATTGCAAAAAAGAAAAAAAAAAAATCCCTTTTCTGCCTAGAAGCTTTGAAAAGCAATTTTTTAGACTTCATTTCTCCCTCTGTTTTCCAGTTTGAAGGACGAGATGGAAACATTTTTTTATAGAACTGAATGAAAAACACAGGGTTTTTACCTTTACTCATTAAAAATGGAATTGAAAAGTCCCTTTTTTATGCTTTTCAGAAGACTACCTGATTCGAGAAAGGCTATTGAGAAATGCTGAAAACCTAAAATGTAGGGAGTATCTAAATTTTAAGCAGTCTCTATGGTCTGATTTTCAGATCAACCATGTTAATAGAGCATGTTGTGATCACCGATAAACATTCTTGTTTCCCTTGTGTTTTAGCAGGACTTTGACTTTCTTTTCAGGCCTTTCTCACACTCTGCCCATCTCACTGCTGCTCCGCTGTCCCCGTGTCTAGGCTGAGGCCGCCTCCCTCCATGTTTACTCTTTGTTCAGGAGTATCTTGGGTGTTTTCAGCCCTGATTCTAGTGATACCTTGCGCAGCAGTACGTCCCTGGGATTATTGTGGAAGAACATCACTGCAAAACATGCTGTACAGCTATCAGCAACTGTGTGTGTTTGTGTGTGTGTGTATTGGCATTGTTTTTATAGCAGATAATACTTCCTATGATTTAGAAGTGTATGGTTATAGAAACATCCTGACTTTTCACCTATAAATAAAAAAGAAATGGTCTTACAGTATGCATGGGGTATGTGGAATTGTATAGGTTTTTGAATTTTTATTTTTATTTATTTTTTCTTTATTGATGTTAGAGAGAGAGATGAAGGAAGATGGAGAGAGGGATAGAAACATCAATGAGCAAGAACAACAATTGGCCGCCTCCTGCATGCCTCCTAACCTGGGCATGTGCCCTGACTGGGAATCAAACCAGCAATCTCTTGGTGCATTGGTTGACGCTCACCCACTGAGCTACATGGGCCGGGCTATACAGGTTTTTATTTATAAAACGTATTTCAAAAGTGATACACAAAACAGTTTTTCCTGACCCCTCTATCTAAAGTGGCCCCATTTTCCCATGTATACCCTATCATATAGCTCTCTTTATTTTCCTTCTTGCACCTTTTTTAAGATACGTTGTTGGGGTGACATTGGTTAATAACATTATATAAGTTTTAGGTATACGGTTCTATAATACATCATCTGTATATTGCATTGTGTGTTTACTGCCCAAAGTCTAGTCCCGTTCTGTCAACATATATGTGACCCCCTTTACCCTCTTTATCCTCCCCCACCCCTTTTCCCCTCTGGTAGCTACCATTCTGCTATCTATGTCTGTGAGTTTGTTCGTTTGTTGCTTCCTGTTTTATATCCCACATGAGTGAAATTATATGATTCTTATCCTTTTCTGTCTGACTTATTTCACTTAGCATGATGCTTCTTGTACTTTCTTAGTCTAAAATGATCTCATTTGTGTTTGTGTAATATATATTATATATGTAAATATATATATATATATATAAATATATATAGTTTACTTGTTTATTGCTGTCTTTTCTGCTCTGGAATGTGGCAGGAACTTTATTTCCAGCAGTATGTGCTCTTGACTTTTTAAAATAAAATGAATCAGCCAATCATTTAGATGGAACCAAAGTCATATGGCTTGGACATCAAGCATTTTACTCTTAAAATGATTGAAGCACAGATAATTAGTTAGTTATAAGTTAATTTAGTTTGGTTATAGGAACTTTTTAGTGAAGCCCAGGATAGTGATTTAATTTTTCTAAATCTAACTATTTTCTGATGGTCTAATAGTTTTATAGGGATTTAAACATTTTACATTCTACTTCCATTATCCCTTATCTCTGAAATTACAGTTCTTTCTCCATTCATGATCTACTCATGCAGTACCTTTCATAGAGTGCCTGCTCTGTGCCAGCACCTAGGGGTGCAGAATGGACATGCACCTTGCCCTGTAGGCAGCTACCAGTTAAGCAGAGAGCAAGGCAAGCCAGCCAAGGCCAAGGCTCTGATGCTTTGACAGGACTTAATTCCAGGATCTGGGAGAGGGAAAATGAACTCAGAGTAGGGTTTTGAGGAAGAGACCTCTGACATCTAAGTTGAGGCTGATGACGAAAGAATTAGCAATTGGCGGATGGTGTAGTGTATGAGTGAATAGGGGTGAGCATGGGAGTAAGTTCAGGGGGAGAGGAGAACAGTGAGTCCAAGGAGAAACATCATATTAAGGAGTCTGGAGCACACAGGAGAAATGGACATAGCTTTACATGGGAGGACTGTAGATTTTTGAGGTAGAGATTGGTGTAAAATGCAACTGGGAATGGGGGCAGGAGCCAAGATAGGAAGGAATTTTCAATGTGATCTTCTGTATCTCATGGACAGTGGAAATGCCTGGAGGGGTTTCAAACAGAGGAGTGACATGCTCAGAATTGTGGGGTGCATGAACGATTGGATAGACGTATGAGTTAGGACCAACTGTTGATTCTACAATTGCTTATCTGTTTCTAAAATGGTACTACAGGCGGGAATGGGAATGGCTTAGGGCACAGCCATCCCCTCAAAGTGGATGGCTTACTTGGTTAAATAACACCTTATAAAGAATCTAGTCAATGACCGGCTGGTGTGGCTCAGAGGGATTGAGTGTTGTCCCATGGACTAAGCGTTCCTGGTTCGATTCCTGGTCAGGGCACATGCCCGGGTTGTGGGCTCGATCCCCAGTAGGGGGTATGCAGGAGGCAGCTGATCAATGTTTCTCTTACATTAATGTTTTTCTCTATTCTTTCCTCTCTAAAAAATCAATAAAAATATATTTTTAAAAAGAATCTAGTCAAAAGTCAAAAGACATTTCCATTCTTCATCACACCTCTTTTATTTGTTCCTTTCTCCACCTCATATTCCCTTCCTAGAACAACAAGGTCACACAATTCCGTCGGCTGCAGCAGATGACTTACAGCCTGATCGAGTGGCGGTCCCAAATCCTGTCTGGAACACTCCCCAAGGACGAACTGGCAGAGCTCAAGAAGAAGGTCACAGCCAAAATCGACCATGGGAACAGGTAAACCAGGGGATGACTTCATGAGAACTGGAATAAGATGAACACATTCATGCTAAGGACACAGGTCACCCTGAGCTTTTGACCTTGGAGTTGCCAAAAAATAATGCTTACTGCTCTCTTTTGGCCTTGGAAGACATCTCATTTTTTTGGGAAAAGAATTGGCAGTGCTCTTCATGAGCCAGACCCTGTGCTGGCTCTCTGATCCCAGGAAGAAACAGAGAGACAGGGAGATGGGGCTTGGGTCTCAGTGAGCCCACTGCCAGACAGACTGAAAGGGACTGAAGCCCACAGCTTGGGAACCCGGGACTGTCTCTGTTTGTATTTTAACACTAGATTTTAAGTCAGTATTAGACTTACTCTCACTCCAACTTCCTCTAACTGGAAGTGCACAGTAGATGAAAACCAGATTTGCCAGAATAATCAAGTATGGTTTTAGCTTGTTGATTATGTCTCCAGTAACTTCTAAAGAGTTTATCATGTCATTAAGTGTCTGATAGCTCCGGCAGATATGTAGGTTTTAGATATTACTGCCTTTTAAAAAATGAGAAATTCAGTCAATTCATCAATATTTATGGTGACCTAGGGTTTGTCCTTCCTGACCAACTCTTTTTTTAAAATTAATTAATTAACTAATTAATTGATTTGTTTTATTATTATTTTGTGTTGGTTGCCTCCCGCATGACCCTGAGTGGTGCCAGGGATCGAACCTGCAATCCAACTATGTGCCCTTGACCAGGAATCAAACCTGTGACTTTTTGATCTGTGGGCAAGTGTTCTTACCACTGAGCAAAACCGGCCAGGGCCTGACCTGCTCTTTTTAAAAGGCTGGGTTGGTTCCTCATTTTGTTTTTGTTGATGATTTGATATTTAGTTTCATTTTCTAAATTTGTTCAACTTGTGCATATGTGATTTTTTTCCTCGTCTTTTGCCCTACTTTTTCAACCTCATGACTCTGGGAAATGCTCAGAGACCTGTTCAAATACAGCCCATTATCCTACTTACTTAAATGTTGTAGACTTTGACAACTGGATTCAGAAATTGCTAGAGTAACCAACCATAGCATACAAGATTCAGATTCAATCATTATTTACGAAATTTCCCCTAGACCTGATTATAACCCTATGATGTGGCTGCTATTCCTATTTTATGGTTAAAGAAACAGACCAAGTGAGCTTAAGTGATTTACTTTCAAGTCAGAAAGATAAGTGGGAAAATTTAAATTGAACTCAAGAATTTTCTATTCCATGTCTAACTCTCCTTTCTGAGGGTTAAGAATTAACAGTTCCCTCCCGTGTTTCTTGTCCTTGACTATAACCCACAGGGGTTGCATTGCCAATCATATACTGCTGGAGGACTTTCAAAAGTCAGCAAAGGTGGACTAAGGCAGCTCTCCCTTTGCACATATGCTGCCTCTGTATATTTGGGCATTGGCCTGGGGGACCCTGATCTCTGGCATTGTTTGTTAATCTCCCACAAACAGCAGAACATGCTTGCCTTGCCATTCCAGCCCTTGGAAAGCAGCTCAAGAAATGAAACTGCTCCATCAGTGCCTAAGGAATTCAGTCACTGAGCAGCCACCAAGGCCCCTTGCGTATGAGTCTGAGTCTGGGTGGCCTGTGTGTCTGGCTGTCATGAAAAAGAACCTGCCAGATTAGATCTATTGATGGAGATGCTATAAAATACTAAGGAGGAAAATTAGGCATTTCTGCTTTCTTCCCAAAGATTTGGCACATTTCACTCTTATCCCTGAGCTTTCTTGCTATTTGGGCACCCCTATTCCCGAATTGCTGGTGCCTGGAATGTGCATTGGGTATTCAGATAGCTATATCGTATTTCCACCATATTACCCCCACGTCTTGTAAATTTTTTTTTGTACTTTTGTGTGCACATTGGGCATGAAGCCTTGCTGGGGATTGTGCCATGCATACACCCTATAGCTCTGGCTTTTCCAGTGCATTACTCAGATTTACATCTTAGCACAGTCAGGTGTTTTCTTATGCCAGTAAAAACTAAGTTTATTGAATGCATGCTATACACTAGATACTGTATTCCATGCTTTACATACATTATCTCATTAAATTCTCCCAAGAACCTTGAAGGGTGGGGAATATTTACAGGAAATCAGAGCTTTGTGAAATAAACTAAATTACCTAAAGTCACCTTGCTAGCAAGTATGAAAGCCAAGATTCAAATCCTGGTCTGATTAATATTAGGGCCCAAGCTTTGAAATGGGTTAAGAGATACCAGTAGCCCGGAAATTGATCTCCTTTAAGACAGTCTTAAATTAATACTGTCCCCCAAGTCTATACCTTGAAGGGTTACAGGGCAAGTCCCCAGTGTTTGTGCGTTGGTCTTTTATAATCCCTATGGGACTCAGGGAAAGAGGCATTGGTCAGAGGGCTTTGATCAGAATCAGTGCGTTTTGCCTTTGCTGGTGAGGTTCTGTGGACCAAATTATTTTGCATATCATTATATCAGTTTGGTTGATAGTATCATAAGTTGTCTAACATTGCTGTGATATGGAAAGGAGACAGAAATTGGAAGGAGAAAAGCCAATGAGCTGTTCTTGACTTGTCCAGCACCCAAGCTCTCACTATGAATCCTCTGGGTTCTCTCAATGAGGGCTCTTTAGTTAAGAGTCTGTTTCTATTGAGGATCAGCTGACCACTCCTTTTTTTCTAGAATGCTTGGGTTAGATCTGGTGGTGCGAGATGACAACGGAAACATCTTGGACCCAGATGAAACCAGCACGATTGCCCTCTTCAAGGTCCATGAAATGGCCTCAAAAAGGATTGAAGAAAGGATTCAAGAAGAAAAGGTACCCTTCCTCAAATATGCAGATTTTGGCCACTGATTTTCCATTTTTGCTTTTTTTTTCCAATCCTCACTCGAGGATATTTTTCCATATATCTTCATATAGAGTCGGGGGGGGGAGGGGGGCGGAAACATTGACATGAGAGAGACACATAGACTGCTTGCTCGCGCACGACCCCGACCAGGGCCAGGGACCAAACTGCAGCCGGGGCACGTGCCCTTGACCAGAATTGAACCCATGACTCTTTGGTCCACGGGCTGACGCTCTAACTGCTGAACCAAACTCGCCTGGGCTTTTGCTTTTGTTTTTAATCAGAGAAAGGGAGTTGTTGACTATAGAGGTAGAAATGTTTAGAAAATCATTTATGTCCTCATTTTAAAAACAAAACGTAACAGAAAGAATGAGCGTTCTGATATGGAAAGATTACAAAGATATATATTAAGTGAAAAAGAGCAAGATACAGAACTATGTAGAAATACTATTATTTGTGATTCAAAAAAGAATAGACAGCCCAGGCCCGTGTCGCTCAGTTGGTTGGATCATCGTCCTGTATGCTGAAAGGTTTGGGGTTTGATTCCTGGTCAGGGTGCATGTGTGAGACAACTGATGGATATTTCACTCTGCATCAGTGTTTCTCACTCTTTCTCTCTATCCCTTCCTCTCTCTCTAAAATAATTTTTAAAAATAATATACGTATATCTGTGCTTGCTTATATGTGTACTAAGTCTGGAATGACAGGCAAATGAGTAATTAATGGACGCCTCTGGGAAGGAGAGCTGGGTGGAAGGGACCCTTTGTACCATGTAACCTTCTGTATTTAGTGCATGTATTACAGTTTCGGAAAAAAGAATTAATATTAGTAAATATTTTGAAAGTAGTAACTGTACATTAAATAAAAATTGGAAAGATACAGAAAGAGAGAAAGAAGATTCACCTGTATTATGAGTGCCTAGCCATATTGATATTTTGGTTTATGGTCTTCCAGTCTTTCTCTTTGAATGAGTAAAAGTTTCTGGGGTTATTTTTTCTTAGTTTGTAGGTTTTATTTCCTTAGCACAGTTGTGATAATGCTTAATTATGTTTCTGGATTTAATGGCTAAGCATGTCTGAGAGTAAAGCCTTCCCAGTGGAGTCTCTTAATTTGCAGTGAGAGTTATCCCAAAAGAAGGATAATGAATCGTGATTTTTATGCTTTTAAGGTTCATCCAGAAGCAATTGTGAGAGATGAAAACTTCTTGAAGCTACTAAAGTCATGATTATCATCTTTTTGCAGCTATTGAATTACTTGGGTGCAAGGCTCTGAACAGGACAGTTGTGATTATGTAAATAATGATTATTTTTCTTACTCAATTGTCCACTTACATGTAGTTTCTTCTAAGTGCTTCTCATCTTAGGTGGTAATTTTATTTGTTCCCCCATTTCCCAATATTTCCCATTTGCTGAGAACAAGATATTTTTCTCTCTTGTCCTCTGTGTTCAGTCAATCCTGCAGAACCTGGACTTGCGGGGCCAGTCCATCTTCAGTGCCTTCCATACCTATGGCCTCTATGTCAACTTCAAGAACTTTGTCTGCAACATTGGGGAAGATGCAGAGTTGTTCATGGCCCTCTACGACCCAGACCAGTCCACTTTCATCAGGTAATGGAGACCCAGTCATCCATCGGTTGTCGACCTTGGGTAAATACCCAGCCTTCACCTGAGGAGCTCTTTGCTAGGTTTGAGAAGGGAAGGCAGAGAAGAGAGGGAGGCTTTCTAGGCAAGAGAAAATAAATCCTTTGGGCTGCTAAGCCTTTTGTCTGGCTGTTGAAACAGTGCAGTAACAGAGTGGACTCCTAGGTCTTTGAAGTCCATAAAACACATCAGAACACAGAGACAGGGTCAAAGAGAGGGCTAGGGAGGGGTAAACCTGCAGAGCGCAGAGGATTTTATGACACCGAAACTGCCCTGTATGGTACTGTATGATGGGTAGATGCCATTATATAGTTGTCCAGACTCATAGACTGTGCAACACAGAGTGAACCCTAATGTAAACTAATGACTTTGGGTGGTAATGATGTGTCGGCGTAGGTTCATCAGTTGTAACAAATGCACCCCTTGGGTGGTTAGTGGGGAGGCGGTGCATGTGTAGGGCAGGGGCTGTATGGGAGTCTCAGTACTTGCTGCTCAACTTTGCTGTGAGCCTAAAACTGCTCTAACATATAAAGTGTATAAAACCTTTGTTAATGACCGTAGGGAATGATAATGGACTTTGTTTAACCCTACAGTGCCATTACTGCTGAGCAGCTAAGAGAACATTTGTATTTTGGAGAAGATGGTTAAAAGCAATTACCGACAGATAATTTATTTCTAAAATAGAAATTTTATTTGAGTGTAGTGATGTATATTGCAGGGGATGGACTTAGAATGATTATTATAAAATTATATTCTTGCCCTGGCCAGTTTGGGTCAGCGGTTTGGCTCAGCAGTTAGACATTGGCCCGTGGACCGGAGAGTCACAGGTTCAATTCCGGTCAAGGGCACGTATCTTGGTTCGGGTTCGGTCCCCAGCCCTGGTTGGGGTCATGCGGGAGACAACCAGTTGATGTGTCCCTCTTATATCGATGTCTCTTTCTCTCTCCCCCCCTCCCTCCCACTCTATCTGAAAATCAGTGGAAAAATGACCTCAGGTGAGGATTAAAAAAATAATATTTTTGGTTCAGCAAAGCTGAAACTTTTAGACAAAGAATTTGAGGTGGAAGAAGACCCAGATGGAACCTGGTCGAATCTGCTGTCTGTGTCCATCTTGAGCATGGTTTGTCTTGGGTCCACACTAGGTGTGCCTTGTGAGCTGGGCTGCACAGGCTCATGTCTCCAGAGCCAGGAGACCAGAGCACCCATTGTGTGCTCCATCCACCTACCTGACGAATTTAATACCTTTTCCAGGTCTTCCTTTCACCCTTTCGGTCTATACTGTGGGCAGTTCCATCTCCAGTTAACCCCTCATTTTTTTTTTTCTCCTTCAGTGAGAACTACCTAATTCGTTGGGGCAGTAATGGGATGCCCAAGGAAATAGAGAAGCTTAATAACCTTCAGGCAGTCTTCACTGTAAGTACTACCTTCTGTTTAATCATTTTCTTTGTTTATGGTATTAGCAGATGTACATGATAAGTATATGAAAAACATAAAAAAGGAAACAGTGAAAATACAAGTTATCAAAAAAAAAGTCAAAATAATCCCCCTAGCAGGAATAACCCACTCATTTCTTCAACATATATTTGTTGAGCACCGATCAGATGCCAGGCACTGATCCTGGCACTTGAGATATACAAGTGAACACATCAGAAAAAAAAAACATCCATTTTTGCTCAAGATGCTTTTGTCCAAATGGGAAAGAATAATTCACAATAATCTAATAAATGAATAAACTGTGTAGAATGTTAGAAATAATAATTGTTTTGGGTGGATTAGATGTTTCTGGGTTGGGGGAGGGTTGCCATTTTAAATAGGTGGGTCAGGGCAGAACTCTAGAATGGCACCTTTGAGCAAGAACCTGAAGTCACGGGAGTGAGCTATGCAGATTATAGGGACCAGCATTTCAGAACAAGGTGATAGCTCAGGCACAGATGGGCTTCAGGCTTTTTAGTTTGCATATAATTTAATGACCTTTCCCCTCTCCTGTTCCTTTCAGGGTAAGAGAAGAGATGCTCTATATGCATCAGGAGCAAGGACATTTATTGGGCGTAGCTTGGGGCATAGTGACTCTTTCATTTGGGCTAAGAACTTTCTTGGGAATCTCATTTTTTCATGACTTCAGTGCTTGAAATATCCTAGAACTGCTGCCACCTGCACTGAGAAGACAGGCTGCAGCTCCCATTGGGCCTAAAAGAGATACTCCCTTTTTTCCTTAAGCCACACCCATATTTTATCTCCATGCCCTCTTACCACTCTTATGGCATGAAAAGCAGAGTCTAAGGTAGACTGCCTCCTGCACCCCACCCCAACCCTCGACCCCCCACTGAAGATCGAGCCTGAAACTCAGGCATGTGCCCTTACTGGGAATCGAACTGGGACCTCTCAATCCATAGGGTGATGCTCAGTTCACAATGGCTGGGCTCATTTCTTCTTAATACTATTCATTTCTTTGGTTAGCATCCCACCCCTAGGACAGACATGGTTTGATTACTAGCCCTCACTGACCCATCTAAATTTTCAGCACCTGGTAAACATAGACAAAAAAGCACTTGGAACTAACTTTTCCCCAAACCTGTCCCCAATAGGGAGCATTTCCTCATTTCAAACATATGTGAGTTTTTCCCCTAAAATCAAAAGGCATTTATCAGTACATTTAAAACACATTTTAAAAAGTCATTATTGAGGCCTGGCCAGTGTGGCTTAGTTGGTTGGAACCTCATTCCGAACACTGAAAGGCTGCAGGTTCAATTTTTGGTCAGGGCACATACCCAGGTTGTGGGTTCGATCCCTGGTCTGGATGCATACTGGAGGTGACCAATTAATGTTCTTCTCTCACATCAATGTTTTTCTCTCACTCTCAGCCTCCCCCTTTACTCTCTTTCTAAAAATCAATGGAAACGTATCCTTAGGTGAAGATTTTTAAAAAATGGCATCATTGAATCTTTGGTCCATCTTCTAATCAGTATTGTATAGCTGCAGTTCATCCCCCTCCCACCAATTAGAATCTTCTTTTATGTCCAGTCTTCACTGAAATAAAATGTAGTGATCATTTCCTGGGTAATAAAACCTTCTTCAAAAACTATTTATCAATGATTGCATGTTATTAAATAGTACAAGTGTGCCCTGGCCGGTTTTCTCAGTGGTTAGAGCGTCGGCCTGCGGTCCGGAGAGACCTGGGTTCGGTTCCTGCTAAGGGCACGTACTTCGGTTGCAGTTTGTCCCCGGCCCTGGTTGGTCGTGCGGGTGGCAGCCACTCGATGTGTCCCTTCACGTCGATGTTTCTCTCTCTCTCCCTTCCTCTCTCTCCGTCCCACTCTATCTGTACAAAAAAATATCCTCGGGTGAGGATAAAAAAAAAAAAAAAAATTAAATAGTACAAGTGTGCCACAATTTATCTAACTAGTCACCTGGAACCTTTATCTCTCTCATAACAGAAGCCTTACAAAACCTAGAGCGGAAATTCAAGGTTGATGTTATCATTGGTCTATATTCCTATGTTGGAGATTTAGGTTAAGTAAATTACAGAGCTCGTTCATGGGTTTACTCACCCATCCTTAAGAATACAAACAAGTGTAGCCCTGGCCAGCTGGCTCCGTTGGTTGGCGCATCATCTCATACACCAGAAAAAGATTGCAGGTTTGGTTCCTGGTCAGGGCACATACTTAGGTTGTGGTTCAGTCCCAGGTCAGGGTATGTAAAGGAGGCAACCGATCAATGTTTCTCACATTGCTGTTTTTTTCTCTCTCTCCCCCTTCCTCTCTCTCTAAAATGAAGTAAAAAAAAAAAAAAGTATCCTTGAGTGAGGATTAAAAATAGAAGAATACAAAGAAGTGTAGAAATTGAGCCACACAAAAAAGATATTTCATCTACACATCACTTATTAATCAACATACACCCAGAAGCTCTCAATGGAGGCCTCTCATAAAACGAATGAATGATAACAGAAAGCAGTACGTGTAAACTTCTGTGTCATAATTGCCTCAAAGGATTATTTGGAAGATGAAATGAAACCAGCATGTGTGGATACCTAATAAATGTCAATATTGTACAAGTTTTATTTCATTTGACATTGAAATGCATCCTGTACTCAGCTGTATCTTGGCAATATCTAAAGTAGCAATGACAGGTGGCCTGATTTTTAAATATCCTGCTTATATGGATGAACTAGAGACTTTGGATTAAATATGATCTTATTTATACATTTGAAGTAGGAACTGGGGAATAAATTTTTTTCTATTTTTGAATACAGTCATTTTTCTTTGATAGTTCTTGGGAGAAGAAAGGAGGTATTCTGATCTTTCAGCATCAGGAAATATGCTCTGAATGGCGTTCTGTTGTAGAGTGAAAAGAAAAAGAGGAACAAAGGTGAGCAGGTGACGCAATGTGACCTCCTTTTATGTGCTCTCTGCTTCTTTAGGACCTCAGCAGCACAGACCTCATCCGGCCCCGCATCAGCCTTGTGTGCCAGATTGTCCGGGTGGGCCACATGGAGCTAAAGGAAGGCAAAAAGCATACCTGTGGACTCCGAAGACCCTTTGGAGTAGCGGGTATGGAAAGACTCAGAGACAAATGTATAATGGTACAGCCCCTGTGAAAAACAGTGTGGCACATCCTCAAATAATGAGACATAGAACTAAGGTTCCAGCAATCTCACTTATGGCTATATACCCAAATGAATTACAATCAGGGTCTCAAGGAAATGATTGTACATCCCATGTTCACTGTAGTATTATTCACAATAGCCAAAACGTAGAAGCAACCCAGGTGTCCAGCAATGGATGAATGGGATAAACAAGGTTTGGTATATCCATACAGTGGACTACCATTCAGCCTTAAAAGGAAGGAAATTCTGATACCTGCTATAACATGGTTGATCCATGAGGGTATTATATGAAGTGAAATAAGCCAGTCACAAAAAGATAAATACTGTATGATTCCACTTACATGAAGTATGGAGAGAAAGGTTAAATTCATAGAAACAGGAAGTAGAATGTGAGTTGCCAGGGGCTGGAGGAAGATGGGAATGGGGAGTTGGAGGTTAATGGGGACAGTTTCAGTTTGGGAGGATGGAGACATTGTGGGGGTGGATGGTGGAGATGGCTGCACAACAGTGTGAAGGCACTTAATGCCACAGACCTGCCCACTTAAAGATGGTTAAAATTTATGTTATGTATATTTTATCACAGTAAAAAAAAGTAAAGAAAAATAGAGGAGATGGCAGGAGGGAGATATACCCCGAGACTGGGGGAGATAATCTGGTTGGCAGTGTTAGCATCAGACACACAGCGTTTGCTACCTGGGACTGCCAGGTGTCTTTCCTCGGGTTCTGTGTCCTCCCTGAGACCCCACTGCCTTTGTTGCTCACAGGGCCCAGCACTGTGTCTCGCACACAGCAGGCCCTCAGTCACGCCTCAGCGGTGACTTTTGGAATTTCCTCCCTGCCTGTGGCTGCAAATTGATTACCGATTTTAATCAAGTACAGTTCTCCCTGGAAAGTGATTTGTCTGTCTAGGAAATTTGCTCTTCAAAGGCAACATTGTATTTGTAGCTGCTTTCAAAGAAGATCCTTGGCTTAAATCAAACCCTACAACCTTCCAAGAGGCCCTTTCCTTTCCTCTGTAGTGTGTTAAATTGAGGAAATATATTTTAAGTCTTATGTTGAAATTTTGGTCACTAAGTCGTTTTGAAAGCCATCTGTGAAATATCATAATTTTGCTCCTGGAACAAGGTCCCAGAAACTCCATGTTTTCAGGGTTATGTGGATAATGAGCTGGCCTCTGTATGCCATGAGACCATATATGGTGCATCCCCTGAACAGTCCAGCCCTCCAGCTGCTGCTCATGGGCTGACAGTCTGGGACTAGAGGGCACACAGCCTCACTTCCTGATAGAGGATTTAAGTGAAATCTCAGAAAAGATAAGAGGCCTGGCCCAGGACTCTTTAGGTATCTAGGGCATATTAGAGGTCATTGTCATACAGAATGAGCTAAAGAAACTGGAAGAACATCAGGCTGGAAGCTTTTTCTTGCTTTTCTATTTCTGTGTGTGTGTGTGTGTGCGCGCGCGCGCGCACGCGTGTGTTTTCAGGGCATGGGGAAAGAAGAGTCTTCTTTACTCTGATCTTTGATGCCGAGCACCAGCAGAGTTTAGGAGTAACTAGATGTGGCAATGACAAATGAACTGCCTATTGTTTTTTTGGGGGGTGGGAGTATCAAATATAAGCTGCTGTTTTGTTTTTCTTAGAAAATTTTTTTCTTTATTGATTTTGGAGAGAGAGTAAGCAAAAGGGAAAGAGAGAGAGAAACATCACTGAGAGAGAATATCCATTGGCCACCTCCTGCATGCCCCACACTGGGGACCTGGCCCACAACGTGGGCATGTGCCAATTGGGAATCGAACAGGTGACCTCTTGGTGTATGAGTTGACACTCAACCACTGAGCCACACTGGCCAGGCAGTTTGTTTGTTTTTATACAGTTTTTGCAGGTTTTCATTGAAAGCTGACAGCAAATAGATGCTATGCCCTAGTTTCTCCAGCCTCGTTCCATCAACATTTTTATTTATTTTTTATTTTTATTTTTATTTATTTAATTAATTTATTTATTTTTGTTATAGATGTTTCTCCTTTTTCCCCCACTGATTCCCCCCATCCCTCCCCACCCTGTCCCCAGTTTTGTTGTTCATATCCATTGATTATGCACACATGCATATAAGTTCTGTGGTTTATCTCTCCCTGTCACCCCCTCTTATGGGGATTGTCAGTCTGTACCCCACTTCCATGTCTCTGGGACTACCCCATTCCTCAGACTGTTATGTTCATTATATTCCACAAATAAGTGAGATCATATGATACTTGTCTTTCTCTGTTTGGCTTGTTTCGCTTAGGATAATACTTTCCAGGTCCCTTCATGTCGTCTCAAAGGATAAGAGATCTTTCTATCTTACAGCTGCATAGTACTTTATTGTGTATATGTACCACAGCCTTTATATCCATTTGACTACTGATGCACATTTGGGCTGTTTCTAGATCTTAGCTATTGTAAATAGTGCTACTACAAACATGGGGGTACATATATTCTTTCTGATTGGTGTTTCAGGCTTCTTAGGGTATATGCCTAGAAGTGGGATCACTGGGTCAAATGGAAGTTCAATTTTTAATTTTTTGAGGTAACACCATATTGTTTTCCATAGTGGCTATACCAGTGTGCATTCCCACCAGCAATGTACTAGAGTCCCCTTTTCTCCACACCCTCACAACACTTGTTGTTTGATGATTTGTTGATGGCGGCCATTCTGACAGGTGTGAGGTGATACTTCATTGTTGTATAAATTTGCATCTCTCTGATGATTAGTGATGATGAGCATTTCTTCATATGTCTCTTAGCCACTTATATGTCCTGTTTGGAGAGGTGTCTATTTAGTTCCTCTGCCTATTTTTTAACTGGGTTCCTTGTCTTCTTTTTGTTGAGTTGTATGAGCACTCTCTATATATCGGAAATTAACCCCTTATCTGATATATCATTGGCAATGATGCTCTCCCATACAGTGGGTTCCCTTTCTCTTTTGATGACTGTATCTTTTGCTGTGCAGAAGCTTTTGAGTTTTATGTAGTCCCATGTGTTCATTTTCTCCTTTGTTTCTGTAACCTTAGGTGATGTATCAGTGAAAATTCTGCTGCGTATGATGTCTGAAATTTTGTTGCCTACAGTCTCTTCTAGGATTTTTATGGATTCATGAGTCACATTTAAGTCTCTTATCCATTTTGAGTTTATTCTTGTGTATGGTGTAAGTTGATGGTCTAGTTTCTTTTTTTTTTTTTTTTCTTTGCATGTAGCTGTCCAGTTTTCCCAATACCATTTATTAAAGAGGCTGTCTTTACTCCACTGTATGCTCTTACCATCTTTGTCAAATATTAATTGAGCATACTGCCTTGGGTCCATTTCTGAATTCTCTGTTCTGTTCCACTGCTCTATATGCCTGTTCTTGTGCCAGGCTGTTTTGATTACAGTGGCTTTGTAGTATAACCTGAAATCTGGTCATGTGATCCTTCCACCTTTGTTCTTCTTTTTCAAGATTGCTGTGGCTATTCGAGGTCTTTCTTGGTTCCATATGAACCTTTGAAGTATTTGTTGTAGTTCTGTGAAGTATATCATTGGTATTTTGATGGGGATTGCATTGAATCTATAGATTGCTTTGGCTAGTATGGACAGTTTAATGATGTTAATTCTTCCAATCCATGAACAGGGTATGTGCTTCCACTTTTTTATATCTTCCTCTATTTCTGTTTTTAATGACCTGTAGTGTTTTGCGAATAGGTCCTTTATTTCTTTGGTTAAGTTTATTCCTAGGTATCTTAATTTTTTTTGCTGCAACGGTAAATGGGATTGTTTGCTTAGTTTCTCTTTCTGTGAGTTCATCATTGGTGTATAAGAATGCCATCAATTTCTTGACGTTAATTTTGTATTCTGCTACTATGCCAAATTTATTTATTAAGTCTAGTATATTTTTGGTGAAGTCTTTGGGGTTTTCTACATATAGTATCATGTCATCTGCGGATAATGACAGTTTCACTTCCTCCTTTCCAATTTGGATCCCTTTTATTTTTCTTCCTGTCTGATTGCTGTGGCTAAGACTTCCAGTACTATGTTAAATAAGACTGGTGAAAGTGGGCATCCTTGTCTTGTTCCTGTTTGTAAGGGAAATGCTTTTAATTTTTGGCTATTGAGTGTGATGTTGGCTCTAGGTCTTTCATATATAGCCTTTATTATGTCGAGATATGATCCCTCTATGCTCACATTGCTGAGCGTTTTTATCAGAAATGGATGCTGGATTTTTGTCTAAGGCTTTTTCGGCATCTATTGATATGATCATGTGGTTTTTATTCTTCACTTTATTTATGTGGTGTATCACATTTATTGATTTGCAAATATTGTACCAGCCTTGCATCCCTGGGTTGAACCCCACCTGGTCATAGTGAATAATTTTTTTGATGTATTGCTGGATCTGATTTGCTAGTATTTTGTTCAGATATTGCGTCTATGTTCATCAGGGATAATGGCCTATAGTTTTCTTTCTTTGTGATGTCTTTTTTGGTTTTGGAATTAGAATTATGCTGGCCTCATAAAATGAGTTTGGAAGTCTTCCTTCTTGAATTTTTTGAAATAGTTTGAGGAGAATGGGTGTTAGTTCTTTTTTTGAATGTTTGGTAAAACTCCCTCGTGAAGCCTTCTGGGCCTGGGCATTTGTTTGCTGGGAGAGTCTTGATTACATCTTCAATTTCCTTAGTTGTTATTGGTCTGTTCAAGTTTTCTATCTCTTCCCGGTCCAGTTATGGGAGACTGTGTGTTTCTAGAAATTTGCCCATTTCACTTAGATTGTCGAATATGTTGCCATATAATTGTTCATAGTAGTTGTTAACGATCTTTTGTATTTCTGTGGTGTCAGTTGTTACTTCTCCTCTTTCATTTCTGATTTTGTGTTTTTGGGTTCTCTCTCTCTGTTTCTTGGTGTGTCTAGCTAAGGGTCCATCCATCTTGTTCATCTTTTCGAAGAACCAGCTCTTTGTTTCATTGATTCTTTGAATTTTTTTGTTGTTGTTGTTCTCTATGTCATTTATTTCTGCTCTGATCTTTACTATTTCCTTCTGTCTACTTGCTCTGGGGTTTTCTTTTTGTTTGCTTTCTAGTTCTTTAAGTTGTGAGGTTAGACAGTCTATTAGAGATTTTTCTTGTTTCTTGAGGTAGGCCTGTAGTACTATGAACTTCCCTCTCAGAACTGCTTTCACTACATCCCATAGGTTTTGTGGTGTTGTGTGTTCATTTTCATTGGTTTCCAGGAAGTTTTTAATTTCTTCCTTGATCTCCTCAGTAACCCATTCGTTGTTTAATAACATGCTATTTAGCCTCCATGTGTTCGTATGTCTTTGCATGTTCTTGTTGCAGATGATTTCTAGTTTAATTCCATTGTGATCTGAGAAGATACTTGATATGATTTCAGTCTTCTTGAACTTGTAGAGACTTAGTTTGTGTCCTAACATGTGGTCTATCTTTGAGAATGTCTCACGTGCACTTGAGAAGAATGTGAATTCTGTAGTTTTGGCGTGTAATTCTCTAGATATCGATTAAATCCATTTGGTCTAGTGCTTCATTTAGAGTCTCTGTTTCCTTGTTAATTTTTTGTCTAGAGGATCTATCCAGCGATGTCAGCGGGGTATTGAAGTCCCCTGCTATGATTGTATTGCTATTGATTTCTCCTTTGAAGTCCTCCAGAATATTTTTTTTTTTTTAAATCCTCACCGGAGGACATTTTTTCACTTTTTGTTCAGGTAGAGTGGGAGGGAGAGAGAGGAACAGAGAGAGAGAGAGAGAAACATCGATGTGAAAGGGACACATCGAGTGGCTGCCACCCGCACAACTGACCAGGGCCGGGGACAAACTGCAACCGAGGTTCGCGCCCCTAGCAGGAACCGAACCCGGGTCTCTCAGGACCGCAGGCCGACGCTCTAACCGCTGAGCCAAACTGGCCAGGGCTACTCTTGTCTTTTTATCAGGCATTAAATCCATTTACATTTAAGGTGATTATTGATATGTACTTACTTATTGCCATTTTTGTTTAGTTTTGTTATATTTTTCTTCCTATGTCTCCTGCTAATTACAGCAGTCCTTTTAACATTTCTTTCAGTGCTCGTTTGGTGCTAATGTATTCCCTTAGCCTTTTTTTGTCTGGGTAGCTGGTTATTTGACCTTCTGTTTTGAATGATAGCCTTGCTGGGTAGAGTAGTCTTGGATTCAGATCCTTGTTTTTCATGACCTTGATTACCTCATGCCATTTTCTTCTGGCCTGTAGTGTTTCTGCTGAGAAGTTAGCTGAGAGCCTTATGGGGTTGCTTTGTAGATAACCTGTTGCTTATCCCTTGCTGCTTTTAGGATTCCCTCTTTGTCTTTAATTTTTGGAATTTTGATTACTGTGTGTCTTCGTGTGGGCCTGTTTGGGTTCTTCTTACTTGGGGCTCTCTGTGCTTCTTGAACTTGAATGCCTTCTTCCTCCACCAAATTAGGGAAGTTTTCTGTCACTATTTCTTCAAATATATTCTCTAACCCTTGCTCATTTTCTTCTTCTTTGGGGACTCCTATGATGTGAATATTATTACGTTTCTAGTTGTCCCACAGTTCTCTTAAGCTGTCTTCCTGTTTTTAAATTTTTTCTCTATGGTTTTCTGATTGGTTGATTTTTTCTACCCTGTCTTCTAATTCACTGAATTCAGCTTCCTCTACTCTGCTGTTTAGACCTTCCAATGTGTTCTTTATTTCTGATATATCTTTCTTTACTTCTTCTTGGTAGTTTTTAATTTCCAAGTGGTTGATTTTCAACATTTCTATGTCTTTACTCATGGTGCTCATGTCCTTACACATGCTGTTGAGGTTCTTTAAGATCATAGCTCTGAATTCTAGTTCTGTTAACTTGCCTAACTGCACCTCATTTATCTCGTCTTCAGTAGAGGTCTCTTGTTCTTTCATTTGGCATTTGTTTCTTTGTTTCACCATTTTGGCTATCACAACGGCCTTTGGAGCCTGCCAAATTTTCCCTCTGGGTGTTGGTGTTGTGCTGTTTGTGGCTCCCTCTACTGGGTCTGGATGAGCTTGGAGGACCCACGTTAAAAGCCCCTGTCAAGTCTTACTTTCCTGGGTAGAGTTGCAAGCCCAGGAATGGTTCAGCTATTCTCTAGCTTTTTGCCTGGAGGCTATTTGTCGTGGTTACTTAAAGAGCCTTGTGCTCTCAGTTGAATGAAAAACTCCCTCAGGTGCTTAGCATAAGGGGATGCTGGTTTTTTTTTTTTTTTTTTTTTTTTTTTTATCCTCATCCGAGGACATTTTTGTATTTTTTGTACAGACAGAGTGGGAGGGAGAGAGAGGAAGAGAGAGAGAGGGAAACATCGATGTGAAAGGGACACATCGAGTGGCTGCCACCCGCACGACCAACCAGGGCCGGGGACAAACTGCAACCGAGGTACATGCCCTTAGCGGGAACCGAACCCAGGTCTCTCCGGACCGCAGGTGGACGCTCTAACCGCTGAGCCAAACCGGCCAGGGCGGGGATGCTGGTTTTTAATGAGACTCAATTAGCATTTCAATGGCCACCGGGTGGGGTTGAATCTCTGAGGCAGGGGCTGCTACCTCTCTCCAGAGCCCTGGGAGAGAGTAGGATGACCACTGCCCTGCATGGCTGCAACTCAGCAAAAGCTCTGAGCGCCCTCCAAATCCTGAGAATCCCCACACAGTTCCAGTCCAGTCCACCCTCCCTCAGCTGGAGCCCCAAGTGAGTGGCTGTGGCTATTTTAGTGTCTGTCCTGGCTCTGCGCTGTGGAGCCGCTTTGGAGTTTAACCCGAGGGTGCTGCTCACAGCTAAGGCCGCTGCTGTCCACGGGCTCCCAGTCCCCCTCTCTCGCCTCCACAATCCTACCAGGATTGGTCAGTGTCCCTGGTTATGTGGTCCTCCAAGCTGCTTTTCTTTTGCTTTTTTCTGACGATTTGTCTTTATATTTGTTGTAATTCCAGTTTGGTCCTTGGAGATGGTATGTGTAGGTTCTATTCACTCAACAGCCATTTTCACATCCCTCCTCATCAACATTTTTATTTTCCAAGCCTGACACTGCATTGTGTAGGATGCTTTAACAAGGCATTTCTCCATTATCTTAATTTTTCATATGAGAATTATCTAATATTTCATTTCTTTTTTTAAAATCTCCAAACAGGTTATCTGGGGAGTGGATAATTAGCAAAGTGTTTATGGCCAGATTATAATTTGGTAACCGGAGGAGTTGCCTCTTGCCATGAGCCCTGCCTAATTTCAGCAGCTGGAGAGCAGCCCGTTGACCACATCTGTAGGTAGCAGTGGGGTAGTTAGGTTACATGCTTTGGCCCTCTAACCACTTTTGGGTTTATACCCTGGCTTTAACACTTAAGACTTCTGACCTAGGGCAAGTTACTTACCTTGGCTGTGCTCAGTTTCTCATTTCTTAAAGTGGGGCTAATAATATTTGTATAAATAAGATAATATATATGCAAGAGTCTTAGAACAGTATTTTAATCATTGTTCTTCTTGCCCATAAAAATGCAGACCACTGTGGGATCTTTCAGGTGTGCAGCTGGTGCTCTGGCTTTCCTTTGTTCATGTGTAAATCAGGTGGGGAAATGTCTAATCAAAGACAGCTGACCACTTCAAGTCCCACTTCCTCTCCCAGGCCTGTTACTCTGTTGCCAGTTGTGCCAAAAATGTGTTCTCTGGGTCTTTGAATGCAGTTTCCCTGGAGAGTAATCAGGGTGTCAAATTTCTCAAGAATTTAGCAAAAGGATCTGTAGAATTTTGAAAAGGGAGTAAGTAGTCTGCAGAGATATCTGAGTGAATCTAAGGAGCTCCTGATGAATTGCTCTTCTGGGCTGGTACACTGGGAGTCCTGCTGGCAAAGAAATGCATGGCTCCTGTGTGGTGTCTTCCTCCCTGGGTGTTGTATTCTCCCCCAGGGTTGTGTGTGTGCCCCCCCCCCTCGTGTTCTATGTTGCTGATACTCTCAATTTTCCACAGTAACCCACTGAGGCCTGAAGTAATTAGTTATTAGTTCCTTTAATTAAGTTTATCTTTTTCCTAGTGATGGATATTACCGATATCATACATGGGAAGGTGGATGATGAAGAAAAGCAGCATTTTATTCCCTTTCAGCAGTAAGTACTTTGCATTTATCCCAGGTGACTTGAGACCTGGATTAACACTTTAAATGGTGTGTGATCGTAGAGCCAGGTGCAGGAACCGTTTGCTTAGTTAGAGAAGGAAGATTCTTGGAGAGGAGCTCACAGAAGACTATTTAAAGTCCTTTATATTGGACTCCAATTGCAGAAGGTAAACTGAACTATTCTGATTCTTCTGAAATGACTGAAAGAATATAAGAAACAAATCTATGTCTATACTAGAAACCAGAGAATGGTGCCAGATAAGTGTCAGAAATGCCAAAGGACATCTGTACTCTGACCCCTGGAACAGGTATCCTGGAGGACAAGGGATCATATAGAACAGCACAGGCTTCTCGAACTGGCCCATGCATATGAACCACCTGGGGCCTTGTTAGAATGCAGAATGGGATCCAGTCGGTCTGGAGTGTCTAACAAGCATCCAGGTAATGCTCATGCTGCTAGTCAGGGGACCACATTTGGAGTAGTGAGGTTCAGGAGGTGAGTGTGTGAAGGCTGACAAATCCATGAGTTCCTGCAAAGGGAGGGAAAGCCAGACTGGGAGGACATGCAAGGATTCACTGAGAGCTTGGCTAGAGCAGCCCTCCATACTGAGCTCAGGAGCTGGAGCCTGTGTGGGCCACTGGGGAGCTGCAGGGGAGCTGATCTCAGTCCCCATAGCTCTGAAGAATTATCTGTGTGAGTGTGATGACTGTCTCTAGAAGCCATGCTCTGCTTACCCTGTGTACAGGTGGTGGTGGGCTAGGTGAGGCTGGGGACGTTGCTGGAACCGACTAACAGCTTAGTCGTGTCAATGACAGAAGGTGATTATCTAAGCCACCTTGTAGCTGGCACAACAGATCAGTATGACAAACTGAGAATTCTAGAAACCAGCCTAAGTATATTTGAATAATATATATTTTATTAATAATAAATAATATTTTTAAAATGTTTTAAAATAAATTAGTGGAGAAAGACAAACTATGCAAATAAATTAAAATTAAGCTAACCATTTAAGAAACATTATTTAGAACCTTGTCCTACAGCTTACACCATTGTAAATTCCTGGTGATGGCACATAGACATTTAAGATCCTAAATCTTAAAATATTAAGTTTTACATAATAATGCTGTGTGGGAGGCCTTTGAGTCAGACACCAAAGAAAATTAATAGGTTTAGGCACACAAAATTTTAAACAACTTATACATAGAAAAAGTTTAACAATATCTCTGTAATGTGTATAAAGTATGAGTATTTTTAATAAAGAATTAATAGTAGTTCTTGAGGACATAAGAAGGACATATACACACAAAGAAATGGCCTATAAAGTCACTGAGAATCAATGAGATGCAAATCAAACAATGAGGTTTAGTTTTTGGCTTGACCAAATTTTAAAAATATGTAAGATAGCCAGTGTTGGGTGGGTGTAAGGAAACATATATAACTTATATGAATACTGTATGCATTTATCTAGTATTATATCACCTATATACTGATCCATAATATTATATGTAGCTTAGTGCTAATTTGAATTATGAGATAACATTCAAATTCACAAATGCTGCTCCCAATATAATTATCTACATATATTTAAATACATTGAATAGATATGATATGTTACATTTAATAAATACAGTATATTAAAATATATTAGAATTTTAGCCTGGCCACTGTGGCTCAGTAGTTGAGCATCATCCCATACACCAAGAAGTCGCTGGTTTGATCCTTCAGTCAGGGCACATGCCCAGATTGTGGGCCAAATTCCCAATGCGGGGCATGCAGGGGCAGCCAGTCAATGTTCTCTCTCATCGATGTTTCTATCTCTCTCTGCCTCTCCCTTCCTCACTCTCTGAAATCAATAAAAAGAAAAAAAAAAAGGCCCTGGCTGGTTTGGCTCAGTGGTTAGAGCGTCAGCCCACGGACCAGAGAGTGCCGGGTTCGGTTCCCGCTAAGGGCACATACCTTGGTTGCGGTTTGTCCCTGGCCCTGGTTGGGGTCCCGTGGGTGGCAATTACTCAATGTGTCTCTGTCATGCTCTAGCTGAAGATAAATGAAAAAATGTCCTTGGGTGAAGATAAAATAAAAAAGAAAGGGGAAAAAAAAAAAATATATATATATATATATATATATACACACACACATATATATATGTTACAATTTTAAATTAAAATGTTAAGTTAAATGTATTAATATATTAAATCAAATATATTAATGTAGCTTATATAATCAGTAAATATTAAATAAAATATATAGAATAAATATGTTTAAATATAAAAATATATAAAAATACAATATTTTATATTAAATATGTAAAAATTTTATATTTGTGATATATATAACTTTCTATCCATGAATATTCTTATTGGACATATTATACATTATTATTACTTATGTACTATGTATATAATATATAGGTGTATACATAATAGGAGCAGTGTTCATGGCTATGAAAGTTATATGAAATAAATGATAATGTGACATAGTATATTTTATATATGTGTGTAAGTAAAAGGGGTAGCATTCATGGGTATGACAATTATTCTGCTTTATATATATTATATTATAAATATATCAAAAATAGGTGAGGCATTATGAATGTGAAAGTTATCTTAAATGTATTTCTGTGTATTTGCTTTACCTGTGAGGAGGTTTTGTCCTTTGGTTGTGTGCCTCCCTGCTGAATTTCTGCACCAGCTCTCGTCTAGCAGCCCAGTAACAGTGCACCGGAGATCGTCCTCACTGTGTCATAATGCATGCTTTGAGTCTCGGCCTTGACCAGCCCTAATTTGATTACTGCTCATTGTGTGGCCAACAGCCACTGTAAAGCTTTCACAATGTAAATTGCAGCCTCTGGCATTTAACTCCTAAGATTTATGGAAGCTGCTTTTATAACTTACCTCAAAAGCTGTGGAGTGTATTATAAGAGAGTTTTATATGTGTGTCCTGCTAGTCCATTTTAGAGTGTCATTTGAAAACAACTCAGATGATAGCAAGCCCGCTTTTCAGCAACATATTGCAATGTTTCCCCCTATTGTCAGCATACACATCTGAACCCATAGAGAAAGCTGGCCTGCATAACAGGCAAGAGGACAAAACCACAGCCAAGAAGACTGGAGACCATTGTGCTGTACCAGGCGATATGTAGGCACTGATAGCACTGTGCTGTCAATAGAATGGGGGCTGTGTTTGGTTCTTTGATCACCCTGCCCAAGCCTCAGCCTGATGTGATCACTGAAGTGAAGCTTGTTCTCTGGGGCCTGCACTATCGCAACCCTAATATAGTTTGTCATCACATGGGAATCTAAGAATACCCTTGCAAGGCGCCTGCAAACATACTGCTCTTGTACAGTGAGTGTGAGCACTAGATGGAGCCTTCAAGGCATGATCAGGTCCATCTTCTTACAGATGAGGACACTGAGGCCCAGAGGGGAGTCTGGTGGAGCTCACGGCCAAGTAGAACCAGAACTGGAAGCTAGGTCTCCTGGCCCAACCCCAGTCCTTCAATTCCTTTACAGCAGTCTTTCCCACTTGTAAGAGCATGAAGAATTGCCACTGATTTTACCATTAGTTTTTTTTTTGTTCTTGTTTTTTTTTCTTCTTTGCCCAAAGTCATTTGCAAGATGAATTTGGTGTCTAAGATAGGCACCTAATAGAAAAATAAGAAAAGAGAGAGTCCTCTAGTTAAGTGTCTGGTGTGTTTAGTGTTTATATTTCCATATTATTCCCATAGGACCCACCACTATCTGAGCCTGTGCTACAGAGACATCCTCTTTTTTTCTTACCTCTCATTTCTGACTTTCCCAGAATCGCCATGGAAACCTATATCCGGCAGAGGCAGCTAATCATGTCACCCCTGATAGCATCCCATGTGATTGGGGAAAATGAGCCACTCACTTCAGTCTTGAATAAAGTGATAGCAGCAAAGGAAGTGAACCACAAAGGACAAGGTACTCAGCTTTGTACTCAGCTGGTAGGGGATTGGGGGTGGGCATTCAGAGCTGGGGCCTTGGACTCCTGCCCTTTCATTGTGTTTTTCTGGGGACTGCCCACCTCAGCTTCCTGCCAAAGGCATTTCATACTGAAGAGCACCCAGGATGCACCTGACAGTGGATTGGATCAGAGCTGTATTTCGTAAATTCCCTGGAACAACTTTTTCTTTTATTTTTTAACCTTACCCAAGGACATTTTCCCATTTTTTTGTTCAGGTAGAGTGGGAGGGAGAGAGAGGAAGAGAGAGAGAGAGAAACATCGACGTGAAAGGGACACATCAAGTGGCTGCCACCCGCACGACCAACCAGGGCCGGGGACAAACTGCAACCAAGGTACGCGCCCCGGGTCTCTCTGGACCACAGGCCGACGCTCTAACCGCTGAGCCAAACCGGCCAGGGCTGGAACAGCTTTTTATCCCATGACACTTCTTCGCTTTTGTTCCTGCAATCCTTGACTCTAGGCGAATGCAGAGAATTTTGAGGATAATTATGTTCCAGTCTTTGAATATGTTTATCCATTACATTTCCTAAAATCGAGAGGAAGGAGACCAAAGCAATATAAAAGAATTTCTGTTGAATCCCAGCCGGGTGGCTCAGTGGTTGAACATTGACCCATGCACCAAGAGGTCGCTGGTTCGATTCCTGGTCAGGACACATGCCCAGATTGTAGGCCCAATCCCCAGTGGGGGTCATTCAGTAGGCGACCAGGTGATGTTCTCTCTCATCGATGTTTCTATCTCTCTCTCCCTCTCCCTCCTCTCTCTCTAAAATCAATAAAGAAAAAATATTTTAAAATATATTAAAAAAATATTTGTGTTAATATGAAATAATGGGCTATCTAGCAAAACGTTTTTAGTACTTTGTATAGCACTCAACTGACATCATTTTAACTGAAAGAAGTTCTCCTTATTGAAACTGCATTTTAAATTTAAAACAATGAGGGAAAATAGTTAACACTTTTAAATTTAAATACCAAGATGGTGATGGTTTTTGGATAATTTTGAAGATTGAGTTTCTTTTTTTCTTTATCCACCATATAACTGTCTTCCAAAGTGGAGGCAATCAGAAAACACAGCATTTTCACCGTATTTAGGTTCCATGTATTAACAGTGATCCTGAGTGGGAATCAAATAACTAAAACAAATAACTAAGTATATTTCTATTGTTCTGAAATTTCTAACCTTAGGATATAATTTGTTAGAGTGGAAAACTCTTACACTAAATAGATTGTTCTGTATGTATAAATTATTTTAACAGAACTGAAAAAAGATAATTTCTTCTCTTGCTGCTTAACAAACGAGCACTTTTCAAATGTTTTTGTGCTCTTCACAAATATTTTTTGTGGTTGCATAATATGCCGTTGCTTGGATTTCAGAAAAGGAACTCCTCTAAGTAAACATTTAAGTGTTCTCTAATTTGTCACGATTATACATTTAAATAACTCTATTATGACTATGTTTATATTTGTAATTTTTCCCATATGCAGGACTGTGTCTCCCTAAAATTTCCAGAAGTAGGATTTCTGGGTCAAATGATGGTAGCAAGCTTAAACCTGAAAACATGCAGCTATAGAATTCTCCCAGTGGGCACAAATTTCCATCTTTCCCTCTTTGCAGACTGATACTTAAAAATCTTTACCTGTTTGAAAGGTAAAAAGTAGACTTCCATATGGTTCTCTTGAATTTAAAAAAGAAAAAAAAAAAAAAAAACTGTTCATGAATTAATCCGCCTTCATGTATATTTGTGAGTTTTCTAAAGTTTTCCTTCTTTTTTATGAGCACTTTATATTTAATAAAGATAATCTGTCTTAGGACACATATTTCTCAATTTTTGGTTTACCAAATAGTTATAAACTTCTTGTATTTCCTTGTGAATTTGACTATTCATGTCTTATTTATTTGTGAGAATCCTAATGTTTTTCTTCTAATGAGTAGTAAAATTCATTATTATTTATAAGTATTTTACCACTTTACAGTATACTTTTCATTTTTATGAATATCAAAACTTTCAGTTTATATAGAGATAATTCTTTTTGCTTTGATGATTTTATTTGTTTCTCTACTTAGAATCATTCTCAGAGATTTACTAACTGTACATTTATTTTTTCTTTTAATTTCCTGCCTTTTTTTTTTTCTTCATCCTCACCCAAGGACATTTTTGCATTTTATCTTCAGATAGAGCAGGAGGGAAAGAGAGAGGAAGAGAAAGAGAGAAACATCCATGTGAGAGAGACACATTGATTGGTTGCCACCCACACAACCCCAACAGGGGCCGGGGACGAACTGCAACGGAGGTATGTGCCCTTAGCGGGAACCGAACCCAGGACTCTCTGGTCCACGGGCCGACTCTCTAACCACTGAGCCAAACTGGCCAGGGCAATTTTCTGCCTTTTTTATATTAGGAATTAATTTTAATAAAAATGTGAGGTGAGAAATTAAATGGATTCTGTTTTGCATAGCAGGAAATTATCCCAGCACACTTATGAAATTGTTGTGTTTCTTTTTATGACTTGTTGTGCCCTTTTGCTCTATATTATAGTACTTAATCTCATTGGTTCCATTGATTCACATGACTTTTTTACCACCAATATACATTACTAAAGCTTTATAGCATTTTGGTGTCTGAGAGGGACTATTTTCACTCTTTTCCCTTCACAGTAAACATATGCTCACATCTCTGTTAAATTCTCAAGAAGTCCTAATGGAGTGTCATTAAAATTATAAGTTAACTAGGGGAGAATTTTCAGCCAAGAATACTGTATCTGCATATCATTACAACAAATTTTTCTCAGTGTTGGTGTGTTTATTATATAGATCATACAAAGAACTAAAAGTTTATCCTTTATTTCTTTAAAGGGCTTTGGGTGTCCTTGAAGTTATTGCCAGGTGATCTCACACAAGTTCAGAAGAATTTTTCACACTTGGTGGATAGATCAACAGCAATCGCCCGAAAAATGGGCTTTCCCGAAATAATCCTTCCAGGTAAACACTTTGCCGAGTCACCTGTCTTGCTTCCTCTAGGATTTTCTTCCATGAAGTAGTTACTTCTAACTGCACAGTTGAAGCAACACAGATCCATCAATGTAGTTCATCTGCATTCAGTGGTATCATGACAGTGGGAGATACAAACAGGGTTGCATGCAGAACCTTGAAAAGGTACCCAGTGCGCCAGGCCAAGGTAACACATCTGAATGTGACTCAGACTTTTCTGTTCACTCTTCCTGTGTGTTCTGCACAAGCTCGTTTGAAATGTTCCCCTAGAGTCTATGGCCTAGACCATCTTTAAGTTGAATTGAATGGCACAGGTTCTCATTCCCGAGAATAATCTGCTTCATTTGCAGGTACCTTGTACCTTTCTCATGATGGCATCACCAGTGTCCTGGGCTCCTCGCTGGGAAGCTCTGGCGAGGTGCCAGCTCAGCTCAATCTCAGCTGGACCCTCTACGTTATTTGTTTCTGCTCCAGCTGTGCCACTGGCAGTCCCCGAACTTGTGGTGACAAGAATCTAAACATTCTGCAGTGTCTTGCATCATTTTTATCTTCTTTGCCACCATGTGTTTGTGATCTGCACATGTTCTGTTGTAGCCACTGATTCAACACAGTTCATCTTTTTTCACTAACATCTTAGTGTTTTATTAACAGTCATCTAGGCAGATTCTGAGAATCAAAGGTCTAAGTCCAGAACATAAATAAAAAGAACTAAGATCAATCACCAAAGACGGCCTTTGAGGCAGCTCACAATTTACAAGTGAAACACAGAAATTCAACTAATAAAGGGGAATCGAGTCTCTGAGAAGACCAAAGCTAGAAAACTTTTTAGTAAAATATAATCAGCTCATCCTCGGAGAAAGACCCACCTTTTGGCCAAAGAGAAAGCCATTTCTCCCAAGAGGAGACCACCAAATCTAAACAAATTAATTGATAATTATAATCAAAATTATTGTAAAAGGCCAGAAAAGGTTGATATATATGCATACATATATAAGCACCACATTTTCCTATAGTCTAGATTTAAAAATCCAATTAATTTCTTAATCTTCATGTTAGAAGAAGGAAATCATTCCCTTAAGGAACTTGATATATAGACAATTACCATGTTATTATATTATATAAATATTGTATATAAAATGAATGGGTATAAATATTAAAATATGAATATATGATATGCATTTTACAGGTAGATAGAACATATAAGTAAACAATTTTTGGCACATTCGAAAAATTCTAGCAAACCAAGCTCTTATCTATTACATAAAAATTTAGGTTCTCTTAAAATAATACAAGATTTTATTTCTCCTTTGCAAGATTAATGAGCAGTAATAATTTGTTGCCACACACACTTTCTGCGTATAGTAGAAATTAAAAGAGTATTTGTGAAATGAATGAATAGAAGAGCTATAAAATGGAAATGATCTTTTCTTATGAAACAAGGTAGTTTTTCATCTGCCTTCCAGAGCCATTTCATCCTGATACACATTCATCAATATTCTGGGAAAATGTTTTGTTTTAAAAAATTAAGTATTGGTAATATTCCTACAATTGAAGGCAGTTTATTGCTACAGCAGTACAGATACCTGAAAAAGATAAACTAGAGACATTTATTTTTTGGACGAAGTGAATTTATTTTTGAAACCTGGCTGGAAAGTTACTTTATGTCAGTGGGATTGGTCATAGACTGCCAGCACAATAATAGATACTAAAAATCTTCCAGGCTTATGGCTCCCAAATGCTGGTCTTTGGATCAGCTAATCAGGATCACCTGAAAACACTAGAATACAGATTCCCAGATTTTTCCAGAAACTCTGATTCAGTTTGTAAGACCAGGGCTCCCCTGGTGATTCTGGTGATCCTCAGGTTTGAGAAATACAGATCAAACCTAAGTCCTTCCCCTTGTAGCTTCCTCCCATCACCATTTAAACTGGCATTAAGTCAAAATGAATTAGTTTACACACTTTTAGATAACAATCATAGTTTTTCTAACATGACCCTCAGTACTAGCCCTGTAATGTGAAGTTAGCATAGATTTGTTTGCCTACTCCCCATTGTAAGATAATTATATCTATAAAGAATTTTTAAACTATATTTTGAAGGTAATTATTTGATTTTAACATTTTAAATATTTGAGTGTGAATTTTTTAATTAATAGTTTGAGTATCATTCATTTGATGCTTTTTCATTGAATAATTTGCTATAACTTCAAGGTAAATATTGAAAAGAATTCTTAGTTAAATACTAAGAGGAGTGAGAACTCTTTCAATTATTCATAAATAAGTGTGAAATACTAGTTTGTATATAAGATGGTTTGCATGTATTCTTTCAGTATAAATATAATTATTTTTATAGAATTATTGAAATGATCACATTTATGTTTTTGGTTGATGTCACTTAATAATTGCATGAAGAGCCCTGGCCAGTTTGGCTCAGCGGTTAGAGCGTCGGCCTTGCAGATGCTTGAGCTCTTCCTCTGCCCCACCCCCCTCTTGCTAAGGTGCTCCTCCTCTCTGCTCCCAGCTTCACTGCTAGATTCTTGGAAGCAGTTATACTCTCTGTTTTCTTTTGTTTGTTCGTTTTATTTGTTTTTTAAACTCATCTTTATTGTTGAATGTATTACAGATGTTTCTCCTTTTTTCCCCCATTGATCCCCTCCTCCCCAATCCCGCCCCTCCTGCCTTCCCCACACTATTTTTGGTGTCCATTGGTTATGCATATATGCATAAAAATTCTTTGGTTTAACTTATCCCACCCTCCCTGCCCCCTTCCCTTTGAGATTAATCAGTCTAACAACCAATTTGTACTTAATTCCTTCATCTTTTCACCCATTCCCCCAGCCCCCACCCATCTGGCAATCAACAAAAAGTTCTCTACATCAGTGAATCTGTTTCTGTTCTGCTTGCTCATTTGTTTGTAGATTCAATTGTTGATAGATATGTATTAATTGCCATTTTATTGTTCATATTTTTGTTCTTCACCTTCAAGAAGACCCTTTAACATTTCATAGAATACTGGTCTGGTGGTGGTCAATTTTTAGCTTTTTCTTGACTGGGAAACTCTTGATATGTTCATCGATTCTAAATGATAGCTTTGCAGGATAGAGTAATCTTGGTTGTAGGTCATTGCTTTTCATCACCTTGAATATCTCTTGCCACTTCTTTCTGGCCTGCAAAGTTTTGTTTGAGAAATGAGCTGACAGTCTTATGGGAGCTCCTTTGTAGGTAATGGACTGCTTTTCTCTCACTTTTAAGATTCTCTCTTTGTATTTAACCTTTGGCATTTTGATGATGATGTATCTTGGTGTGGACCTCTTTGAGTTCAACTTGTTTGGGACTCTCTGTGCTTCCTGGACTTGTATATCTGTTTCCTTCACCAAGTTAGGGAAGTTTTCTGTCATTATTGTTTCAAATAGTTTTTCAATTTCTTGTTCTCTCTCTTCTCCTTCAGGCACACCTATGATGCAATTGTTGGCACACTTGAAGTTGTTCCAGAGGTTCCTTACACTATCCTCGTTTTTTTTTTTTATTCTTTTTGCTGTTCTATTTGGATGTTTTCTGCTTCCTTATATTCCAAATCAATGATTTGCTTCTTGGCTTTACCTACTCTACTGTTGATTCCCTGTAAATTATTCTTTATTTCAGTTAGTACATTCTTAATTTCTGACTGGCCCTTTTTTATGTTGTTGATGTTCTCACTAAGTTCCTCGGAGGTCCCGTTAAGTTCCTTAAAGGTCTCATTAAGTTCCTTGAAGGTCTAAGTCCATTGGATGTCTGACCAAGTTCCCTGAGCAATCTTGTAACTTGTGTTTTGAACTCTGCATCTGTTAGATTGCTTATCTCCATTTTGTTTAGTTCTTTTCCTGGAGTTTTATTCTTTTTTTTTAATCCTCACCCGAGGACATTTTTCCATTTTTTGTTCAGATAGAGTGAGAGGAAGAGAGAGAGAGAGAGAGAAACATCAACATGAAAGGGACACATCGAGTGGTTGCCACCCGCACAACCAACCAGGGCCAGGGACAAACTGCAACCGAGGTACGTGCCCTTATTGGGAACTGAACCCAGTTCTCTCTGGACCGTAGGCCAACACTCTAACTGCTGAGCCAAACTGGCCAGTTCTGGAATTTTGTTCTTTTTTTTCATTTGGGACATGTTTCTTTGTCTCCTCATTTTGGCTGCTTCCCTGTTATTGTTTCTGTCTATTAGGCAGAGTTGCTATGCCTCCTAGGCTTCATAGGGTGGCCTTCTGTTGTAGTGTCCTGTAGGATCCAGTGGCATAGTCTCCCTGATCACCCCAGCTGGGCCCTTGAGGTGCACCCCTAGTGTGGACTATACACCCTTCTGTTGTAATTGAGTCTTAATTGCTGTTGGCACATCAATGGGAGGGGTTTACTCAGGCCGATCAGCTGCAAGGACTGGCTGCGCCCACTAGCCACTGGCCTCTGACTACCTTGGAAGATCAGCTGTGCAGGTACCCACCACACAGAGCAGTACTTACTTCAGCAGGGCTCTGGTACCCACTGAGTCCACCCATTGAGTTTGTCACTGGAGGTGTTTGGGTGGTGGTGCTCTGATGTGGTCTGAAGCTGTCTACCAGGTGTGCTGGCTCTGGGGCAAGGTCAGCCACTGCCTTTGCTCTATCCAGGGCCACCTGGCATAAGCTACAAAGTGATCTGCAGATGGCTGCTGCTTGTGCTGGGCTTAGAGTTACCTAGGAAAAGCCAAGTTGTGAACTGAGGCTGGCTACTTGTAGTACCAGGCCTGGGGCCACTTAACAACAGGTATGGGGCTCACTGAGACCAGAAGCTGCTTGTTTGAGAGATTTTAGGAAACTGAAGCAGGATCAAAGACAGGCCAATCCTATGGTAAAGCCTTTGGAAACAGCTTGGGTGGGCCCGAGAAAGTTGGGTGGGGCAGGGCCTCAGGGAATCATCAGGGTGGGGCCAACAGTGTGAGCCAGGTTGCTGGAGTCCCAGATGTGGAGGCTGTCTGCCCGCCCTGTGGGGGAAAGGCTCACCAAAGGAACAACGACCTCCACCAGCACATCTGTCCAAGAGAAAGCTGTCCCTCCAGCCCTTGTCCAGAGGCCAAACAGCTCAGTTCTTCCCTGTTCTCTGGTGCCCCTCAAGCTGCCTCCCCTCAGGGCTCAGAGGGAGTGGGTCTGAGTAAGTTCATGCACGGGCCCTTTAAGAGGAACTGCTGGGGCTTCCGCAGCCGCACCCTCCCTCTGCCTCAGTTCCTACTGGTTTTACAGCCAGAAGTTATGGGGACTTTTCTTCCTGGCACTGGGACCCTGAGCTGGGTGCCTGGTGTGGGATGGGGACCCCTCATTCCTCAGGGAGGGCCTTCCCAGCTGAAGTGTCCCTCCTGATTTTTATCCGCCACACGTGGGTGTGGAACCAGCCCGTCCTCGCCTCCGCTCCTCCTACCAGTCTATGTGGTGGCTTCTTTAATTCCATAGTTGTAAGACTTCCATTCAGCTCAACTTCAGGCAGTTCTGAAGGATGGTTGTGTTACAGTTTTGTTGTAATTTTGATGTGGTTGTGAGAGGAGGCGATACTGTGTTTACCTACATCTACTCTCTGTTTTCACACCTGCCAGTCACCTTCCAGCCACTCCAGAATGGCTGTCACCAAAGATTGTATGGTCACTAAGTCCAAAAGGTATTTTTAGCATGATTGTTTCTGGTGTTTCTGCAGCATGTGACACTTGGTCACCCTTTCTTGAAACACTCCCCCTTCATCATCGGTGACCCACACTCTTCTCTTTTTCTCCATTCCCCCGTGGCCTCACCTAGGACTCCCTCTGCTACCTTATCTTCTTCCTCACTTTTAGATGTCAGCTTTCCTCAATATTTGGTCCTTATACCCTGTCTTAGTTTGCTAGGGCTGCCATATAAAGTACCACTGACTTGGTGGCTTAAACAACAGAAGTTTATTTTCTTCCAGGTCTGGAGGCTGGAAGTCCAAGATGTAAGTGTCTGCAGGTTTGGTTTTTTTCTGAGGCCTCTCTCCATGGCTCACATATGGCCACCTTCTCCCTGTGTCCTTACATGGTCACTTCTTAGTCTCTGTGTTATCTGTGTCCTAATCTTTTCTTATGAGGACACCAGTCATATTGGATTAGGGCCCAACACATGATCTCATTTCACCTTAATCACCTTTTTAAAGGGCCTCTCTCCAAATAGTCACATTTTGAGGCACTGAGGGTTGAGACTTTAACATAAGAATTTAGGGGGACACAATTCAGCTCGTAACAGGCCCCTTTGCTTCTTACCTGCATTCTCTCCCTGTGTGATCTCATCTCCTCACTTGGCCTTTGTGTTTTAGTTGTCTCCAAATCTGTACCTCTCACCTCAGAACAACTCCTTTGAACTCAACCAACATAGATCCAACTGCTTCCTGTCTTTGGTTGTATAATTCTTACTCAGAATTTCCATTTGGAACTTGTAACCCTGTACATCTACACCTAGATCTTCTGTTGAGTTTTATCTAGGAGAATGGCAGTCTATCCAGCCAGTTGTACAAATAAGCTGGAAAGTCACCCTTGACCCCTTCCTCTCCTTTCTACCTCATTCAAAATGACAGGATAATACCTGCCGGTTTTACCTTTAAAAGGCCTCTTAAAGCCACAGCCTTCTCTCCATCTCCATTGCCACTACCTGGTTTGTAGCTACTTCGCTGGACAACTGCCACCACCTTCTAACTGGTATCCTTGTTTCTACTTGCTCTTACCTCACTCACTTCCTCTTCTCCACACCTTGGCATGAGATAGCTTTTATGCAAGCCCACCTGATTTCCTCCCACTCCTCTCATGCTGAAAACATTTTGATGACTTCTGTCTGTCTCTGAAGCCTTATCTCACACCAGACCCCACCTCCCAATGCGAACACTTCCATCATATGTCTGCTACCTCTGGGCCTTTGCACATGCTACTGTCACTCTTATTCTCATCCCTCCAATATCACCTCAAAGGAAAGATGCCTGTATGCTCCAGACAAGGTTGGAACTTAGGGTTATGCTTTTCACAAAGGTCAGCCTGTTCCTGATTTGTGATGATGCATTTCATCGTGTTATCATCTGATAATGCTTCTCTTCCCCACTAGACTGTGAGCTGTATGAGAGCAAGGCTGGTGCATGGCTTCACCATCATCCCCCAGGCACTTAGTACAGTGCTTGGTACAGAGCAGGTGCTCAGTCAGTGTTTTAAATGAATACTTCCTTATCTGATTGTACCATCATTTATTCTACCAGCTGTTCAGGGTTGGAAATGGAAGGACTTTCTGAGTTTTCACTTTCACGAACAATATCACAATGAATATCCTTATGGATAATCATGGCCCACATTTTTAATACTTTGTATAAACAAATATTACCAGTGACGTTGCTGTGTCAGTTAAGGCTTTTGACACAAACTGTCAACTTCTCCATTGACAAAGAATATGTCAAATTAAGATTTCAAACTGTAATACGTAATTAGGCCCCTTTTTCTTCACCTTCACCAATTGTGAGCAATATCTCAATTTCTTTCCCATCAGATAAGCAATGAAAATGGTGTATTGTAAATATGCACCTTGATTGTCTTGTGCTCTAAGATTTAATTTTTACCCTGGGAGGCAATTTAGTATAATATAGATTTTGGAGTCATTTTTATAATCCAGAGTCTTTCCACCCCAGAATTTGGTTTACCTTTCATGCATTCTAGGTTTCATTTATGTGTCTCAATAACATTTAAATCTTTTCTTCACTGTGGAGGGGACTACACATTTACTAATTAATTCATTTTTTAAATTTTGTGGTGGTTAACCAAAAATATGACAAGCAGTAATTATTCTGATAACGGTGAAAACAATTAAGCTGATTTAAATAAACAAAGTGTTTGGTAGGCTTTCAGAAGTAGTGTCTGTCTCATCAGGTTTTGACATAGGTTAAATAAATTATTGCATATGAGACACTGAACAGTGTTTATACTGAACATATAAACACTCAATAAATGTCAGCCTTCATTATTGTCACATGGATTGAAATGCCACACTCTCCAAGGAATTATTGAAAAAAACACGCATTGCAACCTAATAAAATATAGTGTGTACTTATTGTTAGACAGCAATGATTAAATAAAGACTATTGAAAAGAGTTCATTTTTTATAAACTACACTTCAGAGACACTTGGGTATGTCTGGAAAGGCAGAATGAGGTAATTGGCAGAGAACAATACATATGAAAAGTGATTTATGAACAGCTCACTATAAAGTCAGACCTGGCAATTCTTAATTTACTTATAGTTTGTCTTATTACATCCTGAAAATTAAAAGTGACTTTTCTCAGCACCATTCACAGGATGGGTTGTCATGTTACAGGAGATGTTCGAAACGATATTTATGTCACCCTGATCCATGGTGAGTTTGACAAAGGGAAAAAGAAGACGCCCAAGAACGTAGAGGTGACCATGTCTGTGTGTGACGAGGAGGGCAGTACCTTGGAGGTAGGCACCACCCCCTGGAAGTGTTGCTGCCGTCACACATTTCTTCCCGATAACCAGGGACTGGCCTGCTGTTGATCGTGCTCTGCATTAGGGAGCATTTGGTTTCTCATAAGGAACATAAGGAAAACCTGTTAAATTTATGATTAGCCATGACCAGTTTTAGTAAGAAACCAATTTAGACTCCTACTTTTATATTTCTCCTGGGCTAAGAAATATCTCAAGCCACTAATGATTTTATGTGTGCTTCTGATGCAGAGGGTCTTTATCATTTTCAAACTATTTAGCCACTTCAGACCTATTAAGTTGCTCTGGGGCTTGAGCAAAGGGGCCTGTGTACCCAGGAGGCACCGAAAGGCCATTTCCTCCACCCAGTGAGCGGAGCCCAAGGAGAGGCGCCCCTTAGAGAGCTTCAGACTGGAGGCCCCTTGGTTAGAGGTTTTTCTTTTTTTTCCACAGGCTGTTAGTTTTAGTATCAGGAAACTGTAGTCCAGAAAGAAGTTGTTATTTCTCAGGGAAACACAAGAGTTAGTGGTGGCCAGGAGGGGGTCCAGGTATCCTGGCCTCCATCCAGAGTTCCTCCAACTGTCCATGTGGAGAAGTAAGTGTAGTTCTGACATCATAAAGGACTTAGGCAGGAGGCTTCATTGTCTCAGCTGACATCTGGCTCTTTATGCCCGTACCATAGTTACCTGTTTTGGAATCCGAGATCAAGCTGTCAGCCCACCCAGCTCCCCGTGTGCTCATTGCTCAGGCACTTGAGGGAGCACCAAGCACACAGCCCTGTCACTTCCCTTGGATATTATCATTTCTGAAGGAAACAGTTGACTGGTCAAGTAGTATTCTGTGTCGTGGCACAAGCAGAATACTGTGGGCCACAGCATGGGAGTGATTGATTTGTGCTGTTGATCAAGACCCTTGGCCCATGAGTTCGAGTACACAACTTCCCAAGTTGGTCTTTTTGCAGCTTTGCTAACTAGCTGGGAAGTGCCCCTGCTGAAGCCTGGTTTTACTAAACTAAGTGGTTCATTACTAGGAAAAGATGCAGCCCTCAGTTTCCGTGAACAAGCTGTCTCTGTGCACCTGGTCACCAAGCAGAGTGTAGGCAGGCACTTGCCCACACTTATACCGTGGTCACGTGTGCCATAGCTGCGGTCACCCACACAGACCTCTGTCCCTCGAGAGAGGAAAGAAGAGGAAAGAAAGGAGAATATATGTCTGAGGAGGGGAGAGAAAATAAAAGTTGCCTACTCCTTAAAGAGGAGTATTAGGAGAGTGCTGTGACCGTTAGTGATTACCACACTTAGACACTCAGGTAAAGTCATAGAAACTCATTCTTATCTGCCCTTTATCCCTCGAATGGAATCAGCATACGGATGCCGGTGTCAGGCACGTGCTGGCCATGTGGAGGGCAGAGGGCTCATGCCTGGTGTGTGGGGTACTTTTACTGTCTAGATAATTATCCCCTCCTCATTTTTTCTCTCCATCTGTAGAAAGCAGTTCATCCTGGCGCTGGATACGAAGGCGTGTCAGAGTACAAATCAGTGGTCTATTACCAGGTCAAACAGCCCTGCTGGTATGAGACTGTCAAGGTGAGAATGTAAATCTGTCATATGTTAAACCTAGTCTAGATTCCTTCTTTTTTTTAATCTACAAATCATTCCTACGTTTTCTGGAGGATTGGATACAATCCTCCAATTGGATACTTATGGGTACAATAAGAAATGAATGGATACTTACAATTATGTTTAAGAGTATTTATCTTTAAGAAACTCAAATTTCTTAAACGGCACTCTCCTTCATTAATGTGTAGAAATTTGACTGGAGATACTGGTTGTAGTGACATAATAGGCTGCCAAGATGGTCCAGACCCAAGTGGAAATTTTCATACTCTGCAAGCAGTTGTCTTACTTTTTTTCTTCTTGGCCTCTAGCCAAGTTTTCTGGGCCTCTTTTCAGTTTCAGTTTCCATATTACAAATTCCAAAGTGCTTTTCTGATCAGTCATCTCATATGAGCCTCTCAATAGCTCTGCAACTGAAACATTCAGTACTAGCCCAGCCAGTGTGGCTCAGTGGTTGAACACTGTCCCATGCACCAGGAGGTTGCTGATTCAGTTCCTGGTCAGGGCACGTGCCCAGGTTGCAGGTTCGATCCCCAGTTGGGGGCATGCAGGAGGCAGCCAGTTGATATTTTTCTCTCATCGGTGTTTCTATCTCTATCTCCTTCTCCCTTTCTCTTTCTGAAATCAATAAAAAACATTGAAAAAAAAAACAACAACATTCGGTGCCTGAGACTCTGAGGAGATGAGTGAGTTCCAAGGTCCCGTGTCTACTTTGTGTCAGAGCCTAACTTGGAGCCCACTTCTGAGTCCCAGGCTCCATCAGCTCACTCCTACTGTCCGTCTCTGAACTCCCCATAAAAACTCAGAAAATACACATTTGCATTCATATCTCAATTCAGAAGTAACTATTGTTCACGATTTTATATATTTAAAATGTTTTGAATTATGCTGTTTATACAAATTTATATTGTGCTATTAAAAGCTACTTACCTAGAAGCATTAAAGTTATTCAGAAATGTACTTTTAGATACTTGCGCAGTCTTCCATTATGTAATCATGCCAAGGTTAGTTTATGTGTTTGACGGATATTCTCTGCTCTTTGCATTGCCCCGTACTTCTGCTTTTTCTGTACCCCATCTTTATATAAGCAGCAGAAGTTTTTCTCGTCCCCAGTACATATCTTTTCCCTCTATTATAGACCAGAATTATTACCATGTAAGTATATACCTTGCAGTCTGAAGGGTCCTGTATAAACCTCAAAGTGATGACCTTTTTTTTCCCTCTGTTTCAAACTCGAGAAAATACTAGAAACTTGTAATACCTCGATTCTCAGAATCTACGATAAACAACAAAGATGATCTTCTCCTGAGGTCTTTCGCTTGAAAATAGCTAAGTCTCCCTTGAATGAAGCCTTCTGCCACCTCTCACTTCACAGGAGTTAGTGCTGTGTAAGATGCAGTCAGCCTAATTCTGTAAAATGAGCTGTGAGTACAAAGTAAACTATTTATTTCCTGTTGTTACGCAGGTATCCATTGCGATAGAAGAGGTTACTCGCTGCCATATAAGGTTTACCTTCCGGCACCGATCGTCTCAGGAATGTAAGTATCAGGAGGTCCACGGCATTTCCATAAGAAACACACTTATTCTCGCTTGCAATGCTTTTCTGGGTCTGGCGAACAAGATACTTGGCATCTTCACTTCAGAACTCATTGGTGGTAAGGAAATCAGAAATATGAATTTTTTTTTTTTTATCCTCACCCGAGGACATTTTTTCCATTTTTTTATTTGTTCAGATAGAGTAGGAGGGAGAGAGAGGAAGAGAGAGAGGGATAAAGAAACATCGATGTGAAAGGGACCATCGAGTGGCCGCCACCTGCACTACCCCAACCAGGGCCGGGGGCAAACCGCAACCAAGGCACATGCCCTTAGCGGGACCTGAACCCAGGTCTCTCTGGACTGCAGGCCAACACTCCAACTGCTGAGCCAAACTGGCCAGGGCAGAAAATATGAATTTTTCTGGCTTCTAAGATCTGTGTTATTCTGTATCAGAATTTCCCCAAAATGTGTTCTGTGAATACTAAATTTTTGTTGTGGTTGTTAATCCTCACCTGAGAACATTTTTCCATCAATTTTTAGATAGACTGGACAGGGGGTGGGGGGTGGGTTTGGAGAGAAAGAAACATCCATGTGAGAGAGACACATTGATTAGTTGCCTCCCACACAACCCTGCATAACCCCAGGGCTGAGGATTGAACTGCAACCAAGGTATGTGCCCTTGACCAGGAATCAACCCGAGACCCTTTGGTCCATGGGTCGACGTTCCCACCACTGAGCCAAATTGGCCAGGGCAACACTAAATTCTTATAAAATACTAATAGGTACTCTGACAGAAAGGCTTTCACAGTCAAACAGGAAATGCTGTATATCTTATCTCCCTCTTAAACATTCACACTGGGCGTGGCCATATTGCTGAAAAGTCCTGCCACAGGAAAACTACTTAATATGAAACTGTTTAATCTGTTGTGTCTCCAAATTACTGTTTTTCTCATTTCAAATCTTAGATTACAGATAATGAAATGGCTGCCCTAAAATGTGAACAGAGAAGAAAATTGATTGTTTTCAGATTGATCACAAAATTTCTGCAAGTGTCTTGTTCTCATTCTGCACTGCATAGAAATGCAATTCTTTATTTCAAACTGAATGTAGTTGACCCATCTACGTACCAGACTGCAGGCCAGGCCCTGGGTACATCACAGTAGCTGCCCTGAAGAGCCTCTGTGGTCTAGTTAGAAAGATGAGCAAGAAAACACGTGCTTAACTTCAGAACAGTGATACGGGCTGCAGCAGCAGCAGAGTTGTAAGGGAGCATGCACACAGCACCTCACTCCATCTGGGGATTCGTGCCCAAGTTTTCCTGCAGCTTAGGTGAGACTTGAAGGTGAGGAGAACTTAGCCCAGCAAAGGGTGAGAGTAGAGAAAAGTGTTTGAAAACCAGAGTGAGCTCAGTAGAGCTGAAGTGGGAGCAAGGAGAGCGATCATACTTTTAGGTTAAATACATGAAATGGCCACTTAGTTGGTCAATATCAAATTGTCAAATATCAGCAATTTCATTTGGCTGTTCCAAAGATGAAGCTAGCATTTACCAAGCCGTCCTTTGTACCATACACACCACCTTGTTTATATCCACCACAATCTGATAAAGTGCATACTACTTTTATTCACATTTATATATAAAGAACCTGTGCACAGAGAGATTAAATACGTGGCCAGGTTCACACTGTTACGAAGTGATAGAGCCTGGACTGACAATCTGCAGTTTGGTTCCAGGCGGGCTAGAGTCAGGTCATGAAAGACGAAGGCTCTTTTGAACCATGTGTGGAGGAGCCATGCAGGGGTGTTTTATGGGTGGTGGGTGGTGGTTTGGTATATGCTTATAACAGCTTTATTCATAATATCCTCATATTGGACATAGCCTAGATGGTCATCGAAAGAAGAATGGATAAACAGATTGTAGTCTAATCATACAGTGTATTACAGCTGAGCCAATTTGGGGACACATGAGTCACAGCAGACCTTAGAGTTGTGCTGGTGGTGAGAACAGGCCACAAGTTACTCCTGCCATCACATCTAAGGGGATACAGTGAGCTCAGACCTAAAGACCAGGAAGGAGGTGCTCTGCTTCCTTGGAAGGCTGGACTCTCCTCCCCAAATGTCACAGAGCACACATACCCACTCTGGTATTTGAGCTAATATCTTGGAAGGAAGGGGAGAGTAGAAACCTCATGAAAGTTTTCGAGCAGAGTTGACCTGATTAGGTTTGATTTTAGAAATCTCACTCTGGCTGTAGTGTAGAGAAAGTGATTGGTGGATACGGACTAGAGACAGAGAGACTGGTGAGGAAGATTTGTAGAAATAGAGGAAAGAGGTGAGGGTGGCCTGAACTTGGGTAGGCACAGAAGGCACAGAGATAAAAGGCACAGGTTCCAGAGCTATTCAATACATGGAGTTGACTTAGAGGCAGAGTCAGTGTCAACCTAGTTCTGATTTAGATCATCGAGGGGTTTCTTGTCTCATTCACTTGTCAACCTAGAGAGAGGTGCATACTTGCAGGTACCAGATGATTTCAGTTTGGGAAATATTTCCTTTAAGAAGCCTGTGACATACACAGTATGGATGACTTACTGCAACTTGCTGAGCTGTGCATGGTTGAACATCATATCCCAGAGCAAAATATGGAATCAGACATCACAGCCATCGCTTTCTTATATCTTTCTGCACTGCTCAGACATGTTATTTCTGTCTTTTCAGCCAGAGATAAATCGGAGCGAGCATTTGGGGTGGCCTTTGTGAAACTGATGAACCCAGATGGCACCACACTGCAGGATGGGAGGCATGACCTGGTGGTTTATAAGGTGGTGCTGACAGAATGAGGTTCAGAAACTTGCTGAGGAAATATTGACTCCTGAAATTGGTTCTGAAATTTTCTTTCTGATTTGTGTGTATAAACATCAAAAACTTCTCTAGAGCTACACTTCTCTAGAGCTCTAGACTTGCTCCTTTAAGTCTAGAAATCCAGAGGGCTATGGCCCTCTGGCTGCCTGGTCTCCCATCCCCTCTCTGGAAAGAGTGAGTTGCATTGTTAGTCTCCCTCTCCTGCAAACTGCATTCTGGGGCTGCCTCTTGCCTTCTCTTCTCTGCATCACTCGGCATGGAGTGCAGACAGCTGCACTGTTGGGCTTGGTTAGAGTGTGGAGGGTGTGGTAGAATGTGGTTTTCATATCAGTGTGAGCCAGGCACCATTTCTTTGCTATAGGACCTTCTTTCCTACCCTGACAGTTTTGTCCTCCAACTGCTATACAGCTATCGCATCTACTGAGATTTTAGAGTAGAAAGTAGATGCTGGAAGAAATCATTCATCCAACAGTATCATAGAGTTGGCAGCTTTTTTGAGATGTATCTATGTGATCTGTATTTTCCTTAATAGCTATTATTAGTTCATAAACAGTTTTGGAAGGCATGGCAAGCTATTTCATCCTAATGACCCCAGGCAACCCAGTGACATACAACTGACCATATGGAGGTTCACAAAAATGAAATCCAAGCTTATTCTTTTTTATTTATTTATTCATTTATTTACTTATTATTTTCTTTATTGATTTTAGAGAGAGGGAGATGAGAGATTAATACATCCATGAGAAAGAACATCATTTGGCTGCCTCCTGCATGCCCCTCACTGGGGATCGGGCCCCACAACCTGGGCATGTGTCCCGACCGGGAATCTAACTGGCGACCCCTTGGTGCATGGGTCAGTGCTCAACCACTGAGCCACACCAGCCGGGCTCATATTTATTTATTTATAGCAAAGACCTAGGCTCTTCTTAGTCTAGCTCACAACTTACTTCATTTTTATTCAGCTTTGGTATTATTTCTGGGTTCTAACTCTGGGAAGGTACCATAGTATCTCAGAGCTGGAAGGGATCGAGGTTTAATTTGATGAAATCTCATTTCTTATGCTGGAAATGCACTGTTTTCATTGGTATGTAAAAGGCTTTGCCCATCATTATGTATTCCTGATATGCTGCCTTTTCAGGGAGATAACAAGAAAATGGAAGACGCTAAGTTCTACCTGACCCTACCTGGAACCAAGGTAGAGATGGAAGAAAAAGAGCTCCAAGCATCCAAAACCCTGACCAACTTTACCCCAGCCAAGGAGAGCACAAAAGATAGTTTTCAGATTGCCACCCTCATTTGCTCCACAAAGCTTACCCAGAACGGTAGGTGGTGACCACAGTGACACCAGAATGAGTTTTCTGCTTAGTCTTCCTGGGATCAGAACTTATGGGGCCACAGCTTCTGAAGTGGGGTGCTGAGCACTTTGGCTTCTGCTCCTGCTCTTCATGTGATCTGGGACTACCAGATGTCCTGATCAAATCAGGATAAAAGGCATTGGGGCATTTTTTAATATTGTCAAACCTATAAATGTATTAACAGACCCACTAGGTTTCTTTTCTGGATTTTTTTTTTTATCCTCACCCGAGGACGATTTTCCATTTTTTGTTCAGATAGAGTGGGAGAGAGAGAGAGGAAGAGAGAGAGAGAGAAACATCGATGTGAAAGGGACACATCGAGTGGCTGCCACCCGCATGACCAACCAGGGCCGGGGACAAACTGCAACCGAGGTACGTGCCCTTAGTGGGAACCGAACCTGGGTCTCTCTGGACCACAGGCCGATGCTCTAACCGCTGAGCCAAACCGGCCAGGGCACTTTTCTGGATTTGTATGACTGTATTTAGTAAATGAAGATTGAGCATGTGGAAGAGTCATGGTAGTACTGGCCTCTATTATAGCAGCTTTTCAGCTTTGGTATACAAGTCTGTTGACAGTTATCATAAATTGGCATTTATTATACTACAAATACTTTATAACCAATTTAATCATTTGCCATTTTGCAGCTTATGCAATGAAATGAACACATCCTATGGAGTGGGGAGCACTTTAAATTATGAACTCTATTCAAATAATGGCTTAAAATGGGGTCCTATTCTGGACAAAGGACATTAAGAATTTCATTTATGTAAAATTGGAAAGTCTTATGTTTTTTTCCTTCAAGGCAGCAAAGAACTCTGATAATGTGTGCTGTATAATATATGTAACAAGAGATGTTGCTAATAAGGGGGAGGACATTGGCAGAGAAATATAATCAGTCTCCTACCCATAGGTATGAGCAAGAGCAGGGAGGGTTTCCTATTAGAGTTTTGTTTATCCCCCACGCAGTCAGTCTCCTCTTTCTCATTTTTTTTCATACTGTCAGGGATTTTTTCATAAAATCTGCTGAATAGTTAAAATGGGCTTCATTTCGTTTCTTCTTGAAATCTCTAATATCTTTTTAATCTCTCTGGTATATATCATGGCATTTGATGGCCAATAATAGCTTTTTGTTTATTTAACTTATGTAATGTGTAAGGAGTCCTACTGAACCTAGTAAGCCAGGAATTAGTTGCTCAAGGGACTTGCCTTAGAAATTCTATCGCCCCTGTGCTATGTCTCAAATTAGTTCTCTTTGGTCTCTTAGAAGATTTGGGTGAGGTACTTGGCAAGGGCTCTGCCTTAGGGAAGTACTAAGACAAAACAGTTGAGATATAAGGTACAGTCAAGGATCAGATGTTGTTATCTTTAGAAGGAGTTGATATTATTTTGATGAATCATAGTTGGCTAGAGAACAAGGATAGTATTTCAACTTGGACAAGTGTCTAGACTCAGAAGAATGAAGTTCAAAGCTGATACATGTCGGAGGGTAAAAGCACACTCACCAAAAATTAAGCCAGAAAAAAAGGCAAAACTGGGGACAAGATCTATGGTTGCAAAGAACTCTGGGGGAGGGAGGGATGAATAGGTAGAGCACAGGGGATTTTAATGCAGTATAACTATAGTGTATGATACTATAATGGATACATGTCATTATAGGTTTGTCAAGACCACAGAATGTGCTATACAGAGTGAACCCTAACAAATGATGGGTGTTAGTTAATAAACTATATTAATTGTGACAAAGGTACCACACTAATGTAAGATGTTAATGGGAAACTGGGGAACAATGAAGGGATATGTGGCAATTCTCTGTACTTTTCTGTGAACCTCAAACTGCTCAGAAAAAATCCTCTTGATTAAGAATAAAACAAAAATAAAAATTTAAACCAGAAAGCTTTCTGAGCACAGAAGACATGACAAACTTGTATCAATGACATAATCCTTATTAGGTAAAAGTAAATATAATAAACTGCTGATACAAGGTGAAATGTTACAATATTTATGGAAGATGATTTAGAAGGTATATCAAAGATTTAAAATATATTTAGACCCTTTGACCCAGTAATTTGACCCCTAGAAATGGAACCCAAATAAACAATGAGAGGTATGCACAGGGGTTAACATGTAAAGGTGTTTCCCTGTTATTCACAATAAATGTGCAACACTTGGGATCAGTTTAAATTATGTAGTGGAATAAGATGACAAAATGCATGCAGCTACCAAATATGTTTCTAAACATAATCACAAATGTGAAAACTTTTTAACACTACATAGAGTATAATCTCAGTTTTGTTTTAATATATGAGGACAATTTGGAGCCAGTGATTCAAATCCCAGCCCTGCCTTTTTCCAGCTGTTTCATCTTAGGCAAGTTACTTGATCTCTCTGTGACTTGGTTTCCTCTTCTTTAAAATGGGAGTAATAATAGTATATATTTCAAAGAATGATGTAAATTAAAATAAATAAAAGCAAAGCAATAGTGTCTAGCCCCTTATAAACACTATATGAGTATTAACTGTTACTATTACTATCATCATTATTTTATGTATACAGAAAAAGACAAAGGAATAACTAAATGTTTGGATAGTTCTTATTTTCTTTGTTCCCTTTGGCATTTTCCAAATTTTAAACTATGACATTTCAAAATGTTATTTTATTTTTTTGTTCTTGTTGTTAATCCTCACCTCACCAGAGGATATTTTTCTGTTGATTTTATTTATTTATTCATTCATTTATTCATTCATTCATTTATTCATTTGATAGAGTAAAAGGGAGAGAGGGAAGAGAGAAGCATCGATGTGAGAGACACATCAATTGGTTGCCTCCCAAATGACCCCAACTGGGGCTGAGGATCGAATCTGCAACCCAGGTATGACCGGAAATTGAACCCAGGACCCCTCAGTCTGAGAGCTGATGCTCTAACCCCTGAGCAAAACTGTCCAGGGCTCAAAATGTTACTGTTTAAAATGTAGTAGCAGACTACATAAAGCATTAATATACTTTGGGGACTATCAAGGGATACTCAAGAGAAATAGCATTTATAAAACATCGGATTATCCTTCCCAGGACTAGAGTTCGAAGAAAATAAGTAATGAAAGCTTGAAAATTAACTCCTATTGCAAAGCAAAAGGAGTTTCTGTTAGAGATAACCATGTTGTTAATGTAGATTATTATCTCCCTGTCAACGATTTAGGGAGCAGTGCTCAGCTTAAACACTTGCCCTCTGGTTTCTCACAACCCCCTTCTGCTAACCCCGTGCTGCTGGCTGTCGCGGCCCCCAGCCACCTGTGGCTTGTGAAACTTCAATCAAGTGAAGTGAAGTGAGGTTATGAATTCAGTTCCTTAGTTTCACTCGTCTAATTTTGAGGGCTCAGGAGTTTCCCGTGGCTGGCAATTCGTGTTGGGCAGCACAGATAGGCAGAGTTTCCACCATCACGGGAGGTCCATCAGGCGGAACTGTACTCTTTCCTGTGTTGGCATCTCATTCCTGTGTTCAGACCTAAAAAGAAACGCATCCTATCAAAAAAAAATCTTAAATAATATCCTCTCCCAAAGAAAGTTTAAGGAGGCAAACTGATCTAAACCAGAAAGAAGTGACCAACCTCCGTCAGCGTGAATGGGAAGGGGACAGATATGGGAAAGACGAGCATCTGGGAAAGCAGGGCATTCAGAGGAGCAGATAATAACTGGGGGTTGTCAATTATTCTCTAGTTAGATGTAGAAGATAAAGAACCAGTGTAACATCCTGAGAAAGAAGAAGCTGGAAAGTAATAAGCCGTCGATCTCAGGGCATTCCCTGATCCAGAGGATAACCATTCTTTCACACAGAGACCTTGACCAAAGACATGTCTTCTTAGCCTTAGAAGGACAGTTCTGACTCAGAAGGTTAAAAGCCACTGGCCCTTCTACAGACAGAGCTTATACAGTCTTTATTCATTTTTTCAAAATAACAAAAGAATGTTTTACATGGAATTATTTGTCGCTGGCCCCAGATGAAGGGTGAGGATAGATTTGTTGTTCAGGAAAGGGAGAAGGGAGTTCAAGTTCCTGTAGGTGTGGGGCCCTGTGCCAAGTCATTCCCAGTCATCCAAACCCTAGCACATGAAGACACCAGTATTACCATTAGTAATGCAGTTTACTGATCAGATAATCGGATTAAAGAGCTAAAATATTTTGCCTGAGATCATTAGTGGTAGTGGTCTTGGGTCTGAAAATAAGTATATAACTTCAAAGTGTATGGTTTTTGTATGGCTTTCTCTTTCTTTTCTTTATTAAATGATATGGTTTCTGATCCTCTCCTAAAGATATCCACTATCCTAAATTTGGGGATTTAGAGTATCCTGATTTCTTACATTCTTCTCTTGGGGATAGAAATTGGGACACTTTGGATAACATCTTACAATATCTAGTACACTTGAAATGGTCATTCCTGATGATCCAGAAATTCCACTTTAGTTGTATGTCTCAGAGAAGCTGCTGCACCTGGATACCCGAAGACCTATGAGAATGTTCATAGCAGCATTGTTTGTGATAGCAAAAAATTAGAAATGACCCAAATGTTTATTGACAGAATGAATAAGCAATTATGGAACATGTATACAAGGATATAACATATTTTGCAGCAATGAAAATTAGCTAGAGCCATATGCATCAACCTGTATGGATTACAGAAACACAGTCCAGGACTGTCTCCATAACTCTGTGCCACCGCTTTTCTAGCCCCAAGACCTGTGATTCACCAGATGCCAAATGTATTCCTAATATTAGCAGTGATGTGGCATGCAAATATCTTTAGGGAGTACACTTCTGGGCTGATTGATAGGTTCCTTGCAAATGCTTGAAACTGCTGGGTGACTAGATTACCTAAATCCTTTTTCTCAGGCAGCAATGAGTGAAGTGAGTATAGATGGAGTGGTACCATTGACTAGCCTGTGACAGAAGTAGAGATGGGAAGATGGAAGTGGACAGTGCCTAGTGGACAGGCCTAGCACAATGCCTATTTTTAAGTACTGAATGAATGAAAGAATTGATGAACTGTATCGAGCACATGACCAGCTTCCTCAGGACTACCAGTTTTCTTTTCATCTATTCATTCATCTGTTCTTTTTCTTGAAAGTATTACAGATGCCCCCCTTTTTTTCCCCATTGACCCTCTCCTTCCTGCTCCCCCCACCCTGCTTTCCCCAGCCTAATGTCTGTGTTGATTGGTTGTACATATTTGCATGTAAGTTCTTTGGTTCTTTCATCAAACATATATTGAACACCTACTGGGTACATAGCAGCATGATAGAGAATAAGAATGAAAGCAGTATGATTCCTGCCCTCCAGTGGCTCATATCTACGGGAAGAGCAAATGAGATACCAAATGTGTCTTTATTATTTGTTATTATATGTATATGTATATGTATATGTATATGTATATGTATATGTATATGTATATGTATATGTATATGTATATGTATATGTATATGTAGAAAGGAATGCCCACAGCAGAGAATGATGGGGAAGTTCTTCCCAGAGGGAATAAAGTTTGAGATGGGTCATGAAATTTAAGTAGGGGGCTTACAAATACATAGTATTTGGGTGCATTTCAGATAAAGAAAATAATGTATGCAAAGACATGGAGCTATTTCAGAGCGTACCAAGTGGGAGGGACAGTGAATTGATCTGTCTGCTGAAGGATAAAGAGAGAATGGTGGGCAATGTGGCTGGCAGGAGGGCCATAGGTGAGGCCTTACTGCCTTCTGTGAGTAGTACTGGGACTTGATTCTGTTGACAGTGGGGAGTCTCTAGGCACTGGGGTTTGGAGACTTCAAAGGGACTAAACAATATGCAAGGCAATAAAACAAATACTTGTGAAGCAAACTGACTTGTTCTAATGAATAGTATGTGTTTTCAACTACTTATATATGTATATTTATATAAGTCCATTGATTGAAAAGTATGTAGTGCTGCTTTTATTACATTAAGCTCTGTTAATAGTAATGGTAACTTGATGTACTGAACAAAATGATGACATGGTAACAGTCCAGATGCCGGCCGTATTTCCATGTGACACTTTAGTAGCTCAACCTTCATTAAAGCTGTAAGTGGCTTACAGATTCAAAAGTCTACATTTTAAATGCAAAGTCATCCCAAGAATTTTGTCCCAGACTTACCATAAGGGCCATGAATCTGTTCTCCCTACCCTTGAAATAGCAATGTATCTGGTTTGCTTGTCTGTTTCTTTGCAGAACTCAGGGGAGGCAGTATATCAGAGTAGCAGTGACATGGTTTTTTTGAATCAGATGAATCTATAATTAAATTCCAGTCCTACCACTTCCTGGCAGTTGTATGACCTTCAGTTTCACAAAGCTTGTCGCCTCATCTCAAAGACGGAAAAATTAAATCTCCACAGTATGGGTGTGGTGTTTAAATGAATTAATGCATGCATATAAGTTCCCTTTTCTCTTTGAATCCACTGAGACACACACAGTGACAAGGGAGAGATTAAGCAGTACAGCAAATTAGAGGTAGGAAGGTTACTTAAAAATATAAATAAAGAAATACTTTTTTTTAAAAGAGTGTTTTAGGCATCAACTATGTGGCTGTGATGTCATTATTTGCAAAATGTGAGTTCCGTTCAGGTATCGTTTCATATTCATGAATGTTAGTGGTTTAATTCTTTTTTTGTCTTTGAGAACTGAAGGAAGACCATGGGCTTTTCTCTTATTCAGACAGGACACAGTAAATTAATAGAGTGCATAAGGCATTGGCCACCATTAAGAGCAGTTGTCTTTTCTAGAGAGTTCTATAGCTGTGTCCTGAAATGATCTGGGCTGCTCTTTGTAATCGGTGTCTAATGTTTATGGTTTGTGGTCATTTCTCCTAGTTGACTTGTTAGGCTTGTTAAATTGGCGTTCGAACTTCCAGAACATTAAACACAACTTAAAGAAGTTAATGGAGGTGGATGGAGGAGAGATTGTTAAGGTATGTTTGTGTATTCACACTTAGAAATATACCCATTGTATCATTACTTCAACATTTTATATTAAACCTGTTATTGTAGATATGAAACTTGTTATATACATTGCAAAGCAAGTGTGTGATTTGTAAGAAAATGCTATTTTTAAACCTATGCTATTGAAACCTAATTATCCCCAACTTTCTGCAGTATGGAGCTGAACCGAAAGCACCAACTAACCTCTCTGTTCTTCTTTCTTCAGTTTTTGCAAGATACACTAGATGCACTTTTTAACATAATGATGGAAATGTCAGACAATGAAACATATGACTTTCTTGTGTTTGATGCACTGGTAAGCAGTTAAACATATTAACTAGTGTTAACTCTCTGAACTGTTAATTTTTGTTATTTCACTATTATAAATAGTTGTGATGAATAGTCTCCTGTATAAATATTTGTATACTTCTGTCTTGACTGTTTCTTGAGGCTAAATTTCTGGAAATAAAATTAGAAACATTTGATTTATATTCAGAGCCTTTCTTTTTTCTATTTCCTATTAGATCTCGATTTTGACGTGCTTTCCCTTTCTCAAGAGAGAAAGCAAGGTTGTATTACATTAGAAATCACGAATCACTTTAAATCACTTTAATGTTATCTAGTCCTAAACCAGGAGAAACCACTAACAGAGATGCTTGTGGCTTGTAGCATGTGTGTGTATGTGTGTTCACACAAGGAACACTGACTTCACAAGTCAGAGATGAATCTTAGTCACATACACGTATCATGCACAGCCCTGCAGACAATTACATTTGTCACACAAAGTACTCAAACACACAGTCCATTCCAGGAACTGAAATCTAGACCCGGGGGGCAGGGGGAGGGTGATCTGGGAAGGCCAGAAAAGGCAGTGGAGTGGACAAGGCTGACACATCCAAGCCAGGCATTATTTTCTCATTGTCAGGGTTTAGTTCAGTGCTGAATTTTACGTGAATGTTGCAGCTAAAGGAAGATAAATTACAGCTTTAGGTCATTCACCAGCTTGGAGAAACTAGTGAATTCAAGCAGTGCTCAAGGTGTAAGATAAAGGCGGGAAATGCCTTCAGCTGAGGTCATACCTGGTCAGGGTTGCAGGAAAAAGAGACTGTGGTTCTGAGCTCTGTGCCCTGGGGTCTGGAGACACATTCCTGCGGGACAGCAGAGGGCAGCGGGCAGACGTGGAAGTCTCTGGTGGTCCTTCTTTTACATTATTCTGACATGAGTAGGTGCAAAGAGGTTATTTGCAGATTATGCACCTGATTGCAGTAGGAGGGCAAAATTGGGAGGCAAAAATCTAGAAGCTCAGTTTTGGGGGGCGCTCACACTGCACTCAGGAGAAGAATGTCATGGAGTATTTCATTAGCTACACCCTTGGGTCAGAGTTTATTCTTCCCACAGGAAACCTCTATCCATATCCTCCCGCTCCCATCCCACTATCTTCCCTGGCGTATGTCACTTGTGCACTGTACTCCTTCTGAGACAGTAAGCTCCCTGAGGCCAGGATGCCTTCATTGGTTTCCTCACAGCATCTAGCTCAGTGCCTGACAGATACTCGTCTTTCTGTTAACTTTAAATAAAAAGGAACCCCAAGACTTGACTTTGGCTGGAGTAGTAGTAAGGATGCTACAAATGTGGTTAAGAAAGAAACGACAGCAACCCAGTGTTAAATTCAGTTTGGTGACAGTGCCTCGGGCTTGTACAGTGCTACTATTTATGTGTTTCACCTTCGGCAGGTGTTTATTATTTCACTGATAGGAGACATCAAGTTCCAGCATTTTAATCCTGTCCTGGAAACCTACATCTACAAGCACTTCAGTGCCACTTTGGCATATGTGTAAGTATGATTCAAGGGAGCTACCTGTCATTGGGTTATTGAGTTTTCACTCTTAGGACTGGTTGTTGAGAAACAAGAGGGCCATAGGCTAAGTAAACGTAGCTCCACGGCAGATACTCGTTCCCAGGCTTCCTGGTGGAAAGAGAAGTCATCTAAGTATTCCAACCCTGGCAAACATGAAGTTCAGGCTCTTCCTTCTGGGAAAGGACAGAAAAGTTAAGACTATATATCTTTGAGAATGCAGAATATATAGGTGAGAGGAGTTGAAGCCATCAGGAGCATAAGCCAGGACAGGTGACCAAACCCAAGACCTTTGGAATCGGGTGGTAGTGAGATTAGCCTGAGGCCCCAGGGGGATCATCAGTGGATCATGCAAAACCATGTCTAATAGAACAGCAAGTCAGATTCTCAACCCTACACCACAGTGCTGTGTAGAATTATTATTTATAAGATATGAGATTTCATTTTTCCTTCTTTTGCATAAGAGGGAATGGTCTCTCCCTCTTCCATAGGGTCGCCTTCCTTCTGTCTTTGGTTTGTGAGTCCTGACTGAGGAGAGCAATGCATGCTCACTCTGTCCTTCTCCCCGGAGGGCTCACTTTATCATGTGTTCTGTGTGGCCTGTCACCCAATTACTGTGCAAAGCAATGCGATAAATAATGACAGGAATATAGTAGAGATTGGCAAAACTTTTTTCTGACAGTGGCTTTTGCCAGATCATGCCAGTTGCTACTACTGATCTAGCAGGGTGGCTGCTGGCCTGATCTTTAGGTCAGATCATTCATCCCTTATGTCCTTTTCTGGATTCTCTAAGAAAGTTCTTGGTTTTATTTGCATGAAATCATGTCCAGGAATGTAATAAAACATAAGTGGCATAGAAGAGGTGTCCTGTAGCATGGTCACTAGCTAACACAATGGCTGTAATGCCCACTGGGTTGGGGAAAGCAGCGGATACACCAGTAATGGGTGTTTTCACCCAGTGGCTTTACCTTTCAAGAGGGCAGTAGCCACAGGTGATGAAATCCTGTCATGGGGTCCTCATTACACAGAGCCAGATGCAGCACTCCAGGTGAGAGTAATCTGGATTTGGTCACTTCTTCGTTTTCCCTGTACATTTTCTCTTGGAGAACTTGAAGATTCCCCAGAGGAAAGTTCACAATATTGGTGTCCTCAAAAATGTGGAGTAGCAGAAGATTAAGGCAATGCCTCGTCTGAAGACTAGAAAGACAAAAAGAGCAGTCTGCAGTCTCAGAACAGGGCCGACTGTTGGGAACTAGGAACCATGGGTGTTCTCCTCTTCCCACACTCATGGTGTTTCCATCTGGCTTCGTATTTATGGATTCCGACAGGTTCGGGTAGATTGGAGGCAGTTTTAGACATCTTTTAAGGTGACTACCTCAGACAGGAAATCTCTCCCTTACAAGGAACATCTAAAAATTTGTGTATAACATACCAGAGACTAAAATATCTTCAGGATTTGAATCTCTAACTCTTTCATTTCTTAATCCTGTTTTAAAATCCTACAAAGGGAAAGAAACCGTCTAGTTTCTAAGCAGACGGGAAGCTCCGAATGTAAACTGCAGTGAGGAAACTAAACTGCAAAGCAGTTGAATTCCCTGTTCACGACAGTCGAGAAAAGATCATGATCGTTGTGACCTCCGTTTCCCCAGTGTGCCCATATTCCTCCCTGTGTGCTTGGTGTGCCCCAAGCCTCTGAGTCCCACTTTGCTCCATTGACATTGTTTTCTTTCTCACCCTTTTAAGGAAACTCTCCAAGGTACTGAACTTTTATGTGGCTAATGCAGATGACTCCAGCAAGACAGAACTGCTTTTTGCTGCTTTGAAAGCCTTAAAGTACTTATTTAGATTCATCATCCAATCTAGAGTCCTCTACTTGAGGTAATGGTCACTGTGACAAGATATTGATGCTATCCATTCGCTCTTCATATAGCTTTCCTCAATCCGCACGCTCAGGCTCAGCTCTCTGAGCTCTGGATCATGGAGGTGCCAAATTTCAGAACTTCAGGGCTGAAGATGGAAGTGGACTGTGAAGCAATTAGAGCAGGCCCATGTGAAGTCCTTTTGGATCAGCAGAATTTCCAGGGCAGCAATGACAGAAGGACTTAGGGATATAGGTGGCTAAAATGTGCAGTTTGCTCTTAGACTTTGTTGGTGAAAGCAGCTCTAGGGAGGCAGGTTCCTGTGGAGAGAGTATATTTAATACAGCAAGGGGCTTTATGACAGTATTGGGTGTGCAAATCTGGGGCCATGAGCTGTTATTGGCAGTAGAGGGAGAGTGGTAGCAGTATTTGGGGCAATGTTCCCTGAGGCCAACACCATGCTTACCTACCTGATAAAACTAAGCCACAGAGATAGGATAATTCTCAGTTTGGATTCCTAGAATAGCAGCTTCTTCAAAAAGAGAAGAAATCAAGAAAGAGGAAGTATTCTTTCTGGGAATGCTCACAACTTCAGTGCCATCCTTACTCTCCACTTAGAATAGCTTCCAAACTATTTTAATAGTTTCCAAACTATTAAAATATATTTATAAGGCAGAAGGAAAAGGTTTGTAGATTTGAATATGTATTTTTAAAATGTGTATATTTAGAACTATAAACAAAGACAAGCAAGTTACCTGCATAAAAACCTTGTAACATATAGTACAGATCAGAGGTGAATAGCTTTACTGATTAAAGGCTCTTATAAGTCAAGAAATAAATGACAAATATCTTTAAACAATAAAAAAACTAAAATATAATTTACAAAAGAAAAATTTAAGTGGTTGATTAAATTTTTAAAAATGTATACTCACTATCAAAATGTAATACACCCTATCTTTACCTATACATTTGATAAAGATTCAAATAGGAATATAAATTCTTAAGGGAAGAAATTTGTCACTATGTCTAAATCACCAAAAAAGAAAGGAAGAAAGAAAATGTCACATTTGTTCAATAATACTTATTGATACGGAAGAACCAAATTTTCAGTCAATGGACAAATCTTGAAGAATGCTTTAATCAAACAAGCACGAATTAGTGAAGACTGAAGTGTCCTGTGTCCTGGGAAGGCTCCTCTTGGAGAGCAGGTCATCGCCAGCATGGCCAGTTTAGTAGATAGAGGGCCACTAACTGGATGGGCAGACTGGGTCAGGTTCCGAACATTTCTGGGGTGAGGAGCTTTTCTGCCCATTATCTGAAACTTCAACTCAAATGATTAGGACTTGATTAGATGAGACGAAATGATAAGAGTGACATAGAAAAGGAGGATGAGGGAGGATGGATGGAGTGACGCTGAAGAAGAGAACATGGCAGGTGTGCAATGTCAGAGAAGTTAGCTGGGGGCGCCCTAGGTTATTGGACATTCTGCTAATAGGCTGAGGAAGGCAGGCAAGCATGCTGGTATCATCTGCTACTTCAGGCAGAGACGTTTCCTGTTGTTCTCTCTCCATGCTGGAAATGCCCAGAGACCACTGACATGGAGGATATTGACAAGGTGGTCTTCAGACAGCATGAGGGAATCCCTCCTGACTGGCTGACCATAGTGGGCAATTGGAGAGCTCTATGCTAGAATGGGACATACAGATTACTACCCTGATGGTAATATAAGGTGGTAATATCTTGTCAGCCTACTGGGCTTCTTCCTGAAACTATCTCAGAGCAGCCTGTGACTTCTCTTTGTACAATTCAAAGTGGTGACCAGGGAGGCATGGGCCTCCAGCATTGTTTAGGTAAAATATATATATGAACATTTCTTTTAAGGGTGGAAAATCTGACTGATTTTCTCTTTTCCCTATTAAGATTTTATGGCCAAAGTGAAGATGGAGATGAATTTAATAATTCAATCCGCCAGTTATTTCTTTCTTTCAATACACTAATGGACAGGCCCCTGGAGGAAGCTATCAAGATCAAGGTCAGAATGGCTTTGTGGGGAACTGCTGATGCTGTCATTGAGGATGTCCTTGGACAGCATTGAACTAATTTTGGTGGGAGACAAAGTAAATCAGCATTCATAGAAACTTTGTGGATTTTAGTATGACTTACAGAAAGTACAGGGGGAAACCTTGTTTTACGTTTATTGTACTTTTGTATTCTCAAGTGTCAGTTTGCCAAAAATAAGCTACCCTTTTAGACATCCCTTGGACAGCTTGTGTGGTCCTGTGAATTCAGCCCATTGATTCTGATGGTATAGGCAACAGGTTTTTATTCTTCAAAGTCACCATCATTTTCATCATTCCCAGGGTTTTTTTGTTGTTGTTTTGTGGTGTTTTTTTTTTGTTTGTTTGTTTTTCATTTTTTGTTCAGATAGAGTGGGAGGGAGAGAGAGGAAGAGAGAGAGAGAAACATCGGTGTGAAAGGGGCACATCGAGTGGCTGCCTCCCGCATGACCAACCAGGGCTGAGGACAAACTGCAACCGAGGTACATGCCCTCAGCAGGAACTGAATCCGGCTCTCTCTGGACTGCAGGCCGACACTCTAACCGCTGAGCCAAACCGGCCAGGGCTATTTATTCTTTACTCTTGATGACAGTGTTGCGGGGGAGAAGTCAAGATTTTAACTACCTCCTTGGATAGAAAAATGAATCCCAAATGGGCAGGGCCTGTTGGTAGTGAAGACAGAAAGCTGTGCCTCCTGACTTTTCAGGAAAAAGGTTTTAGGAGATTGTGTATTACATCAGCTTTCCTCTTCATTGCAAGAACATCTGTGCCCAGTTCCCTGTTTAAGAACCAAGCCTTTTATTTTTTTTTAATACTCACCCAAGGATATTTTTCCATTTTTGTTCAGATAGAGTGAGAGGGAAAAAGAGGGAGAGAGAGAAAAACACTGATGTGAGAGGGACACATCAACTGGTTGCCTCCCGCATGACCCCAACCAGGGCTGGGGACAAACCAAAACCAAGGTACATGCCCTTGACCAGAATCAAACCCACGACTCATTGGTCTGCAGGCTGACATTCTAACCACTGAGCCAAAGCAGCCAGGGTGAAGACCCAAGCATTTTCTTCCTGGGATCAAGTAGTAAATTCCATATTTGTCCTGCTTGACAACTATATCTGCCTTTGGTGTTTTTCTTACAGGGTGCAGCTCTGAAATACCTTCCTAGCATAATTAATGATGTCAAACTTGTGTTTGATCCTGTTGAGCTCAGGTAAATAATGGCAAACATTTGTTTCTTTTTTATTTTGAGAGAGAGAGGGAGGGAGAGGGAGAGATGGAAACATCGATGAGAGAGAACATTAATCCTGCTTGCCCCCCACTGAGGATTAGGCCCACAAGCTGTGTATGTGCCCTGACTGGGAATCAAACCAGCAACCTCTTGGTGCATGGGTCGATGCTCAACCACTGAGCCACACCGCCTGGGCTTGTTTCTTGACTTTAACAGAAAAGCAGCCCCCTTGCTTGTCTGGGACCTGGGCTGCTACATACGCTGTTATTCTTCTAACACATATTAACTGAACACCATTTTGTGCTCTGTTTTGAGAGGGTACAGAAGACAACACAAAACCTGCTTCTGAAGAGGTTTGCACTGTCTCAGGAAATAGCGCACACAGCCTTCAAATTAACTACAGAATAATGTACATAATAATATTCTTCCAGCCCTCTACCTGAGTAGCCCAGGAATGCAAAGTCAGGTGGTGATTGACACTAGGATGGAGTTAGCAGAAAAGGATTCTGCAGCAGTTGAGTGTTAAGGCAAGTCTAGAAAGTAGTTATGGGCCTGGGTGTACTTTGGGAGTTTAAGCAGAGTCAGCTCGAAGGCTGAACCCTAGAGTAAGCAAGGAGTACAGCCTCTCTTTTGCTTCCTTGAGATAGACTCTCAGGTCATTTGGGAGAGATTTCCAGGTAAACCTCTCTATGCCCTAATCTCAGAAAAGTATGATGACACCTTGAACTTGACATAATGAAAACATTGACTATTAGGGCTTTTCTTCCAGTGTGCTCCTCTGCAAGTTCATTCAAAGCATTCCTGACAACCAGTTAGTTCACCAGAAGCTTAACTGCATGACCAAGATAGTAGAGAGTAATCTTTTTCGGCAGTCAGGTAAGTCTCCACAAAAACAGCTATGTACTGAAATTCTAGTCTTGTTCTCCAGCCAAAACTGGCCCCTTTTTAATGTCATTAATGCCCTTGCCAGTTGTTTGCTGGCACTTAAGAACCTCCTGGGAAACCAGATTTAAGGAAAAGGTGAAGTCAGTTCAGTATTTCCATTAGTTCCTAAAAGAGCAAAATCATGCACTCCTTAATTAGGACAGTCAAGTGTTTCATTAATTAGAGAGCTTTGTCTGCAAAGTAGGAACCCCAGAAAGTAACAAGCAAGCAGGAAAGATGGTCCTTTTAAATAAATGCTTCTTCTTTGACCCATACTTAGTATATCCTCAAAAACCAGGGGCAAGGGTCAGCAGTGTAGTGTGTTCTGGGTACCACTGGTCCACACAGCTGATTATGTGCATCTGTTCTCAACTCCATGCTCAGTCATGTCACTTGAGTAGCTGAAACTTAACCACGGTGGAAGTATTTGCACCATGGAAATTGGCAAACACTATAAGTCAAAGGTGTTATTTGTGTGTGTGGGGGTGTGGGGGGGGTGTGGATATTACTAGCCAACTGCTGGCAGGATAGGAGGGGTAGAAAACACCTTAACTGATGAAATATTTTGTAGAGTCAAGTAGGTAGCTATTACATCTAAATCACTGTGCTCCTGTCCCAGGGCTGATGGGGCAGAGGTCATTAATACCTGGTCTTTACCCCCAGTAAACTCAAAACTGGCTAGAGTGGGCAGCTGTGGGAAGTTCTTTTGCATCTTCCACCAGGTCAGGATGTCCTCAGGGTGACCTGATGTTATTTGTACTGCCTGGGGGGGGGTGTGGGAGGACCAGGAGGACTCCTCAAAAGAGGAAAGTTGAGTGAGTCATGGTGGGAGAAGCCTCTTGGCCTTGTCCATGCCTAACTATGTAACTTTGCTCTAAGTCTCAACCTCTGTTTCTATGAAAGGAAGGACTTGAACTAGAAGCTTTTTTGATATTTTGTGACCCTATGAATGCTTGCTTAGAGATTTTACCAGTTGCAAAGACACAGTTGGAAGTGGTACAAAAGTTAGCAAATGCTCCAAAGAAGAACATGTAATATTACTACCATCTTAGTGTGCTAGGATAATCTCTGCCTCTAAGGATGGAGCAAGGATAAATGAGCCAATAAAGTGGGTGTTTGTGCACAAGAACAAACATGAACTAATTAGTTCACTTCGAGGAAATCTTCTCTGTTAGCAGTCACTCTGAGAGTGTCCAGAATATCTGGACTCATCAGAGTAAGGTTTTGTAATGGTGAAGATTCCAAAAGGAAGATACAGACTTTGTGAAGTCTACGTACCTGTGAAAACATGGACAGAACGTCTGTGAGACTCACTGAAGTGTACTAGTGAAGCTGTTATTTATAACAATTTTATAGTAAATTTTCTTGATTAGGTGGAAATTTTCAAAACAAAAACCTTTTACATTTTTGTCTACTTTAAAATTTTTCTCAGTTACAGGTTACATTTAATAGTATTTTGTGTTAGTTTCAGGTATACAGCATAGTGTTTAGACAATGATATACTTTAAAAAGAGTTCCCCCTGATATTTCCAGTACCCAGTTGTCACCATATATAGTTATTAGAATGTTATTGACCTTATTCCCTATGCTGTACTTCACATCCCCGTGATTGTTTTGTAACTACCCATCTGTACTCAATCCCTTCACCTTTTTCACCCAGCACACCAATCCCCCTCCTCTCTGGCATACGCCAGTCTATTCTCTGTATCTATGAGTCTTTCTGTCAAAACAATTTTTTAATATGTTTTCATTGATTTTTTTAGAGAGAGAGAAAGGGAGAGGGAGAGAGAGATTGGAACATTGATGAGAGATCAATTGGCTGCCTCCTGCAAGCTTCTACTGGGGATAGAGCCCACAACCCAGGCATGTGCCCTGACCAGGAATTGAACCGGTGACTTTTTGGTCCATGGGTTGATGACCCTTAACCACTGAGCCACACCAGCTAGGCAAAACAATTTTTTTAAACTGTGTAGCTTGCTTAGTTTATTAGTTTCATATAATTTTTAAGTATCAAGTTGGCATTTTTTTTAAGGCTAAAGAAATTGTTAAATACTTAAAAAATTTTGCTACCCTTGCTTATGATAGCTATAATTTTCTTAGTTTTAAAAATCAAGTGACAGGGCTGAAGTCCCATGCCTAAACTTATGTGCTCCTGGAGGGAGTCCAGCCCTGCGGGGTGGAGTCCAGAGTCGGGGGCTATGGGAACAGGTGGTGGGGAATTCAGGAAGGAGGTGGCAGTTCAGGAGGTGACCCTGCAGCTGGTTAGCTGTCTTTATTTCTGTCTCAGAGTGCAGAGACGTGCTCCTGCCACTGCTGATAGACCAGCTCAGCGGCCAGTTAGACGACAACTCCAGCAAGCCTGACCATGAGGCAAGCTCACAGCTTCTGAGCAACATCCTGGACGTGCTGGACAGGAAAGATGTGGTGAGTCGAATTGTCACTGATACAGACCACAGCACACACTGGTCCTGTTGCCTACCACGAGAATGACGCCATGGCCTTCCTGGTGTCAGAGACCCGTGCAGCTGAGAATCTGGGTACTGGGGCCGGCTGCACCCATTTTGGAGATGTTTAGAGAGCCTTCTCCTTGCTAGAGCCTGCTCTGCAAATCTGGGTCCAGGAGAGGTCTGCTTGTTGCTGGGGTCTGGTGCTGCCTGCTTTTCCTGGCTTCTCCATCTTTGAGATCCCTGTGAGCACTTTTTAGAACCAGAACCCTGTTTATACTTTTTTTTTTTTTTAATGCAGAAACCTTGACCTTCTTCTTTGATACCTGACAACACCATTGAAGATACTCCTGAGCTTCTTAGAAATTCTCATTTTACAGTCTCTCTGACACTGATCCTCTAGATCCTAGTGGAAATTATGTGTTTTTCTTATCTGGCCTCATCTCTGTGATCTAGGCACCTGTGCCCCCTGAAAACCTGGGACTGAATTGCTCTGGATTTACCATGTCCTAGGGCTAGAATAGCCCACAGGCCTTGGCGTAGCTCCCACTCAGGAGGCTGGGGAACTTTGCAGAATGTGTTCAGTGGAGCACAAACCATGGTTAACACCTTCCATGATGGCTGCCTGGCCCTAATCTTACAGAGCAGGGAAATCACTGCTGGTTTTGCCTAAGCCCATTCTTCTACCAATATCTTTAGATTCAGTTCTGCTGAAGAATATGAAAAACACTGTCCTTTTTCCTGTAGGTAAATCCTTTGTTCACTGTTAAAGGTCCACCTCAGTTTGGCCTCAGCCACAGAGGCGCAGGAGGACACCACTGCTTTCTGCCTGCCTGTCTCTTCTCTTCGCCGAGCTCCGATAGCCCACCTGACTCTTTGTACTCTATTTGAGATGTATTAACTGTAGATCATCCCCACCCCCCTTTTTTGGCTTAAATGTGTTCTTAGAAACCACATTATAAAATGGAACACATTTACTCCAAGGGATTTTGTGACTGGGGATTTGATTCCTAATCAAGGACTTTGCAACAAGTAAACAAATGCGATCAATCATGTCATAATGACAATAACAGTTTAAAACTATAACTCTTATGACTCAATAATTAAAATACTAAAGTGAAGCTCAGAATCCTACAAAGTTGGCAACAGTGTCTGAGGCACTCTGGTTTAGTCAAGACTACAGTGTTCTAAAAGCATATATGTATATGATCCTAAATTGATCTGAAACACAGGGATCAGGCAGTATTGGATTTCTAGTCCCAATATGACCACTCTTTAGCTCTTTCCTTAGGCAAATCTCATGGTGCCACACTCTGCCTTTCAGTAGTGTATAGGAATGGTTCTAGATGACTTCCTAGGGTTATTTCACCTCTGATCCTGTTTTTTTTTTTTTTTTATCCTCACCCGAGGACATCCTCCCATTTTTTGTTCAGGTAGAGTGGGAGGGAGAGAGAGGAACAGAGAGAGAGAGAGAAACATCGATGTGAAAGGAACACATCGAGTGGCTGCCACCCGCACAACCAACCAGGACCGGGGACAAACTGCAGCCGAGGTACATGCCCTTAGCGGGAACCGAACCCGGGTCTCTCAGGACCGCAGGCCGACGCTCTAACCGCTGAGCCAAACCGGCCAGGGCTCTGATCCTGTTTTTTAAAAAAATATATAATATTTCTGTCTACATTCTTACTCTTCAGAAATGACTTGAATGTATTTACATCCTGTGCTAGGAGATTTAATTGGCTTAAAAATTATTTCTCTTTCCTAGAATGAGCAGAGGCATTTAAAATTACTGATCCCGAAGCTCTGTTAAACTATTAAATTCAGTAATTTTTTGTTATTATTTTTTCCACCATAAGCATTTTGAAATGTATGAGCTAGCTTCATATGTCTTCCCATATTCCCTTATCACCTCAGTTTATTCTAGGTTCCAATTACTGACATTTATTTCTTTGCCTTTTTTTATAGTCCAGGATTTCCTCCTCTTTTCCCAAAGCTGTATCTCCTAATTATTCTTAATCTTTAAAGTCCAGCTGCTATAAATATCTCCAAGAAGGTGTTCCTTTGCAGTTCTACCCAAAGTCCCACACTCTGCTAGTTCACTTCATGCCCTCCTTATGTCTCTTTTAAGGACAGTATCGTTTTGTACCTTGAGTTATGAATTCGGTTCACAAATACTTATGAAACAGCCCCCATGCTCCAGGCACTGTGGTATGTCTAAGAATACATCAGTGAACCAGAGAAGCAAGTACCCTGCCCTCATGGAGGTGACCTTCTCATGGATTTTTGCGTTTTGTTTGTTTATATTCATGTCCCTTGCTGGAGGGCAAACCTCTTGAGGTCTCAGAGGATGCCTGATTCATTTCATACCTCCACACAAGGCCCTTTCATGACTTACACATCTAGTCAGGTCCACAGTATGGACATGTTACGAGTTGGAGGTGAAAGCAGCATCAACCAGGAGAGGTAGGTTTTTGCTTTTTTGTTTTGTTGTTTTTGTTTTTTATTGATTTTAGAGATAGAAATGGAGAGAGAGAGAGAAAGAGAAACATCAGTGTGAGAGAGAAACATTGATTGGTTGCCTTTTGCACACACCTCAACCAGGGATTGAATCTGCAACCTGGGTATGTGCCCTGCCTGGGAATCGAACCCACCACCTTTTGGTGTATGAGGCAACAATCCAACCATCTGAGCCACACCAACCAAGGCTAGAGGCAGGTTTTATGAATCACTTTCATTCAAAGACACTGGAAGCAAGTAAGTAATAAAAAACAAGGAAGAAAAGAAGTGAGGGGGAGGGGAGGCCAGCAATACCTGATGTTTTAATAAAACTACCTACAGCAATGATTTAGTTATTTGAAGCATTAACCATGAGTTTCAAAATATCTATCATGAAGCCAGAATGGATAAAGGCTTTGAAAAGTCAAGTTGAATATTGATAAGTTGAAGCTGAATGAGCATAATACCAAATAACCACCCCCCCCCCAGAAAAACAAAAGAAGGAAAAATAGACATTAATGAAGCATTGTTGTGTATATCTGCCCAACTAATTCCTATAAGGGAACCTTTTTATTTAAAGCTGTGAAAAACAAGCTTAAAGTCACACTTGACAGAGTCAAGCTATTAAATCTCTATGTTAGTCTGTACAAACAAACACCCCAATTAAAAAATGGCAGAGGACCTTTGGAGAATGGACACTTCTTCAAAGAGGACATACAGATGGCTAACAGACGTATGAAAAAAACTCAACATTACTAGTCATCAGAGAGATGCAAATTAAAACCACAATGAGATATTGACTCCCACCTGACAGAATGGCTACCATCAATAAATCAACAAACAACAAGTGCTGGCGAGGATGTAGAGAAAAGGGAACCCTGGTGCACTGTTGGTGGGAATGCAGATTGGTGCAGCCACTGTGGAAAGCAGTATGGAGTTACCACAAAAAATTAAAAATGGTACTGCCTTATGATCCAGTGATTCTTTCTCTGGGAATTTATTTGAAGAAACCTGAAACACTAATTTGAAAGAACATATGTACCCCTATATTTATTATAGCATTATTTACAATAGCCAAGATTTAGAAGCACCTCAAGTGCCCATGATTAGATGAGTGGATAAAAAAAGCTGTGGTACATTTACACAATGGAATACTACTCAGCTGTAAAAAAAAAAAAAAAAAAAAAAGGAAGGAAATCTTACCTTTTATGACAGTCTGGATGGACCTGGAGAACATTATGCTAAGTGAAATAAGCCAGTCAGAAATACAAATACCATATTATCTCACTTATATGTGGAATCTAATGAACATAATAAACTAACAAAATAGAAACAGACTCGTAGATATAGAAAAAAGACTGACAGCTGTCAGAGGGGAGGAAGATTTGGGACTGGATGAACAAGGTGAAGGGATTAAGCAAAAAACAAAAAGAACTCATACAGAGACAACAATGTGGTGATTACTAGAGGGAAAGGGGGATATGATGGTGGAAGGAGATTTGACTTCGGGTGTTGAATACAGTACAGTATACAGATGATGTGTTATAGAATTGTACATTTGAAACCTATATAATTTTATCTTGCCCCAATAAATTCTGTAAATTTTTTTTTAAAAACTCTGTTTTCACTTCCCGTCATTGATAGGTTCTGTAACTTTAAGTGAAACTATGTATAATGAAACCAATTTTACCATGAGCTAATTAAGATAAACAAGAGTTAAGTTTCTGTGACATCTCGTCAACATTATAATGAAATGACATTATTTGAGACCCTGCAGTACAGTAGACTAGGTGTCTTAAACAATATACATTGTTTAAGTTAAACTGGAGGTTCAAGGTCAAGATGCCAGCACAGTCAGGTTTGTGCTGAGGTCTCTCCTAGTTCACACATGGCCCCGTGTGCAAATGGCCTTTCCTCGGTGTGTGTGAGTAGAATAAGAGAAAATGCAAACTCTCTGGTGTCTCTTATATACGCACTAATCCCAGACCAAGGCCTTGCCTTCATGACCTGAGTACCCCCAAAGACCCATGGTCAAATACCATCATAGTCGGGGTAGAGCTTCAACATTCATATTTTGAACACAATCATTCAGTTCATAATCATGTCCTTGATTTGAATTTCTTGAGGTTTATTCTCTCCTACAAGAAGAACTTTGTGTTGTCTTTCACTTTCTGTGCATGTGCCTAATCGTCCTGGGCAACCTGACCTGCTCAGAACCAGTACCTGGTCCTCGTGCTGACAGGTGTCCTCCCTGAACAGTGTTGAGTCAGCGGCCACAGTGAGCCCTCAGTGAACCTGACCATCTGGATTGTTAGGGCAGCATTCTTCCCCTGCATCCCGTGCTCATCTTTTAAATGTTATAACTGATTATTTTCAATTGATTCCTTAGTAACAACATTATGTGTTATTCTGTGAAACTGTTTTTTTTTTTCCTTTTGGATAAGAAATTGCTTGGGAGGGAAGAGCCAGAATGAGATTTAAAGAGAAACCTCATCTGCCCAAGGTTTCCCACAGAAAAGTGAAGCTGAGTTGGAAGGCATGTGTCAGTCCCTGTGTTTCCCCCTCAGGGCCCCACCGAGGAGCACATACAGCTGATAATGGAGCGGTTGCTGAGAAGGGTCAACCGGACAGTGATCGGGATGAGCCGGCAGTCTCCGCACATTGTGAGTATCACTGCACTGCTGCTTCTCTGTCCTGGCTGCCTCCGTGGGAGGCTTTCGGAACCAGTGTCTTGAGACCACACTCACCTGGTCCCCTCCCAGCTCAGTGTATAGTGCTGAACGCCATGCTGCGTGTCTCCCTCCGAAGTGAGTGGGATCTAGACCTTTATAGCCTCCTTGATGGATGACCCTTGTTATCACTGAGAGCAGATTGTAACTCTGACACTGACTTTCTCTTGGGGGAAGATGATCCAACAGGGTGGGGAGGTTAATGGGGGAGCATTATTAAGGATTCTATAAATGTAAGCCCTGCTGATCCATTCTTGCTCACATTGAAGGTTAAACGAAAGCCAGTTCTAATACATTAAAGCAGAGACCCAGTGAGATATGCAGGCCCCCTACGTAGACTGATAGCCCTGTTTCCATTCAACTGAATAATCTCTAAGTATTTATTTATTATTTTCTTTTTCAATGCCCTTTAGTTTTCCAAGGACAGGTCTTTTTCCTCCTTGGTTAAGTTTATTCCAAGGTATTTTATTATTTTGTTGTTGCAGTGGTAAATGGGATTTTTTTTTTTAGTTTCTCTTTCTGAGAGTTCAGTACTGGTATATAAAAATGCCATCTCACATCACCCTGGCTGGTTTGCCTCAGCGATTAGAGCGTTGGCCCTTGGACCAAAGAATCTTGGGTTTGATTGTGGTCAAGGGCACATACCTCGATTTGCAGCCCTGGTTGGGGTCGTACAGGAGGCAACCAATCAATGTGTCTCTCTCACATTGATGTTTTTCTCTCCCTCCCTCTCTCCCTCCCACTCTATCTGAAAACCAATGGAAAAAATATCTTTGGGTGAGGATTAAAAAAAAAAAAAATGCCATCTCACTTATAAGTGTAATCTAATGAACATAATATTGTGACGAACAAAATAGGTCCAAAGGCATGGAGGCATGGAATAGACTGACAGATCTCAGAGGGGGGCAGAAGAGACAGGAAGAGCGGAAGAGATTAACCAAAGAAGTTATACACATATGTGCATAAGCAGTGGACACAGACAATAGTGTGGTGAAGACCTGGGGTGGGGCCAGGGCTTGGAGGAGGCGGATAAAGGGTAGGGGGAGGGAATTGGGGGACATCAGTAATATTGTTAATAATAAAATAATAATAAATTCAAAAATAAATAAAAATAAAATGAAAGATTCTTACAGGCAAGGCTAATTATATGTGTGTGTGTGTGTGTGTGTATGGTTTATTCTGAATATTCAAGAATAAATATTAGAGAATCTATTAATAAAATACATCAATTCAACAAGAGGAAAAAAGTTTTATGACTCCACAGATGCCTAAATATATGTGATAGATATAACAGCTATTCCAAATTAAAAATAGGAGGAGATGTTTTTAACATACAGTTACCAGGCAACATATTACTTGATGGTCATAAAAAGGAAAATCAAGATGTTAAATCTCAACACTGAGATTCTTCTATAAATTCTAGCCAATATAATAAGTCACCCCCCCAAAAAAATACTCTTTAAGTATAAATATTGAAAAAATAGAAAATAATCATCATAGTTGTCATTGTTTTTAGCTAAAATGAGTACCATTATCTAGGGAACCCAAGAGAGTTAACTGAAATTTTAATAACTGATAAATAATTTATTAAACTAACTGGTTTCAAAATAAATATTATTCAGGGGCTTTTCTATATTATAAAAATAGCTATTTAGGAATTGCAAAAAAATCAATTTAATTTAGTCACAAAAATATTAGAGTAAAAATAAATAAAAGATACACATAATGAATAGCCCAATAGAAGTAATAATGTAGGACTTGCCTACCAGATTTGAAATCATTATAATGCTACAATAATTAAAACAATGTTGGACTCAAGCAATAGAGTACATTTATCAACAGGACAGAACTGAGAGAATTTAAAAGGAGACTTTAGATTAAATGAAAAATTTTACCTTTCAATAAAGAAGGTGAAGATTTTTAATGCATATTATTTGGAAAATATATGAATAACGTGGAAAAATTTGTTTCACTTTTATTTCATGTTATACCCACCCACAAAATAAACTTTAGGTAGAATGAAAGGTTTAATGTAAAAAATATTAAATCTTAAGACAGCTAAAAGAAAACATAAATGGATATATACCTATTTTTAAGAGAAAAGAGATGCATGATTTTTTTTTTTTTAATTGGAAGGATACTATAACAGAAAACAATAGATTTTACTAGGTAAAATATTTATACCCTTTATATGTGAAGACAATGTATATAAGCAAGTTAAACTTCAAGCACCAAACTGTAAAAATTATTTGTAAAATATGTGACAAGTGGCTAATAGCCTTAATATTCAAAGACCTATTATAAACCACTAAAATAAGATTTTTAATGTAAAAGTGGGTAAAGGCTGTGAGCAAACAGCAAAGTGATAAAAATAAGTGGCAAACAAACATGGACAGACTATGTAATTCAAAACAGAAAATGCAAATTAATAAAAATGAGATTAAATAAAACTCAATACCCAGAATAGGCAAAAGCCTGGAGAAACAGTGTTAAACACTGACGGGAATGCAAACTCTGTGCTAGGTTGCAATATATATCAAAAGCCTTAATAACAATAAATTTACATTGTTATAATAAGAAAAATAAACTTTTTAAAACAAAAGAGATTGTAACAAACATTCAGAGAGGTGTACATGAATAGACTTCCATTGTTTTTGTGTTAGGAAGTCATTCCCTCCATTCCAAGAACAGCTGTATATTCATCTGCTCTGTGCCAAATTCATTTACATTTGTGTTGCTTTCCTAATACGAATAAAGGAGGATATTTACCTCTAGATATTTGCCCCCTGGCTAGAAAATTATGATTCAAATACATTTGGATGAGGGAAAGCACACTGAATATTTAATTCCTGACCTCCAAAATAGAAATGATGGTAATCATCTAATTATTCAATCCCTTTTTTCAAAGCAGATCCACAGTTACACATGGGCATACCCGGAATGACTGGCTGACGGCTTCTGGAGTTGGAGAAATGACACTGAAGTGTTCCAGCAGGGAACCCTCATTGCCTATCTTCTCTGTTCTTCCACTTGTTTTACTGCCTCCCTTTTTCCTCCTTGCATTCCTCTAGACTCTTATTTGTTTAAATATTCCAGACATTTCTGTATGGAGTTCTGTCCTACAACTCTGTCTTAACATGAAACTGAAAGTCCACACGTTGTTAGAGCGTTCCTAGTAATCTAACTGAGATCTTGAAGTCAGTGTCCCTTGACCTGCAGGAATGCACAGACCTTAGCTGCTCTGGGGATGAGGAAAGCCCTCCACATTCCTCACCTCAGAGTTTAAAGGTCGTTTCAGGCAGCAATAGCAAGCACATGCCATTTGAACGTTGGAATGCAGTATGTTTCCAGTTTGATGGGTCCCTGCTCAGCTGACTGGGTGGGGAAAGCCAAAGCACCAAATCTTGTTTTGTCAGTTGGTCTAAGGAGTTTGGGATGTTCTCTTTCTCCTTCAGGGGAGTTTTGTTGCGTGCATGATTGCCATCCTGCGGCAAATGGATGACAACCACTACACCCACTATATCAGCACTTTCAAAACCAGACTAGACATCATGGTAAGTTATCTTCACAGAATTCTAGTAAAGGCCTGGGGTGCAGCAGGGGCCAGGTAGAAGTGGGAAGGAGGGGGAAATAAGGAACATCTGTAATACTGTCAACAATAAAAAATAAACTTAAAAGAGATAAACCAAAGAAGTTGTATGCATATATACACAACCAGTGCACACAGACAATGGGAGGGCGTGGGAGTGGAGAGGAGAGGGTCAGTGGGGAAAATAGAGGGGACATCTACATTTCAACAATAAAAATACATTTATTTATACATATACACACACATATACACACACATACACACACACACACACACACACACATAAAATAATCTCCTACCAAAAAACTAATTCTTATATTCAGTAAAAACAATAACCAAAACTGATCAGGAGCCCATGGGTCTCTTCCCATCCATATTCATACCATGTGGTTGGCTATCCACAATGATGAAGAAAAGGAAAGTATTGATTCTTTCATTCCGGGATAGGATTTGAAGAAGAGTATAATTTGTATACCAAGGTGGCGTCACTTAATCCCTAAATTTCTTGGGTTTAGAGAAAGCCTTATTTAAAACATTTGGGATATCTTCTTTGCTCTCAAAAAAGGATAGTGTCTCATTTTCAGGGACAGTAGTTACTCATGCTATGGCAAGGATTTTAAGAGGCAGAAATGTGCAAAGTCATCTCAGATGTGGGTGAAGTACTCATTTTCAGTAGTTCCTGAAAAGGGAAACAAGAAGTGATACCTGCCCCTTACAACCCTTACATCTTCAATTCAAAATATTCCATTCCCTTGTTTTAAACAAAAAAGTTGTTCTCAGAGTTACCACTCAGCATATAAGCAAATGTTGCCTGAGAAGCTAAGCCAGGACTCTCCCCTTCAGGGTGATTTTGATGGCTGTTAAAATGTATCTGATGATATCATCTTATCTTGCTAACCAGTGGGCTGGACGTGGATCTGGATTAGCAATTTGATGTGTCCCATGGCACTAGTCTTTGCTGTCAGTAAATTCCCATCATCCGTGCATACTTCAGTCTTTATGCTCTGGATTTTCTACTTTCTGCTTCTATTTTACTGATAGTCTATAGGCAGTGTACCCAAGTATATCCAGCTCCTTTCATGCCAATCACCCTCTTTTTGGTAAAGTCACATGATGGAAAAACAAACAAGGAATTGGAGAGAAACTACTGTTTATTAGTAGTAGTTGGTTCAGTAACAAACTCTCCCAGTGTTGTATTGGACCTACTTGGGCCATGCTCTGACAGGCAGCATGGCACCGGAACCCACAGTAATATGCAGGTGTGCTTGCAGAGATTGGGTTCAAGAGAATTAGGAAGAGGGGAGGGGAAGGCACAGATGGAAGCTTAGGGGAGGGTAGCATTGTTTCTCCTCCGCAGGCAGATGGCGTAGTGGGTTTCAGAACACAGACTTTAGAACACTGAGATCTGGGTTTGAATTCTGGCTCCTCCACTTCCTAATATGAAATTTTAGGCAAGATATTTAGCTTTGCTAAACCTCCATTTTCTCATCTGTGAGAAGTACCTATCTTGAGGGTTAATGTGAATAAGTACTGATTGAATCAATGCATAGAAAATGACTAGCTAAGATTAAATGTAAGATAAAATTAATATAAATAGTTCAGTGACTTTTTTTTTCTAAATTTCCTTCAGAAAATGGGTAGAATAGTGGAAGTTATACCAAATTCAAACCCTTGAAAATTTGGCTCCATTAAGTAAGCAAACAAACAGGTTTTAACTTGTGTTTTACAAAACAATGGTGAGTTCTTCCTCCTCCTTTATGTAATTAAAAATACTATTATCCTTGTGGGGGAATTATAGTCATCAGTGACAGCTTCGTGGTACATCTAGACCTTCTGACTTTTAGTAGATTGGCCTATCGCTCTCTCCTGATGCCTTCTGAATAAATCACTTGAAAGACTTTGGGAAGTAGTAGATAAAATGAGAGTATCTTTAAATTGCCTTTATTACACTATCACTACTTACAATTAACTTATATTACCAAGAGTTCACTTTACAGTCAGTGTCAGAAGTGAGTAACTGACATCTAAATCTAACCCTTGTTCACAAACCATGAATTCTTGTTGAATTGAGGGAAAAGGTTAATAGAATAGTTAGTAAATTGGTGGGAACACTTAGAATATGATGAAAAGTTGAAAAGGCATGAAATATGTCTATGATTTCAGAATTGAGAATAGCAAAGTTTGACTCTCCATTGAACCAAAAGGAAGATTCAAGGGCAACACAGATTTAGAGCCAGAATTGCTCCCATTCCTATGCTGTTTGGCATCCAAAGGGCAGGAAGTTAACCAGTGTGGCCAGTGTCTCAGAGGAGGACAGTTAGCAATAGATCCCAGGCCTCCTGCCTCTCATGTACTGTGTTCTTTCTGCTACATGATGTAATTCATAAGATAGAACTGTGTGGGTTTAGTGCTAGAGAACTTGGACAGGGCTTCCATTTCAGGAATCTGAGTAGAAAATGTCTAAATTTAACTAGCTAATAAATAAATAAGTGTTTCAAAGTTTTTTGTTTTGATCTTTAGTTCAATTGTTCTATGCTCCTTTTTGCTCATACCCCCTTTTGCATAAAATAGCTGTTTTGCCAATAACTGGACTTACATTTTAGTGATTATAGTCATGATACACTGCTGTAATCTCATTAAGGACCATTTAGGACCCTTCTCCCAGGTTACATATGGCTACCTTCGTGGAACAGGAAGAGTCATGACTTTGCTTCTTATTTATAGCATGTTTGTTCTGTTCTAACAATAATAAAGGAGCATTGGACTCAGTCATTTGACGTATCAGTTTTCCAACAGTTGTTGGTGAATTCATTTTTAAGTGCAGTAGATCTATTCAGATAACACTTGGCCGTAAATGGGGATCAGAATCCCAAGTTTTTTTCCAGCTCTTCTGCTTCCAAGTTTCTACAACCTTAATTAAGCAAGTTGTTTAATTTTTCACAGCCTCAGTTTTATCATTTGTAAAATGTGGACACTTTTTTGTCCTGTCTTCCTCATCAGAGTATATGATGTAAAAGTCAAATTATATGATAGCTGTGAAAATGCTTTGTTATTCCCAAAACCCTGCTGGGATGGGACTAGGGATGTCTTATTCTAATGTAGTGTTTCTTCTTGTACACATGCCAGGCCAAGGCTTATGACGTTTAACCCAGTTTTTCCTCTATCCATTCTTTTGTTCTCTGCAGGACTTCCTCATGGAAACTTTTATCATGTTTAAGGATCTAATTGGAAAGAATGTCTATGCGAAAGACTGGATGGTCATGAATATGACTCAGAGCAGGTAGGACTACCCATGGCAGGCCTGGAGGCCTTTGACTTTGAATACTACTGACCCTTGAACAACATAGGCTTGAACTGTGTGGATCCATGTGTACCTGGATTTTTTTCTATACATAGAGTAAATGTATTTTCTCTTCCTTATGTTTTTTTTTAAATAACATTTTCTTGCTATAGTATACTTTATGGTAAGAATACAGTATATGAAACATGTCACACACAAAATATGAGTTAATCGACAATTTATGTTATCAGTAAGGCTTCCGGTCAACAGTAGACTATTAGTATAATCAGCCCTCTGCATCTTCGATTCCCAACTTCAGATAGAAAATACTATTTTTGACTCACAGTTAGTTGAATCTGCCAATGTGAAACCCGACTGGGGAGTCAAAAGTTACATGAGGATTTGTGACTGTACAGGGGGACTAGTGCCTCTAACCCCTGTGTTGTACAGAGGTCACTGCACTTGAGCCTGGTAACTAGTTCTCTGACGTTTGTGAAGTGCTGTTACATCCTTGCCACAAATCCATCATCTGTAAAGCAAGGGTCCTCCCACTTTCTTGAGCCTAAGTTTATGGTCTCATGTTCTTCATTTTACCTGGGCTCCTGCATCTGCACTGACCCTGGCTCTCTACCCCCTTCTCTCTGCTATAGTCTCCTCACTGAATCGTCAGCATCAACTCTCCATGGCATGTCAGTGGCTCCCCATGGTCTCCGTCATTCCGATAGTCAAAGACCTGGCATCCTGGCCCGCCTGCTTTTCTAACTACCTTCTGCTTTTCCCCTCTATCTACAACCTGCACTCCAACCATGCCTGCGCTTCCCAGTCCCTGTCGGCTTTCCTTGCTGCTTCTGCCACCTGCGGCACCTTCCCCCTCGCCTCTGGGGGCCGCCCTGCCACTTACTCCTGCAGGTCCTTCTCAGATGACATATCCAAAGGATTTTCTGACCTGGATGTGATCTTCTCTCCATTGATTTCCCAGATTTCTTTACACCCCCCCATTGAATTTTCCATATTTTTTCTTGGGTCATGGTTGCAAATGCGCCCCCCCACCCAACAAGTTGTAAATGTCTTAAGACCAAGAACAGTCTCTTTCAAGAAAAAGCCTAAGCCAGTGCTTTGTGGTTTCTAGCCCACAATATACTTGGTGAATGAAAATGAAATGAACTGAATACATATATAGTCGGCCCTCGTTTATCGCGTTAATCAATTCCAGACTCTATCGTGATAAATGAATTTACACGAAGTAGGATTCTTTATTTATAAATTGAATATTTTCGCAGTTAGAGCATAGGACACCTGTTTACGACCTTCTAAATACATTTTTTAACATTATTAGGGCCCTCTAGACATGAAATAACACCCTTTAGTCACCATTATACTCGTATTACCCAATATATTAGAGAAAATAAGACATATTAGATATTACAATATTAGATATAACAATAATATTATATTAGATATAACAATAATATTATTATTGTACATTTAATTACACACAACCACTAACCTATGAAAATAGTGCAACTTGTTCAATGATGAAGTGATGAAGAGATGTACTGCACAGCAAAGAAGAGCAAGGTTACTGCTCCTCTGCAGGCACGACCTCAGTGGGAGAGTCTCCAGGTGGTGCAGTATCTTCAGCAGGTGCGTCGTCATCTTCTGCTAAAGGAGCACTAGGAGTAGGCAGTGGGTGTCTGGGTGCGCGGCTGAAGAACATCGTGATAGGCAGTTGCTGGCACTGTTTTTTTATATGCGTGAGGAGGCTTTTGTAGGGTTCTGTCGCTCCATCAAGTGCATTCCAGAACAATGCACGCATCATTTGTGGGTCCCATTCCCCAATCATGTCCTGTACTACCTTAACAGTTCTCACGACTTTCAAGAGATGCTCAAGTGTAAGGCCAACTTCCTCCTTCTGACCCCCAAGAACCTCTGGCTGCTCTTCCTCCTCCTCACTCGCAGACTTAGTCCTCTCCACCAGATCCTCATCAGTTAAGGGATCTGAATGTGTTTCCAGCAACTCATCCACATCATCACGGGTCATATCCACAAAACCTTCTCCCAGCATCCGGGTTCACCTAACTGCCTTATCCACTGCTGAGTTGCTTTTATCCTCTGGGGTGAATCTTCTGAAGTCGTGGGCAGTTTCAGGCCATAACATCTTCCAGCTGGCCTTCACAGTGCCATCTTTATGGTCCTTCAACGCAGTCTGGATGTTCTTCATAGAAGTTGTGATGTATACATATACTGCCACCAGTACTCCTTCAGCAAGAAGTTCTCCTCAAGGTCCACGCCTTCTACGAAGTGCTACAGGGTGTTTTGTGTGTAGCGGGCCTTGAACACACAAATACCGCCTTGATCCATGGACTGGATCAGCGAAGTAGTGTTAGGAGGAAGGAACTCAATCTGCATACCATCGTAGGATAGGTCTTGTGCATGACCTCCAGCATTGCCCATGAGGAGAAGGACATTAAACTCAAGTCCCTTCTCTGTGAGATACAGCTTGACTTGGGGGGATGAAGCACTTGTGGAACCAGTCCAATGACAGGTGCTTCATGATCCAGCCCTTGTCATTGTGCATCCAATGCGCTGGCAGCAGGTTCTTGTTTTTATTCTTCAGGGCCCTAGGGTTCTTGGCCTTGTAGATAAGGGCAGGCTTGAGCACAAATTCCCTCAGCATTTCCACACATAACAATAGTCACATCATCCTTATACGCCTTGAAGCCACAGACTTTGGCCTCACCCTTGAAAATGAATGTCCGGGAAGGCATTCTCTTCCAGAACAGTCCTGTTTTGTCCATATTGAACACCTGTTCCTGGCTGATACTCGCCCTCCTCAAGAATCTTCTGAACGTGTTGTTCACATAGTCCTCTGCTGCAGGCTGGTCGGCAGAGGCAGCTTCTCCGTGGAGAACGACACTCTTCAGATGATACCTCTTCTAGAACTTCTCAAACCAACCCTTGCTCGCCATGAAATCCATAAACGTTGCAGAAGAGGATCCTGGTTGAGGTTCGTCTGCCATAAAGCACTGATAGAGCTGCTTCACCTTCTCCCAGATGACCAGCGAATCCAACGGAACGTTTTTCTTGGGGCTGTTGCTGATCCAAACGGCTAGGGCAGACTCCGTTTTCACTATGAATTTATTACAACTTGTCACGACGCGCTTTGCTTGCTTGTTGAAAGAGAGAATAGTCATTGCACGGATGTTCTTTTCATCTTTTCTGGATGGAGTGAATAGTAGACTCTTTCAAGTCGTAATGGTGGACAACCTCCATGATTTTCTTGCCATCTTTGATCATATCCAAGGGTTTCACCTTCTCCTGGATGGTAAGCATCTTCCTCCGGCACTTAGTTTCACCGTCAGAAGGCTTAGAAGAAGCAGCATGTTTAGGAGCCATTGTGAGGCTTAGATAAAAGTTCTCAGAAATCGCGAACACAAGAGCAAAGATGCTTCCGATGCGTAGTGATGCAGAAATGTGTATGAGAGAAACAAACTTGCTTGAGGTTGAGCCAATCAGTGGCCAGGATAGGAAGAGGATAGGATAGCCAGTCAGTGAACAGCACACTCTGATTGGCTTGGTTTCACCACACCCAATTTTTTGGAAAACAGTTATTGCCCACACACAAGGAGTGGTCAAGCAGTTGCACCTGGTGTTGACAGATTTGCAGGGGTGCTTGAATACACAGGCCTGCAGTTCATACGTACAGTAATTTTAATTTTAATTGTAATACAGGGGTGTATAATTGACTCAGACAACCAAGCACGCACTGTATCATTTTCACTGTAACTTTTTAATGAATATATTTGAAAAAACCGCGAGGCAGTGAAGCCGCAAAAGTCGAAGTGCAAAGTAGTGAGGGATGACTATATATTCTATCAAAAGAGCTTCAGGATTTTTAAGAGCTAAATAATATACATCATTCTCACCATTACTGTTAACTTTATATGGTCCCGATACCTGATTAGGAAAATCCTCTCAACTATATACAGATTAGAGAAGAACTTGCATAAGCTTTGAAATAGAAACATTATGATAGAATGTCCAGAGGCCTGGTCTGAGTCTCAGGAGACCTGGCTTGTCCCAGCTCTGCCTTCCACTAGCTAAATTGAGATGCCTTGAGTAGTGCTTGCTGTCAGTTCTAGAAACTGACCTTCAATGTCCTCCTCTGCAAACTGTGCTCTGTACATTGTCTCTAACGGCCTTGGTAGATCTAAAGGTTATCTTTTGCCAAATCAGGTTTGGTTTGCTTTGGTTCTTAACATAAATGGGAAGTGTTTCAGTGAGCATGAGGTTGCCTTTCTTATCCCATGTTTTCCTCTCCAAGGGTTTTCCTCCGTGCCATAAATCAGTTTGCTGAGGTTCTCACAAGGCGCTTTATGGATCAGGCAAGCTTTGAACTTCAGGTAAGCATGGTACTTACTAGGAGTTCCAGAATTCTCAGCCAAGCAAGAGAACTCTTTCATGTTGGAAAATGTCATCTCAGATTTTATCATTTTCCAATGAAAAACGTTTTCTTGTCCTTTCTGCTTTCCTAAAGCACACATTTCTTGTCATTCTGTTCTTCAAGAATAGTGAAATAGGGCCTTTTCTTCTTTCTGTAAATCTAGTAAGAAAAGTAATAGTAGAAAATGTAACTAAACAAAAAGAAAAAAACTGAAAGACAGTCTTACCTTCTGCTGTTAACATAACCCAGATACACAAATGCATGTGCTTGCAGACAGGCACATACATGTTCCTCTGTCTACAAATGGGTTAGTTCCTAAAGACTGATTCGTGTACACACTTGCTTAAAAGTCCGCAAGCTCCACCTTCATTCATTCATTCATCCAACAAATATTAGAATGTTTATATTTACCAGGGCACTATTCTGGCCCTGGTGAAGGCATACAGGACCCTACCCCATTGAGCTTATATGCCAGTGTGTGCTTTGTGGGTGAGGTGTTTTACTATGTCCTGTGCCTTTGTATGTATCCGTGGAATGTTAAAAGTGGAGAATCGTAAGTAGAGGATACTGTATCTATACACAGTATATACATATAAATGTGTATCTGTATATGTGTGTGTGTATATATGTATATTTGTATATACTTGTGTATGTGATAAGATGGAAAAACTCTATAGAATTCTTTGATAACCTTTATTAATGTATTTTATTTACTTTTTCTGTGATCTTCTCAATGATAGTAAATATTTTCACAGTATTTTTAATGGCTGAATACAGTCCATGGTCTGGTTGGGCCACTATTTATTTAGCCATATTCTCATGAACATGTAGATTGTTTCCATTTTCCGCTCAATCAAATAGCACTGGGAGGACCTTCCTTGTTTTAAATATTTTTAAATATCCATTATTTATTTTGCCAGGATAAAGTCTTAAAGTATTTACTAGTTCAACAGCTTGGAAAAGTTTTAGGGCTTTTGGTACATATTGCCACACTATTTACTTAAATTGGTATGCTTCTTGGCAGCAATTTGCCTTTATCCCAGTACAGACAAATATAATAGTTTGAATTTTTTTAAAAGCATAATATTAATATTGTGTTAAAACTTTCATAACTGAAACACAAGAAAGAAAAAGTCTTGTGGATTTTTTTTTTTATTAATCCCTGGCAGTTGACTTGTACCATATGGCACTGTTTTAATGATGACCCTTATTAATGTTATTTTCCATTTCTTTTCACCCACACAATTAATTTTGAACAGCTCTGGAACAATTACTTTCATTTGGCAGTAGCGTTTCTTACCCACGAGTCCCTTCAGCTTGAAACCTTCTCTCAAGCCAAGCGCACCAAAATTATAAAAAAGTAAGTGTCCTTTCAAACTTGCTTAAGATTAAGTAAGGTGATTTTCCATTTCAGAACAAGATTTTGGGTATCACAGACATTATTGTTCACTAGCTACCATGTTGTTAGTGAGATAGCTCTTATAATTATTCCATAGGCCTCAGATTTCCCCAGATTCATATCTCTTTTCTCAAGGCCCCATTCATTTTCCATCACCCATCACATTCTTTTTATAGAATCTATGTGAGGAGAGGCAGGGAGACCAGCCAGTACTCCTATCTTTGGAAACAGCTGGCCCTCTGCTGGCAGTGTGTCCAAATTGCAGGCACAGTGCCTCTGTCACTCCTGCTTCACAAAGCAGGCTCCGTTGGCACCTCTCAGTCACTTCAGCACAGAAGTCAGGCATAACACGTCACCTAAACATGCCCTGCAGATTCCTGCTCGGAGTTCAGAATGGACTAATGTGTAAGAGTGATGAGAACTGTAGGGAAGTTCATTGATTTCGTCTCGGATCTGTTTCAGAGTTCATTGAGAGCCTGGAAACTCAAAGGCTGTGTGGTTAGAAAGAACTTCAGACATTTATCATTTAAAGGCTGTGAAATTTTTGTTCTGTTCCTCCTTTTGGGATGTCTTGCATTTTACATAAATTATTTAGCATCCCTCTACCTCTGGTTCCTCCCAAAAAGCACTGAGATTAGTGACTAAGAGATTGAGATATAGTGACTGTATTTTCAATGATACAAATAAAATGTGTTTTGTAGATATCTTTGTGGGGTGGGTATCAAAAGATAATTGATTTTTAAGATGGATACCTTGATCTCAATCTTTTTTTATTTTTTTTATCCTCACCCGAGGACATTTTTGCATTTATCTTCAGATAGAGTGGGGAGGGAGGAAGAAAGAGAGAGAAACATCGACATGAGAGAGATACATCAACTGGTTGCCACCCACATGACCCCAACCAGGGATGGGGACAAACTGCAACCGAGGTACGTGCCCTTAGCGAGAACTGAATCCAGGTCTCTCTGGTCCGCAGGCTGATGCTCTAACCGCTGAACCAAACCAGCCAGGGCATCAGTCTTTAGAATATCTTAAGTGACACAATTTCTGTCAAGGATAGATTTGATTTTGGTTGAATAACCATAAGTGGAGCCTGATAAAGTGGTTAGGATTAATGACTCTGGTTTTGGTCAAAGGAAAGTGTGACTGTAAGTATAATCCATGTAAAAATATACATACATAAGGCAAGAGGTAAACCTTGGGAGATAACATTTACATGTATTTAAGGTTATAGAAATGTGAATGAAGATTTTTTAAGATTTCTCTTATTTTTAGTAGAAGTAGCATCAAAAGTATTATTAGTAAACACCAAGAAGTAATTTATTTTCTATTATGAGTAACCACATACGTTTATCTAATTTAAATAATAAAATTAGATTGGGTATTTTTGTTAAAATGAAATAGTAAGAAAAAATTGTAATGACTTTTATACTGGCTTCTGAAGGCTTTTCCAAAGGAGAAATTTGGTAAAAAATGTTTGGCACAGTAGTAGCATGAGTAGAAAATGTAGGACCGGGCTGGTAGGATGGGTGGGATGGGTTGGAGGTCCATATTAGTTCCCTGGGAGCATTTGCAGTGTCTGCTTTGACCCTGTTTCTATTATTTCAGGCCCTAGCCTCTAATCTGCTCTGTGGGTCAGGTAGCCCCAGGCATATGTATTCCTGATGAGATTTCCAGGTCATTATTTTTCACCTCTCCACAAGAACCATTGTATAGATCAATGTTTCTCACGTTTTCCCCCCACTATCGACTCCCTTAAGTAACCTTTTCAGAAATTACTTTTCTAATCACCCCCCAATTAAATATTTAGTCCAACATATATGCATATCTATTTATATACCATCTGTATACCTGTACTTTATTCATTAAAACAGTAGCCTTTTTTTGCCCCCAAGGACCAATTTTCACCCTTTTGGAAACAATGTCCCCCCATTGAGAATGCAGGTTCAGAGCTTCCCAATGTGGTGTCAGATGTGCATTACTCAAGTATGAGTATATAAACTCAGTATGTTTGTTAGCCATCAGTCATATCACTATATATATCAAACCCCATCATTCTTTTCAATAGTGTTTTTTTTTTGTTTTTTTATTTCTTTGCTTAACAGCAGCCAGCGTGTTTCTCACTCTTTTCCCTTCAATCAGTTTGTCAGTGTCATCTTCTCACTTTCCTTCAGCATCTGCATTGGTCCCTCCTTGTGCGGCTGAAGGTCCCCCCTCCTCTGTGGGGCTCCATGGGGGCTTGTTTAGGTATCAGACTCATCTCTTAAAGTGAGCTTGCCTCAAAATCTGCCTTCAGTGTGACCTGGAGGAACACAGGCTATTTTTATTGTCCTCATTTTATTGTCAGTACTCATTTTCCCTGAAAATCATTCTCTTCGTTTATGCTCTTCTTCCTAGATATGGAGACATGAGGAAGGAAATCGGCTTTCGGATCCGGGATATGTGGTATAACCTGGGTGAGTGTATGACCTTGTATGAGCCCACATACAACCCCTGTGTGATAAGCACGTCACAATGAACTCTTGTTTTATTTTATTTATTTATTTTATTTTATCCTCACCCGAGGACATTTAACCATTTTTTGTTCAGATAGAGTGGGAGGGAGAAAGAGGAAGAGAGAGAGAGAGAGAGAGAAACATCGATGTGAAAGGGACACATCGAGTGGCTGCCACCCACACGACCAAACAGTGTCAGGGACAAACTGCAACCAAGGTACACGCCCTAGTGGGAACCGAACCCGGGTCTCTCTGGACCGCAGGCCAACGCTCTAACCACTGAGCCAAACTGGCCAGGGCTCTTGTTTTATTTTAATTGCAATAACCCTAAAATTTATTTGTCTGTGTGTCTGGGAGTGAACGTTGACTTCGGGGTCTCTTGTTATTACATCTGCTGGTTATCAGAATACAGTATTTAGTCACCCAGTTCTGAATTGAGTTGATTTACCCACATAAACTAACTCTTATGGGATCTGTGGAGGAAGATTGTAACACTTTATCTCCAATGAAATTATTTTTTAATTTCTTTTATTTCAGGTCCCCACAAAATCAAATTCATCCCATCCATGGTGGGTCCCATTCTGGAGGTCACATTGATCCCTGAAGTAGAGCTTCGTAAAGCCACCATCCCCATTTTCTTTGATATGATGCAGTGTGAGTTCAATTTCAGTGGAAATGGCAATTTCCATATGGTAAGAAGTGGTAGACCTATAATCTTACTAATAGATATAGAGTCAACTCTTATTTATTTTTCTATATAGAGAAGCCATAACCTGAGTAATACAAATCAAAGTTGGTCTAAAATTTTTCTTTTACATTTCATTTTACAAAGCAGTTAGAGATACAAGCAGATATTCCAATCCAGGATGGCCTCAAAACAATCTCTTTGCTACATGTGTTTCCTAAAGTAGTCCTATCTATGGATAATTAAAATTTAACTTCATTGGTGTTGCTCCTATTTGTTGCAATGCCGCTGAGAGAGTAAAGTAGTGAATCAAGGGAATGATGCAGAGGTCTCTAGCTTGGTGACCTCAGTGTGCCTGATATATATTTTTCTCTCTTTTATTTTTCTTATCTATACAGTGTATAAATATTGAAAGAAAGATTTTAAAGGTATGCAGCTCTGCAAAATTAGAATAAAGCAATCTCATTGCTGAGCCTGAGACAAGAACCAAAACCAAAATCAATCATTAAGCTATTTTTATATGCATTTAAAATGCTATTTTATATGCAGTTAAAGTAGGAAAATAATGTTTTGGGTAATTTTCCTTTTTTGGGGGGAAATGTACAGCAAAAGATAAAGTAACATTAGTTTACTTTAGAAAGTTGCTTTTTTCTTTTTGTTAATATTCACCCGAGGATATTGATATTTTTCCCGTTGATTTTTAGAGTGAGAGGGAAGGAAGGGGCTGGGGGAGACAGAGAGAGAGATGAGAGAGATGCATAGATTGGTTTCCTTCCGTACACACAGGGGATTGAACCTGCAACTCAGGTATGTGCCCTTAACCAGGAATTGAACCCTTTGGTGCTTGGGCCGACGCTTCAACCACAGAGCCACACCATGCAGAAAGTTTTGATAGGGCCTCAGTGTACTGTTAATGGATAATGTGTGACATGTGATCTTCCTCTATATATGCTGGGAATCATTCACAATTTTATAGATTTGCTGGGCAAATCTATAAAGAATGGCCGGGTGTCTCATGTCCTCTTCTAAGGATATGACATTCCCTGTGAAATTCTGACTCCGCTTTCAGTTTGAGAATGAGTTGATCACAAAGCTGGACCAAGAGGTGGAAGGGGGCAGAGGAGATGAGCAGTACAAGATCCTTCTGGAAAAACTGTGAGTATTTCAGATACAAAATTTCAAGTTCATGACATCATTTAGAGATAGAGAAAAACAGGTTTCCAGTGCACTTGCAGACCCATTGAATAGTCACAGAATCATTGGGGTTACCGTCCCAAGTGGTTCTTGGTGGGGTCAGTGGAGTTTATACCATCCACTGCTGATACTTGTTTATCTCATGTGAGCCCAGTGTCCATGTTTTCCTGGCTAGCCTGGTCATTGAGAACAGAGCAGAGGGAGTGGGAAGGGATATACAATCACTTTGCCCAGTGTTTGAATTGATGAACCTCACCAAAAGTGATAGCACCTCTAATTATGTCTTTAAAGCAACAATGTCAAAGATAAAAGGAAAAAAACATTTCAAGGTCCACTTTACATTTTAAAATACCCTATGCCCTCGAAGGACCTCCAAGAACACCAGTGATATCTCTAGCCAGGTTGGTCTTTTCACTGCCCTCCCCCCAGTCATTCATTCTCTCTCTGTTCACATGACCACCCTTACTCCTCACGCACCCCCACCCCCACAGACCTTCATCCTTCCCCTCTTGCCCCTCCTAACTCTCCTTTGCTCGTAGGGAATTGCAGTATAAAAAGAGTAGTTGAAAACACTTGCATATTGGAATTAGAGAGAGATTAAGCTTCAAATCTTGTTTTCTCCACATTCTAGGAATTTCTCTTTGGACTAGTGATATAACCTGTTCAATACCTCTTTTTTGTTATTGTTTTTTTTTTTCATTTACAGTATTAGGATCTATATTTTGGTATTGGGGTGAGGATGACCTGAGATAATGCATTTTCACAGTGTCTGTTACAGATTTCATGCTAACAGATATTGGCTGCTCTGGTGTTAGTGCTGGTTACTATTATTATTGTTACCTTCAAATCCTCCCATCATTCAGGCTATAACTTCTCTAGACTATTCATGTCTTGTGTTCTCTAAACTTTTATCATATTGACCAACTTTTGGCGGATGTGCCTGGGTCATTTCATCATTCACCTGTTTGATGCGAATGCTGTGCACTAAAATTGTGGTTGAGGACAAGGCTCCCACCTTTGTTTTGTGTTTCGTTTTTTTTTTTTTTAAGATTTATTTTTAAGGAACCAGCACGCTGGGTACTCTGAAATGAACTGATGACTCATCTGTATTTTAAAGAAACAGAAGTACTTCTTGTTTTACTTTTAGTGACTGATAGCACCATTTGTTGATCTTTTTATCCTGTTTCCATTAGATCTTCCTGTTCAATCAAGCATCAAACCTCCCAGTTTATCATTTTTGCAATTCTGATCTTGTACAGGAATTAAATGAAGAAATTATGCACACATACAAACACACCCAAAATATTACAAACGATTACTCATTTTTTTAGTCCTATAGCTGATTTTTCACATAAATACTTTTGTATTTTTTCATTCTTCTTGGATCACTACCTCAGAAAAATATGACTGCACAAATCTCCACTGCCCAGGAATAATCCCGGAATCCAGACTAATTCTTGGAACACATCTTCTTCTTCTTTTTCTCTTGTTCCCAAGTTTTCTTCTAAGAGGCTCTTATAGAAGCTTTGCTCCATTTGGGTCCAGAGAAAGAGGATTTATTTATTTTTTAATCCTCACCCGAGGATATTTTTTCAAATATCTTCAGATGGGGGGGGGGGAGAGAAACATCGATATGAGAGAGACACATCGACTGGTTGCCTCCTGCATGACCCTGACCAGGGCTAGGGTCAAACCGCAACCAAGGTATGTGCCCTTGACCAGAACTGAACCCACAACTCTTTGGTTCTAAGGCCAATGGTCTAACCACTGAGCCAAACTGGCCACGGCAGAGAAAGAGGATTTAGACCAAAAGTTTAGCTTGTCTTATTTATAAACTTCTTTTTCTGAAAATAACACTTTTATCTGAAGAGCCACATGTCTGGGTGTCTGGTAGCTTCCTAGGTTCCTCTAGGCTGGGTATTTGTGCAGAGCTTTCCAGAATGCCCACGGAAGGCCACGAAGTGCTAGGTTTTAGGGAGAATTAGACCTAGAAAAGATGGTCTCCTTTATCTTGAGTACAATGATCAGAAGGCACACACAAACCTTTTGGGCAAAATTTCCTGTTTTTGTAGTATCAACAAGAACACAAAAACTGACAAGAAATACCATTACAAGTTCAAAGAAGGGCATTGTGGGCTGGGATTCTAGGTAATGGTGGGACTTGAGCTAAATACAGCTCTAAAGAAAATGTGGAACTTGAGTAATTGTGTTAAGTGAAGGGTATGTGTCTCCTGGTGCCACCTGCTGCTGGGACCTTGGACAGCACTTGTGAATGGTGCTGGAATGACAGTATGAGACATGGAAATTTGTCTCTACCCTACCCTCCAGGCTCCTAGAACATTTCCGGAAACATAAATACCTCTCCAGCTCTGGAGAAGTATTTGCGCTCCTAGTCAGCAGCCTCCTAGAGAATCTCTTGGACTACAGAACCATCATCATGCATGATGAAAGCAAGGAAAACCGGATGAGCTGCACTGTTAACGTGCTGGTAGGTGTCAAGCCTCTTAGGTGGCGGGAGGGCACTGCAGACCTCCCCTGCACCCACTCAAATCAGCTCCAAGTAGATCTCACAGACACAGAGGAAGCCTGGGGCTGCCCTTATGGAGTCTGTCCTGCTGAGTCTAATGGGAACCACCACCTCATCATTGGACTGGCAGATCACCAGCAGCCACAGACCTTGAGGATAAATTTGAAAAGAGGGATGGAAAATGCAACATAAGCTCTTGACTCTCTTACTAAATGCCATCCTCAGCCTGTTTCTTTGCCTTGTTTACATGTAGTTGCTTTATTGTTGAAATTATTGGACAGTCAAGCATGCATGAGAAACACTATACCCTGAGTACAGCATTAGTGCCTGAAATCTTCATGATGCTAGAGCTCTTCAATCTTGCCTTTCCCGGGACATATATATCTGGGACCACAGACCTCAGAGGGTTAGGTTGCCATTCCTCTGCTTACTGTAAACCAAGAAGCTGCCACTGCTTCCCTGAGCAAGCAGAGCACCAGGTGACGAGGAGAAGCCGGCTATGTTCCTAGATGTTTCCCTTCACACTGCTCAGAAGCATGGTCCTAAAATTTTTTTCAACTTGTCTTCTTTACAAACTGTAACATCCTTTCCTTATGGGGATGTTTGTTAATGGAAAATAAATTCTTTGGAGAGGTAACAATGTTGAAAAGCAAGAGTAGCTATTTGGCTATTTTCATGGCAAACTATTTAGTAACTCTTGATTTATATTGGTGTTTTGTAGAATTTTTATAAAGAAAAGAAGAGAGAGGACATATACATAAGGTAAGCTGAAGGGAATGTCTGCTTTTGCTATTTATGTCTTTATTATTTATTTTTTCAATTTACAAATACTAAGCCCCAACCCCATGCTTGCTGCTTTGAGAGACAACTCAAAGGTATGCGATATTCCCCCTTCCACCTGAAAGAGTAAACTCTTTAGACAGATACAGTAAGTACAGTACAAGGGTGCATATGGTGGACGGTGCTGGAATTCAAGGAAGGATGGAGGAGGCTGGCCAAGGCCATCAGGAAAGTCTGCCCAAGGAGAGGCATGGAAATTTGCCTGAAATTCTGGAAGCCCTGAATATGGAACACACTTAGACATAAATTATATACACCTTGGGGAGTATTTCATAGCTCTTGCTAGCTTCTGAAAGAGTTCCATGGCATAAAAATGCATAAATAGACACTACTGCCTTTCACAAAGAATATAAAGCAGATGGAGTAAGAAAGCACATAGGCAGGAGGCAGCTCCAGGGGTTAAAGGAGTAGGAAGGTAGCATGCAAGGGATTCCTTTGCCCAAGAGAAAGGAGCAGGGGGAGAAAAGATGAAAATCAGGCTGCGGCTTGGTTGTGGAATGAGCTGAATACTGGAGCAGCTCCCTGGTGGCAAAATGGCCTGCTTCTCCCATTCTTACCAGGTACTTGTACAAGCTGCGGGATTTGCACCGAGACTGTGAGAACTACACGGAGGCTGCCTACACTCTGCTCCTGCATGCCGAGCTGCTGCAGGTAAGTGGGTCAGGGCTGCTTGTGTCCACAAGCTGGAGGACAGAATACAGCGCATCAGCTCTCCAGGCCTTTGAGACTAGATCCTGTGCACTTCATGATTGTGTTGGGAATGGTCCTTATTCAAGAGATATCCTTTCATCCTAGAATATTTTTAAACCTTCTAAGTAGGCACAGCTAACTTTCAGATCAAGTTTGAGGAAATGTCAGTTATTAGATGAATGGATAAAGAAGAAATTCCATTGATTTAAAAATCCTTAGAAAGCGGAGTACAATTTTCAGTCCTCTGATTAATTGACACTGTAATTGAAGAAACAAATACCCATCAATTAATAAATGTGAAAAAATTGTAAAACTGCAGAGACTTGAGTTGTAAGTAAATATAGTGTCACAGAAGTAACTTTCTATGTATACTCACTCAGTAAGTAAAATTAAAATGTATTGTGGATATAAATCTATACCTCATGGATCTCAATTATTTTTGGTTCTGACCACTCCTCCAAATTCAGATGCACAGGTAGTCTGTTCTTTCAGCATCAATCTTGCAATGACTGACAGCACAAACTTCAAGTCCTAGCAACAGCTCTAATTTCCCACTGTTCCTGGATCCATTCCTTTCTCACCTTTCTTCCCACTTCACTAAAGGGCACCACCTTCTACCCAGTTGCTCAGGCAAATATCTGTCATCATATTTTATTCAACTCTCCCACATTTTCCACCAGCAAGAATTGTGGACCATCTGTCCAAAACTTGCCCTTACGCTCTACACTTTTTTAAAAGTTGTGATATGATTGACATATAACCCTGTGGACTTTAAGGTGCACATGTGTTAATTTGATACATTTATATATTGCAATATGATTACCACTGTAGCTAACACCTCTATCATGTCACATAATTATTTCTTTTGTGTAGTGGGAATAATTAAGATCTAGTTTCTTAGCAACTTGGAAGTTTATAATACAGTATTGTTGTCTATAATCACTTATTTATCTACGGGCTACAAGTTTGTAAACTTAAATTGAATCTTCCCAATTCCCCCTGCTCCAGCCCCTGGTAACCACCATTCTACTTTCTGTTTTCACAAATTTGGCTTTTTTAGATTCCTCTTCATACAGTACTTGTCTTTCTCTATCTGACTTACTTCACTTAGCGTAATGCCCTCCAGGTCCACCCATGTTGTCACAAATGGCAGGATTTCCTTCTTTCCCATGGCTGAGTAATTCTGTTGTATGTGTACAAGATCTTCTGTTTCCATTTGTCCATTGACAGACACTGAGGTTATTTCCAGGTCTTCACTACTGTGAATAACACTGCAATGAACATGGGAGTGCAGATCTCTCTTCAATATCCTGTTCATTTCTTTTCAATCCACTTTTTTATAAATCCTCACCCAAGGATATTTTCCCATTTATCTTCAGATAGAGTGGAAAGGAGAGAGGGAGAGAGAGGAGCATTGATGTGAGAGACACCTACTCGGTGCTTCCCGAATGACCCCAACCAGGGCCAGGGTTGAACCACAACCAAGGTACATGCCCTTGACTGGAATCGAACCCATGACTCATTGGTCCATGGGCCAATGCTCTAACTGCTGAGCCAAACCGACCAGGGTGATCCACTTTTTTTTTTTAAATCTCCATTGCAGCCATCCTGGTCCCAAGCTACCATTGTAAATTATAGTAGCCTCCTATTATATCTCTCTTTCTCCATTCTTGCCCCCAGCAATTGATTTTCTTTTATAATTTAATTTAATTTTTATTTTATACTAAAAATAATACACATACATTGTTTTGAGCTTTATAATTAAAAACAAGAGTCCTCTGCCTCGCCTCTTCCCCAAGGCAGGCGTTCACAACTCATTCAAGCTTGAGGCACTAAAAAGCTTACCTGTATATGGCTTAGGGAGGAAGGCTTCTTGACCATGGGATGGTCAGAAGGAAACCCTGGTATCTATAACCATATATCTTTTTATTTGTGCTGCTTAGAAAATTAAATTCTCCTCTCCTGGCATAGTAAGGTATGAGGTGTGGATACAACTCTTTTCCCCAGATAGCTACTCAATAGGGATGTGTAATATAATCCATATTTTCCTCATTGGTATGATATCCCTTCTACTGTGTACTAAATCCCTAAATGGGGTGGGAAGAGTCTCTTTTATTTAAAAAAAAAAAAAAAGTATTTATTGATTTTAGAGAGAGAGAAGGGGAGAGAGGGAAACATCAATGAAAGAGATGAAAGAGAAACATCAATAGCTACCTCCTGTGCCTCCCCCTACTGGGGATCAAGCACAAAACTTGGGCATGTGCCCTGACTGGGAATCGAACCAGTGACCTCTCAGTGCGTGGGACAACCTCAACCAACTGAGCCACACTGGCTAGGACGAGAATCTCTTTTATGATTTTGTAGACTTCTGCATGGGTCTCTGTCTATTCATATACTGGTACCACACTATCTTTTTAAAAATTAAACAGCTTTATTAAGGTATCACTGATACATAAAAACTGCACATATTTAATGTGTACAGTTTCCAGTACCACACTCTTAATTATTAATTTTTATAGTGTGTTTTATTACCTGGTAGTTAACAAAACTGTCTTCATTGCTCTTCTTTTTCAGAGTTTTCCACATATTTCTTTTTGTTTGTTTTTTCATATGGACTTTGGAATCATAAATTTAAACTTTAATTTAGGGAGAATTTCCATGTTTATGAAATAGCATTTTCTTATCCAAAAGTATGGTATGACTTTCCATTTGTTCAAGTCTGCTTTTGTGCCTTCAATGGTGTGTTAAAAGTTTTTTGTATAGAAGTCTTGCATGTTCCTTGTTATGTTCATTCCTAGATACCTTTTCTCTTTAATCTAATTATGATAAAATACAGATTGCAAAAAATATACCATCTTAACCATTTTTTAAGCATACAGTTTAGTGGCATTAAGTATATTTACATTGCTGTGCCTGGATATCTTATTTTGGATTTGTTGTTGTTGGACTCTTTTCTTCTGTTATCTTCAGCATGGTTATCTCTTTATGTAAAATCTGTCTCTAAATTATTTCTAAATATGTCACATTTTTATCCCACTAATTGACTTAATTCTCTGAATTTGTGGTAGTTTTTCAGTTGCCACCCTTTGTAAAAGCATTGATTGTGAAGAATACAATCATTGTACATAGTGGTAGTTTAGCCCGCTCCTATCCACTTTTATACTTCCGATTTCTTCCTTTTGTCTGACTATGTGCCGATACCTTTAGTACACAGTATGCATGCTGGCTGGTGAGCTCGCCTAGTCCTGGACTCTCACGAGGGTTCCTCAAGTGTGTGTCCATTCTGCATGGCGTGCTTTGAGGCTGGAGTGTATTATGTCTGTGAATGCAGTTTTTTGTTCAGTAAATAATCTAAAATACAGCCCTGGCCAGTTTGGCTCAGCGGTTAGAGCGTCGGCCTGCGGTCCGGAGAGACCCGGGTTCGGTTCCCGCTAAGGGCACGTACTTCGGTTGCAGTTTGTCCCCGGCCCTGGTTGGTCGTGCGGGTGGCAGCCACTCGATGTGTCCCTTCACGTCGATGTTTCTGTCTGTCTCTCCCTTCCTCTCCCTCCCTCCCACTCTATCTGTACAAAAAATGGAAAAATATCCTCGGATGAGGATTAAAAAAAAAAACACACACACAAAAAAAAAAAAATGATCTAAAATACAGTATGAATGAGTCACAGAATATGCAATATTTCTGCGACTTTTTAAATAAAATACTTGTTAATCTCCTTTAATTAATAAATTGATATGTTGCATTAATCCCTTTTGTTTGCTTTTCAGTGGTCTGACAAGCCTTGTGTACCCCATTTGCTTCAGAGGGACAGTTACTGTGTTTATACCCAGCAAGAGCTTAAGGAGAAGCTGTATCAGGAAATCATATCCTATTTTGACAAAGGCAAAGTGAGTGTTGGATCGTTTGTTTTGTATTAGAGCAAGGAGGACAATGACAGCAAGACTGTGGTGCATTTCCGATGCCAGCCAGCCAGGGTAGCACAGAGCGAGCCCACAGGCAAAGGACACAGTCCCCGACAAGACAGCCCTTACTTCAGACGCCAGACAATTTCAGGAATCCTCAGGCTGCCTGCATTTCTGACCAACTGACAATAAATATGGGGGAGAATCCTATGATCCCCTCAGGTCTGAAAATATGCTAGAACAACTAACAAAACTTAGTAAAATGCTGTGCTTACAATTACAGTTTTATCTTAAAGGACACAAATCAGGACCAGCTGAAAGAAGAAATATGTAGAGCAGGGCCTAGGAGGGTCCCAAATGCAAAGCTTCTGTTCCTTCTCTCCGTGGATTCTGAGCACATCACGCTCCAGGAGAATCGATGTGTTCACCAACGAGGAGCTCATTTGAGCCACTATGTGGAGTTTTTATTGGGGTTTTACTATGTAGGCTTGATTGAATCATTGACCACATGAGTGAACTCAGTCACTTCTTCCTTTAGATCTGGCTAATATCATGTAGCTCAAGGCCCCAGCCCTCTAATCACATGGGTGGTTTTTTTGGCAAGGGGCTCACCGTGATTCACCTCAGTAGCATAAACTCAGGTGTGGTTAGAAGGTCCACCATGAATAACTAAGACACTCCTATCACTGGGGAAATTCCCAGGGTTTAGAAGCTTCCTCCCAGGACTCAGGACAAAAACCAGACAAATTCCTCATGATACAATAATGACTCATGACTTTCTCTATTATTCCCATATGTACCTTTGAATCCTGGTATTTTTAATGGAGGAGAAAATGAAGAAATAAATTAATGTAAGAAAAGCAATAAAGATCAGTTATCTTGGCAACACCTAACCCAATGGAGAATATAATGGGCAGCCTCCACTCTCCATAATTGCCATTTTCTCTTTTAAATCGTGCTGAGGGTCAGGAACTAGTACTGTCCCTTTTAGTGCATCTCTAGAGATTGTTGACTAACATACCTGGTACACATCTTGTACCCAAATCACTACCTGCCTGACACCATAGGCTATAAGTATGAGCAGCTTAGATGCCCACAGGGGTGAGAAGGTTCAAATGAACATGGGAACTGGGCTGGGAAATTGTGAAGTCTCTACTCAACTAAAGAAAGCATGTCCACCTGAAAGGCTTTTAAACTTAGAATTAAAAAAAAAAAAATTAATGAGAAAAAAATATGTAGAAGGGGGCTGAGGGACAAAGAGAAAAAAAAAATGCATCTGCTATCCAAACAAAACTGTTCCCAGATTTGACCAGTTTCAGAGGCCTGGAGAGTTCTCATGGACTGCCACATCCAGCCACCATTTCTTTGTTTTTTCTTATCAGGGGACCTGTTGGTTAAATGATGATATAACTGCCGTCTGTTTAGTGCTAGTTTCTGTTTGGGGTGATCTCCAGACTTTTTTCCTAATTTAATTCTCTCTATAACCCTACAAGGTACATTTTATATCTGCTTTACAGATAAGAACTTAAGGCTCAGAGAGCAAGTATATTTGTTCAAACATTTTGATTTCTGTACCCCTTTGCTCTTAAAAATCACTGAGGGGCCCAGAGAACTTTTGTTCACATGGACTGTATCTATTGTTACTTATACTCTTAGAAACTAAAACAATTTTTAAATATATATTGATTTGTTTTTCTTAACAATGATAGTAAGCCTATTACCAGTAAAGATAAATCATATCTATTTTTGAAAAATTACTATATGTTCCAAAAAAATTGATGAATGACATTTGACATTTTTGCAAATCTCTTTTACATCTGGCCTACTGGAAGACAGCCGGACTCTCATGTCTGCTACTACATTCATTCTGTTGTATCACACATGCTATAACCTCTGGAAAACTCCACTGTACTCACTAGAACACAAGTGTTGGAAAAATGCAAATAAGATCAGTATTATTAAGAAGATAATTTGACCTGGATCTCTGAAAGGGTCTTGGGGACTCCCAGAGACCAGAGACCACTTTGAAAACCTCTGTGCTAGGCTGTTTCACTATCCCTTTGATAACTTGGCATTTGGTAAAATGAGGAGAGAATTCGACCCATTGATGCTATTGACTGGCTTCCTATACCAGGCCCTGCCAATTTGGAATAATTTTCATGCAGCACATTTCAGAGGTTTAGCAGTGACCAAGACCTGAAACTTCAGATGGACACATTTGGCAAATGATTATTTTAAAAGATTTCATTTTAAAATGTTTTGCAACTGTATATGAACTGCACACACATTTCTTCAGCAGCCAGAAATAATGGAACATAGCACCTGGTTGACAAGAATGTAGTAGGAAATTACCAGACGCTCTGTTACTAATAGTGTTCACTTAAGAGACATGTTATAAAATATCAAAATGAACAGAGGGATCAATCTTGGGTGCTAGCTTCAGATACCAAATATGTGCATTAGGCCGTAACTACATGGTCATAAATGCTCCAAGGCACTTCCTGAGACTCTCTTTGACTAAGGAGGTAGTTTAGTAGAAACAGAAAATCAGTGCTCTAGAGACTGTCGGCTAACACTTGGTACACAGTTTCCCAAATCCCACACAGCAGAACCTCTCCTCCCTCTCTCGCTCTCTCGCTCTCTCGCTCTCTCTCTCTCTCTCTCACACACACACACACACACACACACACACACACACACACACAGAACTAGAGGCCACACCAACTTTCCCCTCCAAATAGGCTTGTGCACTCTCAAGACCTAGGCTTTGAAACGGGTCCCCTCCACTTCCAATGGTTTTTAGTGTTTTGCCTTTAAGCTCAATATTGCTTTGTTTGGGGACACATGGTGTTTGTTCTTCATGGTCTTGCAAAGAGAATTATAGAAGATGCCCCCTGACAAAGCAGCCAAGATATAGTAGCTTTATGATGTCAATAAAAAGGTTTAGTTGATCCAGGAAGTGAGGCATGTTGGGAATATTTGCAGAAACTCAACTGTCCTGACTCTTTTACTCATTGCCAGTGACTTTCAAGTGGCTTTTGCAGCTGGATGAATGACTTTTTTGTTCTTCACTTTTCTTTTTCTGAAGATGTGGGAGAAGGCAATCAAACTGAGCAAAGAGCTGGCTGAGACCTATGAGAGCAAAGTGTTTGACTACGAGGGCCTGGGCCATCTCCTGGTGAGTCTGGGTCAGAATATGCCAAGCCTCCACAAGGGGTGCTAACGGGAGTGTTCGTGGAAGTGTTTTTGTAAGCTTAAGAAAGGCAGGATAAATGATTTTTTTACAATGGAAAAGTAAACGTTGCTTGAAATGAAAAAGTAAAAGGATGAGGTCCAAAAGCTGTTATTTTTTCTCCAGATTGTCCTTGAGAGAGGGCTCAGGATGTCTGTCTGTTGCCCCCTCTTCTATCTCTGTGCCTTTTGTTTCTCAGTGGACCCTCCACGTCTCCATGCCTCTTTCACCCTCGTAGTTATTCACCTTCAGTGAACACTATGCATATTTCAGATGTTTTCTGATTTTTTTTTAAGTTAATCCTCACCCGAGGATATTTTTTCCATTTATTTTTAGAGAGAGTGGAAGGAAGGGAGAGTGGGGTAAAGAGAGATACATTGATTGGTTGCCTCCTGCATGCATCCTGGCCAGGGCTGGGGATCAAACCTTCAACCCGCACAGGTGCCCTTCCCCAGGAGCTGAACCCACAACCCTTTGGTGCATGGGCCAGGGCTCTCTTACCACTGAGCCACACTAGCCAGGGCTCTGACATCTTCTGTTCATCAGAATTACTTGTTCTGTGGACCACATCCTCAAGTCTCTGCTGAATGACTAACTGCTCATCTTGGAGCCTTGTTATATTTTTTCAAGAGTGCCATTGTACACATTTTAGTAATATTGTAAAATGCTTCAGCCAGAATTTGACTCAGATTTTTCTCCCCAAGTCTCCTGAATGTTACTGGAGTACTCTACTTAGAGTCCCTGGAACGTGTGTATTATACCTGGCTGTTGGCACAGGTCAGCTATTTAAGAACAATAAAGCAGCCCTGGCCAGTTTGGCTCAGTGGTTAGAGCGTCGGCCTGCGGTCCAGAGAGACATGGGTTCGGTTCCCGCTTAGGGCGTGTACCTCGGTTGCAGTTTGTCCCTGGCCCTGGTTGGTTGTGTGGGTGGCAGCCACTTGATGTGTCCCTTTCATGTTGATGTTTCTCTCTCCCTCTCTTCCTCTCTCTCCCTCCCACTCTACATGAACAAAAAATGGAAAAATGTCCTCAGGTGAGGATAAAAAATAATTAATTAAAAAACAAACAAACAATAATGCAAAATAAAAATAGTTTTCTAATTGCCCAGTGGTAGATCAGCGCAATATTAATTTGATAATTTTCATAGAAAAGTAACCCATTGTCATGCAATAATAATTTATTTGAAGAGATAGTTGTCAAGATCATTTTGAAAAATATTTGCCAGTGTATTATACCAGCCCCTGCCATTATGCAAAAAATCACTCATTAACTTCATAAACTAAATTGAGCTGTGTTAGTCATATAACATGTTACCCTTCTAAGAGACCAGGAAGTAACCTGGCCAGTGTGGCTCAGTGGATTGAGCATTGTCCCGTGGACTGAGAGGTCCCGGTTCAATGCCTGGTCAGGGCACATGCCCAGGTTGCAGACTCGATCCCCAGTAGGAGCATACAGATGGTAACTGACTGATATTTATATCTCTCTTTTCCTTCTCTCTCTAAAAAATCAATAAATATATATTAAAAAAAAACAAAAACAAAGAAAGAAACCAGAAAGTAGTCCCCACTTACCTGCATTTTTGCTTTCCATATTTTCAGTTACCAGTCATCAACAACAGTCTGAAAATATTAAGTGGAAAATTTCAGGAAAAAACAATTCATAAATTTTAAATTGCATGCCATTCTGAGTATCATGATGAACTCTCTCGTCACCCCACTGTATCCTGCCTGGGACGTGAAGCATCCCTTTGTCAAACGTATTCACACTGTAGAGGCTACCTGCCCATTTGTCACTTGGTAGCCATCTGTGTTATGAGATCAACTCTCAAGGCACCACAGTGCTTGTGTTAAAATAACCCTTATTTTACTTAATAATGGCCCCACAAGTGCAAGAGTAGTGATCCTACAAATTTGGATATGCCAAAGAGAAGTGCGTCCTGTAAGTGAAAAGGTGAATACAGGCAGTATAAGATCTTTTTATTTTTATTTATTTATTTTAATCCTCACCCGAGGATATTTTTTTCCATTTATCTTCAGATAGAGTGGAAGGGTGAGGGAGAGAGGGAAACATCGGCATGAGAGGGACATATCAACCGGCTACCTTCCACACAACCCCGTCCAGGCCCAGGCACGAACGGCAACTGAGGCATGTGCCCCTGACCGGAATCAAACTCGAGACTCTTTGTTTTTTTTTTTATCCTCACCTGAGGACATTTTTTTTCCTTTTTTTTTTTTTTGTTCAGATAGAGTGGGAGGGGGAGAGAGAGAGAGAGAGAGAGAGAGAGAGAGAAACATTGACATGAAAGAGACACATTGAGTGGCTGCCATCCACACAACCAACCAGGGCCAGGGACAAACTGCAACTGAGGTACGCGCCCTTAGTGGGAACCGAACCCAGGTCTCTCTGAACCACAGGCCGACGTTCTAACCACTGAGCAAACCGGCCAGGGCCAAACCCAAGACTCTTTGGTCTGAGGGCTGACGCTCCAACCGCTCAGCCAAACCGGCCAGGCCCAGTATAAGATACTTTTAGAGAGGGGGGGAGAGACATGAAGACCAGAATCACATAATTTTTATTACAGTATATTATGAGAGAGAGAGAGAGAGAAACATCCATCGATTGCCTCTCTCCCATATGTGCCCCAACCAGGGATGGAATCTGCTACCTGAGCATGTGCCTGACCAGGAGTGGAATCCTTGACCTTTTGGTGCACAGGACACGCTCCAACCAACTGAGCCACACCGGCCAGGACATAATTGTTCTATTGTATTACTAGTTACTATTGTTAAACTCTTAATTTGGAAATTAAACTCTATCATAGGTGTGTATGTATAAAATAAAACATAGTATAAACAGGGTTCAGTACTATCTGCAGTTTCAGGCATCCACTGAGGGTCTTGGAACGTACCCCCTACGAACCAGGGGCGGCCTGCCATAGCAATAGAGCCATTGTGGGAGAGCCTTAGAGACAGCCCTCAGCGCCTCTAGGTCTGGCTACCTATTTTGCTTTCTTTACGGTTGACTCTTGGAGGTCTGGCTGGGAGGCCTCTCCTGTTGGAAGCATTAAAGACAGGGGTAGTGCTGGATATTGGAAAACAGATCATTACCTTCACCTTCTGGGCACTTGTAGCTGAACCAAGGACTTTAATCAAAACCACCTGCATGAACTGGAAAGTTCTTTATCTTCTTTTCTCATGTATCTCCACTTAAATGCAGCCACCCTTCATGAATCTCAGAAGGTGCTTTTTAATTTGTTAGGGTCCTGAGACCCCTTTGGGAAACTGGTGAAAACTAAGCAGTACCTCCCGCCGTAGCAGAATGCACAGTTTGCATCTTTCTGCAGAGAATCTCAGGGAATCTCAGGCCCTCCAAGGCTGTCATGGGCCCAGATCTAAACCTTCCTGTCCAGCAAAAGGATAACTCTGGCTAGCAAGATATTTTCCAAAGAACTTTCATTGCTTTGTGTTACATGGGAAACCACAAAAGAAATAGTCAGATCTCTTTTTTCCCCCCAACTGTGCCCTGTAACCTTCCTATGGAATGTCTTGTTTTGTTTTCCAGAAAAAAAGAGCCTCGTTTTATGAGAACATCATTAAGGCCATGAGGCCTCAGCCTGAGTACTTTGCTGTTGGATACTATGGACAGGGCTTTCCTTCATTCCTACGGGTAAGAAACCTGGCTGTGATCTCCCATACCGCTAAGCCAGCCGTGCAGGCTGAAGGAGGGGAGGTCTTCATCTCTTTCCCAGATGGACCTGATGTGTTAGCAGCTGGAGGCCGGTGTTCTCACTGTGGGAGGTCGGGCAGGGAAACTGCTTCCTGAGCGCCGGCCTCTTCACCCCACGCCATGGCCACCTCTGGGATTCTGGCAGCTCTTTTACAAAATGACTTTTCCCAAGTGGAATGAAAAGGGGAAAAACAGAACCTTCTGCTGCTGCAGGTCAGGCTAGGGAAAAGTGTAGATTGATGTATTTGGCTGTTTATTTTATTTCTAGTCCAAGCAAGATAGAAAGCGAATATCCAAGGATAAGACTGCAAACGTTTTGCAAAAATAAAAACAATTTTGTTGTAATGGTGAGAAGGACTATGTTTTTTTCCTTCTCAAAAATTTTTATAATGTGGTGTTGTTTCACAATCTAAAATATAAACAAAACACTCTTACTTTCTCCCACAAAAAAAGAAGCTTCTTTAAGTGCGTAGCAATGTTTAAGCATATATTATCCATCTTCCTTCCCCTAATTAAAAAAAGAAAAAGTGGGGAAGTATTTTATATTCCTTACAGTGCCTGATGAGGAGATTCATTCATTCATTCAGTAACTATGTACTGAATGCCACTGTGTGCCAAGCATATGCTAAACATTAAAGATGCAGTACTGATTATAATGTGATACAGTCCTTGCTCTCTTAGAATTTTACAACCTAATGGGTGAGATGTTAATTAAATAATCACACAAACGAATATAAAATTGAAACTGACCAAGACAGTTATTCTATGCTATAAGACTTGGTTAACCAGAGAGTAGTTACCCAAGTTAAATAAAAACCTACATTTACATAAAAATTGTACGTGAGGGTTTATAGTACCGTTATTCATAATCACCGAAGACTGGAGAGAACCCTACTGTCCCTCAACTGGTGAAGGGATAAACAAGCTATGATACAGTCATACAATGGAATACTACTCAGTAATAGAAAGGAATAAACTCCTGATACACACAACCTTATGGATGAATCTCAGATGCATTATGCTAAGTAGAAGTTAGACTTTTTTTCTGTATTGTTTTTTAGAGAGAGGAGAAGGGAGAACGAGAGAGAGATAGAAACATCAATGAGAGAGAACATCGATTGGCCTCCTTCCTGCCCCACACTGGGGATGGGACCCACAACCTGGGCATGTGCCCTGACCAGGTATCAAACCAGCAACTTCTTGGTGCATTGGTTGAGGCTCAACCACTGAGCTACACCGGCTGAGCAGAAGTTAGACTTTAATGTCTGCATTACACTGTGATTTTATTTATATGACATTGTGGCCAAGCCGACACTTACTATAGGGATGGAAAACAGATCAGTGGTTATCTGATAGTTGGGATGGGAGGGAAAGGCTGGGCTACAAAGAGGCATGGGGACATTATTTGATGGTGATAAACTGTTCTGTACCTTGATTGTTGTCAAAACTCACAGAATTTTATACTGAAAGGGGTAGCTTTTACTATATATAAATTATACCTGAATTTTTTTTTAAGAGTCAGGGAAAACTTCCCAGAGAATGTCAGCATCAGCTGCACTTTGAAAGGTGAGCTGGGCATTAAGGAGGTAGAGAGGATAGGAAAAGGCATGCCGTGCACTGAGAGCAGAGGAGCTGGGTGAGTGGGGCAGGTGAGGCAGGAAGGGTGGGAAAAGCATGCAGGCCTTGGGGTTACGAAGGGTGTTGTCAGCATCCTGACAGCAGTGGGGAGCCATTGCAGACTTTTGGAGTTGGCAAGGTTTATCTGGTTGTGTATGGAGAATGCGTGGCAGGTGTGTGTAGATAAGCCACTAGAGACTATTGTAAATGTCAAGGAAGAGAAGACAGGTTGGCCTAGGGAGGTGGCTTTAGAGAAAAATGAAAAGATTAGAATCACAGAAATGAAGTAACAGTATTTGAAAATCGACGGGGCTACGTGGGTGAGAAGAGAGAGATGTCAAGAATGATTCCGAGGTTTCTGGCCTGCATAATTGGAGGGGCAGTGGAGCCACCCACTTAGATAAGAATACTGGAAAGAACAGAGTCACAGGGGGGAAATTAATCCATTTATTGAATGACCATTTATTCAACTCCTATAGTGTGCTTTGCTGTAATATAGGCATGGGGATATAACCTAAATGCCCTTCTGAGTTATGGACAATTTCCTCAAACTTAGAATATGCAAATTATATGATCTCCTCCCCCCATCCCACCCAGTCTCCTCCTCTTTCTGGCAATGGCACCTCTGTTCTTCCTGCTCTGAGGCCAGTAGTCTCAGAATCTTGTTAACTCCCCAATGCCTGTGGCCCTTTAGCAAACACTAGAGTCAAACACCAGATCCTGAGCTCCTCCTCCTCCCACTCATCCTGTCCGAATTCCTGCAGTTGGACTAGTCTGTCCACACTGCTTCTTTCATCGTGTGCCCTTTCCTTCCATAGCTTCCAGTGATTTCCCTGAACTTGAGCCTCCCTTCGCGTCCCAGCTCATCATCCAGGCTCTTCTGCCTGACTCCATACTTCCTGTCCTTGTGCCTTATTCCTCTTGTCACTTATCATGCCTGGTTATCTCTCTCCTTGTGTCTCCTCCCCTTACCCTATGGGCTCGCATAGGCCCAAACAAGTCCCGTGTCTTCTTGAAGCTCTGTCTTTCATGTTGAGCCAGTTTCTGCCGACCTTCTGCTTGTCGAATTCTTTTCATAGCTATCGTCCCCATCATACAGTTAGTGTTTTATTATATTCTGATCCTTTGTCCACATAGTTTTGCCTGAATGAGGGAATTTTATAATGCATGAATCAGTCACATAAATCTCTCCCAGCTTGGAAAAATTTTATCATCTATTCCAAAAGTTCTGGCAGTTTTTCTGCCTTCCGTATTTGGTCTAGAAGGTATATTGCCTTTGCATTATTTATACTATCTAAAATTATTATATTTACTTGTTCATTTTCTGTTTCTTGCCACTGGAAGGTAAGATTTGTGAGAGCAGGGTCACCGTTGTATGCCTGGTGTCTAGAATATTTACTGTTTGTTCAATGTATATTTTTTATGTGAATGGATGAATGGTTTAGAAATATTTTACAGAACAATGCATGCCCAAGTTTCAGTTTAAAATGGATCATGAGTGGGCTGCCAATCAAAACTAAGTACTCATCTAATGAACATCAGATGAGCAGAAACCCTCAAAACATGGCTTTATTTGAAATTACATGGGAAACAACCATTATGAGACAAATTACTCCTATTCCTGGGGCCCACGAGATTTCTTTATTTTAATCCATCCACAGTGATTTTCAGGATTGGTGGGGACTGCTCTGACTTCTTCCTGTCGTTGTGACTGTGTCACTGTGTGGAAAGGTGTTGCCTTGATTCTCATTGTACTTTCACATTCCCCATGGCTGTGTCACTCAGAGTGCTGGTCCACAAAATGTTCCTGGATCATGATGAGTAATGGAGCTTGCTGAATTATAAATTAATGTACTTCCTTCATTGAGAAAGTCTTACAAAGAAAAATATCAGCTAAACTGAACAGCATTCCTGGGGCCATGGATCTACATTAGGGCACAAGCTCCTTGTTTTCTTGTGGGTCAGCATAGCCTGCACTGGCTGTGGTTGTGCCAACACTCTGAGAAGCACTGCCTGTGACTGACTCCCCAAATAAACCAGGAGCTCTTGTCAGATCTGGTGGTTGCTGTGAGACAGGTAGTAGGTATTCAGTGAGAATCTAATGGTAGGTTGCACTTTGGCTGGGGTACCATGGCTTCCTCAGTACCAAGAACTCTTCATTCTTGATCTTTAATTATGCACCCTGCTGTGTTTGACCTGCAGAACAAAATCTTCATCTACCGGGGAAAGGAGTATGAGAGGCGAGAAGACTTCAGCCTGAGGCTGCTGACCCAGTTCCCCAATGCTGAGAAGATGACCAGCACCACACCCCCAGGGGAGGAAATCAAGTGCTCTGCAAAGCAGTGTATCCTTGCCACAGAGAGACCTGGCCCAGCCAGAAAAGCTAAGCGTTCAATCCCGACTCTGAACACAGATGTGTTTTATACTCAGACCACTCATTTAACCATTCAGACTCAGTGTCCCAGTCTATATAATTTATACTGTAAAAGCTTTGAGACCCTAACATCCTCATCTCGTGGTTATGAAGTAATCAAAGGAGAGAGATGACAAGCAAATCTTGCACAGGACAGAATATAATTTAGAGCCATATGGGAAGCTTGAAGAGAACATAGACTTTCTGTTCTGAATTCTGGATTAGGATGTATAGCTCTTTTTCTATAACATACCATGACTTATTAAAAAATCAATTACATGCATTATCAACAACAACAAAAAGCTAACACTAAGGGCTTCATAACAAAGTTACTTTTAAAATTTTCTCATGGGCTTTATGCCAAAATAAAATGTTATGAAATTGAACATTATTCAAAGAGAGAGAGATAAGATAGAGCCAGCGTGGCATGGTACATAAGAAAATGGACTCTGGAGGCAAACTGCTCTATCAGTAACGATGTCACTTTGGGCAAGTTACTTAAGTTCTCTGTGCCTCCATTTTCTCATGTATAAAATAGGAATGATGATCATTCTTCCTCTTGGAGTTCTTATAGAGATTGAGTACATAAATATATGTAAAATACTAGGAACAGTGCCTGATATGTAATAAAAATTCAATATATATTAGCTGTTATTATAGATTGGTAAATGGCTGTAGAAAGATAGATAATAATTATAGTTCACTGGACAGACCTTTAAGAGAAGAGTAGTAGTGCCTACTAACCCATAGTGGATGGTTGGAAAAGAAGGGTCTTCCAAGGTAAATCCTTGGGTATGGAGGTTTAGAAAACAACAGAGGTACCTTCTTGAAGAGAACATAGACTTTCTGTGGCAAGGAAAGAGATCTTCAAGAATTGGATTTAGAAACAGGAGTCCTGGTGTTTGGCCGTCAGTACTGTCTGCAGAGCCCTTTGACCTTGCCCAGTTGCTTCAATTATCCAGGCCTTGGTTTTCTCATCTACAAGGTGTGAGTATAAGTCTATTTTCCCTAAATACCTAATGGCAGTTCTGTGAGGATCAAAATAAAAAGGAGATAATTTATGTGAAAATGCTATAAACTCTATCCCTAAGGCATGGCTCAGTGGTTCTCAGATCTTACTACACAGAAGAGAATCAACATGGAGAGATTCTAGTTCAGCAGCTGTGAATTCTAATTCTGAATTTTGAATAAGTGACTCTGGCGCAGGTGGATGGCACACTTCACCTGGAGACACTGGTAGTTCTAGATGCAGGTACTTAAACTGTAGTCTAAGTGCTGTAGACATGGAAACCATTTATCTGCTCTGGTGAGGACAACAGAAGACGTTGCCAAGATCAGATCATTAGGTCAGAGGAAGCCTTACCCCTGAGCCAGTTTGAAGCCTGGCTTCACTTCCCAATGTGTGATCTGGGTTTTCTCAGATCCTCTGGCTACTTAAGAGGAAGATTGTCCAAAAGAAACAATTTAAGACAATTTCTGATCACCTTTTTTAAAATATTTCATTCGTATCTCCTATTTTCCTCTGGGAAGGTTGTTTGTCAGGTGTCTGACCAAAAAAAAGTCCTAGGATGATGACTTAATAAGGCTTTTTGGGTAATACGAAAGGCAGCCCCTTTTCAGTGTGGTCCTGGCATTTGGTAAAGGAGAATGGTCAATGTAAGTGCCATTTCCATTTGTAAAGCAGTAGGAATAGGCGGGCTTTCTGCCTATGACAGCTTCATGGCCCAGTTCTTTATCCTTCCTTAGTGAGCCCCTCAGACATGCAGTGTTTCACCGTCAAGCCAGTGATGAGTCTGCCGCCCGGCTATAAGGATAAACCAGTTCCGGAGCAGATCTTAAAGTAAGTGTGTTTTCTTGGTTTTTGTTGTTGTTTTTATTTTATTCTGTAAACGCTATTACTGTTTTCTTTTTGTTGCTGTTTTTTTCTGTTATTGTCAATATTACAGATGTCACCCATTTTTTTCCTTTTTGCCCCCATTCACCCAATCCCCGCCCCACCCCAGGCATTCTCCACATTATTGTCTGTGTCTATGGGTTATACATATATGCATATATGATCTTTGGTTAATCTCTTTCCACCCCCTCCACCCCACTCCCCACTGAAATCTGTCCATCTGTTCCATGTATCCATGTCTCTGGACCTATTTTGCTCGTCAATTTATTCTGTTTATTAGAATCCACATATTAGTGAGATTATGTGATATTTGTCTTTCTCTAACTGGCTTGTTTTGTTTAGCATAATAGTCTCCAGGTTCATCCATGCCATCGCAAAGGGTAAGAGCTCCTTTTTCACAGCTGCATAGTATTCCATTATGTAAATATACCACAGTTTTTTATCTACTCATCTGTTGATGGACACTTGATGGGCTGTTTCCAGATGTTAGCTTTTTTTTTTAATCCTCACCTGAAGGTATTTTTCCATTTATCTTCAGATAGAGTATGAGGAAAGGGGGGAGAGAGAGAGAGAGAGAGAAACGTCGATGTGAGAGAGACACATCGATTGGTTGCCTTGCATGACCCCAACCAGGGCTGGGACTAAACTGCAACTGAGGTATGTGCCCTTGACCAGGTTCGAACCTGAGACTCCATGGTCCTCAGGCCGACACTCTAATGCTGAGTCAAACTGCCAGAGAAGATCTTAGCTATTTTTAAAACACCTGTCTCTCTCACACCCTTTTAGTTTAAAGGGGATGTGGCACCTTTTTTCTCCCAAGGGCCATTTGGATATTTATAACATAATTCGAGGGCCATAGAAAATTACCAACTGAAAAATTAGCCTGCTATGTTTGGTCAGGCTAATTTGGTGAGGCATGTGATGTTAGCTGGTATTGATTTTTTTGGCTGTATGTGGCCCGAGGGCCAGACGTTCTCCATCCCTGATAGAAGTACATCCGAACCAAAGTCTTCAATTCATTCCAGTTTGAAAGACCTTCTGTTGTTCAGGCTGTTGTAATAGAATTCCATAGACCGGGTGGCTGGTAAACAACAGAAATTGATTTCTCACAGTTCTGGGAGCTGGGAAGTCAAGATCCAGGCGCTACACATTAGGTGTCTGATGACCTGCTTGCTAGTTCATAGATCTTCTCAATGTGTTCTCACAGGGGGAAAGGCCGAGGGGGCTCTCTGGGCTCTTTTATAAAGGCACTAATCCCATTGATGAGGGCTCCATCTTCATGTCCTAATTACCTCCCAAAGGGCCCACCTCCTGATACCATCACATTGGGGGTTAAGATTTCAACGTAGGAATTTGGGGGGACACAAACATTTAGACTATAGTAACTGTCGTTCCATTTTCAGTATGAGACAGGACCTTGGTAACAAAAGGATGTGGGAGTTTTGTTTCTATAAGCAGATGGAGGGAACTCAGGAACTTCACTCTCAGGGTTAGATCCTCTAGCTCTTATATCTGCTCAGAGGGTTCACCGGTCAGTAGTAGCTTTTTGCCTCGCCGGGTGAGTTCCCCAATGACAGGCGGTCTAATTCCTTCTAAGAAGCCGAGATGCTAGTAGGGCCGGTAGCACTGTTATAGTAAGATAAGATTACAAACATGGTCATAAATACACATGCCTTTTTAAATTGTGAGCTGTGAAACCGATTCATAAATAATAAAATTAAGGAGTACAGTAAAATCTGATTGTGCCCCAACATCAGCCTTCATTGTGGAGACTGTTGGTTCTGAGAGCTTAGTGGATGAGACTCGATTTGTGGAAGATCACAGCCTTTTCCCAAGTTTTGCTGCAGTCAGATCACGGAGTGCTTTTCTAAGAGTTATGACAACATTGTGGCTGTGTCTTTCCCCAGCTACTACAGAGCCAATGAAGTACAACAGTTCCAATATTCCCGGCCGTTCCGCAAAGGAGAAAAGGATCCAGACAATGAATTTGCTGTGAGTTCCACCCTTTGGGCTTCTAGAACAAGGTAAAATTGACATCCAAAGTGGTGGCCTTCCAGCCAGCTAACCAGCTTATCCCTCAGAAATGATGGTGGCCCAGAGATAGAGGCTTCGCATGCTTATTACCAAGACAGCAGGCTGTCATCTGAGTGGAAAACTCTAGACCAGGAGTCCAGAAACTTGGCTCTGCTTCCAGTTTGCCTGCCACCATGTTGACTTTGAGCAAGTCACACCTCTCTGGACTTCAACCTTCCCATCCAGAGGGAGAGAGGGCCCAAGGAGATGATCCTTTGAGCTTTGAACATCCAGAATTCTTACACTTTTAGAAAAAATATGGTCCATTCTCTAAGGAGGCATTTGAGATGGAATCTGATTTAACAGAACCAGAGAGTTTTGCCATTTTAAAAGCCTGGGAACTGACCAGCATTCCCTCTTCTTTCCACCAGACCATGTGGATTGAAAGGACTACATATACGACTGCATACACCTTTCCTGGGATTCTCAAGTGGTTTGAAGTCAAACAGATTTCAATGGTGAGTCATTAAAACTAGAAGTCAGACAAATCTGTCTTCAAATATAATGAGAACCTTTGTTGACCCCCTCCTCGGTTCTCACTAGCTCAGCCAGCCTCCTCTGGCCAGCTTTATTTTCCAAAAGAGAAATAAAGGACATGCTTGTCTAATAGAACGCCTCTGTAAAACTGATGTTATAGCACCACCCCTAAAGGTTATGCACAATGAATGACTCTTTTATGACCAGAGGAGTGTCGTCTTCTCCATGATCTTGCCAGCACCCGAAAATATTTTTGGAATGCCTCCTTGAGTTCCCTGTCAATCACATTCTTCTCTCTCAGAACTTCTCTTTATTCTCAGCTAACCACACCAGCAGTCATCCTAGACGCTTTCATTGTCACCACTCCCAAAAGCTGCCTGTTTTTAGTGTTTTCTAAGTCTCTTTCCTTTATTTCCAGCCTATACTATGTGCCCTGTTTCTAATCCCTCGTTGACCTCCAGGTTGATGCCATTGAAAAAACCCTTAATTGGCCTCCCTGCCTTGGCCTTTTGAGGTCCATTTTCCTCAATGCCTCAGAGTATGAAAACCTGATTGTATTATTTTCATACCTAAAACTGCCCTGTGGCTCCCCAGTGCCTAGAGTGTGAAATCCATACTCCTAAGCACATTCATACAGGGTCTTTGTGACTCAGCTCTTCCACCACGTGTCCTGTGGATCTACTGGAACTGAACTGCTCAGTCTCTGCTATTTCAACTCTCCATGACATTGGGTCATTTTCTCTACCCATTCAGCTTAGGTACCAGCTTCTCCAAGAAGCCATCTCCAAAACTCCCAAGCTGGCTTAGATGCTCCTTCTCTGTGCCCATCACCTCTTGCATTAATCCCTAATGAGTCACCTAACATGTTCATGTGTTTTGAGACACCACTGAAATAGTTAAGTTCCTCCCAGCCATGAATTATATCTTAATCACTTTGTAACTGTGGTACAAAGCATAATACTTGGCATAAGAGGTCAAGAAATATGTCTTGAACAAATCTGAACTGAAGTTTAGCGTGTCGCATACCAATAGTGTAAATTCTTCTTCTTCAAGGATTAATATGATTTTTGGACAGAGACTCTTAGAATCAAGTCTGGAGTAGGGGGTAATTAAATTACCCATGATAATGGATAAAATGAGGCCAGAGACCATTTTTATTGAAACCTGGTTTTGAAGACATTTCTACAAGAGGGGCTCTCTCTGAATTTGTATTACATCTTACTTCATTTTCATCCAAAATTCAGCCTGAATGTTCTGGTGCATCCTATTATTTCTGACTTATGTTAACCACAGAAGGTGACTTATATATGGTCTAAATGTTTGGCTTCCAAAAGCATGTACTTTCCTCATGAAAGAAGCATGGAACCTCTAGTCAGTGACCATTTTTGGTGGCACAGACGTGTCCTTGGTCAGCTCTCCTGTTGCTCTATTGTCGTCGATCTCAAAAATTTCTGAGGAAGCTTTGCCTGAGAAACAATCATTATTACAGCTCCAATTTTTTCTTCTCAGAATTTCTGTTAATGCTTTGCCCCAAGAAATGATTATTACTGTAGCTCCAAGTTTTAAACCATCTTTATAGTTTCTAAGGAAATTTTTAAAAGCTTATTTTGCAATTACCAACAGCATTTCAAATAAGTGTGATGCCCCAAGAAACATAACTTTGACCAGCAAAGCTCACTCTTCTATAGCTTGGTGGGAATTTTTATACCTTTTGAGGGGACTGCTTGGGCTTTTCCAGTCTTTGCTGTGGAGCTCACATGCCCTTCCCCTCCCCTGCTCTCTGTCACAGGAGGAAATCAGCCCTCTGGAGAATGCCATCGAAACCATGGAGCTCACCAATGAGAGGATCAGCAACTGTGTTCAGCAGCATGCCTGGGACCGGTCCCTCTCTGTGCATCCTCTCTCCATGCTGCTCAATGGCATTGTAGATCCGGCTGTCATGGGGGGATACTCCAACTATGAAAAGGTGGGCTGGGACCCTGGAACCCCACAGAACTCAAAGATCTGGGTGTTCAATTCCTCTCTGTGGCATTGTGCAGCTGGCGAATTATTTTTTTATCACTTTTCTGAGAGATTTTAACCCCCCTTTTTTTGGAATGGGCAAGTGAAATTAATAAAAAGCTTGTCTCCAACCTCACAAGCTCCTAGAGACCCTCAGCAACCCACCCCTGGGTTAGGCTACCACCTGGAGTAGAGGGACTGAAAGATCAGTCACATATACCATATCTGGTTGATTTACCTGCTGTTCCCACCCACTCCCCCTCTTCCCTGGGAGGTAGTAAGTGCACAGGTGGGGCCCACAACGGAGGATGCTCTGGAAGTGAAGCAACCTGTGTTGTGGGAAAGGCAGGGCCATGCTTTGTTTAGATTTAGCCCCTAGGAGTCCCACTGTGCCGATGGGCCTGAGGCTACATGAACAAATGCTAGCCCTGGCTCTGAAATTAAATTAGTTAAAGTGTATCTGTTACTCTGGGGAAACACAAAAGCAGTGCTCACCAAGTGAGTCCACGGTGTAGGGTTTGGGTGTGGGGCCACTTCAGGGGAGGTGGTGCTTTCAGTAAGCAAAGTCCAGGTAAATATAAAGTTGACCCTAGAATAGAACAGGTTTCAACCGTGCAGGTCCACTTATAAATGGATTTTTTTCAGTAAATACAGTTGGCCCTTCATGTCCCTGGCTTTCGCATTATGGATTCAGTCAACCACGGATGGAAAGCAGTATTTTCACATTCCCAACCGCAGAACGAAAATACTGTCTTCCACCTGCATCTGCGCATCTGAAAGGCCCACTGTGGAAATGTTAGTGGTTTTCCACTGGGCAGCAGGGGAGGGAGATCAGTGCCCCTAATCCCCCAATGTTCAAGGGTCAACAGTAATTAATAGAGGCAGAATTTGTCATTATTAGGTACACTTTTTGTGGCTAAATAATTTTGGAGTCCTCTTCTTGACAGTAAACCAACATTTGGCTAGTACACCCTGTGGAGTAGCCTGGAGAATGAGAGGGAGAAAAGGAGATGGGGGAGGCAGTAGATGTTAAGTGGGCTGATTCTCATCCTTTCACTTGTTCATGATGCCCTGGCTTTAGCCTCAGTCACTCCTGTGACCATGTCCTCGCTTCCCATGTCCCATTGGCCGCTGTGTGCTCTTGGGAGACCACCTCTCTGAGCTCCAGTTTTCCACTATGAAAAAAGTGAGGAAAATACCTAATTTTACAGGAGCAACTTGAGACCTGAAGGGAGACATCCTACATATAAGGAACATCATACAACACTTGCCTTGTGGTTGAGGCTTGATCCATGTGGGCTTCCTTCCTCCTTCGTTCTGTGTGACTTGAATGTTCTTCCCGAGTGGTGTTACGGTGTGGGGCACTGCTGTGGATCTTCCTCTCTGCGGAGGGCTCACCACCAGGCAGGAATCCTAGTTTGCCCTTGATAGAGTTCAGTAATAATTTCCAGTGTGACAGTGGAATTCAATACAAAACTGGGATCAAAAAATATAATTTTTTATACTGTAATAATTTCAATGTGCATGTTTTCCTGTTAGCTAGCTGATAGTGATTTTGATGTGTTTTTCTAAGTGTTAATATTTCAGAGTGCCCCTAAAAGTCAGATTCATATGTGCCAATATAAAATAACTTCATATGAAGTTCTTTCTAATGTTATTGTCTTCTAATTTAAATGAAAAAAGAAAGCAAAGGAAGGATAAATATATAAACAAATGTATCTCAGGAACTTTGGCTTAAAATACTAGTTTATACTTTGGTTAGTATGTATGACTTTGTACATTTCTAACCTTAAGAAAAAGTTAAACATTGATCACCATGACCTATTGCAGTGAGTTGGGGTACCCATTATTACCTACTTGACACGGGTGACCTATTTTAAGGCAGTTCTTTAATCACGGCCTTGGTGATAACGCAGGGGCTGTTTGCTGTCATTTGTCAGCTCTTTCTGTTGTACAGCGGGACTCTGCTAGAAGAATTAACTTCAGGGCGCTCTGATGTTCCCTGACTTAGGTGCTTTGGGAATTTAAGTGCACTTTATCATATATCAATTTTTTTTCACTTTCAAAATCTAAAACTGCTTGTATTTGAAGGTGGATGAGGATTTGAGCAAATACTAATTGTTTATTTATATCCACAGTCCCTCTAAATAGGAATCTGGCTGGAATGAACTGCTTGGGAAATGTGTAGTGCTGCTTCCTGTTGGTGACACTTGGTCTCCCTATATTTATGTTCTGTTGTGTTAGTTTGGTAGGGCTGCTGTTACAGAGTGCCACCAACAGGGTGACTTAGAACTTTGGAACAGAATTGTCGCATAGTCGGGAGTCCAGCAGTTGAAATCATGGTGTGGGTAGGGCTGACTCCATCCGAGGACTGGAAGGAGAATCTCTCCCTGCCTCTCTCCTGGCTTCTGGTGGCGTGTGGGCAGTCTGGGTGTTCCCTGGCTTGTGCATGACGGTCTTCTCCTGGTGTCTCTTCACAGTTTTGTCCCTGTGTGCGCATCTGTGTCCACATTACCCCTTCCTGTGAGGTCACATTCTCAGGCAGCAAGGCTTAGGACTTCCACATGTGAACTTGGGGTTGGAGTGTGGGTTGGACAACAGTTCAACTTGATCATCTTCCCACAGGGTGACGAGTTCTGTTGCCCACATAAAATGGGCCGATCACTGTTAAAACTGTACCCTGTAGTGTTAGGAACTCTTGGCTTGTATATAATGGGGGGAGGAGCAGAAGAATGAAGGGCAACGTTGAATGTTGGTCTTTGAAAGCACACTCAGAAATGAAGGTTAAGGCACAGGGAGAAAATATGTAACTCCCATTGTGAACTCTTATTGGAAATGTTCACTACAGGATTCTCTTTTCTTTCCTAATGAAGTCTGTCTTTCAAATGATCTCCTATGTAACACCTACACTTGTAGTTGAGTTGTATTTCCCTGTTACGGGACCTTAGCGATGGGGACCATGTATGTTTATTGATGATGCTATAGGTGATGTGGTCTTGACACATAATAAATGCAACCTGCTTTTAATATTTTCAAACCATTTTACATCTGTGTCTCATGTTGTCCTCAAAATAGCTTTTTGGATAGGTGATTACTAAGAAAGTACAGGTATTAATCTTCACTTAAATAGGAAACAATTGTGATACAGCCTCTATCACGCGGTAGAGCAAAAACACTATCAGTCACATCTCTAGCCTGTTAATTTTTTGCTCTCTTCGTTCTAATATCTATGTAATCTAATGAATACCTTCAGTATTGTCATTTGGTCTTTTCTTAGTTCTTTGGGAAAATTATTTTAAGGGAAGACATTTTGCTCTCCAGCTGATTATTATTTTATTCGTGTGTGTGTGTGTGTGTGTGTGGTTGAGAATATACTCGTGATGGGAACTGCATGATTCCAAAAAGACCACAATATGGCACCTGCCTTTTTGAATTGTTCACTATGGATAAGGGCTGTGCTGTTACTTAGTCGTTTCTGGTTCACCACGTAGAACAGAAGACATGTTTCAGCCTCCCAGGTTTCCCTCCCTTTTCTTTAGGGACAAATACACAGATCGGTATGTGTTTTCATTAACACCGCCATGTGCTCTGCTTTTAGGCCTTTTTTACAGAAAAGTACTTGCAGGAACATCCTGAAGACCAGGAGAAGATTGAGTTGCTAAAGAGACTGATAGCGCTACAGGTATGCATCACTGTGGGGTGTGTCTGGACAGCTGCTCACTGCACCCACAGTGTACAAGCCTGAGATATCCTCTGGGTTTCAAATCTACTAGACCACTTTTAGGGTTACTTAAAAAACAAACATGGAATCACAAACTATCTGTTTGTTTGGCGAAGTGACCTAGGAACAGCATTTGTTAGACTGCAGTGTTGAGAGGAGCTTTTTAAGAGATGATACTCAAGTCCCCAATTTTCTTGGTCTGTGTCAGCTGAGAGATGTTTGTGTCAGTTTATCTCTTTCTCACTACAGTGAACAGTGAGAGAAATGCAGCCATCCACTCCAAGGCTTAAACCTTTCAGTTCCTCATCCTCAGAAATCCCCCTGGGCTCAGATGGGCCGGCCTTGTCTGGCAGCCCTTGCCCGCTTCGGGGCTTGCCTGTGTCCTTGAGGTGTGTATTTCTCTGCTTCACCGACCCAAGGCATTCAGCTCCCAAGCACTGCACTGACAAGTAGTTTTCTTATGTGATATGTGCTATGTCTTTCTGTTTACCTGTCCACCCCATCTTCCCCACCTCCAAATCTGAGTTATCCCTCTTCCTAAACCACATCACCTCCTTTTCGTGCCTTCTTTTCCAGATGCCCCTGCTGACAGAGGGTATCCGCATCCATGGGGAGAAACTGACAGAGCAGCTCAAACCGCTGCACAACCGCTTGTCCTCTTGCTTCCGGGAACTCAAGGAGAAAGTGGAAAGACTCTATGGTGTTATCACATTGGTAGGCTTTGTCTAAGTAGCCTTTAAGCTTTTTCTAGTCTCTGGTACATTTCATATTGACCAATTTTTCAGATGCTGAATGAGTCAAAATAGCGTAGGTATGGCATGAAAATACCAGGGTGGGTCACAGAAGGCATGGTCTGCTGTTGATGACCAGCGACCATCCTTGTGCCAACCAGGGGTTCTGCAACTTGAACAACCTTCATAACTCTCTGGAAGGTTTGTGAAAACACAGATTTCTGGGCCACATCCCCAGGTTTCTGGTTCAGTAGTTGTGGGATGGGGCCCAAGAATTTACGTTTCTAACACACTCCCAGGTGGTGCTGATGCTGCTGGTCCATGGCCCATGCTTTGTGAATGACTCTATTAGAAGTCAGAGTGCTCCTAATCCCAGACACTGCTTGTCCCTATCCTGTCGAGCCCAATTCTTAAAGTTTTTTCATATATATATATATATATATATATATATATATATTTTTTTTTTTACTTTAGAGAGACAGGAAGGGAGAGGGAGAAAGAGATAGGAACATCTATGAAAGAGAACATCAATTGGCCACCTCCTGCATGCCCCCCACTAGGGATCAGGCTCACAACCTGGGCATGTGCCCTGACCGAGAATCGAACCAGTGACCTCTTGGTGCACGGGTCGACGCTCAACCACTGAGCCACACCAGCTGGACCTAATATTTTTAATTTTATATCTATCAACAATTGCATTTTGTTTTTGTTTTTAAACTTCTATTGTTGAATGTATTACAGATGTCCTCCTTTTTTTCCCCATTGACCCTCTCCTCCCCACTCCTGCTCCCCCCCCCACCGCCCTGCACTGTTGTCTGTGTCCATTGGTTATGCATATAAGTTCTTTAGTTTATCTCTTCCCAACCGCTCCCCCTTCCCTTTGAGGTTCATCAGTCTGACAACCACTTTGTACTTCTTAATCCCTTCACCTTTTTGCCCATCCCCCCAACCCCCCTCCCATCTTGCAGGCAACAAAAAGTTCTCTGTATCTGTGAGTCTGTTTCGGTTTTGCTTGTTCATTTTGTTATATATATATATATATATTTTTAAATTAATTTCCTTTGTTGATTTTAGAGAGAGAGGAAGTGAGAGGGAAAGAGAGAGAGACAGAAACATCGATGAGAGAACATCGATTGGCCACCTCCTGCATGTCCCCCACTGGGGATCGGGCCCACAACCTGGGCAAGTGTCCTGACCGGGAATCGAACCCGTGACCTCTTGGTGCATGGGTTGATACTCAACCACTGAGTAACACCACCCGGACTATTATATTTTTTATTTTGATGATAAGTGTACTCTCTTCACACCTTTGAAGTGGAGAATTATGAAGTACATTTTACAATGCATGTAGCTGATTTCATAATTTTTTGACCATTCTAACACATTTCTCACAGCTACAATTTTCTATTTTTCCTCTTGAGAAGTTGAGTGGAAGGATGCATATGCTAACGTTTTTTCTTCAACAGTTGATTGTAAGCTTAGTCCCAGCTTTATTTATCAGCTCACCTTAACATAAGTTTATCTGCTCGATTCAACTGCTTTACCCTTGAACCCCCAATTTTCAGATTTTCTTTCCTCAAATCAAGCTCTTAATTTATCTTCGTGCACTCCTCTCTTCTTCCCATACCTCCATCTCCACTGCCTTTCTTTCCAGAGAATCTTTTGATCATCTCTTTCCATCATCTCAGTGTTCAATCATAAATTCCTAAAAATTTACCTTCTAACCTACCACAGTTAAGAGTTTTCTTCTAGGAAAATTCATCTTTTACACAAATTCTTAAATGGCAGACTGTGACTTTCGCCTCATGAGTTTGGTTTTTATTAGACCCAGGTGAACAGTAACATGTAGATTTGAAATGGTGGCATGTATAATCCAATGATCCCACTGGAGACATTTCTCCTGAAAGTAGATCAATGTTCCCTTATTCCTGAAATTTACCTCTTTGAGTGTCAGGTCTGTGGTTTCTATCTAAACTTTTCAACTGGGCCAGTATTTCATTTTTTAAATGCCTAAAAGAAGCAAAGCTGGAAAAGTAGGCAGAGAATATTGCTACTGTATTGGTAGGTGAACATATTGGTTATTTCTCTCTCGTGTAGGCTGGCAGCAAATTATGGTGCATTTTTCTGTAGTCTTAGAAACAAAGTAAGTTTAATCTAAGTTGTATCTATAAGTAAAAATATAAGTATTTCCTTATTTAACAACCAAGACAGCACAGGCACCAACCAATCAGAATGGGGTGCCATCCAATATAAATGGGCACTTGCCACAAACAAGCAGGTCTGCCTTCCTTCACATGGGCTGAATTCTAGGCCAGATAACCACGAGGGTTCATGTGTTCTCCAGCCACCCAACTTGACAGACAGGAAGCAAAGCCGCACAGGGTCCATCGTGCTACCCTACATTATGTCATCTACACTACGGAGATTGTCAGTCACCTCAGTGACGTCCTCTGTGATTTCCACTTCTTCTAACTCATCTGATACCACTTCTTCCAGACCAGGATCCGATGGGTAAGGATTTGATCTTTAATTGCCAGGAGGGGTGGGGTAACTCCTTTCTAATATTTGATTTTGGTACTAAAGTGAGAGTTGGTCAATGTAGATACAGTATCCTCATAAGGGAAATACTTCAGAGTTCATGGTTATTTTCTCCCTCATGAGGAATATCATTATTTACTATTTACATAAACAACTGTTATGAAAATGGGGGGGAGGGGATCAACCATAGTCCTATCACCCACCCAATCACATTCTGATTTTTTCACAATAACTTATAGTCATTGCTTGATTTTTTTCATCATTTTAATTTTCAAAAATATTTATTTTATGAATTGTTAATGTAATGCCAAGATATGAGATTCCAAAGGTTCAAAAGGATGTATTGTGGAACAGCTCCTGTCAGTCCCTGACTCCACCTTCCCAGTGCCACCCTCCAGAGACAAATGATGTTAGCATTCAGGTTCTCAGTGCCTTTCCAGCAGCTCTTCATAGATGCACAAGCAATACTTAAATAAATAGATATTTGCCCCCATACTTTCTTATTATACGAATGGCAGTATGTCAAACTCTGTTTACCTTGCTATTTTCACTTACTAGATCTTTAAAATTAATTTATTTCAGAACAGAAAAAGCCTCCTCTTTTCTTTGAGCTGCAGACATCTTGTGGTATATCTGCACCATGGTACATGCCACCTGTACCTGTTGGTGGACATTAAGTTGATGTGGCAACAAGGAACCTTAAAAATAAGCTATTTTGTAAATATACAAGTATATCCATATGAGAAAAATTCCCAAAGTGAAATTACTCTGTTAAACCTATATAGATGCAATTTTCAAAATTATTCCTAGACTGACTTCCATGGATATTATACCAGTTTACAGTCCCACCAGCAACATACATGCCTGGTCACTCGCACCTCGCCACCAAATAATGTATTATCGGTCTTGTTAATTTTTGCCAATCTGACAGGTGGGAAATATTTTCCTAATATAGGAATTATTTTCTTTTGATTTATCTTGTATGAAGTTGAGCATTTTTTTATCGGTGTAGTAGCCGTTTGTGTTTTATTTTCTATGAACTGTGGTCAAATCTTTTGTGTACATTTGGACGTTGGCCATGTCTGTGATGTGAGTTGAATATTTTCCCCAATTTCTCTTTTGTCTTTTTATTTTGAATTACAGTTACATTCAATATTATTTTGTGTTAGTTTTAGGTGTACAGCATTAGTTGTTAGATCTCCTTGTCTTTTGACTTTTAATGTTTTATTTTGTTCTGATTTTTTAATGCAGTCAAATAAATTAACATTTTATCTTATAACTTCTGGATATTATATCATAATTGAAGGCCTTCCCCACTCTAAGACTACAAAAAAAAAAAAACCAACTAACTTTAGGGTTTCACTATTTATAATTAAATCTTGATTCTTTGGAATTTAGTATAAAATGTGAGGTATGAAGCCAACTTTTTTTTCCTCATGCAACTACCCATTTCTCCCTATAACATTTAGTGAGCAAACTGTCTTTACTGGTTTTAAATGTCATCCTTATAAAAATATCAAATTCCTATATGTTCTTTAGCCTATTTGTTGGCCCCTCCCAACCCCCACTTTTTTTGTCTACATGTGTGTTTATCCACCAGTGTTATAAAGCTCTAGTTTTAAAAGATTTTTAATGTCTAGTAATCCTTTTCAGAATTTACCTGGCCAGTTTTACTCATTGCTCACTTTTGGATTAACTTGTCTAGAATTCTGTTGCTCTTTTTATTGGGATCACGTTAAATTTATGGACTAACTTCATGAGTATTGATGGCTTTTTGATATAAAGCTTTCCTTGCCCAAAACACAGAGAGCCTGTCTGCATGTTCAAATTTAAAATATCGTAAAGGAGTGCATTTATAATATGTTATTTTGGTTTAAAGATATTGTTTTAAAATAATATTTTGCTAATTATAAAGTTTTATACACACCCACACACTCAACACATACACACACACACACACACAGAGACATTTTTAAAAGTATTCGAAACTTTTAAAAGAAGAAAGGCTTACTGCCCGGCCAGTGTGGCTCAGTGGACTGAGCATTGTCCCATGGACTCAGAGGTGCCGGTTCAATTCCTGGTCAGGGCACATACCCCGGTTGCGGGCTCGATCCCCACTAGGGGGCGTGCAGGAGGCAGCTGATGGATCTTTCTCCTATGGATGTTTCTATCTGTCTCTCCCTCTCTCTCTAAAACATCAATAAAACATTTTGAAAAAAGAATAAAGGCTTACAATTTCATCACTCAGAAATAACCACTGTTAAGTTTGAATTGTATAATACAAGAAAAGCACATATACATTTTATATAAGTGGAAAAGCATTGCAGGTACCATTTTATGACCGGCTTGAGTAAATGTGCATGATGAATATTTAACTTTATTACAGTGCTGAATATCAGTCAAGCCAGCTGACCCACCATTTACTCAGAGATATGTAATTCCATATTATAATAATTTATATTACAAAAATAACCTGTCCAAATGTCTCCCTACTTAGAAATCAGATGTTTAGTATTCCAAAATTATTTATCCATCTTTTTCCATTGACATAGATATTTCTACATAGTTACATTTATAGCAAAGATATAGTTTGGTAATTTGACTTTCTTCTTTGTCTTTTTATTATCAACATTTTCCATATTGCTATGTAATTTTTTTAAAATATTTTTTCTTTATTCATTTTAGAGAAAGAGGAAGGGAAAGGGAGAGAGAGATAAAAACATCGATGAGAAAGAACATTGATTGGCTACCTCCTGCATGTTCCCCACTGGGGTTCAGGCCCACAACCTGGGCATGTGCCCTGACTGGTAATCAAACTGGCGACTTCTTGGTGCATGGGTCGACGCTCAACCAGTGAGCCACACCAGCTGGACATTGCTATATAATTTTATCATCAGTTTTTGTCATTTTTTATGGTTATATACCATTGCTTCGTACAGATGTGCCATAATTAATCCTTCCCCTACTATAGGATATTTAAGCTGTGTCATTATTTTAAACAGATAATAATAAAAGTTTATTTTAAATTTAATAAAAAACATTTAGTTTATATTAATATAAAATACATTTTTGTTATTAAGAATTATAGCAAACGTGTACATGTTCATATAGCTTTCCAATTATTTAGGATACATTCCCAGATCACTTTATGGCCTTTTGGTGAAGATCAAATGTAGAATGCACTTCCAGAAACATGTATTATCTAGTCAGAGGGTGAGATTTTTTTTGCAATTCTTAATATATCAAATGCCATTTGAAATATATGAGTGATTATATCATTTTCATCATATATTCACCAGTATTAAGCATTTGCACTGTTTTTAATCTTTTGAATTCCAAAATATTAAGTAACACTTGATTTATTTATTTTTTCTGTACTATGGTTTTTTCCCATGCCATAAAGAGATACTAGCTACTTTGTGGAAAGCATAAAAAATCTGTTTTGTTCTTTTCATTAACTCCTTTTTAAAATATCCTCTGTCCCATTTCAAAAAGCAGTTTTGAAGTGGCTGTAGGAAATTAGAGTCCGTAATTGCTGATACAGTGGGCCAGCAAACATACAGCAGGTGAATGGGGTCCTCCTTGTGCCATGATCCCAGGCAGATGAGTTATTGCCCTTGCCCAGATTTCCCCCATGAGTGAGAAGAAGTCTCACTGATAATATTTTCTAACATTAATTTGGGAAATTCTTTAAAGCAGCTCAAACTTATTCATACCTGACGCTCCTGATTCTCCTATCACCAGTATTATGTCACAGTATTCATCAACACTTTCATGGTGATGATGGGTATTCTGTTTATAAAGGATCAATTCTTTGTTAGCAGAAAGTAGAACGTAGCCATCCTGTTTGGCAAACAGAAGGCCAAGGCACAGAAAAAGAATTACTTTATGAAACACAGAGCATCTTGCTAAGGAAGCCAGAAGGGGTTACACAGCAGGCCAACTAAGTGCCTGCTTACTGCACCAGCAGAGTAGGGGCTCCAAGCCAAAGCTTTAAAATAATTTAATCTTTGCCCTGGCCAGTTTGGCTCAGCGGTTAAAGCGTCGGCCTGCGGTCCGGAGAGACCTGGGTTCGGTTCCCGCTAAGGGCACGTACTTCGGTTGCAGTTTGTCCCCGGCCCTGGTTGGTCGTGTGGGTGGCAGCCACTCGATGTGTCCCTTCACGTCGATGTTTCTCTCTCTCTCCCTCTTCCTCTCTTACCCTCCCACTCTATCCGTACAAAAAATGGAAAAATATCCTCGGGTGAGGATAAAAATAATAATAATAATAATTTAATCTTTGATATTTCAGGAAAATTATTGAAGTTGGCGTAAGAAAAAAATCACACAGACACTGTAGTACTACTCTATATAGTTGTTTAATAGTTTAGTTTGGTTCATAATTAGGCCCTAGTGAAACTCACATCTTTGACTGTCAATTCAGTGACTAACAGTCTTTTACCTTTATTCTCGGTCTCTCAAATAGAGTAATAACTGATCCAGTAGAGTTTTGCGTGATGGTTGTTTTTTTCTCTGTGCCAGTTACTGATTTTGTTTGTTTGGTTGGTTGATTTGTCTTTGTTGGTGTTAAGAATGATTGGGGTCTCTTTTTGGAATTTATTTCTATGATTTTTATTAAATTAGTACAGATTTAAGATAAATAACAGTGAGTGGTTCTCCCTTAAATATACTAACAATTGGAAAATACCAAAATATAAAAAATTCAGATGTAATCATTTAAAAAAAATAATAATAAAGATGATTTAGAAAAGGAGAGAATAATTTGAAATAAGAAAAATAAATTGCATTCTGGAAGCAGTTTCCCATTGTGACTCCTGTGGTTCCTTAACCCAGTTTTTCTAGAACTTTCTCATCCTGTATCTTCATAGAAGGCAAGAATGTATTCTGCAGCAAGGGCACCTAAAGTATTAAAAGGCTTAAAATGACTTAAGCATATCAGCCAATACACTGAGTGAATCTTGGTTGGATCCTGATTCAAACAAACCACTTACAAGAAAGTTATGAGACAGTCAGGACAGGATCATAGATTGTATTTAGCCATGTCTCTGTTCTTTATTCTGACAGTTTTCTTTTTTTTTTTTTTTTTTTTGAATTTTATTTATTTATTTATTTTTTTGTTACAGATATTTTACCTTTTTACCCCATTGGCACCCCCCACCCCACCCCCCCTCCACCCTGTCCCCGGCTTAGTTGTCCATGTCCATTGGTCATGCATACATGCATATAAGTTCTGTGGTTTATCTCTTCCCACCCCCCCCCACCCCCCATCCCCTCTTCTGAGGGATGTCAGTCTGTGCCCTACTTCCATGTTCTGACAGTTTTCTTAGTCTTTCCTTGCCTTTCATAATATTGACATTTTTAAAGATTATGAGCCAGCTACTTTATGGAATTTCGTCATTAGAGTTTGTGTGAAGTTTCCTTATGCAGAGGATTAAGTTATACAATTTTATGTGATGTGTTCTTTTCTGGTATATCCAGAAGTACATTATTTCCTTTTATCTCTTATTGATTATGTGGTTAAGATTTTGTCCATTTTCTTTTCTGTGTAGTTACTATTCTTCCCTTTTTAAGTAATAAATAATCTGTGGAGATATATTTTTATATTCTCCTGTTTTTCATTAAACTCTTCGTCTATACATAGGATCTAATGATTCTTAAATCAACATTTACTACTGTGCTTAAAAATCTATCACTGCAACTGAAAAACATGTTACGAATACTCTTATGTGCTAGGCTGGTCTAAGCATTTTGTAATAACTTTACAAGGAAGGTATTATTATTATCCCCATTTTACAGATAAGGAAACAAGTATAACAGGGTTACCTGCCCCAAGTGATCCCACAAGTCAGTGTAGGTAGGACGTGGGCACGACGGTCTGGCTCCAGATTGTGTTATCTACCACATAAAGCTGCCTACTGACCTTTTACTGTGTGAATCCCGTCTTCGCCTGTAGTTTAATAAGACCTTCTCTTCCTGGGATAAAAGAAGTAGTCACTAATATTTTCTTCCCCTTGTTTCATGGTCTAATTTCTGTACGTGTATATCTTAAAATGTTCTGTTGGCAGCTGGAAATTCAAATCTAGAACCTAAGGGGGAAGTCAGGTCAAGATTAGGTTGAGAAATCATCGTGCCTGGTCTTTTTGGAGTAAATTTTGATTGTCAAGTGATCTATGACTTGTGATTTGCCCCTGTCTCGCTGATAGGTCCATCCTGGAGCCACTTCTGGAGCGCAGGGCCTCGTCAGGTGCCAGAGTTGAAGACCTGCCCCTCAAAGAGGACAGTGAGAACCGGATCAGCAAGTTCAAGAGAAAAGAATGGAGCCTGAGCAAGTCCCAGGTCATCGCAGAGAAAGTGCCAGAACCTGATCTGATGGTAAAAAAAAATGCACCAGAGGTTTCCCAGTGCATTCCCATAGCCGGACTTACCACCACTGAGTTAGCAGCTCTGCGTCACCAGAGGGAAGCCTGTCCTGGCTTCTCAGGACAAGCAGCCTGCGGTGTCAGATCTCAGACTGTGCTAAGAAAAGCACGTGCAGAGAATCTGAGTCTCTAAGTCAGTGATGGTGCAGATCTTTCCCCACAATGTAAACATTTGGGTTGACACTGGAGTTGTGGTTCTCACTGCCATGTTCCAAAAGTTAGTCCAAACACTGTCATTTCTCTTTTTTTAACTTAAAAAAATAAAAGATACTTTTTCTTCTGTAAAGCCACATCAAGTGCGGCAAGACCAGCTTTCCCTGAGAACCGGGGGGGCTCATTTCCAACCTAATGACACAATCCAACTGTGGTTAAAATGAAGTCCAGAACCAGCCAGAAAATAATCTATGGTTCAGGGATTGCCTGTTAGTAGTTTTTGCCAGGGTGCCCACCACATGATAATGTGCTAAGCTTACAAGTGGCTCCTGGAATTATGCCCTTTGACAAGTTTCTGCTCAGCAGACAAGGTTGTCCCGCGTTGATGTATTCAGCCGTCCTCACCGTGAGGACGTATTTCTTTTTTTCCCACCCCCACACTAGAGTCCAGCCAGAAAAGCACAAAGGCCAAAAAGTCTCCAGTTGTTGGACAATCGGCTAACACCATTTCATGGTTCTTCACCTCCTCTGTCAACCACCTTGAACCCGCCTCCACTCACTCCTAAAGCTATCAGGACCCTAAGTAAGTTTTCCTGTACATAAATCCCTTAAATTTGTTTTACTAGGAATGGAATATGTTTATCAACCTGGGCAATTTTGTACCATTCACAAGGTATATGAGATTATTGTGAAGTTGGTTCAGTGCAGTGGTAGTGGGTATAATACAGTTAGACTGGTCCTTGCCAAACTAAAGAGCCTTGAGGTTGCTAGGACTCATTCACTTTTCTTTATAATGCTCCAAGGGTCTCAATGCCCCTTGTCCAATTATGAAAGTATAAATGAGGTAGATCCAGACGAGACCAGAGAGGAAGCAAGTACCTTATGAATTACTGAGTAGATAGTCCTGTACATTATATAGACAAGGGTCCAAAATAAGGACAGAAGTAGACCTGTTCCATAAACTACATACAGTCAGTCTTGGGGAATCAGCGGTAGAAACTGCCTAAGAAGAATACCAAGGTGACCTTGGTATAAAGGAAAACTGGAGGGTGAGTTGTGCCAAATGGGAGGCAGTAGTCAACCGAGAGTCAGAGATCATCAGGTAAGTGATCCTGGAGGAAGTGGATATCGTACTCTTAAATGATAAAACAAAGGCAGTTCAGTTAAATTTAACCAGTATTTATAGACCACCTATTATGTGACATTCTTTTAAGCACTTGGGAAATGTCAGAGAAAAGAGTAACACCCTAAGTCCTAGAAAATGTTCTCATCTTCATCTTAATAATAAAGACCCCGAAAAAAAATAGAATTTTTACTTCAGGGCTTCCTGTAAGACCTGGTGAATGAAGGGTGCTGCATTTGGTAAGGACAGGGCTTCATTTTGTCCACAGAAGTCATGGAATACGAGCTTAGCAATGTGATTGGCCAATTGGTTGAGGTGTTACTATGGCAACCAGAAGTTCTGTGAGATTCTTTGATGAGTTAATTCTGCCTTCATCCCCTTTGTATCATTTCTAGGCTCCCCATCTTTGCAGACAGATGCGTTGATGACTGCTTCTTTGCCACCTCCCCCGCCCCCCAAAAGCAAGCCCTATGAGAGCAGCCAGAGGGACTCCACGGAGGTAGGGGAAGGACAGCTGACCCAGGTCAGACAGCACCACTTGTGGGACTGCAGCCTTGGCTCTTCCAGGCTTCTTAGTTGGGAAGATTTTTTCCACAGGATTTGTCACTCTGATGAATTCTTGGTTCATTCCTGCAACCATAAAAGATAGGGCAGCTTTCGATGGGAAGGCTCAGTATGCAGGTAGACCTTTTCATCTGATTGAAGGTAGAGCTTTGCTCTGTACCTCACCCAGGGTGCTGGTGGGGGAAATAGACAGTGACAGGTTTATATTTGAAGAGTTTACCTCTGAGTGACAGTCACTCTGGAATGGCCTCTGACGGGTTTCCTTCTATAATTTAACAAATGTTTATTGAGTTTAGGCGTGCCAAGTACCCAAGTTTTGGGGATATAGCAGTGCTGGTGTATATCAGCTCAACTCAAGGCGAACAAGGGAGGATACATCAGTTTGTCTTCTCTTTCTACTCAGCAAAGGCTGTGTAGATAGTCAGATTAGTTAGAGCCTAAAGCGGAGTGTTGGAAATGTGGAAGAGAAGGCAGAATTGGGAAAAAGATAATACTCATTTCTGTTTTCATTTGCTCCCTCAGATTGCTCCCCCTTTGCCAATGCGAAGAGAAGCCCAAGTCCCACCCCCACCACCTCCCAAAGCTCGGAAATCTGGCATCCTTTCTTCTGAGCCTGGACCCCAATAAGGATCTTGTACTCTCTCTGAAACTCAGAGCACCTTGGACAGCTGATGCCTGAGAGCTGGCCTCCAGGAGGCAGAGTCCTGGTCGTACCAGGCCCCCTGCGGACAGCCTTTCCTGTTCTGGGATGAGGTTCGCCAGTTCATAACTGGTTTTGTTCTTTCCTACCTTCTGTTTGATCCATGCCTGAGGCCATGCGACAGCTTTAATTCACGTGGAATTCCACAGTTCACCCAGTCCTGTGCACTTCTCACAGGAGGAGCCGCCAGGCCTGTGAGAGCCTGGATGAGTTCTTCCGTGGTGGTGGTCACAGAGAACCCTAGAAACCCACCCTTTGTGTGGATTTCTTGCTTTGCTTCTGAAAAGTTGTGCTTGAGGCTTACTTTTCTCACATGGACATCTTCGATCCCATGTAACATAGTGGGAGAGACTGATATCAAGTACTTTGGTAACTGAAATAATCATCTTTCTAATGTCTACTGTGTTTTTTGAGGAAAAGAACATCTTTTTAATGAAGACTGGCTGCTTTGAAGTATGAATGGCTGTCAGTTATTGAAAACCATGGATTCCTGTGAGCCCTGAGCTCCTGTCCCCCACCGCACACCCACTTGTGTAATGGGGAAGCTGTCCGTGCTTCGCCCAGGAGTCCCTCACACTCCCCATTATGACCCTCCCTGCACAGCACTGGCACCTTACTGCTGTGGACGTGTTTGAAATCCTTTCTTTTGCACAGTTACTTGTCCTGTTTACCTCTTCTGAGCTCAAATCACTGGATATAAGGGACTTAGAAGCCCAGTGTCAACAGTTTCTCTTCCAGCCCCCATTTGGATGGCTCGGCAGCCGCTATCTGCAGCCTGGTTTTACCCTGAGAATACAGTGCAATACTGCCTTTTGATTATTTATTCCTCTTGATTGTGGATTTAATCTGATTATGTGTTTGTGGTACTAATGTGATTTAGGAGATCAAACTTTACCTACACACATCAACAGCCACACAAAGTTAAAGACATTTTGAGCTAGGAAGACCTTAAAAGTCATACAAACAACCTCCTTATTTTATAGATAAGGAAACTGAGATTGAACACAGATAATCCTACTACAGACTCTTACTAACAACCCAGTTTGCTAAATGAGGCCATAGCCAGGTAGCACATGTAGGAGACAGTGCTGACAAACTAACTCACACCCTTAGTTGGAGCAAGAATGGAAATGGCCCAGGTTTTTCTATACTACATAGGTGTTTATGGCCAAGTAGACAACCTGTTGACTGTGGATCCTCTAGGTCACCATGTGGGGGGCTCAGCAGGGTCCCTTCTACACGTGGCCCAGTCCCCTTTCCTTTGAGACAGAGAGCAGAGATATCACCTCTGAGAATTTGGATTTGCTTGCCTGCATCTATGTGCATGCTTGCCTGACCACCCCTCTTTTAGGAGCGATGTATTGATTCATCACAGGGTCAGGGAAGTAAACCTGTGAGACTGCCCTGCGTTCCTCAAAAAATGAATACACATAGGGAAAAGTGGGGAAAGGGTTAGGTTTTACTCGCCTGGGAGAACCTACAGTGTGGTATGATGGGAAGCGCCTGGGCTTTGGAAGTAAACCCATTTGGTTTGAAATCATCAAACTCCCTCAAATTATTTGAAATGTTCTGAGTTTTTGTTTCCTCACTTCTCAAAAAGGGGATCATATTTGCCACACAGGTGGTTGGGAGATTTAAATGACATCAAATATGTGAAGTGGTAGATACTCACCAAATGGTCCTTTCTTTTCTCTGCTCGACCAGAGTAAGGTCTGGGCTCCCTAAGAGCATTATCGATCGTCTTTTTAAGATCATCTGTAATGTGAATGCAGGTTGGTTCTGCACATACAGTTGGTCTCTAGAAGATGACAGCTTTTGGGACCTTTTACATCATTATTTATGACCAGAGACATGGTGTTAATAAGAACTGAAGAGGACTGTAAGTGGAAAGAACTCAAGAGAATGAAGGGAGGGAATAAAAAGGGGAACAGAAAGGCCATGCAGGGCTTAGGCACAGTCTGAAGACACTTCTGAGAAACTGCTCCACACACTGGCTGGAGGGGGATTCACTTCTCGGGCTGCCATTAAAATAGAAAGATGTAAGCTGGGTTACAAAAGAATAAAGTCCTTGAGCACGTTCCTTCAGAGTGGTGGAAGTGAGTCTTGCAGTCTGGTGTTCGATCAGAGGCTGGGGAGACCTCATACACACATGGCAGATACCTTCTCTTCTTCAATATAACATTTTCTCATGATTCCCTTCCCACATGAATGGAAATACTAGGTCTCTCCTGCCTGAACAGAAAGGATTCCAGGTAATGTGAGTAATATATGACAGGGGACATTGGAAGGTTCATCTTCTTGGGAAGCTATTTGTAGGAAAGAGTTTTGTTTGACAAAACATCATGAATAGTGTGTGTCCTGAAGTCACAGGAAGACTGCAAAGAAATGCCTTGATTCTGTTAATCATAGGAGAGATGAGAGGCGGGGATAAAATGAGAAAGCACTGTTTTTTATGTTTCTTAAGAAGAACTCTTTAGTATATTGGAAGAGATTGAAATTAGTCCCAAATTATCACAGCCTTTGTGAATATTGGCTTATGGGGTATTTTTTGTAATCTCTTCTTTATCTGTCCTGGTGACTTCTTGCTTTGAGGTCTTTTTTCAAGAATTGTTTCAACATATATTAGGCTGTTACTAAATGACAGGCACTGTACCACACCCTCAGGATGTGGAAGTTCGTTGTCTTCATTGGGAACAGCCCCAGTATACAAAGATTATGGTGTATTGTGGGATGGGAAGAGAGTGGTATTGAAGAAAAGTGAACCCCTAAATAGATAAATTTACTGGGTCATGCTGTTCTACCCCCCTCACCTTCACACCTTGACTCCAGAATTGTAGTAATTTTCTATCATGGAGACCCCTCAACTCTGCTGTCACTGCAAATCCCTAAGAAAAAGAGCTAAAGCAGAATTTGATAATCTACCTTTGTTAGCTCTTTCCAAGCTGCAGGAGCCCTTCCCTCTAGCTGCATGGGGTCACTTCGTATTTTAAAATCAAGACATAACTTTCATACAGTTAAGTGCACAAATCTCAGTGTACAGATGGATGAAATTGAACAGTGGTACACACATCACCACCTCTCAGATCCAGACACAATTGACTTCAAATTCCTTTCCTCTCACTCTTGGGTATAATGAAAAAGAAAGAAAAACCCCACCATCAAGAAACAATAGCATACTTCTTGGCAAGTCAATATATAGTCAGTTCTTGGACCTCAATTTCCTCATGTAAGAAAACACATTTTTGAGGTTACATGATTTATAGAATCTTTTCAGCTCTAGTTTTCTTTTATTCTAAGTGAATGAAAGAGTCAAAAAGAAACTGAGTTTCTGTAGACTTTTAGGTCTATGCACCATGACCAAGTGGGATTTTAAAATTAAGTTAAAAAGGTAAGTTTGTCTTTGGGTGGGTTGAGTGGAACATCACTTTTAATCTACAAAAGGAAAACGTTTTTCTCCACATTGATGATTTCAGACTGATTCTTAATCCAGCCAAAGCTGCTCCCTGGTAGCCCTGCCCACACTCACTCTCCAGTAAGGTTTTGAGTTGTTCATTTCAACTTGTCAAAGCTCTGTTGCCATGATTTTGTAAACTACTTGGGTTTCGAACGTGGACAGGAAGATGTGCATTGAAGTAGAAAAATTTTGTTCAGATTTGCTGTTATTTATTTTTTAAATTAAAAATGGAAAATGTATTTTAAAGTTTCTTACATAAGTGTTTAGTTTGTTATTACCCATACATTAATGAAATTAAATCATTCCTGAACTTTTTATTGAAGCCTTCTTTATGACACATCACACCCAGAGTCCCTCCTGGCCTCCTTTCACTACGGGTCCTATTAATTTAAACGTGTACTGTGGGATCATAGAGTCTTATTTACCTAGAAACAGTAAAACTGCAAATTATTTGGTTTTTCTCTGCCCTGACCCCTCTATCCATCCCTTTGGCTCCTGAGCTGACCAGTTCATTTAATACACTAGGTTCTACTTCTTTTCTCATTCACCACAGACAATTAGGCAGAGTGACAGGGAAATAAAGAGGTTAAAGGAGTACCTTTAACTTTCTTGGAAAAGATGGGAACCAATTCTCAAACTAGGTTAAACAGTTGAATCACCTGGGAAGAGGTCATACAGCCCAGACCAAAGAAATCAGAATTTCCAAGGGCAAGGAGTGGGACCTGGGCATTAGTATTTCTTTAAAATCTCTCCATGTTATTACAAGATTAGGGCAAGTTTGAGAACCACCACCTTAGAGGAAACAACAGCCTGAGAAAATTAGTGCTAATGGAGGGTGGGTTTGGAGCGAGAGTACGGCCACATCTCCACTAGAATAGCTCTGCTGGTGTAAGTCCTGGCTTTATGCACACAAATTTAATGTTTTTTGAAACATTTGCAGTGTATTACTTCTTTGAGCAGAAATGCTTCACTCTCTGTTACATCAGATTTACCAGATGCTTGTTTAAAATGCAGATATGAGTCAATAAACCTAGGGAATCTTTTTGAAAGATTCCCTAGGGAATCTGCAATGAAAAATACTACTTTTAGAGCACCTTGCCCCTTCCAAATTTGTAAGTGCTGCTATCTCATACAGTAATTCTTGGCTTTTTCCCCAACCATCTCTAGAATACTACAAATTCTGCTAAAATTGTCTATTTTCAGTTCCTTCTTTTTGTTACTTTATCATTTAAAGCCATGTATATTTAAGAACTCATTTAATTAAATCTATCATGTTTTATGTTTCTCTACCTTTTATTTTGAAAGGCTGCAGCCTTTTTTTTTAAGCTACACTGATGAGTTAGAGAGTTCTTCAGATTCAGGAAAATGCTTAAAATTGTAATAAAAGTGTCATTTTTACTCTCCTCCCCCTCAATCACTTGGCCATTTGAAAATCAAATATGTTTATATAAGTTGCAAACCACCAGATACCATCCCAGTCCTCCAACATCAGCCGGAAGGGCATCTTGATCCCATTCAGGGAGGCCCACAGCTGGGTCCAAAGAAATTGTCCCAAAGACAAGCTTTGACAAAGGAAACCTCAGACCCCAAACAAAATATATAAAGTATGTGAGTATGTTTCCTTTTTATAATATGTAAACTAATATAAAGACTGTAAAGGATATTGTTTTTGTACAAAAAATAGTTACTGAATGACTGACAACTGGGAGCCTCTAATCCTGCCTGGGATGTATTGACTGATAAACGTACACAGTTTTGCCTCTTGTTCCATAAAGTAGATTATAGAGCACATGACTACCTAAGTTCATTGAAGTGGGACTGAAGAAGTTCTTTAATTCAGTTTTAGAGATTCCACAAATGGTTTAATATTTGAGAAATCTAGCATTGTACAGTAATAAATATTTGTACTAAAAAGGGAGGTTTTTCTCCACCATGTTTCTGAGCCCTGTTCAAATTCCCTAACCCATGTCTTGCTCTTTTTAGAGGTAGAGGGCCAGGGAGAGAAGGAGGAAGGTTTCATCTCTCTCTTCTTTTTTATCCTCACCCGAGGACACTTTTGCATTTTTATCTTCAGATAGAGCGGGAGGGAGAGAGGGAGGAAGAGAGAGAAAGATACATCAATGTGAAAGAGACACATCAGTCTGGCTGGTGTAGCTCAGTGGTTGAACATTGACCCATGCACCAAGAAGTTGCCGGTTCGATTCCCGGTCAGGGCACATGCCCAGGTTGTGGGCCCAATCCCCAGTAGGGGGGCGTGCAAGAGGCGGCCAATCAATGTTCTCTCTCATCGGTATTTCTATCTCTCCCTCTCCCTTTCTCTCTCTAAAGTCAATAAAGAAAAAAAGGAAAAACACATCAACTGGTTGCCAACTGCACGACCCCAACAGGGGCAGGGGATGAACCACAACCGAGGTATGTGCCCTTAGCAGGAACCGAACCCAGGACTCTCCGCAGGCCGACACTCTAACTGCTGGGTTAAACCGGCCAGGGCAAGGTTTCATCTCTTTGATTAAAAAAGAGAAAAAAAGGCCTAAGTCTTCCCATGTGAATGAATACAGGCACAATTTGTTGCAGTGACGCCAAACAAGTTATCTGAAATGTGAGTTTCCAAATGGTCTCAGAGTCTCTTGGAAGTGATAGGGATAAATGTGAAAGTGTTACTGTGTCTGGGACCTCCTGGAGAAATGGTCACCAGTAAAACTCAGTTAACACAGGAGCCCGTTTCCTGTCTCAGCTCCAGTGAACAAAATAACTGAGCTGCTAGGTCCAGTTCCACGGCCGCTCATCATGTGCAGCACAGTCACCGACCATGGACCCTGACCTGAGTGTGTCTGTCTCTCAAACTGTTAGAGCCCCAGTTTCTTCATTTCGAAGGGAAGATAATACTGTACCTACTTTCCCTGGTCATCATGAGTGGTCATGAAAATATGCACATTTTCTTGCACACAATCTGGCACTTTGTGGAGAATGAACGGTGCAATGCCATTTGACCAAGGGTATGGGGAGCACCTGTCTTCAACTGACTATACTTCATAGTGTTTCTCAAGAGAAATAACAAAGATCAGGCAGGTGAACACTTATTCTTCGGTCTTGGTCCCGACACTCAGAGTGCACCACTGGCTCTGATGAACTTGGAGAGACCACATGGAGCTGGCAGAGGCAAGGGACCCGGAGCTGAGTGAGGCCTTTCCCCTGGGCCTCTCTCAGGTGCCAGCTGACTTTCAGAGGGATTGGAGACAATCTGGGGAGGAAGACTTGGCCAAGGCCCCATCCAACTTCTGTAGGATAGGGTCAAAAATAAAGCTACAATCCCAGAACACTTTAGCTAAATCAGGTTTTTTGGCCCAGACCAATATGTGACTATTGTCCTTGTGGATGCAGGGAGGAGAACCTGAGATTCCTGGCCAACAATCTCTCTTCTCACCTGCCCTGTAGACACATTCAGACGACTACCGTTTGTGGGCTTACAATGTCCCTCCCCCAGCAGAGGTTTGAGTTAGAGAAAGACTTAGTAGTTTATGCCACTTTATTCACAAGACTTCATCTTGAACTATGTGAAATGTGGCATAAGAATTTCTGAAATTCACACAATTTACAGATATTAAATGGGTCACAAATTTCAAAATCAGAATTATACTTAAGTGTTGCCATTCCTTCCGGACCAATAGATTTAAATCTTCTTCTGCCCAGTTTCCTCTTCAATCAGACTTTCCTGAAAAATATGAGTAACAAATATAATCAAGGTTAATTTTATTGGCTGAATTTTATTATGTTTTTGATATATTATTCCTAAAATATCAATTTAGAAATAAAAGATTCATTTGTTTTGTGCACTAGAAATGCTAAAGAGATATGCAATCATGTCTTTCAAAGTTGTTGATAATGAAATCTACATTAATGATTGAAGGATAGATGTGAGGAAGAAGGTGGAAGAACGGTCTGAACTATCAGTTTGCTATTAACCTAGCTTTTGCTTCAAGTCCTTCTTTCTAATGTTCTGTTTGGGAAATTTTAGTGCTTGTTATATTTTTATCATGCGGTAAGCAGGATTAGAAAAAGAAAGGAAATAAAGATGCCTGTCTGCGTTTTCCTTTTTTCTATGGGTGTGGAAGTTCAAGTCAATGGAGAAAATAAAAACTATATCTTAATTTATGTAATTTATTCAGGGTTTTCCTGCTCCTGGGCATAACACAATTAACAGTCATGCCTTCTAACTGCACAAATAAGTGGACCATGGAGCTCAGAGAACACCAACATTGACTTTAAGATTCAATTTCTATATTCAATTCTCTTTATGCTTTTTTTGAAAATCAGAAGCCTATATTGGATTACTTTTTTTTTTTTTTTAATCCTCACCCTAGGATATGCTTATTGATTTGAGAGAGAGGGTAGGGGAGAGAGAGAGAGACAGACAAGGAGAAACATCAATGTGAAAGAGAACATCAATTGTTCACCCTCTGTAAGTGTCCTGGCCAGAGATCAAACCCACAGCCCAGGTGTGTGCCCTGACTGCAAATCCAGCCCATAACCCTTCAGTACACAGGACAATGCTCCATCCATCTGAGGAACTCTGGCCAGGGCTATATTTCCATTCTTGGTGAGAATTTGGAGATTGTTATAGTCCAATCAGAAAACTGGAAATCAAATATGTGGCTCTGAATTATAAATGTACTAGATTTGATTTTTTTTTTTATTCCAAAGGGAAAATTAAAATAGCCCGGACGGTGTGGCTCAGCATTTACCCATCCACCAAGAGGTCACTAGTTTGATTCCCGGTCAGGGTGCATGCCCAGGTTGTGGGCCCAATCCCTAGTAGGGGGCATGCAGGAGGTGACCAATCGATGTTCTTACTCAATGATGTTTCTATCTCCCTCTCCCTCTCCCTTCCTCTCTCTCTAGAATCAATAAAGAAAAAAAATTAAAAGTTAAACTAGAGCACCACTTTGACTTCTGCATTTCCCAGGGAAAAGAATGTCATACCAAGAACAACTGAAAAACTGGTGGAGAGGTATGGTTATCTAGAGAAGACGAGTCTAGAGTGTATATATGAAGAACATGTGGACATACTGAAGAAATGACATAGAGCAATGGGAAGAAATTTGTTTTGTCCATCATCCCAAAGGCTACCGCCAACATCAGCAGATAAAGGTTACAGGGTGATTTCAATTTAATTTATGAAAGAAAAAAAAAAGGTTCTAACCATTGTACTGTCTAACCACTGAAAGCAGGAGTCATGAGAGAGTGAGGCTCTACCACAGAAGAAACTCAGCTTGGCGGGAAGAGAGGCCTCAGCCCAGGGTCCGCTCCATCCCCAAGGCTCCTGGTCATGCGCAATAACTCACCCGCGCTCCTCGCGCTCCTCGCAGCTCGCTGCGGACGCTGCGGACGGGCCGTGGCTGGAGAAGGGTGCACTCGAAGCGCTGAGGTTCTGCTACTGGATCAGCCTCTTTGGTTCTCTGAAGAAAAAAATGTGATTCTTGGAGATGGCGACCAAGAAATGACACAGTATTTTTCATTTCCACTAAACACTACCTGTGGAAAACAGGTCAAGGTGGATGTGGGACTGAGAAATTTGCAGGATTGGGATGGGGCTTGAGGAACACCCATCTGCCGTCGGCTATCTTTGCAGATTGATACAGGGTTCTGGGGTGATGGTGGCAAGGAGAGGATGTTTCTCTCTAGAGCTGATGGGAATGAAGTGCTTCTAACTCATGGGAAGACAGTATATACAAAATATACAAGAGCTTATAGTTATGAATAGGACTGCTGTTTATTTTCTAGTTTTTTCTAAGTATGCCATAGTCAGATGAGTTGCTTCACATACAATCTGTGTCAAGGAGACTGCTAATGCTGGGGCTTCTTGATGTCACACTAATTTTCTTTATTATTTCTCCAAGAAGAAAGATTTCTTTCCAATGAAGACAAAGTGGTTGTGAGTCCTTCTAGCTGAGCTTCCCATTCCCAGGCTTGTATTGTGCCCCAGCCCCGGCTCACTCATCCTTTAGGCCTCGATTGTCTCCCATTAAGTTAAGAACAAAAGAAAACAAACAAAAAATCCAAGAACTGTTTTTTTTTATTAATCCATTGACGGTTTTTGGATTAACCAGCTAACATATACAGCCTCTCATTTTATGGATTAAAAATGCAAATATACCACATGTTCTATGTTAGTGCTGACATTACTACTGAAATATAACTTATATGAAATTAAATCCAGCGTATTTTACAGTATATATTTTGTCTCCTTGAGCTTGTTAACTCCTCTGCTCTAGTGGCCTCTGATTTCTTTGCTTAAATACCCATATTAGTAAAAAGAAATTATAGAGCATGAACCCTTCATAAGGATATAAATTTTTAAGTGATAAAAATGTGTTGCTGACCTAAATTGTAGGTATTTTAAAAAGATGAAATAACAAAGAAAAAAACATAAGCAAAAGTTCTAAGATTTTCTTTCCCAATCTCAGAGAAGCGTCTTGCCCTGGAGGCCGTGGCTGCATCTGCTGTTTCTAATCCTTGGGCAGCTCTGTGTGCTCTGAGCACACCACCACCCTGCTCTTGTGGCCGCACTCTCTTGGAGTTGTTCCTTTTCTTTGCCTTATTAGTCCTCATCTGACTTGAGAGCAGGAATGGGACTTGACTTTGTAAGTGTCTTATCATCCCCGGAATACCTAGGACGGAGTTTAGGGGAGCATGACTGGGGCACACACAGAAGGTTAATATACTTAGTAACTATATTTGGTGTTTGAGCCAAATAAGCCACGTCTTCTTTTGAGGGTGAGAGAGACTTACCTCTCGGAAGGAATTAATCAGGTTTTCTGCATTTCTTTTCCCTCCAGGGCGCAGCCCGTAGGACCAGTGCTGGCCAGAGCAGCCCGCCACACACAGCGCCAGCAGAATGAGTCCGGCTAGACGTTGCGGAACTGGCTCCATTCTAAGGAACATCAATGCAAAAACCAAAATAGACCCAGACTGGGTTGAGCAAAAGGTGAAGAATTCTTGGGTGAAAAGCCTAACAATTGTGTCACTAACCCTATGGACACTGGAGGTAGGAGTCATCTATAATTTTCACACATAGACGTAGAAACACACATACTCACTTGCCTTGAGTTTTCTAGACATTGAGGACAAAATCAGTTCTTTAAACTAAACTAGTCTATTTTTATTTTCATTATTTATTTTGTTATCCAAACCCATGATTTCTCCCTTAGGAAGTTTACCTTTTTGTCGTAACCTTTTCCCCTCTCACTGGTTTTCAATTGTGTCATTTCTGAGGTAAAGAGAATTGGGCCACCTGCTCTGAGAAGTAGCTTCTACTAAAAGTTTCTGGCTTAAAAAATACCATTTTTGACATTAAATGGCTACACTAGGTACTAATTACTTCTGCTGACTATCTCTCCTCTCACCTCCCATGCGTTAGTACTGGCTGGACCTTCTGAGAGAGCAGGAGGATTTACTCAACACTTTTCAAAACTCCGAGTCCCAGACCAGATAGATGCCTCCACAGCAAAGGCAGTCTCAAATTATCTAATGGTATGTGGAATTTTCACAAAGAGTCTTCAAATTAATTTTCATTTGATGTGAAGAGGCTAAAGACAAAATCAAATACTGGTCAATAAGCCGTTGCAGTTCCCCAAAAGCTAGATCTCTGTGGCCAGGGGTGACAATGACCATGAAGGTCAGTGTTTCTTTAGACATCATCACACCTGGACTTAGACTGTAGAGTGTAAAAGCCCTAGAGACAGACAATAGCATGCAGTCTCAAAAAATGGGTCAGAAATACAAAGCATTTTACCTGTCTGAGAGCAAAGAGCCAAAGAATGCCAAGCTTCCTTTAGAGTGTGTTGAATACTGTGCCTTTTCATTTTCATAGCTTCTTTTTATATGAAACTTTCCCAGAACACTGAAATCGTTCCTGCTGGTAAATTGTACTGCACGGACTATTTTTTAGTAGTATAATTTTTAATCCTCACATAAAGCCCTTTAATGGTGTATGTAATTGGAACACCCACTGGTATATCTGTTAAATTTACTTAACTTGGCCATTAAAACCTCAGCTAAGACTTTTATAGTCAAAGAGATTAAAATCTAGCAAAATTGGCTTCACTTGAAATTGACAGACCTATCAAGAGTTCAAGGAAAATAGCTGTCAGATTAAGTGATGCTAAATGCACACATAAAAACTTTCACAAATGAGACCATGTAATAATTATAGAAAGGTGACATGAAGGTGTCTGGGAGCTGGTCTCAGTGCTTAGATTCCTTGTTTGCAAAGGAACTGATTTATCAATATTAATAAGTGATTACTGGCCCTACACCAAGCCCATATAGAACCCAAAAGTATATTATATGAGTTTGAAAATCCCCTAGTCTCCTACCCACCAGGCTCCCTCCTTGACTTACCTTGAAAGCCTTCTATAGCATCAAAAAGGTAAGCAGAAATGTTGTAGTTAGAATACACTAAGTTCAAGACTATCTAGAGCAGACTTAGGTCAATAGTTTGACTCATTCCAGTCAATGCTTACCTATCCAGTTAAAATATGCAAATCACTGTGCTACAGGCAATGGGAGCACAAAGATAAGAAATAATAGTTTGCTGCTATGTCAATAAACCAATCTCACTCATTATTAACAGTCCTGCAAAATGGATACGTATCATTATCCAAATTTTACAGATAGATATTTCAGCCTAGCAGTGAGCCCTTCCATATATTATTTACACAGTGCAATTATTTAAGAGAGAGAGAACCATTTATTTGAATACATAACTGTATTTCCCTAATTTACCACTGGGCTATATAACTCATGATAGATAGTCAAGGATCCCATCTTATTTAAACATCTGTTAATAAATTTGTAATTAGCATTCAGTAAGTATAGGTATGAATAAATGAATTAATTGAAGGATCTTTTAACCAGATTAAGTCTAACACTTCCTCTATTTCTGCATCAAAGATATGTTTAATCTGACACGGAATTAAATTTTCATGTACGATTGGCAATAAGGACTGTTATATTAGATAGTGAAATGGTTAAAAATAATCGGATATTTGGTCATTATAAAGCCAGGATTGGCGGTTTCTCCTTGGGTAGGATGTTAAATAATCAGTCATTGCCCAGTGTCCTCTGGAACAGTTACATTTGCAAGGGTTTCAGAAAAAAGAGCAATGGTGCCCTGGCCAAATGAAGTCCCTTGTTCTGCTCTTCTTTCTCTCTGGAGACTATCAGATCCACAGGAAAAGCTAGAGAAGAGGATAAACTTTAAAATACAATTGCAAATAGAAGAAAATTTTAAAAATAAAATGTGCTCTGGCTGGTTTGGCTCAGCAGTTAGAGCAATGACCCATGGACTAAAGAGTCGAGGTTCGATTCCCTGTCAAGGGCATGTACCTTAGTTGTAGGTTCAATCCCTGGCCCTGGTTGGGGTTGTGCAAGAGGCAACCAGTCAATGTGTCTCTCTCACATCAATGTTTCACTCTCTCTCTCTCTCCCTCCCTCCCTCCCACTCTCTCTGAAAAATCAATGGAAAAATATCCTCAGGTGAGAATTTAAAAAATAATAATAAAACATGATTATTCTAATTATTTTATGAACTTTGAATAATTTAAGGGCCATTCTGACATGAAGAAGTGGAATCTTATATCATTATATTAGAAAGATAATGAGAGGCTGTTTTTCAACACAAGTTCATTATGTTTGAACAATGTTCATTTAAACTGTCCAATTGATTTCCTGTTTGCTGAAGGATATGTGCTTCTAACAGTGTTGCATAAGCAGATACGGTTTTTGTTAGGACTAATAAAATGGGAGTTAGGACTTCCAACCCTTACTGTCAGATTAACAATTTACCTCTGGGTAAGCATCACTAGATTTCTTGTTATTTCTGTTAGTTGGTATTAAATTTTTGAATGATGCTTTGAAATTTTTAGATGAATACAGCCACATGATCTGTGAGTCCCTTCAGTATGCTTTATACCCTCTATGTCTGCATTCGTATTGTGGTAGGTCATAGATATCAAGGGCAAAGGCCAAATTTGTTTAATTTTTCTACCACATCAAATAAGGTACCAAATATGCAATTAACAAAATGGTGATGTTTAGTGACAAGCTCTAACTCTTTTCATACTTCCAAGGACAGAGCAATTTGCCATTAAGCTGAATTTAGTAAACTGGATTAAAATAACTGAATTTTATAATTACCAATTTTTTCTAAATTTAGAAATTTTCTTAATGGTAAAGTATGGCTTTAGAGGAAAAATGGCTTCATTAACTGCATTAAAAGAAATACCTTAAAATGATTAAAGTGCAGCAATAATGATTTAGTAATCTTGTTGAATGATAGCTGCAAACCTCTTTGCCCTAATTGAAGTCTCAGCAGAAAGAACTGAACACCTGCTGTCATATCTAGGGTAATGAAAGGGTTTCAGAAAATTAATCCTTGAATAAGTATGTAAAATATAGTAATTGCTTTTCTTTGCAGAGGTGTACCTTTTAATTTGAAAAATAATACTTCCTTAGAGATTTAATAACATTCTAGGGTTTTTCATATATTAAAGATGATTTAGCCCTGGCTGGGTGGCTCAGTTGGTTGGAGTGTCATTCCATACACCAAAAAGGTTTCAGGTTTGATTCCTCATCAGGGCACATACCTGGGTTGCAGGCTTGATTCCCGGTACAGGAGGCAACCAATCAACGTTTCTCTCTCACATTGATGGTTTTTTTTCCCTCTCTATCTTTCTAAAATCAATAAAAACATATCCTCGGGTGAGGATTAAAAAAGATGATTTAAAGTTGACTTGAGGGTATATTTACAGTATAAACAACCAATTAATAAAATGAACAACTGGAGAAAATATTCAAGTCTTGATTTATGATGGTAACCTTCACAGGAAAATAGATTTATATTATTTCCTACTAAAATTTCTTTGAAACTGTAGTTGAAAGAACTAGTCTAGGCTATATTACAGCATAACATAAAATACTACTCTAAACAATTATGCAGTAGAGTACTACATCTTATCAATGTAGATAATTTTCTAGCCCTCTTTCCCAAAGACTATATTTTTGCCTCTGTGTACACACGTGTTTCATCACGAGGGCTAATGGAAGTTTTACTATTTAAAAAATAAAAATTTTTTTTTAAAAATTGATTTTAAAGAGAGAGGAAGGGAGAGGTAGAAAGAGATAGAAACATCCATGAGAGAGCACTGATTGGCCACCTCCTGAATGCGCCCTACTGGGGATCGGGCCCACAACCTGGGCAAGTGTCCTGATGGGGAATCGAACCGGTGACCTCTTGGTGCATGGGTTGACGCTCAACCACTGAGCCACACCGGCCAGGCAGAAGTTTTACTATTTTGAAACTTTCCTCCCTCCTTAAAATTCTCTCTCTCATCAGGCAAGAATGCTTTGGGGGCAATGTATTTAAACAGACTAGTACAGCTAACTGGTAATGTTCATTGGCTAAAAGAATGACATAAATTAAATGAATTTTGGAAGCCAATCTTTTCTTTTTAGAAATTTCTTTGTGGTGTGAGCGGAATAGATTTTAAGGGGATCATAAAATAATGCTTAAACAAATAAATTTTCTTTAATGGCCTTTTCTTTATTTTAATTATTTTATACACTTTGAATAACCTACGGGCTACCTGGTGGAGTAGCTTGGTTAGCTAGGGCATCATTTTAATGCCCCAAGGTTGCAGATTTGATCCCCAGTCAGTGTATATACAAGAATCAACCAATGAATGCATAAATAAGTGAAACAAACTGATATTTCCCTCTCTCTCTAAAATCAATTTTTAAAAATTAAATAAATAGTCCTGGCCAGTTTGGCTCAGTGGTTGAGCGTCGGCCTGTGGACCAGAGAGTCCCGGGTTCGGTTCCCGCTCAGGGCACGTACCACACACACACACACACACAAAATTAAATAAATAAACTAATCCTTAGTAAGTGTTATGCTGTATTTCTTTTTCCACCCAGGCTCTAAAGGCTAGTCATCAATACGTATTAAAGAAATGTAAGCAAAATATGGAAAGTGGTGCTTTTCAAAAGCAAGACAAGAAACTCCTTTTCAACATTTCACATTGTTTATTAATGTAGTATACATTAGATCTAAAGGCTGTAGTTTCTAAGAATATTATGTTTGAACTTCTGTACTTTTAAGTTATGTCTACAGAGGTACCCTTAAGTAGATGAACAACATATTCTATAATTATTGAAAATATAGTACAGAGCAAAATGATTTAAATATAATTTAGGCACATATTGATTATGAAAATAGATATCTCTCAGTACAATATTTCTCTTTCTTGGTAAAAATAATAAAGCAAAGAAAATAATTCATTTCTGAAGTTGCTTTCCTTTACCTGTAAAGGTCTGATCTCCTCCCACTATGCATATATACCCTTTACTGTAAGGAAAGCTTTGCATATGTATACATAGAAGAATAAGCTATGTAAATATTCAAGACATGTCATCCTCCCAAAGGAGAGAGAATTATTTTTAATGATTCACTGCCTCAACATGATGAATCTGGAGAATGCAGAATCCACTTGGACACAGCTTATGTCCCACTTGCAGGGCAGATGTGCGGACACTGCTTACTGGTGGGGAAGCACAGGCCCCTCTCTGCTGCTGCAGAGAGATAATGACTCAAGAATATCAGGCTAAAACTGATTAAAACCAAACCAAACCAGACAATATAAGTAAAAGAACCACAGGTACTGACTGATTGGTATTACATTTTAGACCAGTCAAATGCGTTTATTTTCATAAGTTTTTTTGGTGGCTATAATCAGTTTAAAATCCCTCATTCCCCACTATAGGGTTTTACTGTAATTATATTGTGTTGCCTTCTAAAATATGACTTTGCCATATCCATTCATATTTTATAGTTTGATTGCAGTAGATTGAGACTTAGTGTCTATTTCTAAGCTGGTCCTGTTTAAACTATTTGGCCATTGAATTAAATATTATTAACACACCTTGGTTTTCTGGTTTTGAACTGTCTTCCTGTGTTTGACTGTACAGGAGGAAACTAGGCTGGTAATGCAAATAAATAAAATTGCCTGGTCTGGTACTGAGTGGAACTTGCTTAGAATGAAATTCTGAACAATGCTCATTTAAAAGTTGTTGCTATAAGTGAATTCTTCCAGAGCGTTCCACTGTAACTTCAGCTGACAATGATGTCGTTCTTTCAACTCTGTCTCAACTAGTAAGAATAGAGGATTTTTAAAATTCAGCTACTATTTTGCTGTAAAAAAACAAACATTATAAACATGAACCTGAAAAGAGAGCCTTGGGAGCCTGCTGTCAGCATGTTCACAGGGTGTGACAGGCCAAGTAGGGGAGGCATCACTAAAGCTTTTCATAAACCTGAACAACCTCTTGAAAATTTTCATAAAGTTTAACAATTTAAATATCCATATACATTTAGAGACTCAATAAATACAATTGCATATGTTGTGCTTCTCATAAATTAAAATCCTCAAATGCATTTCAAATTAAGATGGTATTTCCACATCATGCCTATTTAAAAGCAAATATAATAGACACTATTCCTGGTCATTAAGCCAGGCAAACCCCCCTACTCCACCCAAAAGGCAGCAATCTAATCCCTGTTCCCTACATTTAATAAATGAGTGCTTCTCTGTTAAAATCAGAATGTGGGAAAAAGTGACTTTCCCCCTATGTACCACTGAGAACAAGCATGATCCTCTAAATGTTGTTTTTGTTTTTTTTTTTTTAATTCCCTTACAGTGTCATTTCTTCTAGACAACTGAGTAGAGAAATAAAAATGATGAGGAAAACATTTTTCATCTTGAGCATCTTTCTCTAGCCCTAAAATTCTCATCTGACACTCTGTGACATATGTAGTGGTGTCAGCATCTCTTCAAATATAGCTCCCTTCACGTTGGAACCTCTCAGGTTGGCTTCTTGAAGGTCACACCCAGACAGATCACAGTTCTGTAAGACAAAAACAGTAACTGTGTAACTAATATAGAGATTTAAGGTTTTATCTGTTTCTTCTCAAAAATGATTCCTGGCCATGTTAGGAAAATGTTGCTGTAAAATAAAACTCAGTTATTTTTTGAAAACTTCTGTTTTAGAAGAAAGTCAGATTTTCTAATATTTCTATTTGTTCTCTCTGCTAATGCTCTGGCTGATCACCACAAATACACACACACACACACACACACACACACACACACACACACAGAATGAGAGAGGCAGAAAGAGAAGAGAGAGAGGTTAACAGGAAGCATGTCCCTTCTGATCATGTATTTTAGAATCAGTCATTTAAAATCCAGAATGGACTCCAATGTAATAAATATTATCTAAACAATTTTATCACAATCCAAGAACAACAACAATAAAAGGCACAGGTGGGGTGGGGTGAAGGGAGACTATTTTTAAAAATCTGAAAGAGATTTTACTTAAAAATTATTTATTTATTTATTTTTATCCTCACCCGAAGACATTTTTTTTGATATTTTGTTCAGATAGAGTGGGAGGGAGAGAGAGAGAGAGAAAGAGAAACATTGGCGTGAAAGGGACACATCGAGTAGTTGCCACCCGCACAACCCAACCAGGGCCGGGGACAAACTGCAACCGAGGTACGTGCCCTTAGTGGGAACCGAACCCGGGTCTCTCGGGACCGCAGGCCGACACTCTAACCGCTGAGCCAAACCGACCAGGGCGAGATTTTACTTAAAGATTAAATTGTTTAGTGGATTTTCCCATTCCTCCCCCCTAACATTTTTATTGTAAAGAACTGCTTTTTTTTTTAAAAAGTATGTTTTCATTGATTTTTTTTAGAGAAAGAGATAGGAACATTGATGTGAGAGAAACATCGATCTGCTGCCTCCTGCATGCCCCACACTGGGGATTGAGCCTGCAACCCAGGCATGTGCCCTGACTGGGAATCAAACCGGGACCTCTCGGTCCATGGGACAATGCTCAATCCACCGAGCCACACCAGCCAGGCAAGAATTGTACCCAATGTGTACAATTCAATGAGTTTAAATAAATGCACATAACAGTGTAACTACCACCATCATTGCAAACTATTTTTAAGAGATTATAGAGTGACAGATGAGACAGAGATTCTGAGTAAGTCCCTGGAGATGGTGGGGACCATAGAGAAAGGCAACTGCACATAACCTTTTAGGACAGAATGTTAGCAGCTGCCTGATTAGTCTTTGCAATCAGTTCATTGACTACAGGCATCTAAAATCAAGGAAAAAAATCATCATGTTAGCTGACAGTAACAAATAATAAAAAATTAAATAATGGTGCTTAAATAGTTTATATCTTCAGCCTTAGGCTAGTTCTTTTGCCTTTAAGTTGAATAGGATGTGCTATTCTGCTGCTTAGAGATATTAAGAGAAGAAGGCAAAACATTTTTTAAAAAATCAACAAGCTAAATTTTAATGTACTGTTCTCTACAATCCAATCTATGCCAGATTTTCTTGTATAAGGCTGTACTAATCAATACAATAGCACCAGGCACATGTGGCCTTTTATATTTAAATGAATTAAAATTAAATAAAATTTAAAAATCTATTTCCCACCTACATGATCCATCCACATTTCCAGTGTTCAATAGCTATATGTGGCTGACGGCTCCTGTAATAAACAGACACAGAGCATGTCCAGCATTGCAGGAAATGCTACTGGACAGCACTCATGCAGGCCTATCCATAGCTATTCAGTCAGCTGGCTAAATCAGCAAATCAAGACAAATTGTAGAATATAGTGCTGATGAGAAAGCAGAATGGGCAAAATTAAAAAAAAGAATTAAAAAAAAAGAATATGATGCCAATTTAGAATAAGCTTTTCCTGAACCTGATTTCAAACCTGGGTATTGTTTAAATTTCTCAAATAGTTCAAGGAATAATCTGGCCCCATTTAATTTTTTGGAATAGAAACTGAAGAAAAACAATAAATTAGGTCAACAGAGCACCTATCAAACTTATGAGAAAAACTCAAGGAAAAGAGAGAAATGAAATCAATTTAGAATGTCAAATGATTCTTCCAATCTGAAACTGGCATCTCTGACTTAAATACTGACACTGCTCTGGAATTTAAATGTGTTTAAACAGCAAATGGAAAGGCAGCATCCCTGCAGCTATGCTGGCATGTCACCGCCAACTACCATATTTATTTATTTTTTAATATTAAACATAATTTTTTTTCCTTTTTTCTTTATGGATTTTAGAGAGAGAAGAAGATGAGAGGGAGAGAGAGAGACAGAAACATCAATGTGAGAGAACATCGATTGGCCACCTCCTAAATGCTCCCTACTGGGGATTGGGCCCACAACCTGGGCATGTGCCCTGACCATGAATCGAACCGGCAACCTCTTTCTTGATGCATGGGTCAACACTCAACCACTGAGCCACACAAACTGGGCTATATTTATTTTTTTATTGATTGATTTTAGAGAGAAAGGGAAAGGGCGGGGTGAGAAACATTGATTTGTTGTTCCACTTATTTATTCATTCATTGGTTGATTCTTTTATTTTATTTTTTTTTATCCTCACCCAAGGATATTTTTCCATTTTTTGTACAGATAGTGGGAGGGAGAGAGAGGAAGGGAGAGAGAGAGAAACATTGATGTGAAGGGACAAATCGAGTGGCTGCCACCCGCACGACCAACCAGGGCCGGGGACAAACTGCAACCAAAGTACGTGACCTTAGCGGGAACCTAACCTGGGTCTCTCCGGACTGCAGGCCGACACTCTAACCGCTGAGCCAAACTGGCCAGGGCTCATTGGTTGATTCTTTTTTTTTTTTTTTTTTTTTATCCTCACCCGAGGACATTTTTCCATTTTTTGTTCAGGTAGAGTGGGAGGGAGAGAGAGGAACAGAGAGAGAGAGAGAGAAACATCGATGTGAAAGGGACACATCGAGTGGCTGCCACCCGCACAACCAACCAGGGCCGGGGACAAACTGCAACCGAGGTATGCGCCCTTAGCGGGAACCGAACCCGGGTCTCTCCGGACCGCAGGCCAACGCTCTAACCGCTGAGCCAAACTGGCCAGGGCTCATTGGTTGATTCTTGTATGTACACTGACTAGGGATTGAACCTGCAACCTTGGTGTAGCGGGATGACTTTCTAACCAACTGATCTACCCCACCAGGGCCAGCAAACTACTTTATGATTTCAATACATTTTGCATGAGGTACTCAGTGATTCTAGATTAACAAAAATTCTTTTTTTAAAAAAATCCTCACCTGAGGATATGCTTATTAATTTTTACAGAAAGAGGAAGAAGGAGAGAAAGAAATAGAGAAACATCAATGTGAAAGAGAAACATCGATGGGTTGCCTCCCATAACAGAGATTGAACATTTTGCCTATGGAAGGAAGCTCCAAACAACTGAGGCACCAGCACAGGCTAACAAAACCTCTTTAAAAATTGGTGACTCACCTCTAAATCAGTTCCTGCCAGAGTTGCTCCTCTGAGATTACAGTTCTTCAACTTTGCATTTTTTAAGGTAGCGACTCTCAGGTTAATTCCTGTCATTTGACTTCCCTCCATATCTACACCTTTTAGATTAGCACCTAGAGTAAACATATTTGGGGATTAGTTGAACTTGAAAATATTTATAGTCACTCACTTTCAATAAAACCACATTAAGACTTAAATGAAAAAAGAATGACAGGCTCCTTTAACTTTTGAAAATGATTCTGAACTATATCTCAGTGTCTCAACCAACTTACATAAATAGAGTTCACTGTTATTGATGTGTTAACTCATACTATGAATTAAGAATGGTAGTCTATATTTTTGAGGAAAAAATTCAATTCAGCCTTAGGATAATTAGCACTTTTATAATATGCCTCCACAAGTTTGTGAAAAGGGAGGTAAGTACTGTTTTCTAAATATGCAAGAAAAGTAGTAAGACATTTATAACCAAAACATTACACCTAAAAATGACAATAATTGCCTGGCTTTGTGCAAACTGAAATTCTTAATTTTGGTCAGTATAAGAATATGCTGTTCTGTTTGAAAGTTTAAGATATTGATATATAATTCTTTGTCTGAGGCCTCATTAAATGTTAGAGGCTAGATTTCCCCGAGTTCTCAATGTTGATTAGCATATGACTGAGACCAGGGTGTGACAGATACCTGTGCAAATTCTCCAAGCATGGTGACAGAGGAAATCTACCCCCCTATGGTTATGTTTTACCAGTAACAATTAATTTGCTGGAATTTTTACTTAATGGTATGTTTTCCCCTTAGAAAAGGTAATCACAGACAGAATCTCACCTTCTAAATTGGCTTTAAGACCAGAAGGATCTTCAAAATTACACTGTTTCAGGGATGCCCCTTCTGCATTAGAACAAAGCATCTTGACTCCCTGGAGATTTGCACACTGGTAAAGAAAAGAGGAAAGTCTACATCTTAAGGTTCAGAATTTTGTTTGGAAAAGAAAAAATTGGCTCAAACATTTGTTAAACAAGGTATTATTTTTAACTTCCATGGCTAAAAGTTTGTTTGTTTGTTTGTTTGTTTGTTTATTTATTTATTTATTTATTTATTTATTTATTTATATTGATTTAGAAAGAGAAACACTGATGTGAGAGAGAAATATCAATTGGTCACCTCTTGCACCACACGCCCCAACCAGGGATCAAACCCGCAACCCAGGCATGTGCCCTGATTGGAAATCAAACCCGCTACCTCCTGGTGTTTGGGATAACGCTACAACCAACCAACCACCAGCCAGGGCCTGAAAGTCTTTCCTTTTTATTTTTTAAATCCTTACCTGAAGATATTTCCCATTTTATCATCAGATAGAGTGGGAGGGAGGGAGGGATAGAGAGAGAGAGAGAGAAACATCGATGTGAGAGATGTTTGCCTCCTGCATGACTTGACCAGGGTTGGGGATGAACCGGAACTGAAGCACATGACCTTGACCAGAATCAAACCCGTGACTCATTGGTCCGCACGCCGACACTCTAACCGTTGAGCCAAAAGGGCCAGGGCAATTTTTTTTTTTTTTTAAGAAAGGGTATATTAGGCCATTGCTAGAAAGAAAGAAAAAAGAGAGACTGATCTTGGGGCATAGAGTCTAAACTACTAGCAGCATGTATAGGTAGGAAAGATAGAAATGTCCATTGTCCTAGAGTTTTGCAAGTGTTTTTATACATCAAGTAAGGGAAGAAATATATAAGCTGTCTGAAATGACTTACATTAGCTACAGACAAAGGGGATGAGAGGAGGTGAAGCAGGGCAAGTTCTAGAATAAGTGCAGTAGAGTCACAAAGAAATGTCAGCTCCCGTGGAATAGTGGTGGGAAGCAGACTGGAAAGTTCATGTGTAAATAAGCAGAAGAGCCTTCTGGGGTTCTGTGGTGCCAGGCTATTCTCTCTGTTGGATAAGCTCAGAAATAGCCACCTGGGAATTAATCCCAAATTCCAAAAGATATACAGGAATGTAAGCAGTCTTTCATCAGGGCTGTTAACAGCCATTAACAGGCTAACTATTCTATCTCTTTCTCTTATTCTCCAGCAACTATAATTTTAATTTAGAATGTCTCAGAATTTTTATCTCATCACAGCAAAAGAAAACATAGAAAAAAGGGAAAGAAAAAGAAAAGTTCACCTCCATATACTAACAATTATTTTCTGTTCACAATAATGACTTTTCCAATTGAACTCAATACAAACTAAAACTATGTTAAGAAACAGCCTGGTACTAGCACAAGAACAGGCATGTAGATCAGTGGAACAGAACAAAGATCCCAGAAATCAACCCACACCTTTATGGTCAATTAATATTTGACAAAGGAGACAAGAGCATACAATGGAATAAAAACAGTCTTTTTAATAAATGGTGTTGAGAAACTAGACTGGTACATGCAAAAAAAAAAGAAACTAGACCACAACTTACACCATACCCAAGAATAAACTCAAAATGGATATAAGACATAAATGTAAGTTGTGAAACCATAAAAATCATAGAAGAAAACATAGGTAATAAAATCTCAGACATCTTTTTACTGACACATCTCCTAGGACAACAGAAACAAAAGAAAAAAAATAAACAAATGGGGCTACATAAAACTAAAAAGCTTCTACATAGCAAAAGAAACTATCAACAAAATGAAAAGGGAACCCATTGTATGGGAGGACATATTTGCCTATGATACCTCTGATAAGGAGTTAATTTCCTTTTACAGAACTTATACAACTCAACACCTGGAAGACAAATAATCCAATTATAAAATGGGCAAAGGACCTGAATAGACACTTCTCCAAAAAGGCCAAAAGACATATGAAAAAAATGCTCAATGTTACTAATCATCAGAGAAATGCAAATTAAAACTACAATGAAGTATCACCTCACATCTACCAGAATGGCTACCATCAATAAGTCAACAAACAACAAGTGCTGGTGAGGATGTGGAGAAAAGCAAACCCTTGTGCACTGTTGGTGGGAATGCAGACTGGGGCAGCCACTGTGGAAAACACGATGGAGTTACCTCAAAAAATTAAAAATGTAATTTTGCCTTTTTGATCCAGCGATCCCACTTCTGGGAATATATGCTAAGAATCCTGAAACACCAATTTGAAAGAATACATGAACCCCTATGTTCATTGCAGTGTTATTTACAATAGCCAAGGACTGGAAACAGCCCAAGTGCCCATCAGTAGATGAGTGGATAAAAAAGTGGTGGTACATTTACACAATGGAATACTATGCAGCTATACAAAAGAAGGAAATCTTACCCTTTGAGATGACATGGAGAGACCTGGAGAGAATTATGCTATGTGAAATAAGCCAGTCAGAGAGAGACAAATACCACATGATCTCACTTACAGGTGGAATCTAATAAACAAAATAAACTGACAAACAAAATAGAAGCAGAGGCATGGATACATGGAACAGACTGACAGAGGTCAGAGGGGAGGGGTGTGTGTGGAAGAAGTGGATAAAAGAAGGTGAAAAAAGTAGCCAAAGAACATATATATATATAGCCCATGGACAGAGACAACAGTGTGGTGAAGGCCAGGGGAGGGGTGGCGGTGGCTTGTTGGAGGTGGGCAAAGGGGTGGGGAATAGGGGACATCTGTAACAGTGTCAACAATAATGAATAAATCTGTGGAGATAAAACAAAATGGTTTATGTGCTGATATTTGCTGAAATTGAGTTATGGAGGTATAACTTTCTTAAAAGTCATTAAGAAAATAAGGAAGAGAAAAAACATGGTTTTGAGTCTAGTTCTAACTCTGCTAACAAACTAGCTATCTGGGCTTGGGCAAGTCTCTAGGTTTCAGTTTCTCTGTCTGTAAAACAGTCATACTCATTGATCATCAAGGTCCCTTCCAGCTCTTACCATTCTGTAAGCCTTAGACTGGGATATGTAATTGATAATTAACAGCTAGATCACTATACCAGCTTCTGTGCAGCAGGGTAAAGTCAATAATGGCAGGCAGAGCAGATGGAAGAAACAACGTAAAGGATGATGACAGAACAGTGTGGTACAGACTTGGACTGCTTAACAGTGATGGCAACTGAGATCACCTTGGTTGACAGCAGAATTGGATGATTCCTATGAAAAGGTTTCATAGCCCATGAGGGATAAATTGGGTGAGAAATTCAGTGAGAGTGGTAGAATCATTAGGTACATCTTGTGTTGTGTAGCAAAGTGCTCAGCATACATTGTATTTCGTGGACACTGCAATACGTGAGCTATTCATCAGCACACATCTTCAGGCTAAGGACAATTAACAATTAGTTTTGACTTTTACAGCCTATATACTCTGGGCCATGACTCTTCAACATATGCCATTTTCTTTTTTAAGTTTTTATTTTTTTCCTTATTGGTTTGAGAGAGAGAAGAAGGTAGAGGGAGAGAGAGATAGAAACATCGATGAGAGAGAACACTGACTGGTCGCCTCCTGCATGCTCCCTACTGGGGATTTGGCCCACAACCTGGGCATGTATGCTGACCAGGAATCAAACTGGCACCGGTGACCTCTTGGGGCATGGGTCAACGCTCAACCACCAAGCCAATCCAGCCGGGCAACATAAGCCATTTTCACCATTAACAATTAAAGTTACAATTTTATAGCAGATCAGTTTATCAAATATATCTCTATCTATATCTATATTGATATCGCTATCTATTTTTTACCTTCACATCAGTTATATCATATGGGTAGAACAAGTATTCACAGATAGAAAATATGGCTCAATTTCTTTCTTTTTTTTTTTTTGGTACGTGCCCCTAGCGGAAACTGAACCCAGGACTCTCTGGTCCGCAGGCTGATGCTCCAACCGCTGAGCCAAACCGGCCAGGACTATATATATGGCTCAGTTTCACAGTTAGAAATACTATAATTAAATAGAACTCAAAACCAATTGTACTGAATGATCCAAACTGTTTTATCATTTTTTTGGTCCTTAAAAACCAACCAAGCTGCTTCTTCACATTTCACTATTTAGGGACTAGGTCCTTTAAACCTTTCTTTGTGCTATTCGTCTTTTGCTTATTTTTGCTACCAATTTGATCCTTTATCATAAAATGGAACAAGGAAAGTAAAAAACAATCAGAAATGTATGTTGACAGACTTTGTTACTAGATCTGAAATAAACTTCATGGAAAAATAGGCTGCAATTAAGGAATAAAATCAAAATCATAAAATTTAATAAACATTTATTCAATGACCACTAAAAGCAAGTACTATATTAGGTGTTGTTAATTCAAAAGACATACAGACACATATAGACATGAGCCTTGGTATTAAGGAACTTAAAGTTGTTTGAAGTTAATAAATTTCACTGTTGGTTCTACAGATATCATCTAACCCCAAATTAACAAAGGTAATTTTTCCATTCACATACATATGCGCGCGCACACACACATATACACATACCTACGTAAACACATATACAAATACATGTAGAGAAAAAGAGAGCCAAAGTTACAAAACCAACCCATTTCACTTTCAGAGCCTTCAGTTTTATGTGTTTAATTAAAAACTTCAGTAAGAGACAGATGTAATTTCTGCTCTTTGAGAATGCTCAACAGACTAAAAATTTAATTTTCTATTGTAACCAAAAATGATTCTTACGTCAAGCACTGATCCAGAGAGATCAGCTCGTTCAAGATTTGCACAGCAGAGATTAGCATGTGCAAGATTGCAGCGGCTTAAATTGGCCATCTTGAAGTTAATGTATCGAAGGTCCAAACGAGAAAGATCAGCACCACTGAAGTTTAAACCCTAAAAGTAAAAAACACAAAATGTCACCATATTTAAACCATCTGTTGTATTAAATTTAATTACTATAGCTAACCACCAAATTTTTTAGAAGCAATTGGTGGTTCAGTCATTTGGAGTTTATTATAAAACATGATCAAACAGACCTTAGATATACAAAATCGGTGTCCTACATGGGTTCTAGTAAAGGAAACTATTTACATTTAACATTAGAATGCAGTCTGATCATACCTCATTTATGCGCAGTTTATTTTTTTAAAAGTTCTTTTACACATGTTTTTATTGATTTTTTTTAGAGAGAGGGGGAGAAAGAGATAAAAACATCAATGTGAGAGAAAAACATCAATCAGCTACCCGCTACACACTCTCCACTGGGGATGGTGCCCACAACCTGGACATGTGCCCTGACCGGGAATCGAATCGGGACCTCTCAGTCCACGGGACAACACTCAATCATCCACTGAGCCACACCAGGCGGGCTATGTGCAGATGTTTCTAAAGAGGGATCTCTGTTAGCCATATACCTGTTGACAAATATTATTTTTGTTTAACCTAATTATATTTAAATTATTTTATTAAATCAATAATTCAAGATAGTTTCATTTTTGAAAAACAAATATTGTGTTTTTTAAAAACTTCAATGCTATAAAACATAAATGTAAAAGTTATCTGCCACTGACTAGACATACAGAACTGTACAAACAATTGATATTTTTTTAAAAATTTATCTTTATTGCTAAATGTATCACAGATGTTCCTTATTTTTCCCCTATTGACTCCCTCCTCCCCACTCCAGCCCCCCTCCTGCTTTTCCCACACTGTTGTCTGTGGTTATGCATATATACATATAAGTTCTTTGGCTTATCTCTTCCACCCCCTACCCTCTCTTCCCTTTGAGGTTTGTCAGTCTAACAACCAATTTATACTTCTTAATCCTTTCACCCATTCCTCCAATCCCCCTCCCATCTGGCAACCAACAAAATGTTCTCTGTATCTATGAGAATGCTTCTGCTCTGCTTGGTCATTTCGTTTGTAGATTCAACTGTCGATAGACATATATTCATTGCCATTTTGTTTGTTCATATTTTTTATCTTTTTCTTCAAGAAGACCCTTCAACATTTCATATAATAATGGTTTGGTGCTGATGAACTCGTTTAGCTTTTTCTTGTCTGGGACACTCTTTATATGGCCATCACTTCTAAATGACAGCTTTGCAGGATAGAGTAATCTTTGTTGTAGGTTCTTGCTTTTCATCACTTTGAATATTTCTTGCCATTCCCTTCCGGCCTGCAAAGTTTCTTTTGAGATATCAGCTGACAGTCTTATGGGAGCTCCCTTGTAGGTAACTAACTGCTTTTCTTTTGCTGCTTTTAAGATTCTCTCTTTGTCTTGAACCTTTTGCATTTTGATGATGATGTGTCTTGGTTTGGGCCTCTTGGGGTTCATCTTGTTTGAGACTCTCTGTGCTTCCTGGACTTGTATGTCTGTTTCCTTCACCAAGTTAGGGAAGCTTTCTCCCATTATTGTTTCAAATAGGTTTTTGATTTCTTGTTCTCTCTCTTCTCCTTCTGGCACACCCAAGATGCAAATGTTGGTATGCTTGAAGTTGTCCCAGAGGCTCCTTACACTATCCTCATTTTTTTGGATTCTTTTTTCTTTCGAACATGATGAACATGATTGGGTGTTATTTACTTCCTTATATTCCAAATCGATGGTTTGCTTCTTGGCTTTACCTACTCTACTATTGAATCTGTGTAAATTATTCTTTATTTCAGTTAGTGCCTCCTTCATTTTTGACTGGTCCTTTTTTATGCTCTTGAGACCCTCACTAAGTTCACTGAGGTTCTCACTAAGTTCATTGAGCATCCTTATAAGCAGTATTTTGAACTCTGCATCTGTTAGGTTGCTTATCTCCATTTCGCTTAGTTTTTTTCCTGGAGTTTTATTCTCTTCTTTCATTTGGAACCGGTTTCTTTGTCTCCTCATTTTGGCTGCCTCCCTGTGTTTGTTTCTATGTATTACTTAATGAGAGGTATGGGGCTAGCTGAGATCAGATGCTGCTTGTTTAAAGAATTTAGGAAAACCTGAAGCAGGTTCCAAGACAGGCCAATCCTATGGTAAAGCAACTGGCAACAGCTTGGGTGGGCCTGAAAGTTGGGTGGGGCAGAACCTCAGGGAATCACCACGGTGGGGCAAACAGGGTGAGCCAAATTGCTGGAGTCCCAGATATGGCGACTGTCTGCCGCCCCAGGGAAGGGTTCCTGAAAGGAACAAAGACCTCTGATAGCATGTCTGTCCAGTAGAAAGCCACCTCTCCAGCCCTCGCACCAATGCCAAATAACTCAGTTCTTCCCCATATGTCTCTGGTGCCTTTCAAGCTGCCTCCCCTACGCTGTAGACTGGAGGGTGCAAGTCTGAGTAAGTGAGTGGGCCCTTTAAGAGGAGCTGCCTGGGGCTCCAGCCACCTCAGCCTCCCTCAGCCTCAGTTCCTGCTGGTTTTTCCAGCTAGAAGTTATGAGGACCTCTCTTCCTGACACTGGAACCCTGAGCTGGGCCCCTGGTGTGGGACGGGGACCCCTCAGTCCTCAGGACCTTCCCAGCCAAGGTATCCTTCTAATTTTTTTCCACCACATGTGAGTGTGGGACCAGCCCATTGTGCCTCCACCCCTCCTACCAGTCTCGATGTGGCTTTCTTTAATTTTGTAGTTGTAGGACTTCCATTCTGCTTGATTTCAGGCGGTTTTGAATGATGGTTGTTCCATAGTTTAGTTGTAACTCTGATGTGGTTGTGGGAGGATGCGATACCCCGATTATCTATGCTGTCATCTTGACTGGAAGTCCCTGACATTTTATTTTAATTGCTGAAATTTCTATGCATTACTCAAAAACTTCTATGTGAGGTATAAATAGATAATAAAAAAGGCTATTGCACATCTCTTTTTGCTAACTATTTTGGGATTACATCAATGCTGTGGCCCATAATAAAATTATATTTTGCATGAAAAGGAAAATGAAGCAAAAAATAAAATGCTAAAAGAATGCAAAATGTTACTCACAGATTTGCTGACATAAATAACTCATGAAAAAGTCTGTTTTAATTACCTGGCAACGCAATTCTGATTTGGTTGGAGTAGCTAGCAGAAATCGGACAAATTCCTTTCGAGATATGGGTGAATGATCCTCTGGTGGTTGAGAATTCTTGAAAAAAAGGTATTAAGAAATTAGTGGAGCATTCTGGGAGATAGCTAAAATAAATGTAATATTGGCTAGTGTAAAAAGAGCCTTACCTTTATTGCCACTTCTAGGTGTTCAATCAATGAGTCAATACCAAAAAATCTGGCTTCTTCTAACACACCTATCATAATAAAAATGATTTGACTTTTACAGAACACTTCATTTTAATATTTATAAAATTCTTTATGTTAAATTCTCACAAAAGAAATGAAGTTCAACAAGTAGGCTATCAATCAATATAAAAGAAAAATAACTCTTGTTTAGAACATAATAGGATATTTTTAAATAACTGTAAAACAAACTAAGTAGTTTTTGCCTGGCTGGTGTGGCTCAGAGATTGAGCATCGACCCATGCACCAAGAGGTTACCATTTCGATTCCTGGTTAGGGCACATGCCCAGGTTGTGGGCCAAATCCCCAGTGCAGGACATAAAGGTAGCAGGCAATCACTGTTCTCTCTCATCAATGTTTCTCTCTCTCTCACTCTCCTTTTCTCTCTCTCTCTAAAATGAATAAAGAAAAAAATTTAATAAAGAAAAAAAACAACTAAATAGTTTTCATTCAGCAAAAGAAAAAAAAGAATTTAATGAAATAGAATGAAAGACTTCCATATTTCAAAATCATTTCTAAAAATTATTTTTAAAAAGCCACAGGCAAAAGATCCTAAGACCATGCATTCCTAAAGTAATTGTTATAGTGGTTTGACTGTGAATCCAATATAAATAATTAGTTCAACTAATCTTAACATTTCCTTGACCCTTTCCAGTGGAGCAAATATCTTATACTTATTGAAAGAAAATTATAGAAATGAATAAAAGTAAACTTCAAAGCAAGTCAAAAGTATAATTCAGAAACCTTTCTTATAGGAGAATAAATTTTTAAAAAGATTTCTAATAGATAAAATGGAATTTATCTATCATTTACTTTTTATTTGATAAAAAAATGTACATTCTCTAGGTGACTTATTACATATAATTTCTCACATCTGTTAATAAACATTATCATCAGAGTATGTGGGAATAAATTTGGGGTCCATTTTCCTTAAAGTGAAAATTTCAGTCATTCAGTAGGCTGAGTTTACTTTTTAAAAAAGGACTCAGGAATTACAAAGGTAGTAAGAGGTGTAATCCCTCCCTTCAAATGGTTCCAACCTAATAAAGGTAACTATATGTAAAATAGAAAACCCCAGAAGTTATCTGGGAAAAGGATTATAATATTTTCTGGGAAAACCCAATTCCACCTCCAATATTCCAATTTCAAAACAAAGGCCATCTGCTGACCAGCATTCCACTCCACTCAGGTAGCTGCTCTGACACAGCACTTTCCAGTCCACACCACAGTGGCTTCATGTCTGGATTCCTCATGAAGGGGCATTCACACTTCAATATCTGTCCTGGTAGAAACCCATCAAAAAGAGATTCTAGGGCGCCTCATTCTCAGTTTACTAAGATTTTATGAGTAAATCAGAACTTCCTGGGGAGTGTAGTGAGAATGTTTTTCTAATTCTAGGTTCAGAACTAAAACATAAAAACTTCTTTAAAAAACGCCTTGCTCGGTCGGTGTGGCTCAGTGGACTGAGATTATCCCATGGACTAAGAGGTCCCAGCTTGATTCCTGGTCAGGGCACAAGGGGGGATTGTGGGCTTGATCCCCAGTAGGGGGCATGCAGGAGGCAGCCTATCAATGTCTCTCTCTCACATCAATGTTTCTCTCTCTCTCTCTTCCTTCTTCACTCTCTAAAAAAATCAATAAAACCATATATTTTTAAAAAGGTTCGTATAAAAACAAAAGACATGATGAGGGACAGTTGACAAAAAGATGTAATATTTATAGTGTATTTTCCATTAGCACCAGTAAAGCCTGGATTTGATCCCAGCTCTGTCACAATGATTTCTGTCTTGGAGAAACTACTTAATCTCCCTCTTAACTAAAACTTCCACATTTGTGAAATGGGATATTGTTACCACCCTCACAAAGTTGTCAGAAAAATTAAAAGAAATAATGAATACTTATTATCTGGTACAATGCCTGGACCTGGTAGGTCCTCAATAAATGATTATTTATTATTATTATATATATATATTTTTTAATCCTCACCCGAGGACATTTTTCCATTTTTTGTTCAGATAGAGTGGGAGGGAGAGAGAGGAACAGAGAGAGAGAGAGAGAAACATCGATGTGAAAGGGACACATCGAGTGGCTGCCACCCGCACGACCGACCAGGGCCGGGGACAAACTGCAACCGAGGTACATGCCCTTAGCGGGAACCGAACCCGGGTCTCTCAGGACCGCAGGCCGACGCTCTAACCGCTGAGCCAAACCGGCCAGGGCAATGATTATTTATTATTAAGTTATATGTTTTAAATTATTATTAAATTATAGGTTTTCTAATATTTAAGACCGTTCTTTTTGTTTTCATTTTTCTATTTCAAACTGGGTTTCAGAACATTCATGTTAGCTTCAGGGAAATAGATAATGAAATGCTAGAAAAGTTCTAAACTTAGTAGAATAATTGAATGAAGGTGAGATTTAGCTAAAAAAATATGGAAAAGATTATTTAAGTCAGGAAAAGAGTGTTTTGAAGACAAATGAAAGAAGAAAAAGGAAGACTTGATTCACTGGGAAAAGTAAAGGTCATTACAGGCAAGGAACAAGAGGAAATGATGAGTAAACAAAAATTACATACTGATGAGAGCATAAATTGAGAAGAGCAAAAAAATAAGGGTATTTAAGTAAGTAGGAAGAAGATAAGTCATTGTGGATTCTTTTAAAGCATATAATTACTTGGGGCAACTTGTAGCCAATGTAAAGAGTATGAATGAAAATTGTACTAAACAACGCTATATAAAATTAATCAGGAGAGAGCTCTGTTTGCTGAAAAACTAAATTTAAAAAGATCAATGGCAGAAAAACATTACAGAAGAAAAAACAAGCACAGTTTGGTAATAGCCTGCATTGCTGACATCAGAGATAGCAGGAAGGATATAAAATGCTATCAATGATATAAGGAGAAATTAAAATGGGAAGCTTAAAAGAGCCCACAGAACATCTAAAGCTGAGGTTTAAAATGTAATCAAAAGAGGGTAACCATTAGAATGAAAAGCAGCAGAGTGGTACAGTTGCTAAAAAGAAAAGGTTTTGTAAAAAAGTGGATCACTGGTTATTTTTATAGTAATTTTTGCAGACTGGCTAAAATAAAAACATTTTACAGCACAAATTGTAAGCTAGCAGCCCCCAGGCTGACTTTGATGCATTTAACATGCAGTGTTTTCAGATTTCACATAAAATTTTCGATTTCCAGCTTTTTTTTCTTTTTAAAAAAATCAAGGTTCTGGCACCCTAGGTCCTCACACAGCAATAATTGTGGAAGATGAGTAGGCATGTACGCTCAAAATCACCACATTTCTCCACCACTCCTTAAGTCAGACCAAATTCAGTCACTTGGAGGCCTATAAACTGAATATGCAACCACAGCTGTGTGGGGGACGGGCTCGACACAGCTGGCAGAACAATGGCATCTGCCTGCACTTCTGTCTGGGAGAGAGCTGGCTGCCTCTCCAGCCCTCACTCTGAAGCCAGACAATTCAGTTCCTCCCCGTTATGTTCCTGGTACTTTCAAGCTGCTGTCCCTTCACTGAGGCTTAGGGTGAGTGTTTGTCAGTCTGTGCGCAGGCCCTTTAAGAGGACTCCTAGGTCTAAGTGGCCCTCCATCTCCCCTGGAAGGAATCCCTGGTGATTTTCATAGCCAGATGTTGTGGTGACTTTGCTTCCCAGCACTGGTACCCCATGTGAGGATGGGACCCCTTGCTCCTCAGGGGGACCTTGGTAGCAGAGATATCCCTTCCAATTCTTAACTGCCACATGTGTATATGTGGAACCAGCCCTTCACATCTCCTCGCCTCCTACCAGTCTTGATGTGATTTCTTTTTCACATCATAGTTATAGGCATTCTGTTCAGCTAGTCTTCAGGTGGCTCTCAAGGGTGGTTGTTCTATAATTTAGATGCAGTTTTGATGTGGTTGTGGGAGGACTATCTACCTGTGCCTATATCTATTTCTATACCTGTATAACAGTGATTTTCAACTGGTATTCCGCAGCACACTGGTGTGCCTCTTGAATTGTCAAAACATGCAGTGTCTGACTACTTAGTCAGGGCCCTGACCTCTTTTCCCTTAGATTGTCAAATGAAAAAATGATAACAGCCAACACAATATCTGTCAAGTGTGAAAGAATAAAAATTATACCTATTTTTTTTCAGATTGGCAAAAAAATCTCTTTTGGTTTTGATATACAGCAGAATTTTAGTAAATAGTTTGTGTGCCATTAGGTGAAAAAGGTTGAAATATACACTCATATACAATGGGGGTTAGGGGTGTTGACCCACACACAGTAAAACATCTGCATAGAATTTTTGACTCCCCCAAAAGTTCAATTGTTCTTGGTACCTGTGGAAGACTGGTTCCAAGACCCCTACGGACACAAAAATCCATTGATGTCCAAATCCCTTATGTAAAGTGGCACAGAACAATACATACAATTATCCCTTTGCATCTGGGGATTCTCAACTGCAGATAAAAAATACTGTTGATGTAAAACCCATGGATATGGAGGGCCAGCTTGATGCTATTTACTGAAAAAACCCATGCATAAGTGGACCCACGTGGCTCAAACGTGTGTTATTCAAGGGTCAGTTGTACAAGTAAAGCATTTAGATATACCTTCACTTTATGAAAATATACTAAGTTATTAAGTAAGTGAAAAAAATAATAAAAATTATAAACTTACCAAAAATGTGAAGAATTACATTGAAAACTCACCCAGTAAATTAATGCCATCATTTACAATGAGCTGTCCGTGACGCAAGTAGTTCAAAATGGGTTCAAAGTACTCAGGACTTCGGTCAATTAAGAAAGCTCCTCTATGATCCTGCTTATTTCCCCAGACACCTGTGTTACCATTAAAACGAAGAAAGTTCCCCATAATAATAATAATTTTAAAAAAGTTAGAAACTTATGAAAGAAAAATTGTGCAACATACCAATAAGTTTTTCCTTTTGTAAAAAATATTGATATAATTAAAAAGAAGGACAAAAGATATAAAGTCAGTAAAACTACAAATAGATCACACAAAATGTGAAAATAATGTGTTACACTCACCTTTGTCCTTAAACATGTGGGCCAGCATACTGTCGGGTTCTTTATTCACTAAAGTGCTCCTAAGAATTCAGGGAAAAAAATTGATTTCTCCATTTGTCTTTATAAACAAACATATTTAACTCAAGAGTATACTCGATCCCAGCTGCTCTCTCAAAAAGGTGCATGCTATAACCTGGTAGGAGTGATGCTGGGAAACAAAAATGTGCAATAAGTTGCCATTTATCAAAATACCTTCTAATTTGGCACTTCCTTTGATTTACATATTGTTTTAGTTTCCTTCATTTATACACTGATCTATCCATCTAGCAAGCTATTATATCACAGTATTCTTGATCTAAACTTATATTTTCCTATACCTTTAATATAAGCAATTGTAGTCTATACGAATTTCAATATTCTTAATTTTCACTTGCATTGCATATATATTAATGAATATCAAAAAAACATGTTCTACAACACTGAATTCATTCTTTCTCTAGAATAATTTTTGGATCATTTTTCTTCCCTTTTCTCTAAAAGAAACCTTCTAGAAAATGGTTTCTGATAACACAGTATATTTAAGAGGCATTTCAATGTTTTCTAAGGAAATCAGCAAACTGAAGAAAAGAACAAATGATACATATTACCCCCCAACACACAGGTACACACATGCACATGGCACCTACCGTGTAGTTGTAAAGTACCGCCCTCCAACATTTAATGTAAGCCAGTCTGTGTGAGATCCTGACAACCCTTCAGGTACTTTAGAATCTGTCTGAGGATCTAGAGATGACATGTAGAAAATAATAAATATATTTAATTGGGGACTTGGGGAAGATGGCAAGAGCATGATTTTTAAAACTCAAAATACACATAACAGTGTACCAGAGCTACCTGGACAACAAAACCATATCCACAGACGACATCTAAGACAAAGAGAGCAGCATGGTATTAAGCACCTGTGAAGGAAGAAGTTGAGAGAAAGAACAGGGTACGTGATGAACCTAAGAATTCCACAGGAATCCATAAGTATTCCCTTCAAAGCTCAGCCAGTCCATTTGAGAAATGTAGACAGAGAGTGGGAAGAGTATGTCCACTCCTACCATCAGTGATGCAAGTAGTTTGCTGTAATATCTGAAGAGACTGGAAATGAACTCTCAGAACCCACAAGCCAAAACTCCCTTCCAGGACAAAGTTCCATACTACAGATAAGATGGGAAAAGAATCCAAGTTGAATGGAATAGAGATTATAACTAACTAACTAACTAACTAACTAACTAACTAACTAAAAAGGATTACAGATAAAAGTCAAAAAGGTTCTACATTCTAAAGAACCAGAACATATCAGAAGGTGAGTTCCATATATATATATATATTTTAAATTCTCACCTGAGGATATTTTTCCATTGATTTTCAGACAAAGTGGGAGGGAAAGGGAGAGAAAGAAACATCAGTGGGAGAGAGACACATTGATTGGTTGCCTCCAGCATGACCCCAACCAGGACTGGAGATCAAACCACAACTAAGGCATGTGCCCTTGACTGGAATCAAACCCGCGACTCTTTGGTCCATGGGCTGATGCTCTAACTGCTGAGCCAAACCGACCAGGGCAAGTTCCAAATATATATATATATATATATATTTTTTTTTTCTTTATTGATTCTAGAGAGAGAGGAAGGGAGAGGGAGACAGAGACAGAAACATTGATGAGAGAGAATATCAACCGGCTGCCTCGTGCATGCCCCCCATTGGGGATTGGGTCCATAACCTGGGCATATCCCCTGACTGGGAACTGAATCGGCGACCTCTTGGTGCATGGGTCGACGCTCAACCAGTGAGCCACACTGGCTGGGCAAGTTCCATATATTTTAACACATCATAAAAAACACAGAAAAGGGAACTCTGGAGCCATGAAATGATAAAAACTTTCCTAAGTCAACCCTCTCTTCTCAAGTTAAGGAAAACTAACTTCACATAAAACAGAGCAACAGAAAAGACCGAGATCAAATTCCATATAAAATTGTTAAGAAAATAAGAAGAATTACATTCCTAGAGACAATGACATGTGCCAGAAAAAAATGCTCATAAAAGAGATTAAAAATTATAACCTAATATTCCAAAACATGCTAAAAGAAGTGAATAATACAAGGTATAAAAGAATAACATAGACCAAAATTACAAAATTCAGAAATGAGGTGAAAGAACTCAGGAAACAATTGGAAATAACAAAGTTTTGGAAATGAAAATTAAACTAGACACACGTAGGAATAAATAAACACAACAGATAATGCCTTAAGGAAAATAAAAGATGCAAAAGAGGAAAGCTTTAAAAATCAAAAAGAAATGAAAAGGATTTAATAGAAAATTTTGAATATATTAGATAAATGTACAAGGTTCAACATACATGTAATAGGAGTCCTAGAAGAAGATCAGACAAAAGTACAAAATAAATATGTAATTTAAACTTCAATATAACTTCTCTGAAATTAAAAAGATTTGAAACTACATATTGAAAGGGCTCACCATGTATATGAAAGAATCAACCCAGAACATCCATAAAAAGTCTACTGTAATTACTGTATTTTAAAGGAAGAGACTCAATGGTTGAGCGACATGGAAAAATAATCACTTATGAGAGATCATATTATTTTTGACACAAATATTTTAAGCCAGAATAAAATGGAGTAACATATTTAAGATATTTAAAGAAAGGAAATGTGGACCAAGTGTTTTTTAACTGCTTCACTGAGTTATAATTGATATAAAATAAACTACACATTATTAAAGTTTACAATTTAAGTTTTGACATATGACTTTTTTTTTAAATCCTCACCCGAGGATACGTTTTCATTTATCTTCAGATAGAGTCGGGGGGAGGGGGGGAGAGAAAAAAATATTGATGTGAAAGAGACACATTGATTGGTTGCCTCCTGCATGACCCCCACCAGGGCTGGGACCAAACCGCAACCAAGGTACGTGCCCTTGACCGCAATTGAATCCCTGACCCTTGGTCTGTGGGCTGATGCTCTAACCGCTGGGCCAAACCAGCCAGGGCTGACATATGATTTTATATCCGGCCAAACTGACTTGAAATTTTTTTTATTGATTGATTTTTTAAGAGAGAGATAGGGTGAGAAAGAGAGAGAAAAACATCGATTTGTTTTTCCACTTATTTATACATTCATTGGTTGATTCTTGAAATGTGCCCTGACCAGGGATTGAACCCACAACCTTGGTGTATCTGGATGAAGCGCTAACCAAATGAGCTACCCAGCCAGGGCCAAATTGACTTTCAAGTGTAGAAGCAAAAAAACGTACTAACATGCAAGATGTCAGAGAACGTTGTTCTCACACGTTGTTTGTAAGGAAGTAAGTTTCAGACAACCACTGGAGGCATCAATGCAAGGACTGGAGGTAAACGTTAAATACACTTGAAGGAGTAAAACTAAGAGAGAGTTTGAAAGAAGAGCATTTAGTATACTGTGGCTATATATTTTAATAGTGTAGAAACAATACAATTACTTTTTAAGTAAGGGGTGAAAGGAATGAAGTTATGCAAAAAAAAATGTTTACCTTGCCCTGGCTGGTTTGGCTCAGTCATTAGAGTGTCGGTCCTCCGACCGAAGGGTCATGGATTTGATTCCCAGTCAAGGGCATGTTACCTGGGTTGCAGGTCTGATCCCCGGCCCAGTCAGGATTGTGTGGGAGGCAACCAATTGATGTGTCTCTTCCACATCCATGTTTTCCTCTCTCTCTACTTCCCTTCCTTCCACTCTATCTAAAAATCAATGGAAAAATATCCTCAGGTGCGGATTAACAAAAAAATAAAATGGATCTTTGTATCCAGAATCACATTATAAAAAAAGAATGCCCTGGCCAGTTTGGCTCAGCGGTTAGAGCGACGGCCTGAGGACCGAAGGGTCATGGGTTCAATTCCGATCAAGGGCACACACCTCAGTTGCAGTTTGATCCCTGGCCCCGGGTGGGGTCATGTGGGAGGTAGCCGATTCGTGTGTCTCTCTCACATCGATGTTAAAAAAAAAAAAATGTTTACCTGTTTTTAGTATTCATATTGGTATTGAAAGTACCGGGATTGTTACTGACACATTTACAGTCGTCCCTCACCACTTCGCGCTTCCACTTTCATGGCTTCACTCTATTGCGGTTTTTTCAAATATATTCATTAAAAAGTTGATCGAGACAATGAAAATGATACAGCGTGTGCTCAGTTGTCTGAGTCAATTATACAGCCCTATATTACAATTAAAATTAAAATTACTGTACGTATGGACTGTAGGCCTATGTATTCGAGCACGCCATGAATCCTTCAACACCAGGTGCAAACCACTAGAGTCTGGTACGCATTAACTGTGATATTGAGGGACGACTTATGTATGTTTTGTGTGGGATGAAGTAAATGAGTAACTATATGACATTATTATTCTATCATTCCTAATGCCCCCTAAAAATCAAAATTATTGACATGGAAGAAAGGAGATATAAGATAGAAGTTAAATAAAAATCTTATAATCCTGATTATAAACTGGAAGCATTAGCATGAACCCATGAGATAATCTATATATTATGCAATATATAAAGCTTTATATCATAAAAGATACTATATATTATATATACATTTTATCTCTGGCTAGCTATGTATTTCCAACTCTGTCCACCAAAAAGCCTAGTAACAATGATGAACCCAGTAACAACGAGCCTCCGGTTCAGATTGTGTCTTGAAATGACATTTCTCACTAAAAGAAATCAAAGCTTCTTAGAAAAAACATTGATCAGGATGTAGATTTTACATCTAGGTACTTAGATTTTCAGGGTTTGATTGTGTGGAACTAAAATATATCAAATACTTGTTAAAGAATATTTACTGTATTTATGCCTTGTTACAACTGTAGAAGCTTTCTTCTGAATCAAAGGGCAGTGTGTATATGTGTGCCTGTGTGTGTGGTCGACACCAAGTAATTTTTGACTGATTTGATTGGACCACTGTGAAGGATTGTCAAAGATTACTTATGCAGCAATACATGCTTAAAAACATGTAGTATAACACTTAGAGAAACTGTAACAATTAGTATGAAAGAGACATTTTTAAAACAACTGTAGTTTCCAAAATCAAAAATGCCCTCCAATGTTATATTTAATGAATCTGTATACCTCAAAAGTATTTTAAAGGCATGTAAAAGAGAGGTATCCATACTAAAATATGATCATACAATTCAAATTAAAAATTTACTTAAATACACACACTCAATGCAGAAGCAAAAAAGGTATGAAGATCTAAATACTACCACAAAACACTTTTTAATGTTAAGTCAAATAAAATATGTCATTTCATCTTTTTAATTTTTTTTTTTTTTTATCCTCACCCGAGGATATTTTTCCATTTTTTGTACAGATAGAGTGGGAGGGAGAGAGAGGAAGAGAGAGAGAGAAACATCGACGTGAAGGGACACATCGAGTGGCTGCCACCCGCACGACCAACCAGGGCTGGGGACAAACTGCAACCGAAGTACGTGCCCTTAGCGGGAACTGAACCCGGGTCTCTCCGGACCACAGGCCGACGCTCTAACCGCTGAGCCAAACTGGCCAGGGCCATTTCATCTTTTTTATTTTGGCAGACAAAAATGGATTTTAAGGAAGTCACTTACCAATGAATGGTTCTCCTTCACACACAAACAAAACATCATCATCCCTGGGGAAAATAAAAATTTAAAAAGGCACCATCAAAATCCAGAAATCACATTAATTATCTGTTGAATCTGGAAACTATTCCTTAGAATTATGTAGAAGACAGGTTTTGCTATCAATCTATATTGCAAATTTGACTATATAAGTTTCCAATGCTTTCATTGCTTAAACCCCACTCCCCTTTGGATTTAAATTTAAGTAAGATCCTACATATGAAAGTACTTTTGAAATGGAAAACAAACAAAACAAAACCCACTATATAAATTGTTAAAATGCAGCTTTTGTATCAATTGAAGAATGTACTATTATGTTCAAAGGATATGATTAAATCCATAGCCAACTTTTCCTTTTTTACTTTAATTCTATAATCCTAAATAAATTACTGGGGTTTTCTCCCAAATAATCAGTTGCTTTGAGCTTTGAAAAAGAAAATAAATTTTTGTGTTAAGTTTAGAAAGAATATAACTGGAAGTAACTGCTGTAAACACTCACGTACTAAACACCCACCACACCCCCAAATGTAAAGGACTGCATATAATCTGAAGTCCTGGATCATCAGTGATATCCTCCTTCCTTGCCCCAACCCATGCCACCATTACCATAAGTAAATTATCAGACTTTTCTGTGAAACATAAATTATTAAACAGGTAGATACTTTATAGTTTGGAAGGCTTACGACCTTTTCTATGTTGCAGAAGTTTTTATTTCCTATAAAACAATCACAGGAACACATTGAATTTTTCTTAGAAGCAGAGTCTGTGCTTGTTAAGAAATTTAGGTTGATGTAAATCATTCAACAGTGTGACTCATTTATGCATAAAAACTGAAAGAATATGGAAATTAGATATTGAAAAACTAAGAAACTCTTTTACTTCATTTGGATTTTAAATCTGTATCTTTTTTAGTCTTCATCTGAGGATACTTTTCCATTGATTTTTTTTTTTTTTTTATACAGAGTGGGATGGATGTAGAGAGAGAGAAACATCGATGTTAGAAAGACACATCAATTGGTTGCTTTCGACTGGGCTAAGGATTGAATCCAAAACTGAGATATGTGCCCTTGACTGGGAATCAAATCTGAGACTCTTCAATCTGCTGGCCTATGCTCTAACCACTGAACCAAACCAGCCGGGGCTTAAATTTGTATCCTTTAAAACTTATAATCTTTTCTACTTGCTCACCATGCCAGTTAACTTTGTAAGACTAGTATGAAAATTTGTTTTCTTCTTCTTATCAAAAATCAGCTAGTAACTATATGACCTGGATAAGTTATTTAACTTCTCAGATGTTTAGTTTCTTCATTTATAAAATGAAGGGAAGAGAAATTATTAACTTCAAAAGCAATATATTAAAAGGTCATTCTGACCTGGATTTAAATGAAAATTAAACTTGTATATTATTATAATATAAAGTATCATTACTTTCACTCCATCAATTTTTTTTTTTTAATCCTCACCCGAGGATATGCTCATTGACTTGAGAGAGAGAGAGAGAGAGAGAGAGAGAGAGAGAGAAACATCAATGTGACAGAGAACATGGATTGGGTACCTTCTGTATGAGCCCCAACAGGGAATCAAACACTCCATCAGTTTTTTAAAGAACCCCATACTTTGCCAGTGAAATGAGATAACGTGAGCAAACAAATACAACACAACTGGCACAGTGTCAGTAATTTGTGTTCCCTTCCCCTCTTTCTTAAACCTCAAAATTCTATGATCCTATAAGGATGGGATGAGGTGAATTTGATACTTGTTTTAAAGAGATAATTCTGCCTGGGATATTTAAAAAACAAAACCAAAATCAAACAAACCAAAAACCAGTGTTATGGTGGATCACTGATGAGTTAACTCTGTTTAGCAAGTTTTCACCAAAGTAATGAATATTTATAATTTATATATATTTGTAATATTTATAAAATTCAAAGCATTCTTAGGAAATAAGTTGAACAATAAGCAGTAGCACATAAAATTAGAGAGATCAGATCTCTAACATTAAAAAACGCATGTCTTATTAGATCCATTTCTAGTACCATACAGAAATTCCTCTTAGCCATATATAAACTATGCAGAAAGACTATCAATAATTGGAATGTACTAAGGATTTTCTATCTGATCAATACACCGTAAGTTCAAATGATTTAAATTCCAAAGAGCAAATTCTAGGTAATAATTTACCAACATGCTGAACTCTTTAACAATGATTAAACCATTGTGTCAGAGAAATAGCACAGCACCAAGAAGCTAAGAGCTCAGAGTAGAAAGCTTATAAAAAGGTGAAATTTACCTGATCAAAGCAATATCATCAATCAGTCCACCTTTCCCATTATACACACTAGTGGCTTTTATGCCGAGTTTACTACTGGCCACAGAAAGCAAATCAGATAAAGTTCCATATACAGCAACCACCTGTAAAACACACCAGATTAATTTGAACAATTTGCATAATGAATCTCATCACTCATAAATTCTGTCATCACACTATAAACAGGACTAAAAATTAGATTATCATGTAAAAGGAGATTTTGAGAGGTTCTTAAGAATGTCCCTTTTTTGCCCTGGCTGGTTTGGCTCAGCAATTAGAGTGTTGGCCTGCAGACCTATGGAGTCTCAGGTTCGATTCTGGTCAAGGGCATGTACCTCGGTTGCGGTTTGTCCCCAGCCATGGTTAGGGTCGTGCGGGCGGCAACCAGTCGATTGATGTGTCTCTCTCACATGGATGTTTCTCTCTCTCTCTCTCTCTCCCTCCCTTCCAACTATCTGAAGATAAATAGAAAAATATCCTCAAGTGAGGATTAAAAAAAAAAAGATGCAAATATTTACATAGTGCCTAATAGTACTGAAATCTAAAACTAAGAATCAGAAATTGTCTCTGACTAAAAATAATCTACAATCTTAAAGTATGTTAAATAGTGCTCCAGTTCCATAGACCCACATTTGAATTTAGATTTGAACATTTCCAGCTGCCTGTTGACTTGAGACAAATTATTGAACCTTTTTATGCTTCTGTTGCTTTACCTAGAAATAAAGAAAATTGTCACACCTACATCAGAAGGTTGTCATGAGGATGAAATGAGTTAATCCATGGTAAGAGCTTAGCAAAGTGCCTGAGACCTATTAAGTCTTTATGTTTTTACATTATTCTTTTGTTATAGGAATGGTTTATTTTAAAAATAAGAATGATTTACTGCTGTGTATTGTAACATTTATTATATCAACTACCATATGAAAGGTAATGACTTTCCATCTCATTTAGTTCTTCAACAACTACTTACTTTATAAAAGCCAGACTTTAGCTAACATTCCAAATATGGCAAGCAGCTGGGTTTGATCTTTCCAGCTGAACTGATCTATCCTGCTTTCAATCAGGTGGTCTGATATATGTGCAAGGTATATGCAATTGATTAGGTAGGGGGTTGCAAGTTTTTTTTGTTTTTTTTTATTCCTCTTTTTTTTTAATTAATTAATTTTTGTTACAGATGTTTCTCCTTTTCCCCCCACTGATTCTCCCCTCCCGCTCCCTCCCTGCCTTTTCCCCAGTTTGTTGTCCATGCCCACTGTTCATGCATACATGCATAAAAGTTCTGTGGTTTATCTCTCCCCCAGGGGTTGCAAGTTTTTATATGAAGTGAATTTCTTGGTCATCATAATTGTAATTGTGGGTTCTCAGTGGCTGAGTTGTACAGTTGTACCATTATCAGTTAGGATTTCTGAACATTACAAATAAAAAGTAGGTGAGGAGCTGAACATGAAGCATTTACAGCCAGCTGGCTTCCTGCAGGATATTAGGTAAATGTGCCATATGAAATGAGAACCAAGCTGGTCCTTTGTTCACCAGTGACTGGGTTATAATAAACACTGAATTTTTAGCTAAATAAATGAAGTGAATAGCAAGGTATGGGTGTAGTTCTTTGTTAATTTAGGAGAGTACAATATTTCAATAGCAGAGTATTCAGATTCTAACCATTTTCTCTTGTATCATAAGGATAAAAAGCCAGAGAAATGTTGCAAGCTGGGACATTTTGGGGAAGGGTTGTAGTCAAGCACAATTTAAAGGGGACTAGGTGGATTATTAAAATAATGCACAATCCAAGTGTCCATAAACAGATGAAAGGATAAATAACATGTGGTGTATACATACCATGGAATATTATTCAGCTATAAAAAGCAATGAAATTCTGATACTACAACATAAATGAATCTTGAGAACATTATGTCAAGTGAAATACACCAAACAGACAAACATTATATGATTCCATTTATACCAGGTAATTAGAACAGGCAAATTCATAAAGACAAAGTAGAATAAAAATTACTAGGGTGGAGTGAGAAATGGAGAGTCCTTGCTTAATGGATACAGAATTTCTCTTTGGGATAAAGAGTTTTGGAAATAAGTAGTGGTGAGGTTATATACATTGTGAATGTACTTAATACTAATGGACTGTACACTTAAAAATGGCTAAAATGTTAACTTTTATATTATATTTTTCCACAATGTAAAAAAAAAAAAAAATCCAAAGCACTTGGCAGTGTATTGCACATGAACAGACACACCATAAATGATAAAAGCTTGAAGAAAATGTGTCCCCCGCATTTCCTATCATTTTTCACATCTGTAACAGAACCTGGCAATCTAACCTTTATTGCAGATACATGTTCCTTGGAGAAAAGGAAGAGAAATAAAATGCGTAAGGCATATGTACAGGGTGTGAAGACTGTAAAAAAGAATAAAAAAATGCAAAGGAGCAAGAGATTGACCAAAAGAAATGCAAAACAACTTTTACAGTATGGAAAGTGCTATGGGTGGGAGACAAGAAAATGCTCCTTTTCAACATTATCACCCTTGTATTAGCTGTTATTATACTAATAATTTTCTAGATTGGTCTTTCTCTTTCTTCTCTTATTTATCTCTACTTCTTGTACATCTCTACATGGCTTTATTTAGCCTGACATTATCCCACCCTTACCCTAATATTAACTCTACAGCATTTCTTTTCAGTTCTCTCTCAATTGGCCATATCATAAAATGGATGCAAATTTCATGCATCTGTGTATATAATGTACTTGTGTTTAATTTAAATATTAGAACATACATTTTATATGACTTATTTTAAAAAAATTATATAAAAATTGTTTTCTACTTCCATATGATAAATTTATATTTTTCCTCTGGATCAGTAGTCTCCTAATGAAAATAAAGGCCCCCACCTACTCTAAAAATGCCCTGTGCAATTTGGAAGCCACTAGCTGCAAGAGGTTATTTAAATTTTAACCTATTGCCCTGGCCGGTTTGGCTCAGCGGTTAGAGCGTCCGCCTGCGGTCCGGAGAGACCCGGGTTCGGTTCCCGCTAAGGGCATGTACCTTGGTTGCAGTTTGTCCCCGGCCCTGGTTGGTCGTGCGGGTGGCAGCCACTCGATGTGTTCCTTTCGCATCGATGTTTCCCTCTCTCTCTCTTCCTCTCTCTCCCTCCCACACTGTCTGTACAAAAAATGGAAAAATGTCCTCGGATGAGGATTAAAAAAAAAAAAAAAAAAAAAATAAATTTTAACCTATTAAAATTAATTAAAAGTTAAAAGTCAGTTCATCTGTCACACTAGCTATTTCAGTGCTCAAAAGCCACATTAGCTAGTAGTTACCGTGTTTAACAGCACAGATACAGAATACTTCCACCATCACAGAGACTTCTATTGGACAGTGCTATTCCAAAGAGCAGAGTAAAATCAACAAAGAAATATCTGTTTTAATGATGTTAGGCTTGACCATGCCATAGCAATGCACAGCAACAAAGTGACAGAATCCAACTCCTAAACTTGTTTGTTTTATATTGGAGGGTTGAATAGCTGCCATCTTTCCTTTCTCCCCTATTGAAGTAAAATTTGATGATAGAAAAAAAAGCATGTATAGAGTTTGCAATTATTCAGGCAATCAAAGCGCAAGGGAGTTTCCTTATAGGGTGCAAAACTATTCAGGAACGCGATCTAGGTATCAATTGAGTTTAAGTTTTATTTTACTGCCACTTAAATCAGCCCTAATATAATATCAAACATGATTTATCATGTGACTAAAATATTTTCCGATCTGACTTTCTATCTAGACTGTAAAGGTTTGATGAAAAAGTTTTAATTTGTAAAAGTTCTTATTTATTCTGTGAATATAGGTTATCCCCTGGTAATGCTGATGACAGGGCTGAAGTTTATCCCAAAGTACCACCCTCCTCTCTGAAGCCAGAAAATAACCACAGAATAAAAGGATTTTATAAAGGATGCAGTTGATTAAATATTACACTACCTGGCTTATAGTAGGCCTTTGACAAATATTTAAATGTTGGATGAAATTTTCATTGCTTTCAGAGTGTTGAACAAGGACATGCCTTTGTTGTGTGACAGTTATATTTATTTGTGTTTTCCACTGACATATTACGTTGAAACACAAAGTACAAATGCAACGCTTAAGTGATATTCATAAAACTACTGAAAGTGGCTGTCTTTGGATAATGGAATTATGGTTTACTTATTTTCTTGTGAGTTTTTTGTTTTGTTTTCCAGATCTGTTACAAAGAACTTATGTTACTGATTTAATAAAGGGCAAAAGTTATAATTTATTTTAATAATCTAGATACTTGTTTTAGGAATAAAAATTATTGCCCTGCTTGTGTTGCTCAGTGGATAGAGAGGTCCCAGTTTTATTCTTGGTCAGGGCACACATATTCCAACTGGTGGATTGGAAAATCAAACTATTCTGCAGTTATGCTCTTTTTCCCCAGATGTTCTTAATGAACATCATGTTATCATTATGGCATCCTGGCTAAATACAGTCACTTTATTTATATAAAAATGCAGGCTGTCCCTGGCTGGTGTGGTTCAGTTGGTGGGGTGTTGTCCCATGCACCAAAAGGTTGAGGGTTCAATTCCCAGTCAGGGCACATACCTGGATTGTGGGCTTGATTCCCAATAGAGGGCATGCAGGAGGCAGCCGATGGATATTTACCACATCAATGTTTCTCTTTCCCTCTCTCTCTCCCTCTGTAAAAATCAATAAACAATTAAAAAAAATAAAAATGCAGGCCTTTCAGTATTATTCTGCTCTCTTTTGTCAAATAAAATAATTCCAATACTTTTTTTTTTTTATCCTCACCTGAGGACATTTTTGCATTTATTTTCAGACAGAGCGGGAGGAAGAGAGAGAGAAAAACATCAATGTGAGAGAGATGCATCGAGTGGTTTCCACCCACACAACCCCAACCAGGGCCAGGACAAACCGCAACCGAAGTACGTGCCCTTAGCGGGAAATGAACCCCGGGACTCTCTGGTCTGCGGGTCAATGCTCTAACTGCTGAGCCAAACCAGGCAGGGCTTTCTTTTCTTTTTTAAAAATATGTTTTTATTGATTTTTTTAGAGAGAGAAGAAAGGAGAGATAGAAACATCATGTGAGAGAGAAACATCCATTGGCTGCCTCCTGCACGCCCTCTACTGGGGATCGAGCTGGAAACCGGGGCATGTGCCCTGACTGGGAATGGAACTGGGACCTCAGTCCATGGGGCCACACTCAATCCACTGAGCCACTGGCCGGTCCTTAATACTTTTATTAATTAGCTGAAAAGAGAGGAGAGGAAACACTGACAACTTTGGCATAGAATATGTTTTCCAGTTGAGTAGTAAGCATTATGGCATGATTTATTTATTTTTTTTAAATCCTCACCTGAGGATATTTTTCCATTTATCTTCAGATAGAGGAAGGGGGAGGGGTGCGGAGAAACATCAATGTAAGAGAGACACATGGACTGATTGCCTCCTGCACTATCCAGACCAGGGCTGGGGACTGAACTACAACTGAGGTATGTGCTCTTGAGCAGAATAGAACCCGAGATTCTTTGGTCCACAGGCTGGGCTCTAAACACTGAGCCAAACTGGCCAGGGCTGACATGACTTATTTTTAATATTGACTCATACTAGTATTTTCCAGTTTGGGATTTTATGATCTCTTTAACATAAACATTTATCTTTAATTATTTGAGATGTATTTTTTCCAGTCTTCTGAGATTCTCTAGTAAAATATTTTTAAAGCAAATAAAATTTAAATCCAAAAATCTAATGCTGTCAAAACTAAACATCTTAAAAAAATTTATTAAAATATGGCAAAACTAACATAGCCAATCTGTGTGTGTGTGTGTGTGTGTGTGTGTGTGTGTGTGTCTTAATCCTCACCAGAGGATATTTTTTCTATTGATTTTTAGAGAGTGGAAGTAAAGGAGAGTGGGGGGGGGGGAGGGGGGAAAGAGACAGAGAGACAGAACCATCCATGGAGACAGACACATCAACTGGTTGCCGGACTAGGGGTGGGAGATCAAACCTGCAACCCAGTTACAAGCCCTTGACAGGGAATGGGATCTGAGACCCTTCTGCTGACACTCTAACCATAGAGCCACATTGGCCAGGGCAACACAGCCAATCTTTGACAAGAAAAAAAATTCAGTGTTTCAGAAGAAATTTACAGCATAAATATTTATGCCTGGATCTAAACATCTTGTCTTTCATGGAATAACACAGTGATACTGGATAAAAAGGTCAATCAGAGGTCTGCTTTTGAGGACATATTACAATTGTAACTGGATATACTTAATCTTTTTTTTAATCCTCACCCGAGGATATTCTTCCTTTGCTTTTTGTAGAGAGAGAGAAAGAAACATCAATGTTAGAGAGACACATGGATTAGATGACCTGCAGGGCCCCAGTCGGGGCTGGGGATTGAACCTCAACTCAGGTACGTGCCCTTGACAAGAATCAAATCTTGAACCCTTTCATCTGTGATCTGATGCTCTAACCACTGAGAAAACCGGCAAGGGCTAGATATGCTAAATCTTTTTTCCAGTAACAATATAAGTTTTAGATTGTGAATGTAGTCAACAACAGACAAAACAGGTTGAGAAAAATAATAATGGTCAGAAATAATGTTAATCTTGGGAAGCTTTTTTTGAGGCAGCATTTATGAAAACTTCAATTGATGCCAGTTCTGTTTTATATGGGTATTAAATCTCTAAGACCAGAATACCAAATTATAGTCAACAAACTACACTGTGGTTCAAATTTTTAGAGCATGTTTAGTCAAAACTGCAGAATAGTTGCAAAATAATTTTTTATACCTTGGCACAATTACACTATTTAGAAATTTACAACGTTTCTAAAATATGCAGAGACAAAGTATACTGGCAAGTAATACAGTGAAGCAATTTACCCAGATGTTCTCAACCTTTCTAATTGCAGTGACCCCCTTTTTTTTTTTTTTTTTAATCCACATCCGAGGACATTTTTCCATTTTGTTCAGATAGAGTAGGAGGGAGAGAGAGAGAGAGAGAAACATCAACGTGAAAGGGACACATCGAGTGGTTGCCACCCGCACAACCCAACCAGGGCTGGGGACAAACCGCAACTGATGTACATGCCCTTAGCGGGACCCGAACCCGGATCTCTCTGGACCGCAGGCCAAAGCTCTAACCGCTGAGCCAAACCGGCCACGGGCCAGTGACCCTTTAATACAGTTCCTCATGTTGTATGTGGGAGTATCTGCATGTGGGCAACTGGCCTGGAAATAGAGGAGTGGTGCCTTGGTTCCTAAGACCATCGGAAATATGTGTTTTCCAATGGTTTTAGGCAACCCCTGTGAAAGGGCTGTTCAACCCCCAAAGGGGTTGTGACCCACAGGTTGAGAACTTGTCTAACTTAGTTTAAGTTAGACTCTAAGGCTTAGTTACTTCTAAATGTCACTTAGCCACACCATAAGTCTGCCTTGACAAATTTTCCAAAGCAGCTGAACAACTTTCATGGGTGGGGCAAGAGCTGAGAAGAAAAATGATTCATTTTGGCTTGCTCTAGCATTGGAAAAATATTTAGTATCACACTCTCAACAAAGGCTGAACACATAAAAGAGTAATGTCAAATCAATCCCTTTTGGCCAATTGTCACAGTCTCCTAAAGAACTAAAATAAGGTAAGATAAAAAAAAGAGTACATGGGGGAGAGATAAACCCCAGAACTTATATGCATGTATGCATGAACAATGGACAGGGACAGCAAAGCTGGGGACCGGGCAGGGAGGATGGGGGAGGGGGGAATCAGTGGGGGAAAAAGGAGAGACATCTGTAACAAAAATAAATAAATAAATTTTATATATATATATATATATATATATAATCAGAAGTTCTGCCGCCACGGGGTTTAGGGCACCTGAGAGAGGGAATTATCAAGAAAATGTCCATAATTTTCGATTCTCTATTCGACCTAGGAATAGACAAGTATTTCATTTATCCACTGATAGAGTTTAATTTTTTTTACCCGATCAACCTTGCATGCCTTAGTTGTCACCACCACTTTCTGGAGCAGACCATTAGTCAGCAGGAAGGTGGAAACAAGCGCCTTCTCTAGCCATGGTTGGGGGGCAGCGTGGTCTTCGGGGAGGAGGTGGGAAGAGGGGCATCAGCACCAAGCACTTAGGTGACAGCGGCCCTTCCATGTCCTCCGTTCTCCCGGCCCATACCTGGACTTGGGAACGATTAAGCACAAGCTGACCTGCTATAGTCCCCAGGGCGGCTGGGTAGTCGAAGGGTAGGTTCGAGGTAGGAATCTGGGAGTTGGGAGGAGGACACGGGGTCCCGATCTTCACCTCCCCCGATCCTGGCGCACGCCCACCCCCCAGCCCCTCTCCCCAACTTCAGCCCTCTGTCCTGCCAACCCGCTCCGCACTCCGCTGCCCTCGCCCCCGGCAGCCGGGCCGCCTCGCTTCCTCTCGATCCCCTTACCTTTCCATTCTTGGGGCTGCCGTTAAGGAACAGGGTCACCCGCCTCATCGCGCTGCCCCCACTGGGTCCTGAGTGAGTCGCCACCCTCCCACCTGGCTTTCCTTCTACCTGGCTCTCCTCCCTCCCTTCCCCTCCCGCCAACCACTCGGACTCTCCTCCCTTCGCCACCTTCCTTTTCTTATAGACAGACAGACAGACAGACAGACAGACACACACACACACACACACACACACACACACGCACGCACGCACACACGCGCACACACGCACGCACGCACTCTCCGTACCACACCCCAGGGTTGGCCGGTTCTCCACCCCGCCCGAGGGCTCCTCAGCCAGTCTGGGGCCCTTCCCCCAACCTCCCACAGAGTGGCTCTAAACTCCACCAGTCAACTGGCAGCGCCGGTCAGAACTCAGCCAATCATCACCCTGAATTGGGTGGGCTTATTCTAGCTACGCCCTAGTGGAGGGAGGAAAGAGAGGCTGCAGTCTGGTAGATGGGAAGGGTTATCAGCCAATCAGAGCAGAACTTGGAGCCCAACGGCGGCTCAGCGTTATTGAGCAGGCGCAAACCCATCTCATCTGCATACGGGGTGGGGTTTGAGGGAAGTGATGTGCTTCAAGCAACTTTACAGCAGTCTATGCCTGCAGCTGTAACCACTCCCTTCGCTCAGCAGAGGAAACGGCTGTCGTCGGAGCTGGCTGATTGGGTTAGAACAAGCTCGTCGTTCTGTCAGGATTGGTCCAATGATTCTTTTCGAAGTTCGCAGCATCCAATGGAAAGACGGGAGCGGGCGGTGTACGCTCCAACCGAAGGGTTCCTCCGCGAGACGCAAGGAAAGTAGTCCCCACGGACACGGGTTAGCAGGGGTTCTCTATGCCCAGTGGGCCACCCGCACCTAGCAGTCGCTTCTCTCCGAGCTCACGACAACACTCGTGTTCCTTGGGACGGCGAGGTAGAGGCCTAGGAGGTTGCGAGGTGCGCGCGGAAACGTGCGGGTGGCGGCAGCTGAGAGACTCGTGGAATAACGTTGGTCTGCCGAGGAGGCGGGGCGGGAGATTTGAATCTGGCGGCAGGCGGCGGCCGTGCGGAGTCAAGTGTAGGTTTCGCGGGCGGGTCGGGGGTGTCGGTGGCCCCGGACTAGGCAGCCCCACGGCTGCTGGCTCTCGAGCGAACCCTTCAGGACGAAAGAGCCGAGGTTTAGACGGCCACGACACTTCTGTGCTGCGTAGAGTCCAAAATACACTGAAGCGGGAGGAGAGCCCAGCTACGGGAGTGAGGTAGGGCAGGTCCCGGTTCGGATCTCGGGTAGGCTACGGCAGTGCTGTTTCTCAGAAGGGTGGTCTTCTTATCCTGCTCCACGGAGATGGTGGCTCTCCTGCGACTTGGGTTGTATCACCCGCGTGCTTTTCAAAATGCAGATTTCTGGGGCCCAGCCCGGCCTCCTGAATTAGAATGTCTGGGAATCCACGAAGCCACGCCTTTAGCAGGGTACCCAGATGACTCGGATTCGCTAAGATTGAAAACCCACGGTTTATAGCAGTGATCTTCAACCTTTTATTTTAAATCTCATGGCGCACACAAACTAATGATTACAGTTCTGTGGCACACAAAGAAATTTTTTGCTGATTTGACAAAGAAATAGGTTTGATTAATTCACACCAAAAATCTTTTTGTTGTGTTGGCTGTTGTCATTTTTTTTGATTTGACAATCAATCTAAAGGAAAAGAGGTAAGGGCCCCTGACTAAATAGTCAGGTATTGCATGTTTTAAAAATTCTTGGGGCGCCCTGGCTGGTGTGGCTCAGCGGTTAGAGCGTGGGCCTGCAGTCCAGAGAGACCCGGGTTCGGTTCCTGCTAAGGGCACGAACCTCGGTTGCAGTTTGTCCCCAGCCCAGGTTGGGTCGTGTGGGAGGCAGCCACTCGATGTGTCCCTTTCTTGTCGATGTTTCTCTCTCTCTCTCCTCTCTCCCTCCCACTCTATCTGAACAAACAATGGAAAAGTGTCCTCAGGTGAGGATAAAAAAATTCTTGGGGCACACATTGAAAATCCCTTGCTTATAGTATGGGGTTTGCTTTGTTTTATCCTGAACAGCAGTTTCCTTCATTTCCCTCTAATTTGAGTTTCAAAAGTACTCTGGACATCTATTTTCATACCAGTGGAAATTGTTAGATTTCAGTCTTGAATGAGGATCTTCATTGAATCACATTAATCTGGGAAATGGGTTATTTTTCTCTTTTCTATTCTCTCTTTTTTAGATGGATACCAATACAAAAGACAGAGAGCCCCTTGAAACCAAGGAGTCTGTTGTTAATGCTGGTATGTAGTGGTCTGTGGACACCTTGTGAAATATAAAATTTACGTGTTTGCCTTCATAATGATGCTTAGCCCCTTCAATATATTGTCTGTTTCAGAAAATGCCTGTTTATTTTTGAGAAATGAGAATCTTGTAACATCTCAGAAGCATGCAGCTGAAATGACTCTTAATCCTTGCACACCAGATAATTTTAAATCACCTTTGGACTTTTCCACAGTAACTGTAGAGCAGTTGAGAATTACATCTGAAAGCTTTGTAAAGAACTCTTCAGGTAAGAGAAGTTGTTATTCTATTATAGTGCTTTTAAAGTTTAAAAATAACTTTAACTCAATTTTGTTTACCTATCCTGTGTATCTTATTACTTTACTATCTAAATTGATTAACTCTGAAAACTTGCTTGATCAAGGAGACATGAATGTGCACAGTTGATCTAACAGCAGGAGACCCGGGTCCCAGGCCACTCAGCGTGACAGTGCTCCTAAAGTCAGAGTTGTACTTTGTGCCCAAACTGGAGAAGAATGTGTCTGTAAATCACTTTTTGACCTGACAAATGGGATACAGGAGTGTGTGTACTATAAACAGTAAGACATTTTATGGTCACATGTGGTAAAAAAAAAGAAATTTGAAGTGCAATTAAGAAAATATTACATTGAAGGATTGGAGTTTGTTTCTTTCAAAATCACAAACAGAAAATTGACTTAAACTAATCTTCAAGGAGTAGAAATGAAATGCACCTGTGAAGTCTGACTTACATGAAGGAGAAATATGGGAGAGGAATTATATTTGAGAACAACATTTAGAAATGGAAGGTAATGGGGAAGTGAAAGTCAAAGGGCACTCGACTAATACGTGATTGAGACAAGACTCAAGTGGCACATCATTTCATGTTTTCTTTTAAGGAACATCACTCTCTCAACCTGTTAAAATCTACATTTGTTTTGTGTGCTTAGATGTATGTCCAGAATTCTGGGTAATATGACAAAAATAGATTTGGACCACCTTACCTTTAAGAATTGAGAACAAGAGAGTACATGTGGCTAGGTGGAGATCTTCCAGTCCATGAAGATTAGACTGGCTAATTCAGTAAGAGAAAGTCTTAGTCTGAAGTAAGCCATTACCCCTTCTGTGTACAGAAAATATGAAACAGAAATGAGAACTATTAATTATAAATATGTTCGTACATTCATGCCACACAATTATATTTAATAGATACTTTCTGTGTTCCAGGAACATGGAATAAATCAATGGACAAAACAAAGATTTCTATCCAACTGGTTATATATGAACAATTCTGCCTATAATTCTCTGTTTAGATTTCTGTACCATGTGTTATGTTGTCTCTCAAACTGGTATGTCACAGCCTTCAGACCATGATTACTGATGATTGCCTTGTTTTGTTCCAATTTAAAAGAGAGTTTTCATTATAGGAAAGTCATCATCCTACCTAAAAAAATCCAGACGACGTTCTTCAGTTGGTGTTCGGGGCTCTCCTGAAACAGATAATCTGATTCGTTTCATTGCTCAGCAGAGGAATTTAAAGAATGCAGAGAAGTCTCCTTCGGCACAGAATTTCCCTTTTCCGGTATGATTTTAAGTTCTGTCATGACTTCTAGGGAGAATGTTTTGATATGTTACAAAGCTTTTGTAAAGTGTTTCTACTTTTCTGTTTTGGATCTAGAGAGATGGTATTCTCTCTGTCTTATAGAGAGTGTGCGGTTAATCTAAATGATGATGTTGAGCATGGATATACAGGTTGGGGCAAAAATAGGTTTACAGTTGTTCATGTGGAAAATAATACAATAATTAGTAAACAAAATAATACAAGAATAAACTTTCACATACAGCTATAAACCTACTTTTGCCCACCCTTGTATTAAAAGTGATAAGATTCTGGACAGAAAATGGCTTTCTAGAGGAGCTTTCTATTTTATTTTCCAAATTTTTTTGTAGTTAATGTCTTTTTCTGTTGAGAGGTGAGGCAATATTTCCCAACCTTTTTCTTTTAATAGCTTATCTCTGAATGTGTAATTTTTCGGGACTACTATGTGTAGGCATGTAAGGCAAGAGTTCCCCCAGGACAAAATGTATTTGGGATAACCTTTGGAAGGGAGTAAATTATTTGTCTGCTGATAAGGAACTGTTGAGATATTTATGCAGATTTTTAGAATAATACAGGCTCCTAAAAATCTTGCTATGAAAGACACAGTCCCCAGTTTATTCTTGAAGGACAACTGCTTTTGACTCTTGTGGTATTGGCCTTTCTATTTTAAAATGTACTTTTCACTGCCACTCCTTTATTTTTCAGTTTTAGACAGTATGTATGCGTGAGGAGGTACAGTACAGTACTGTGGTTCTCAAAGGTTATCTGTAGATCCCTGGGGTTCCCTGAGTTCCATTCAAGAGGTCAAAACTATTTTTTTGTGATAACCCTAACATGCTATTTGCCTTTTTCACTGTGTTGATATTTCCATCCATGGTGCAAAAGCAGTGATGGGTAAAACTGATTGCACCAACCTGTTAGGTTATTCATCACTGATAATCATTCATAAGAACTAATAGTAATGCCAGTTTCCCTTAACATCCTTGATGAAGCAATAAAAATTATACATTTCATTAATTCTCAACCCTTGAATATTATGTTTGATGAAATGGGAAGTACACATCAAGTACTTCCAAAGTACCTATGGAAGTATGGATGTTTCGAGAAAAGTTGAGTGTGATTGTTTGAACTGTGAGCTGAATTAAACACTTTTTTTATGGAACAGAATTTTTCTTGAAAGAATGATAGACAGTCAGACTTGGGAATGTGGTTGGCATTTTCTCAAAAGTGAACATGCTACTTTAAGGAAAAAGATACTTCTTACCAATGAAAAAAATTTAACTTTTCAAGAGAAAATTAGAATTCTGAAAGAAATTTACCACCATTAGCTTGATAACTTCCCAGTAGCTAGATTTTTCTGCTAGATCAATTGGGGGTATTAATGAATGTGATGTTTTGATATTGTTAGTAAAATGTTTCAACATTTGGAAATCTGCATAGGTGAGCTAACCTATATTTTCCCAGTGGCCAGTGCATCCAGTGCATGCAAAATATATCCTCAAATTGCAAGATAGACCCATGGATTTTTTTTTCTTTAAATATTTTTTACTGATTTTTAGAAAGAGAGGAAGGGAGATGGGGGGGGGAGAGAGAGAGAAAAATATGGACATGAGAATAAAACATTGATTGGCTGCCTCTTGTGCACACACACCCCCACCAGGAAGTGGTGAGCTCTCAACCCAGGCTTGTGCCTTGACCCAGAATCAAACCACACTGGCCAGGGTGACCCATGTATTTTAATATAAGAGAAAATCAGAAGTTCATTGATAAGATTTCATATTTAACATTGCAACAAACCTTTAAGAAATCTTTAAGTTTTGTGTTTCATTAAAGAAGCATATCCACAGTTCTGGAAAGGCTATTAAAATACTTTATTTTTTTTTCGTTATTGATGTATTGATGTTAGGGAGAGGGAGAGAGAGAAACATCGATGAGAGAGAACATTGATTGGCCGCCTCCTGCATGCCCCCACTGGGGATCAGGCCCACAACCGGGGCATGTGCCCTTCGACAACCTTTTGGTGCGTGGGTCAATGCTCAACCACTGAACCACACTGGCCAGGCTATTAAAATACTCTTGATACAACCAACATGAACTAACTTTGGTGGTCTCAATAATTTTTAATTTTAAGGACTTTTTTTTTAAGGATATTTTTTGCATTTATCTTCAGATAGAGCGGGAGAGAGAGAGAGAGAAAGAGAAACATCGATGTGAGAGAGACACATTGACTGGTTGCCACCCACAGGGCCCCAACTGGGGCTGAGGACAAACTGCAACCGAGTTACGTGCCCTTAGTGGGAACCGAACTTGGGTCTCTCTGGTCCATGGGCTGATGCTCTAACTGCTGAGCCAAACTGGCCAGGACTATTTTTAAGGTCTTTTGAGAACTGCTGTTAGAGTATATATGAATATGGACTGTGGAACTGTATTGTGGGGTTTGGTTCTTGGCTTTATTAATTGTGACTTTTGGCAAGTTAAATTTTCTGTCAGTTTCCTCATGTATGAAAAGGGGGGGGGTGGTGGTGGTGATAATAATAGCAAGGGTTTTGCCCTGGCCAGTTTGGTTCAGTGGTTGAGCATCAGCCTGCGGAGCAGAGTCCTGGGTTCGGCTCCCGCTAGGGGCACGTACCAAAAATAAAATAATAGCCCTGGCCGGTTTGGTTCAGCGGTTAGAGCATCGGCCTGCGGTCCTGAGAGACCCGGGTTCGGTTCCCGCTAAGGGCATGTGCCTCGGTTGCAGTTTGTCCCTGGCCCTGGTTGGTTGTGCGGGTGGCAGCCACTCGATGTGTCCCTTTCACATCGATGTTTCTCTCTCTCTCTCTGTTCCTCTCTCTCCCTCCCACTCTATCTGAACAAAAAACGGAAAAATGTCCTCGGGTGAGGATTAAAAAAAAATAATAATAAAATAATAGCAAGGGTTTTATGAGAGTGAATAAATGAATAGATATGAAGTACTTACAACTGTGCCTAGATAAGGTGTGTTTTAGATTACTATTATTGTTATTTTTGTGAAAACTGAGGATTTTTCTTTCTCACATCTCCTAGCCATAGCTGTCCCAACACTTTCCCCTTTCCCATTTCTTCCAGTACAGTTAATAACAATTTTTTGTTTAAATTCGGGTTTAGAGTACGTATTTAATCATGTAGACATTTTTTACAAGCTGCTATGTAGTATGTTATGGTCATAGTCCTTTTTTGCACAACTTTTGTTTCTCCTGTAGGTTAATAATTACCTCTTTTTTTGTTTGTTTAGTCTTTTAATTTATCATACAATCTCATCCCCAAACTTTGACAAGAGTTGTAAACTTTAAGAGTCTGCCAGTTCCTTTCTTTTTTCCTGGTGTCTTGTGTCTTCCTTCTGTTGGCTTGGTTGCCACTAGATTTGATGGATAGCTGTCATTTTGTGACTTCTTTTCACTATCTTTGGTAATTCTCTTTTCCTCCCCAATTTGAATTCTCTGTTTCCTTGACCACATATCTTTCTCTGTTTTTGGGTTTACTACCTTATTTTTCTAGAGCCTCTGTACATCTCCTGAATTTTATTTTACCAGCACATTGATTTATGGATTGTCTTAGTATAACAGAAATCTAGGTTGGACGTATTTTCCATCAAAATTTTGAAGGCATTGTTCCATTGTATTTTAGCTTACAGAACTGAAGGATCCTGTTCATTTATTCAATTAACATATATTTTGATTCTCTATCCTTTATATGCCCTGCTTTTCAAAAAAAAATTAAAAATAGTTAAAATCAATATTAATTTGTTTCAGTTTTACAACCTGGTTATTCAGTTTTTATTTACCTAATGATGTGACCACCAAGATCATTCTAGTAACGTCTGACACCATACAAAGTCATTGTGATATTACTGACTATGCCCCTATTCTGTACATTAAGTTTCCGTGACTTATAACTGGAAATTTGGATCTCTTAACTCTTCTTCACCTTTTTTGTCCTTACCCCATCTCCCTTCTCCTTTGGCAGCCATCAGTTTTATCTGTTCCCATGAATCTGTTTCAGTTTTGTTTTGTTTGTTCGTTTGCTTTTTCTTCAATTCCACATATAAGTGAAATCATATGGTATTTGTTCTTCGTTTTATTTCATTCAACATAGTATTCTCCACGTCCATCCATGTTGTCCCAAATGACAAGGTTTCATTCTTTTTTTATTTTTTAATGATTGAGTAACATTCCACTGTGTGTGCGTAGGTTGTTTCCATATTTAGCTATTGTAAATAATGCTGCAGTGAACACAAGTGTAGATACCTTTTCGAATCAGTGTTTTGTTTTCTTTGGATAAACGCAAAAGTGGAATTGCTGGGTCATATGGTAGCTCTGCTTTTTAGTTTTTGAGGGAACTCCATAATGTTTCCTTAATGGCTGCACCAATTTGCCATTTTACCAACAGAGCAATCATGGTTGTTCCCTTTTCTCTACATCCTTACCAACACTTGGTATTTGTTGTCTTTTTGATAATAGACTGACAGGTGTGAGGTGATATCTCATTGTGGTTTTGATTTGCATTTCTCTCTGATGATTAGTGATGTTGAGCACCTTTTTGTGTATTTGTTTATTTTCTTTGGGAAAATATCTATTGATATTTTCTATTGATATCTTCTGCCCATTTTTTAATTGTATTGTCTGTTCTGTAATGCAGCTGAGTTGTATGAGTTCTTTATCTATTTTGGATATTAACCTCTTATCACATATAGAATTTGCAAGTATTTTCCCCCATTTGGTAGGTTGCCTTTTCATTTCATTAATTTTTTTTTATTTTTTATTTTTTTTTAGCTGTGTGGAACCTTTTTAGTTTGATGTAGTCCCGCTTATTTACTTTTTATTTTGTTGCCAAATCAAAAATTTCTGCCAAGACTAATGTCAAGGAACGCATTGCCTGTATTTTCTTGTAGGAGTTTTATGGTTTCAGATCTTATATTCAAGCATTTAATCCATTTTGAATTAACTTTTGTGTATAGTGAAAGATAGTGGTCCGTTTTCATTCTTTTGCATGTGGCTGTTCATTTTTCCCAACACCATTTATTGAAGAGACTCTCCTTTTGCCTTTGTATGTTCTTTGCTGCTTTATCATAAATTGACCATATATGTGTGGGTTTGTTTCTGGGCTCTCTTTTCTTGTATTGATCTTTATGTCTGTTTTTATGCTAATATCAATCTGTTTTAATTATTGTAGTTTTGTAATACATTTTGAAGTCAGGGAGTATGATGTCTCCAGCTTTGTTCTCTCTCAAGATTACTTTGACTATTTGGGGTCTTTTATAGTTTTATACAAATTTTGTGATGGTTCTATTTCTGTAGTGAATGTCATTGGAATTTTGATGGGGATTATGTTGAATCTATAGATTACTTTGAGTACTATGGACATTTTAGCAATATTAATTCTTTCAATCCATGGGCACAGACATCTTTCCTCTTATTTGCGTCTTTGTCAATTTCTTAAAATTTTCAGTTGTACAGGTCTTTCGTGTCCGTGGTTAAGTTTGTTCCTAGGGTTTTTGTTTTTTTTTTTGGATGCAATTGTTTTCTTAATTTCTCTTTCAGACAGTTTGTTGTTGATGTATAGAAATGCAACAGATTTTTGTATGTTAATTTTGTATTCTGAAACTTTATTGAATTCTTCTGTTAATTCCAACAGTTTTTTGGTGGAAACTTTGGGGTTTTCTATGTAAAATATGCCATCGGCAAATAATGTCAGGTTTATTTTTTCCTTTCCAATTTGGATGTCTTTTATTTCTTTTTCTTGCCCAACTGCTACTACTTAATCTTGCAGTGTTGAGGCATTAGCTATTGACTTCCCATTACGAATAATGGAAATCTAGCCCTTTTTTCCTTACACCTATTATACATACACATCCTCTACAACTTCCCAATAGATTGGTTACATTAATATTCAATGTTTATATCATAATGACCACGTATGTTATTCTGAGCTGATTTTCTATTAGCACAAACAAATCTTAATATCTCTAACTCTTCTTAGACTTCCATGGTGTCCCATTTCTGTGCCTATTCATCCAGCAAAACTCTTTGAACAGTTTGTCCTGTCTTGCTCCACTTCTTCCCTCCTATCCTCTCCATTACTGCTAGCTACTCCAACTAAACTTTTGTTTTTACCACTCCGTTGAGAATATTCTCTTCATCATTCATCCCAAGTGGTCAAGACAAAGATAAAATCTAGATTTGTATCTTACTCAACTTTGCTTCAGTTTTCTTTTTTTTTTCCTTCCTCGGTTTTTGATAGATTCGACCACTTCCTCTTTGAACACTTTCTTCACTTGGTTTCTGGACTGCCACACTAACCTGGTTTTCTTCCTGTGTCTCTGGTCGTTGTTTCTGTACTCCATTTGCTGATTCCATCTCTTTTTTAAATTTTTCCTCAAAAATACTTAATTGCCCCAGGGTTCTCTGCTCCCTTTTCTTTGCTTTCCTTAGGCAATCTAACTTTTCCCCATGTCTTTGAATGTCATCTATAAACTCATGACTCCAACATATCGAATGTTGGTCCAAAGCTACCTAGAGCTCCAGACCTAGATATCTAGTTGCCGTTTCAACATCTCTACTTGGGTTTTATAAATAAGCATTTCAAGCATGACATGTTCACAACCAAATTACCGATTTCTACTCCTTATCAGTCCACTATCCCGTATCACTACATCCATCGTTATCCAGTTGCTCAGTACAGTTTTTTATCAATATTCCTTGCTTCCTTTCTTCCTCATCTTCCATATCCAACCCATCATTATATATCAGAAACCTATCTGTAGTTCCTCATGTCCCCACAGCTCACTTGCTACAACTATAATGTGATTCCTGCCTATATCACCAACTACTTGCCTAATTTCTAATTTCACTCTAACTGGTCTCCCTACTTCCCTCTTTCCCTAATTCATTCACCATTTCACAGAGCAGTCAAAAAGATGCATTTAAAGTATAAATCAGATCATTCATTCTGCTGCTTAAAACCTTCCCATGGCCTCCTGTTATGACTTGACTTAAAACCCAAACCCCTCTTGAAGCCTTCATCACATCTCACCTCCCTCATCTGTGCTTTGCCCACCACTAGCCTCATCTTCCTGTCTCCTTTCATCCCTGGGCACTCTTGGCCTTCTTTCTGCTACATCCTGTTTCCATCAGGCCTCTGCTTGTGTTCTACCTTGCTCTTGTAGAATATCTCCCTCCCCTTGTTCTTGTAGAATAACTACTACTTACTCATTGTTTTGGTTTCAACCAAATATTTCTTCAGATAGAATACTATTCTGATTCAAGCTGGGATGCTCTTTTAATTACTAAATCACTATTCCTTTTTTATCTTCTCAATAGTACCTCTAGAACATAAAACCATATTAATATGTTTTCAGAATTTCACTCTAGAACGTAATTTCAGCCCTTCATCCTGAGCCCCTGGAATTTCTGTTACATGAAAGAGTATTGACTGACACAGTTTATAAGGCAAAAGAAACAAAAAAGCATTACATTTTTTAAAGTTTCATTTACTTTGTATATTGTTATTCTCCATCAGGAAAAACAATTTTGACTCAGAAAACCTAAATTTTGTTTTTAGCAGCATTTCAAACTGCTCCAAATTCCTAGGATACTGAACCTACCTACCCCTACCATGTTCAAATATGAGTACCAAAAAAGCATATTTGAGGTCAATTTAGGACTTTGGGATAACCCCTTATTTCTTCATATTTCTTTTTTATTTTTATTTTTTATCCTCACCCGAGGACATTTTTCCATTTTTTGTTCAGGTAGAGTGGGAGGGAGAGAGAGGAAGAGAGAGAGAAAGAGAGAGAAACATCGACATGAAAGGGACACATCAAGTGGTCACCACCCATATGACCAACCAGGGCCGGGGACAAACCACAACTGAGGTACATGCCCTTAGCGGGAACCGAACCCAGGTCTCTCTGGACCACAGGCCGACGCTCTAACCGCTGAGCCAAACTGGCCAGGGCTCTTCATATTTCATGTAGATGAGAGTTGACCACCAGCTTTTAATGAATGTTATATGCTGTTTATATTATAAAGTTTTATATCATCAATCATAAAGGAATTTTTAAATGTTCTATTATTGTGTAACAGTTTGCTTTCTGAATATATTTAACTGGGAATAGAATCAAGTATTTGAGCAGATTCATCATCAAACACGGCTTCAAGATTTTAACTGACTTTCCTCCATACAGTACCTTCAAGGGAGGTATTTTTTTACTTTAACTTTTGCCCGTTGGTGTAATTTTGTTAATTACCACAAGCAGTGGAAATATGTTAGTAGTCTAAATAATAAAGGGGAAAAGAAAGAGATCCTGGATAGAGAACTTAATCAGTAGTTTGTTTCATGGGTAAACAGAACTCTTAAGTAGTACATTACTTGAATTTATCTGGCATTTCTATCCCTGCTGTGTCAGTTTCATTTTGAGCATCTTTGTCTGAAACGCTGTTAGCAGAGTTTGCAGAATGTTCCTGTGCTTACACCATCTAACTGTTTGGCTCTGTATTTTAAGCAATGGCTGGCTTTCAGCTCTAAGGAGGTAAGGTCCCATGAAATGAGGAAAAGTTAGTTAGGGAAGCCAAAGAAGAGGATAAATGTGAGAATGGGTATCTGAGCTACTAGAGAACATATGTGCATTGTTCTGACCTCCTAGGGAGAGGGTGTGTATGAAAGAAGGTGAGTAATGAGACTGGCTTGGATTGAACCAGGTACCCTGAGACTTACCCGAGGCAAAGGCATCATGCAGATGATTTTTAATGGCTATTTTTAAGAGTTATTTAGCCCTCAAATAATTGGGGGTGTGTTCTGTCTTGGTGCCTTTTAAAATCATTTTCCGTCTGGCTGGTATGGCTCAGTGGTTGAGTGTCGACCCATGCACCAAGAGGTTGCTGGTTCGATTCCCAGTCAGGGTACATGCTCAGGTTGTGGGCCCAATCCCCAGTGTGGAGCATACAGGAGGCAGCCAATTGATGTTCTCTCTCATCTATGTTTCTATCTCTCTCTCCCTCTTCCTTCCTCTCTCTAAAGTCAGTAAAGGAAAAAACAATTTTTTTTAATAAAACAAGAAAATAAAATTGTTTTTCACCTACTGTGGACTTCTCTTGTCTGGTCTATAGACTTATTAGCATCATTATTTTGTTGTTGTTAATCCTCACCCGAGGATATTTTTCCATTAATTTTTACTTATTTTATTTTTTAATCCTCACCTGAGGAAATTTTTCTATTTATCATCAAATAGAGTAGAAAGGAGGTTGAGAGAGAGAGAGAGAGAAACATTGATGTGAGAGAGACACATAGACTGGCTGTCTCCCAAACAATCTGGCCAGGGCCAGGGATGAACTGCAACCGAGGTACATGCCCTTGTCCAGAATCGAACCCAAGACTCATTGGTCTGTGGGCCAACACTCTAACCGTTGAGCCAAACCAGCCAGGGCTAGTATCATTATTCACCAGCCCATAGCTAGACATGTATACATACCACACAGCTATTCCTCTTTGTTCAGGTTTTGCTAAAAATTGGAAGAGAAGCAGAGGGAGAAACTAAGATGATTGCAGCCCACTGAATATTCAAACTGAAAATGTGTGATTTAAGGGAGAAGAGGCTCTGCTACACTAATTTATTACCTCTGATCTTCCAAAAGCCTTTGTATTTAGTTTTAGATACAATAGTTTTAGGCCTAGAATATAGAAACTATGTTTGATTTGATTTATAATACCCTCTATGTCTCTGTCTTTTAACAGGGCAGCCCTGTACTGTATCAAAATGTCAGTTCTTTAAGAGAGCGAATATCTGCCTTCCAGTCGGCTTTTCACTCCATACAGGAAAAGGAAAAAATTACTGACTGTTCTGAATTCTCAAAGGCAGAGGGAGAGTTTGGGACAAGAGGCTTGAGTGAGTAGAAAAAAATTCAGTCAGTTTGGACTTCTATATGTATTTAAACAAACCTCTGAAATATAAAAAAAAAATTTAGTTCCACAGTGCATAAGCAGTCTTTCTGAGCAGAGTTGTATTTTTAAATGGAGCCTAACATTTAAAATTTGGGACATTTCTCACAAAAACTTTGATTTCTGGTTTCTCTTGAAAAAATCTGATGTCAAGCATTTCTGAGTCTCTATTTCCACATGATCACAGTTAAGTTTTAGGTGTAAAACTGTTGGAAGTGATTAGCTAATTTCATCTTTAGAATAGTCTATGTGGCAAATTTGAGTCTACAAACTTTGATTTTCAGAGGATTATTAAGTTTGGCCAACATACAAACACCAAACACGTATTCCCAATATTATAAACAGATATATCTAATCTGACATCTTAATAGCTTGCCATATTTTTTACCATAACTTGTAGATTATAACTCATTTGGTTATTTTTTTCTGTCACCTTTGATTTTCCAACCACAAAGCATTTCAGATACCAGAATTAGATCAATCTTGGCTTTACCTATAATCATTATAATCATACCTCTAGTGCTTTGCACCATAAGGTTCCAAATGATTTTGTTTTGGCTTCCTGAACCGTCTTCAAGTAATTTCAACACCTCCTTGCATGAAGTGCACTTCAACTCAAGACAACTTTAATTCATCTACCTCTTTTAGTGCAGGATCCACTCTCATTTGTATTTGTAGTTTGAGACTCTATTTTTCAGTTTTTACCTGTGTTTTATTTTTATTTATTTATTTACTTATTATTATTATTTTTTAATTCTCACCCGAGAATATTTTCTCACATATCTTCAGATAGAGTGGGAGGGGGAGAGAGAGAAACATCGATGTGAGAGGGACACATCGATTGGTTGCCTCCTGCATGACCCTCACCAGGTTTGTGGACAAACCACAAATGAGTACGTGCCCTTGGCCAGAATCGAACCCGTGACTCTTTGGTCCGTGGGCTGATGCTCTACCGCTGAGCCAAACCAGCCAGAGCTTTACCTGGGTTTTAAAATATTAATATGATTATTAAAATTCTGCAAAGAATACAATTCTTTTTTGTAGCTAAGAACTGGAGCACATTATGGCTGTATTTTTCATAAAATCATACATGATCAAAGCAGAACCAATCATATCCTTTGAAATGTTCAAAAGAATAAGTTTCAATATAAATTTCAAAACAGAATGAGAAACTATATCACCAATGCAAATGTATTTTAGCATATCTTTCCACATTTTAATGTCTAGCAAAACTTAATTCTAATTAAATTTGTATTTCTAAGTAAATTTGTTTTATCTTTTTTTTTATTTTTATTTTTTATCCTCACTCAAGGACATTTTTCCATTTTTTTAATTCAGATAGAGTGGGGGAGAGAGAGAGAGAGAAACATTGACGTGAAAGGGACACATCGATTGGTTGCCACCTGCACAACAACCAGGGCCGGGGACAAACTGCAACCGAGGTACGTGCCCTTAGCGGAAACCGAACCTGGGTCTCTCTGGACCACAAGCCAATGCTCTAACCACTGAGACAAACTGGCCAGAGCTGTATTATCTTTTTAGTAGTAATGTTCTCTTGCCTTTCCATTAGATTTTCATATTTGAATTAAACATTGTACTAGATTTTCCTTCTTATTGCTAAAGTCTTTTTTTTTTTTTTAAATCCTCACCCAAGGACATTTTTGCATTTATCTTCAGATAGATTAGTAGGGAGAGAGGAAGGAAGAGAGAGAAATATCGATGTGAGAGAGACACATCAAGTGGTCGCCACCCACCTGACCCCAACCGGGGCTGGGGACAAACTGCAACTGAGGTATGTGCCCTTAGCGGGAACTGAAGTCAGGACTTTCTGGTTCGTGGGCTGACGCTTTAACCGCTGACCCAACCCAGCTAGGGCTATTGCTAAAGTCTTTAGACTCGAGCATTAAATCATATTAAAATTATGATGATGTACTGTAGAATTGTAGAATGATACTGTAAAAGAAAATACTCATGCTTGTTATATGTTTTTATTTTGTTTTGTGGATATAGCCAAAAAGGAAAGTCTTGGAGAATGTCCGCAGTCTATGTTCCCTACACAGCTATCCAAACATCGGAGAATATCTTGTCAGAGCAACTCTGATGAAAATCTAACTAATGCAATTGATCTCCAGACTTTCAATATTGCTACTCCTCCCAATCCAGACAGAACATATGCTGTTGAAACATCTCTTGTAGATCATTCCGAGGTAATTCACTTATTGGAAATATGGGAAAATGAAGCTTTGATTTCTTGGCAAGGCAGTTTTAAGTCTGTCAAGATCTTTTTTTTTTTTAATCTTCACCTGAGGATATTTTTCTATTTATCTTCAGATAGAGAGGGGAGAGAAAGAGAGGAGAGAGAGAGAAACATTGACATGAGAGGGACACATCCACTGGTTGCCTTCTGCACGACCCTGACCAGGGCTGGGGACGAACTACAACCAAGGTACATGCCCTTGACCGGAATCGAACCCACGACTCATTGGTCTGCGAGCCAATGCTCCAACCACTGAACTAAACGGGCCAGGGTGAGAGGCCTTTTTCTTTTATTATTATTATTATAATTATTTTAATCCTCACCAGAGGATATTTTTTTATTAATTTTTAGATAGAGTGGCAGGGAGGGGAAGAGAGAGAAAAAAATATTGATGTGAGAGAGACACATGGATTTGGTTGCCTCCTAAACTACCCTGACCAGGACTGGAAATCAAACCTGCAACTGAGGTACATGCCCTTGGCTGGAAATCGAACCCACAACTTGTTGGTCTGGGGCAAGATCCTTTTATCAATGAAAGTACCTTGTACTGCTGTATTATAGCTGGGTTTCAAGTTACATGTGTGTGTGTGTATGTATTTCCTACTTATTAATTTTTGTTGTTAGTTGGCTTATTGGTTATTAGAGACAGTTTTGATTAAATGCCTTTTGAAAAAGCTTTTATGGAATAATCATGAACAAAATAAGCTGTCATTCAAAATAGATCCAGAGACATGGAAGTAGGGAACAGACTGATAAACCTCAGAGGGAATGGGTGTGGGAGGGGTGGGAAGAAATAAACCAAAGAACTTATATGCATATATGCACAACCATGGACACAGACAATAGTTTGGGGAAAGCAGGAGGGGTGTGAGAGCGGGAAGGAGGAGGGGGCAATGGGAGAGAAAGGGGGAAACATCTGTAATACTTTCAATAATAAAGATAAAAAAAGAAAACCCTTTATGAAAAGATTAAGTGGTGTGGTCTTCTGCTTGTAAAGTATTATTGTATATACTGATGGTACAACAGAAAGTCACAGTTCTGTCCTTGAGCAGCTTTTTGTTTGTCAAAGGAGACTGACATATGAGCCTACTATTTGCACATCACTGGTGAATTACAAGATTATACTGTACTCCTCTGGTCTGTGCATCTTGGCACTTCTGCATTGCTGCCTCTGTTTTTGTATTTGTTTTACAAGGAATTACTTTATCTTATTTATTTTTTTAATTGCATTTATTGGCGTGACATTGGTGTTACTAGAAAGGGGACCTGGACCTGAGTGGGTCTGCTTAGGGCCAGCTGGTAGTGTGTGGGTTCTTCATGCAGGAAAGAGTTCGCAATACAAGTCCAGGTGATTTTTATAGGATGTTAATTAAAACTGGAGTCAGAGAAACAAGGAGAGCCTAGGACAGAAGAAACAACAGAAGAGGGACTAGGTGGGGAAATGAGCCGCGGCTGGGCTGCTTTGGCTCACTAAGACGTCAGAGAAAGGGGGTCCTTGGGGACAGGTTCAGGGTGTTAGCCCCAGAAGCTGTCCATTGCCTCCTCGTTGCAAGTCTCATGGGGTCCCTGAGTTTAGAGATATGTGCCTGTGGGGGAAGAAGAGAGGGAAGGGCAAGCCGAAGGGTGTGCTCCTGGGAAGGGGGAGCACGTGTTCTAACTGGTTTATTATTTTTATTTATTTTGTTATCCTCACCCAAGGACAAGGACAAGGACATTTGCATTCATCTTCAGATAGAGCAGGAGGGAGAGAGGGGGGAAGAGAGAGAGAGAGAGAGACATCAAGTGGTTGCCACCCAAAGGGCCCCGACCGGGCCCGGGGACAAACTGCAACTGAGGTATGTGCCCTTAGCGGGAACCGAACCTAGGACTCAGGTCTGTGGGCCGATGGTCTAACCGCTGAGCCAAACCGGCTAGGGCACTCTAACTGGTTTAATAATTGCTGTTTAGCAGTTGATCCTTTGCTTTACTTGCTTGCCACAAGAAACTGTAGGGATTTTTGTTGCTGATAACTAAAGCCTGTCAGGATAATCAAAAGACCAGCCTGAATTAAGTAATACTGTTGAATGTAAGCAGGGAGCTAGTTCTCTTATGAGGACTCCTGTTTCATACTGTTAGTTTTGGTTTGATACAGCAGGTTCCCCTTCCTTTAGTGAAAAGAGACACCTAACCACTAATTGAAACCTTTTTTTTTTATCCTCACTTGAGGACATTTTTTTCCATTTTTTGTTCAGATAGAGTGGGAGGGAGAGAGAGAGAGAAACATTGATGTGAAAGGGACACATCGAGTGGCCGCCACCTACACGACCAACCAGGGCCAGGGACAAACTTCAACTGAGGTACGCATCCTTAGTGGAAACCGAACCCGGGTCTCTGGACTGCAGGCTGACAGTCTAAGCGCTGAGCCAAACTGGCCAGGGCTAAACCTTTTTTCTGTACCTTCTCTGTTACATTAATTCAGTACATGTCCTAATGATTTTATTTGGACTAGTATAAATGTTTCATAGTCAATTAAACATTCTTCAGGGTCCAGTAGGATTCATTTTGCTTATAATCTCTACTCCCTCTACCTTATTCTAGTCAGTATGAAATCATCATCTGACAGAATGGATAGTAATTGTTTGTTATCAAAATTTTGATTGTTTGGACATGCACCATGATTGAGAAATGACTTCCATATTAATATGAGTGTCTTTTCTATCCTAGCCATTAATGCTTTTCCTGTCCTAGCTATTGATAATTTTTGGTGTTTGATTAGTAATTATATAACATTTTCTGTTTTTTGGAGAATTTTCTCTTTAAAAAACTTTTTTTTTTTTTAATCAGCCTGCGGTCCAGAGAGACCTGGTTTCAGCTCCCACCAAGGGCACGTACCTCGGCTGCAATCCGTTCCCGGCCCCTGCTGGGTCGTGTGGGTGGAATTTTTTTTTCTTTACTGATTTAGAGAGAGAAGAAGGGAGAGGGAGAGAGAGATAGAAACAAAGATGTGAGAGAACATTGATTGGCTGCCTCCTGGACACCCCCTATTAGGGATCGAGCCCACAACCTGCGCATGTGCCCTGACCAGGAATCAAACCGGTGACCTCTTGGTGCATGGGTCAACACTCAACCACTGAGCCACACTGGCTGGGTGAGAATTTCCTTTTTTAATGAACATACTTCGCATAGTTTTTAGACTTCAAACATTAAGGCAACAGAAATGTGTCCTATAAAATATTCCTTGGAAACAATATTATTTGGTAGCATATTTAGGATGCATTTAGAATGAATATTCTGTGTTTAGTTATATTCTCCTGTACTTTTATGAGTAGAAAATAAAGGTGATAAAATTGTAGAAAAAATTACCTCATCAATTGATTGGTTTAACATTAGATTTCTGGGTAATCTGTAATGCTTACTCAAACCTTTATAAAGATAACAGTAATTTTTAAATAATATTTATCACTTTCTAATTTTAAACTTCTCCCCCCTCCCAAGAAATCTTCTCAGCCTGGTTTAGCACAGTCTGGATGTCTAATTGAGTCTATTCCACTTTCTGAGCTCACCGAGGCTTCAGCTGGTAAGTTTAATTTTTCCTTAGTACACGAGCCAATTTACCCATTGATGCATTTGTTTAATAGACATTTATAGTTGGTGTACCTACATGCTAAAATTTGGGAAAACTAAAACAGTTTTCTACATTTTAAGAGCTCTTTGTCTAGTAGAAATGTTTCAAATTTTTTTTGAGAGATGAATTTTCTTATTTGAATAAAAACTGTCGAAATATTTTCAGGCTGATAAAATGTATTATAAAGACTAGAATCTCTGAACATATTAACTAACAGGTATATTTTGTTAGAGAAAACACTACACATAATTTTTTTGTTTGTTTTAAGGTGTGTGCAAAGGGACCAGCATTCAAAATTTATTTATTCTTTTCCAAAATCAGTATGCTTATATTGAATGAGTCACCAGTATAGTATTCGGTTTACTTTCAACCTACCTGTGTCTCTCCTTCAAGTAAAACTCTTATATTGGGTCTTTTTTTTTTTTTTTAATTCCATCTGAGATTCTCTTTCTTTTAATTGGACTATTTGGCTTATTAAACTTTCAGGTCATTAGTGAAAAGGTTTGATTCAAATCCACCATTTTACTATACGTTTTCTGTTTGTTCTCTTTATCTTTTATTCTTTTGTATCCCTCTTCATGTTTTCATTGATTTTTTTTAGAGAGAGGGGAGGGAAGAGAGAGAGAGAAACATCAATCAGCTGCCTCCTGCACGCCCCCTACTGGGGATCAATCCCACAACCCGGCATGTGCTCTGACTGGGAATGAACTGGGATGTCTCAGTTCATGGAACCAAGCTCAATCTACTGAGCCACACTGACTGGGCCCTCTTCATGTCTTTTTTAGGTTTATTTGATTTTTTTTTTCCCCTAGAAATCTATTTTCTTGTTACCTTTTAAAGTATACTTTATTGCATTTTTTTTTTTTTTTTTTAATCCTCACCCGAGGACATTTTTCCATTTTTTTGTTCAGATAGAGCGGGAGAGAGAGAGAGACACATCAATGCGAAAGGGACACATCGAGTGGCTGCCACCCGCACGACCAACCAGGGCCGGGGACAAACTGCAACCGAGGTACATGCCCTTAGCGGCAACCGAACCCGGATCTCTCTGGACCGCAGGCCGACCCTCCAACCACTGAGCCAAACCGGCCAGGGCTGCATTTTTTTATTTTTAATCCTCACCCGAGGACATTTTTTCGTTTTTTGTTCAGCTAGAGTAGGGGGTGGGGAGAGAGAGAAACATCGATGTGAAAGGGACACATCGAGTAGCTGCCACCCGCACAACCCAACCAGGGCCGGGGACAAACTGCAACTGAGGCACGTGCTCCCAGCGGGAACCGAACCCGGGTCTCTCCAGACCGCAGGCCGACACTCCAACCGCTGAGCCAAAGTGGCCAGGGCTACTTTATTGCATTTTTTAAATTGCGACATAACATCCTTAACTTTTCACAGCCTCCTTGGAGGTAGTATTCTACAACTTGATGTAAAATGTAGAAACTTTGCAAACTGCATAGATATATTTTCTATGCACCCACTCATGTCTTTCATGGTCCTTTACACTGTTGATATAATTTATATTACATTTATATTAATTTTAAACCCCATAAGATATTTTTTTTCCTTCAAGCAATCATATATTTGGGGGGAAATAGTTTTTATAGTTAGCCATCTAGACACAATTTCTGATACTCTTCATTCCTTCCTGAAGTTCTAACTTTCTTTCTGATATTATTTCTCTTCAACCTGAAAAAGAACTTCCTTTAGCATTTTTTATAGCACACATCTGCGCTGACTTCTTAATTTTAGTCTTACGATGGATGAGACACAGAGCTGGGTTATGAGCTTGTCACCTAGGTGAAATACTTTGGCCTTCAGCATTTTGTACCAATATTCTTGGTTTTACTCTCATAGAACTTTGTCTTAAGAGTGTCATATTCTTTGAGAGTAGTTTTAGAATGTGTGAAGTGTTGTCATTAAGAACCGTCATCGTATCAAACACCTCCCTGTACAACAGGAATCAGCATATCCCATTTTAACATCTCACTAGGCCCTAAACAGAAATATTGTATAAGATAGAGAAAGGTAAATCTACCAAAGATGAGGAGCCTTGATTAAAAGAGCCTACTGCTGATTTCAGTGTTTTAAACTGGTTATTTGGTGGCACCCCAGAAGTTATTATATTTCAGACAATACAGCTTTAGGAAAAATCAAAAGGTCTTGTAGCCCTGGCCAGTTTGGTTCAGCAGTGAGAGTGTCAGCCCGTGGACCAAAGAGTCCCAGGTTCATTTCCAGCCAAGGGTACGTACCTCGGTTGTGGTTCATCCCCGGCCCCGGTTGGTGTTGTGCGGGTGGCAACCAATTGGTGTGTCTCTCTCACATCAATGTTTTTTTCTCTCTCTCTGTCTTCCTCCCTCTCTCCCTTCTGCTCTATCTGAAGATAAATGAAAATATATATATATATATATATATCCTCAGGTGAGGATAAAAAAAAAAAAGATCTTGTAAAAGTGGGATAAACCATTTAGTTTAGGGAGAGTTTAGAGAGGAGAGAGCCCACATGATACCTCTATTATCTCTCTTACCCTCTCCACTTTGTCCTTTTCACCCATCTGGCCAGAAATCCAACCTGCCTACTCTGTTCCTCTCCCAGATAGATCTGTGTTTAATATTTTGTATGCTGATAGCCTTACTAAATTTATCACATCATGTAGGCCTTCAGCACTTTTGGGCAGTCTCCTTGCCTCCCATTCTTTCTTTTTGTTTTTTAATTCAGTTCATATTTCCATTTATCAGATAAGTCAGGTAAGCCTACCCCACTTGTTCCTATCAGATAATGCCTAGATTATTTTCTAGAAAATAGAATCATCTGGAGAAGTAAGATTGTCAGGTTAAATCACAGGTCATTTTTTGTAAAAGGATTTGGCCAGCAGTCTACCAGTTTGATTTTCACAAAGAGCATGGGAGTTAGAAAAAAAGACCCTGGCTGGGTTGCTCACTTGGTTAGAGCATCTTCCCAGTATGTCAAGGTGTGGGTTTAATACTTGGTCAGGGTATACAAAAATCAACCAGTGGATGCATAAATAAGTGGAACAACGAATTGATGTTTCTCTATGTAAAAAAAAACAAACAAAAATAAATTAAAAAAAAAGAAAAAAAATGAAGTGGATTTTTGGTTCCAAAGTCAACTCCTTCACCAAGAATGCCTTGATCTTTGGTGTGGATAGATAAAGGACCACTGTATGCAGTTTAATTTGATAGCCTCTCAGATTATCTTCTGACCTTATTCCATTCAATCAAATGCCAAAATCAAGGGAAAGGGAGATTATTATAAAGAACAAGGCAAATCAAAGCTGCATCACTGTGCTTTCTGTAAAAAATAGGCAGTTCCACACTGTGACTTTAGTGCAGCAGTAAGTTGTAGCAAAGGGAAAATGATGTACCTTACAGTATTTTAAGGGTGAAACCATTCTCTTAATTGTAGCATTGGTCACGTGATGTCAGCTTCTGCTACACCTGAAGGCATCAGTCAGGGTCAAATATTGACAACATACAAGCCAGGAAGCCATATAAAAATAGGAAGACCAATGAAGTTGTGAGACCTCTCAGGATTCACCTAGCTGAGCAAATAGGAAATACGTGAACAAGTGCCAGTTCCAGCAGTCTAGCTCCTGAGAGGAATAGCTACTTAGCTCATAAATTTCTGTCTTTTTTATGTTCTTTGCCCTTTCATCTATTTTTACCCTCAGGACACTAGCCCATTACAGTGATGTGGTGTTTTAGCACTTCCAGTTCAGTGTTTATAGCCAACTATTTCTTTGCCCTAAATAATAATCTTCTGCATGCAGAGTTGTTTAGTCAGAAACTAGTGATTTTTTTTTTCTTTTTGCATAACATACCAGTGATGCCCAGCAGTCCATGGATTAAGCAATACTTGAATTAATCATTTATTCAGTATCCATAGATACAATGATAGATTTTTTTTTTTTTTTTTTATCCTCACTCGAGGACATTTTTCCATTTTTTGTTCAGGTAGAGTGGGAGGGAGAGAGAGGAACAGAGAGAGAGAGAGAGAGAAACATCGATGTGAAAGGGACACATCGAGTGGCTGCCACCCGCACAACCGACCAGGGCCGGGGACAAACTGCAACCGAGGTACATGCCCTCAGCGGGAACCAAACCCGGGTCTCTCAGGACCGCAGGCCGACGCTCTAACCACTGAACCAAACCGGCCAGGGCACAATGATAGATTTTTTAAATGTAGTGAATCAGTGTCTTCCTACCAAGGCATTTCACTTCTGGATATTATCGATGTAAGAAACATCCAAACCGCTGAAGTTTAGGGATCTTCTTATTCATGTTGCTCTGATAACTATCACAAGAAGATGCATGTCTTTCTGCCCTTCTGCCTTTAGCACAGTGCCTTTATGGAGCCTTCAACAATGATTCTGTAGTTAATATTCTGCTCCTTTTGCTCCTGTGACAATGATGTCTTCTGTTTCTTTTATCTCTCATGACTGTTTCTTTTAAATTTATTTCCGTTTTTTTTTTTTTTTTTTTTAATTTCACAAAAATTGGGTTTTATGTTACCAGGTTATTATAAAAGGATGTAACTTAGGCACAGCCAGGTGGAAGAGATGCATATGGAGAAGGGGCTCGAGTTTCCATGTCCTCTCTTAGTGCTCCACCTATTCACCAACCCGGAAGCTCCTCTTCTCATTCTTTCTTGATCCAGCTCCAGATAGGCCTTTATAACTCATAACCTCCTCACTGCCACTACAGGTGTCATTCTCAATCTATTCCTTTCCTTGAGGTCTCACAAGCATTAAAGGCAGAGCTGACTATGCCCTCCTGTGAGCAGTAGTTCCTTCACTGGGCATTAGGACATCATCCCCTTGTGGTTTCTCCTATTTCATGGACCATTTCTTTGTGTATTTTCCTTGTTTCTCTTCTTTCATTCTGACCTGTAAAACATGTGAATGCCCGGGTTCAGTGCTTGAATTTTTTCTTTCTCTAAACTTACTCCTCAGGTGATTGCAGGTATTCCTATGATATAAAATGCTATTTATGTGCTGTTGACTTCAAAATTTAACGATCTGTCCTTGGCCTCTTCCTAGAACTCTAAACTGAAGTGCCCATTTGCCTCTCATGGATGTTTAATAAATATCTCAGACTTAATGTACTCAAATAGGTCTTGATTATTTTTATCTCAGTTAACGATGCTACCATCCACCTAATTACTTGTGTGAAAAGTCTTGCAGTTATTTTAACACTTCTCCTTTTCATGTTCATCTTCCAGCCCCATTAACAAATGATGTTTGGCCTTCAGTGTATTTCAAATGGTTAACCACTTCTCACCTTCTTTGTTGTTGTTGATTTTTAGATTGAGTGGAAGGGAGGGAGGGAAAGAGAGAGAGAAACGCTGATGTGAGAGAGACACATCGATTAGTTGCCTCCTGCACGACCCCTACTGGGACCAGGGATCAAATCCTCAACCCAGGTACATGTCCTTGACCGGGAATCAAACCCGAGACCCTTTGGTCCAAGGGCCGATGCTCTAACTGCTGAGCCATACCAGCCAGGGCATACTTCTCACCTTCTAATTGCTATCAATGTGGATCAGGCTATCATCTTCTCATGCCTGGAAATCTTTCGTGATATTCCTGTTTCTATTGTTCCATCCTTTTTTAAGAGTCTTCTACAGTGGCCAGGGGTACTTTTTAAAATGCAAGCCACACTGTCATTCCCATTTCTCAAAATCTTTCATTGGCTTCCCAGCGTACTTAGGATAGTATCCAGGACCCTTTCTACTAGACCTTACCTGACCTAGTCCTTAGCTTCACTCTGAACTTATTTCTCAACTCTTCTTGTTAACTGTGTTCCAGAGAGACTGGCCTAGCACCTCCCTGTAATATGCCAGGTACTTTGCTATCTCAGGTATTTGCACTTCATTCAGGTGCCTGCCCAGGGAACTGTCCCCAAACACCCAAAATAGCAACTCTCTCCTTCCACCTTATCATGCTGTATCCCCATATCTCAACATTATTTTCCTTAATGGCATGTATTACTATTTGTTCTATATACATGTCTTTAACTTTTTATTTTGAGGTAACTATAGGTTCACATGCATTTGTAAGAAATAATCTAAAGAGATCCAGTATATCCTTCTCCCAGTTCCCTGCAGCAGCACATCTTACACTAACTGTAATACAATGTCACAACCAGGAAATTCACACTGATACAATTCACTGACTTCTTTTTCAGATTTCACCAGTTTTACATGCACTCATTTGAGTGTATATTCAGTTTCATGTAATTTTATTTGTGCAGACTCATGGCCACACTACAATCAGCATACAGCCTAGTTTAATCACAGGGATCCCTCATACTATGCTTTTATAGGCACAGCTACCTGCCTCCTTCCTCCACTTCATTATGTATTTACTTTTGTCCATTTGTCCTTTGAGGGTCTGGGGACTTTGTATGTTTTGTTTAGCATTGTCTCTCTAGAGTGCCTGTCACATCAGAAATGCATAATATATGTTTGTTCAATGTTGATCATAAGGCATTGCTCTCGAGAGAAGGAATTTGTGGGGGTGGGGATGAGTCTTGCTCTGTGTGGGGGCACATACAGTATGTTAGTTTTTTTTATTTTATAATTTTTCTCAGCATTTTGTCCTCTCCATCCTACCACCCTTACATGCTGAAATGCCTCTGGCTCCAGCAGTAAAATTGTTTTTTTATTCATTGCTCAGCTCTGGTTCATTTTATGGTGCAAATCATAGGTGTATGAGTAGAGGCAGACTAACAGTTAATAGCTGATTCATGGATACCTGCTTAGGTTTCCATGGGAGCCAAAACTTCTTATTACCTTTACTCTCAGTAGTTAGAGTGGAATTAAGCGCTGTGAACAGTGCTACTTCTCTGTCTTCCTTTTGTTTCCAAATGAAATCCCAGATATTATTTCCTAAGTAGGATATATTGGGGTTGAATTTTTTCATAGCATGTTATTCCCTTTGCAAATGCATATTTTTTGTGTATAACAAACTGATTCAGATGTCTTCCACCTCTCATGTTTTCATGTTTACATGTTTACTTTGAAGGAATCAAGGTTGCTGACTGCATAGAGAGCAGAGTATCAAGTGATATTGTTTCACTTGACAAACTTGCAGAAGTGAGCACAGGCACAGCTCCCGAAGTCAGGTCCCTGGTTACTCCACTGTGCAAGAGAGATATTCTGTCCTCTGAGACCTCTGTGCTTCGTTCTGTGCTGAAGAAACCCTCTGTGAAGCTGTGTCTAGAAAGCCTGCAGGTAACTATAGAGCTGCATTTCCTAAAGCAAATTGAATGAAAATTCATTCAGTTCAAAGTAATACCTATGAAATGTTGTGTTAAATACTGGATTAAAAGGAAAGGTCTCACCCTATTTTTCCCCCTCCTTTTATCACTTAACAGCACTGCACATTTCGTTTGTTTGTTTGTTTGTTTGTTTGTTTTTTAAAAAGCTCAGTATGGAATATAGCATGTAGAATATAATATAGGTAGACTATATTTTATAAGAGTTTAATAGTTCTTAATGTGTGTCTGATAATTATTCCTACCTAAACTATTTGGTCTTAAAGTTACCTCTTTTACAGACACACACCTTTCTCTAAGCTCAGTCAGCATGAGCACAGAATAGGTTAAAGGGAACTAGCTGGCCTTTATTGAGCACTTTCTCGACTTCTGACATGTATCATGTACATGCAGCCCCTAACCTCTAAAAAATGTACTAGTCTCGTTTTACATAAACTTAGGTTTGAGTTTGTTAGATGAACCCAGACACATCTGATGTTGAATCTATAACAGACTATAAATGCTGTGAGAGGTTGAGAGAATAGGCTCTGGAGTCAGAGTGCCTGGTTTTAAATCCTGACTCGGAGGTTTAAGAGCTGGGCAAATTCCTTGACTTTTTTGTACCCTGGATTTATTTCTTTTTAATTTTTTTCTTTATTGAGACAGAGAGGAAGGGAGAGGTAGAGAGAGAGAGATAGAAACACCAATGAGAGAGAACATCAATAGGCCACCTCCTGCATGCCCCCCACTGGGGATCAGGCTCACAACCAGGACATGTGCCATGATCGGGAATCGAACCAGCGACCTTTTGGTGCGTGGTTGGATGCTCAACCACTGAGCCACACTGGCAGGGCATATACCCTGGACTTTTTAATCTACCCAAAGGATAATAGTAACTACCTTACAGGATAATTTGAGCATTAAGTGGGAAATAATGTGAAATTAGCACCAGTGCCTAGCAGATGAGAAATACGATCTATTTTTTTAATCTGTGGGCATTTTAGCATACAACTATGCCTACACTGATTCTAAAGCTAAAATGAACTAGACTGCCTTCTATCTACATGGATAGATGTTCAGTTACTATAATTTTAAATGTTTTAACAATTTTCCTGGTTAAGAGTTGATTTGGGTTTCTCTACAGCACTGCTCATTCATATCTTCTGTTGGTTTTATTTTCTCCTCAAAGAGACTTAGTATCTTAATGATTTGTATAACTTTTATTGATTAACACTGTTACATAGCAAACATCAAGTCCTGCCACTAAGATCATGCAAAGACTTTTACAACTAATGATATTTTTACTAAGCTGCCCCAAATTTAGAGATGTCTACAGTTGAAGTTTTTTGCTAACTTTTATAGTTGTTTTAATTAAAAATAAGTCTAAAAGTTAACACATACTTTGTTTTATAAGTTCACTTAATTCACAGATATTGGTCTGGGTATTTTCCTGGTTAGGAAAATGAAACTGACTTAGGGGATAGTTGGTTAAGAAGTTTGTTTGGAGCAGTACCATTTCTTAGAGAGGGTGCTGCTCTTGGAATGGGTGTGCTAGAGAAAAAGACAAGGTGTAGAGAATAGGACCTGGCCGGGTTAGGGTGAGACCAAATAAGCAGACAGTGATTGGAGGTGATGTTTATCCTGCACCCAGCCCTGGCTCTCCTGCTCTGCTCCAGTGGCCCTGTTTCGACTTGCCCCATCTTTCCTTCAGAGTTCACACTGTCCCATACTTGCCAACTTACCTACTCTATAACCTTCCTTTGAAAAAGCACAGAGGAACAAATACTAACCTCTTTCCTTATTTCTAACTCAAGAATATACAAATGTAAACAGGAGATTTATAAAAGTATAAAAAGTGTAGTTCCCATGTTTAAAAGACAATACCCTATTATAGTATTTCCCTATTCTTTTCTTGTTTTAATGCAGTTCATTTTTTTTTTTTTTTTTTTTTTTTTTTTTTTGGTACGTGCCCCTGGCTGCTAGGGCCTAGCAGGAACTGAAACCGGGACTCTGTGGTCCGCAGGCTGACACCCCAACTGCTGAGCCAAACTGGCTAGGCCTTAGTGCAGTTCTTATACCTCAGACCATTTATATAGTCTGCTTCATTTGACACCATCTAATACATTGTCAATCTACCCACTCACATTTTTCATCATTTGCCAGATCAAAAATGAGGAAATGAATTTAGCCCACATTACGGATGTCTGTTCTTTGATTTTGGCCTAAAATACTATTTACTAAAGTTATATCTAGGGAACCTAGTTTCTCTTTGTGGCTAATATTAGGATGTTTTAGCCAGAATAATTATGAAAGTAAAGGTAATTAGCAGCAAAAAAATCAGTTGCCATTGTTTTGAAAAATATATTTTTTATTTATTTATGGTACGTGCCCCTAGCAGGAACCGAACCCGGGACTCTCTGGTCCGTGGGCCGACACTCTAACCGCTGAGCCAAACCGGCCAGGGCTGTTTTTTATTGATTTTTAGAGTGAGGAAGTGGGAGAGAGAGAAACGTTAATGAGAGAGAAACATTGATCCCCTGCCTCCCACACAACCCCCTACTGGGGATCGAACCTGCAACCTGGGCATGTGCCCTTACTGGGAATCAAACCGGGATCTCTCAGTCCATGGGATGAAGCTCAATCCACTGAACCACACTGGCTGGGCAACAGTTGCCATTCTTTTTTTTTTTTCTTTCTTTCTGTTTTTATCCTCACCCGAGGACATTTTTCCATTTTTTGTTCAGATAGAGTGAGAGGGAGAGAGAGGAAGAGAGAGAGAGAGAGAAACATCAGTGTGAAGGGACACATTGAGTGGCTGCCACCCGCACGACCAGCCAGGGCTGGGGACAAACTGCAACCGAAGTACGTGCCCTTAGCGGGAACCGAACCCGGGTCTCTCCAGACCGCAGGCCGACGCTCTAACCGCTGAGCCAAACCGGCCAGGGCCAGTTGCCATTCTTAATGACTGTGTATATGTTTATATACGTAAAATTCACCAATGTTCATTTTGTGTAGGAATATTATGACAATGGGACTCATCCAAGCTTAATCTCAACTCTTGCAAACTATTGCAAAGAAGAAAAAGCAGGTAAGAAATTCATGTTTATTTTGAAGCCTAAGGACATTATTGTCTTGTTATAAAAAAAACTAATATACTGTATAGTATTTTCAGTGATCTGCTAATACCTTGATGCTTCTGAAATTATATGGGAATGAGGACAATTGGGAGAGATGGAATCTCTTTGGAGGATCTCAGAATTGATCTGTCCATCTGTCCATTTTTGCTTGATGGTGAAACTTGATTATCCAATTTTGTAAACTTCTAAGGTACTCATGCAAACTTTACTTTAAAATCTATTACCGTATTTTACTACTACTTATCTTTTTCATTTTGATTTTTTTCTCTACAGATTTTTATACAAATAATAATGCAATATAATCGTGTTAAAAGATTCTAAGATATGCCTGATAGATAAGAAATTGAGCTTAATTTTTAAATATTCCTATTATCTGTAGAAGGTCAAGAAAATTGTAAGGTATCAGCCTTTGTAAATATGAGGAAGAGGAAGAGAGTTACTTTTGGAGAGGACCTAAGCCCTGAGGTATTTGATGAATCTCTGCCAGCAAATACTCCGTTGCGTAAAGGAGAAACACCTGTTCGTAAAAAGGATTTAAGTACCATCAGCCCCTTGCTACTTGAATCAACAGGTCCTGAGCAGTTGCCTCAACCAAACTTTGATGACAAGGGGGAAAATCTTGTAAGTGTGAAAAATGCAGAACACAGTTTTTATATATATATTATTAATTAATTTATTTCTGTTACAGATGTTTCTCCTTTTTCCCCCACTGATTCCATCGTTCCCTTCCCTCCCAGCCTTGACCCCAGCTTTGTTGTCCATGTATATTGTTCATGCATACATGCATATAAGTTCTGTGTTTTATTTATCCCTCACCACCCCCCTCTTCTGGGGATTGTCAGTCTGTACCCCACTTCCATGTCTCTGGGACTATCTCACTCCTCATACTGTTATGTTCATTATATTCCACAAATAAGTGAGATCATATGATACCTGTCTTTCTCTGTTTGGCTTGTTTCGCTTAGAGTAATACTTTCCAGTTTCCTCCATGTCATCTCAAAGGATAAGAGATCTTTCTTATTTACAGCTGCATAATACTCCATTTTGTATACGTACCACTGCTTTTTTATCCATTGGTCTACTGATGAACATTTGGGTTGTTTCCAGATCTTAGCTATTGTAAATAGTGCTGCTATGAACATGGGGGTACATATATTCTTTCTGATTGATGTTTCAGGCTTCTTAGGGTATATTCCCAGAAGTGGGATCACTGGGTCAAATGGCAGTTCAATTTTTAATTTTTTGAGGTAACACCATATTGTTTTCCATAGTGGCTGCATTAGTCTGCATTCCCGCCAGCAGTGTACTAGAGTCCCCTTTTCTCCACACCCTTGCAAACACTTGTTTGATGATTTGTTGATGGCGGCCATTCTAACAGGAGTGAGGTGATACCTCATTGTTGTTTTAATTTGCATCTCTCTGATGATTAGTGATGTTGAGCATTTCTTCATATATCTCTTAGCCATTTGCATGTCCTGTTTAGAGAGGTGTTATTTAGTTCCTCTGCACATTTTTTAATTGGGTTCTTTGTTTTTCTTTTGTTGAGTTGTATGAGCACTCTATACATATTGGAAATTAACCCCTTATCTGATATATCATTGGCAATGATGCTCTCCCATACAGTGGGTTGCCTTTCCATTTTGATGATTGTATCTTTTGCTGTGCAGAAGCTTTTGAGTTTGATGTAGTCCCATGTGTTCATTTTCTCCTTTGTTTCTGTTGCCTTAGGTGATATATCAGTGAAAATTCTGCTGAATTTGATGTCTGAAACTTTGCTGCCTACAGTTTCTTCTAGGATTTTTATGGATTCATGAGTCACATTTAAGACTTTTATCCATTTTGAGTTTATTCTTGTGTAGGGTTGTAAGTTGATGGTCTAGTTTCATTTTTTTGCATATAGCTGTCCAATTGTCCCAACACCATTTATTAAAGAGGCTGTCTTTACTCTACTGTATGCTCTTGCCACCTTTGACAAATATTAATTGAGCATATTGCCTTGGGACCATTTCTGGGATTTGTTCTGTTCCACTGGTCTATATGCCTGTTCTTGTGCCAGTACCAGGCTGTTTCGATTACAGTGGTTTTGTAGTATAACCTGAAATCTGGTAATGTGATCCCTCCAACTTTGTTCTTCTTTTTCAAGATTGCTGTGGCTATTCGAGGTTTTTTTTGGTTCCATATGAACTTTTGAAGTACTTGTTCTAATTCTGTGAAGTACGCCATTGGTATTTTGATGGGGATTCATTGACTCTGTACATTGCTTTGGGTAGTATGGACATTTGAATGATGTTAATTCTTCCAATTCATGAACAAGGTATGTGTTTCCAGTTTTTGATATCTTCCTCTATTTCTTTTTTCAATGACCTGTAGTTTTTTGCGAATAGGTCTTTTATTTTTTTGGTTAAGTTTATTCCTTGGTATCTTAATTTTTTTGCTGCGATGGTAAATGGGATTTTTTTAGTTTCTCTTTCTGTGAGTTCATCATTGGTTTATAAGAATGCCACCATTCTTGACGTTAATTTTATATCCTGCTACTTTGCCAAATTCATTTATTAAGTGTAATAGGTTTTTGGTGGAGTCTTTGGGGTTTACGTATAGTATCATGTTATCTGCGAATAATGACAGTTTCACTTCCTCCTTTCCAATTTGGATCCCTTTTATTTTTTCTTCCTGTCTTCTTGCTGTGGTTAAGACTTCCAGTACTATGTTAAATAAGAGTGTCGAAGGTGGGCATCCTTGTCTTGTTCCTGTCCTTAAGGGAAATACTTTTAGTTTTTGCCCATTGAGTATGATGTTGCCTGTAGGTCTTTCATATATAGCGTTTATTATGTCAAGATATGCTCCCTCTATTCCCAGATTGCTGAGCGTTTTTATCAGAAACGGGTGCAGGATTTTGTTGAATGCTTTTTCAGCGTCTATTGATATGATCGTATGATTTTTATCTTTCATTTTGTTTATGTGGTTTATCACATTTATTGATTTGTGAATATTGTACCAGCCTTGGTGAATAATTTTTTTGATGTATTGCTGGATTGGTTTGCTAGTATTTTGTTGAGGATTTTGGTATCTATGTTCATCAGGGATATTGGTATATATGAGTGTTGCTACCCCAACTTTTATTTCCTTTCCGTTTGCTTGAAAGATTTTTTTCACTTTCAACCTTTGTGAGTCTTTTGTCGTGAGGTGGGTCTCTTGAAAACAACATATATGTGAGTCATGCTTTCTTATCCAATTAGCTACTCTGTGTCTTTGATGGGAGCATTCAGTCCATTCACATTTAAGGAGATAATTGTTATGTACTTATTTATTGCCATTTTTGTTTAATGTGGTTCTATTTTTCTTCCTATTTCTTCTACTAATTACAGCAGTCCTTTTAGCATATCTTGCAGTGCTGGTTTGGTGCTAATATATTCCCTTAGCCTTTTTTTGTCTGGGAAGCTCTTTATTTGACCTTCTATCTTGAATGACAGCATTGCTGGACAGAGTAGTCTTGGATTCAGATCTTTGTTTTTTATGACCTTGATTACTTCATGCCATTCCCTTCTGGCCTGTAGTGTTTCTTGTCAGAAGTCAGCTGAGAGCCTTATGGGGTTTCCTTTGTAGGTAACCTGTTGCTTATCTCTTGCTGCCTTTAGGATTCTCTCTTTGTCTTTAATTTTTGGCATTTAAGTACTATGTGTCTTGGTGTGGACCTGTTTGGGTTCTTCTTACTTGGGGCTCTCTGTGCATGCCTCCTTCCTTCACCAAGTTAGGAAGGAAAGTTTTCTGTCACTATTTCTTTAAATATATTCTCTACCCCTTGCCCATTTTCTTCCTCCTATGATGCGAATATTATTACGTGTCTAGTTGTCCCGCAGTTCTCTTAAGCTGTCTTCCTGTTTTTTAATTGTTTTTTCCTTTTGGTTTTCTAACTGGTTTACTTTTTTTTTTTCTACTGTCTTCTAATTTACTGATCCGGTCCTCAGCTTCCTCTGCTCTGCTGGTTAGTCCTTCCAATGTGTTCTTAATTTCTGCTATGTCATTTTTTACTTCCACTTGGTTCGTTTTCAATGTTTCTATATCTTCACTCATGGTGCTGATATCCTTACTCATGCTGTTGAGCTTCCTCAAGATTATGGCTCTGAACTCTACCTCTGATAATTTGCTTAGCTGCATTTCATTGATCTCATCTTCAATAGATTTTTTTTTTGTTTCAACATTTTGGCTATCTCAACGGGTTTTGGAGCCTGTCAAATTTTCCCTGTGGGTGTTGGTGTTCTCCTGTTTGTGGCTCCCTCTACTGGGTTCAGATGAGCCTGGGTGGGCCCACGTTAAACACCACTATTAAGTCTTACTTTCCTTGCTAGATTTGCAAGCCTAGGAACGGTTCAGTTATCCTCTAGCTTTTTCCTGGTGGCCAGTAGTCTCAGTAACTCAGTGCCTTCTAATGCAGCCCTGGTGTTCTGCATAAGAGGATTTCCAGAGGGTGGGATAGATGCTGGTTTTTAATGAGCATCAATTTTCATTTCAGGCTCAATCTCTGAGGGGGGTGCTGCTGCTTTTCCCCACAGCTCTGGGAAGGAGCACACTGGCCACCGTCCTTTGTGGCCGCAACTCAGCAAAAACTCTGAGTGCCCTCCACATCCTGGATGTCCCCCCAGAGTTCCAGCCCAGTCTTCTCCCTCTGCGGTAGCCCTCAGTTGAGTGGCTGTGGCTATTTTAGCGCTCTGTCCTGGCTCTCTGCACTGTGGAGTGGGCTTGGTCTTTACTCCCCGAGGGCGCTGCTCACAGCTAAGACTGCTGCTGTACATGGGCTCCCAGCCCACCACCCTCTTGTGCCTCCGCAGATCCTACCAGTGTGCCTGGTTATATGGTCTTGTCCTGCTGCTTTTCTGTTGCTTTTTTCCGAGGAATTGTCTAATTAAGTTGTAATTCCCGTTTGGTCCTCGGAGATCGTCTGCGTAGCTTCTATTTACTCCACCTCCATTTTTCACATCCTCTATGCCTATCTTGAGCACAGCTTGTTCGCACAGACCTTCCTGGTACCCCAGCACCCTACAGGTCCCGCAGGTAACTGGATCCCACGGTCGCTTTGGGGGCCGTGCTCTATGCCTATATTATGGGCTGCTGGGTTGCACAGGCCTCTCTGTTGTTTCAACACCCTGCAGGTCCCATGGGTAACTGGATGGTACAGTCCTTGCTGGGTCATGTAGGACTCTCTGGTGCTTCAGCACCCCACAGTCCCCATGGGTAACTAGATCACGTAGTCCGTGTTGGGTTGCACAGGCCTTTTTGATGCCCCCACCCCCTGCATGTCCTGCGGTGGGCAGCTGGATCGCACCAGTCTCTCTCGGGCTCTGGCTTCCCACTGCTCTTGTAGGCTACTGGACTGCACAGGCCTCCGTGGAGCCCCAGGTCCCACCGTTGGAGGCTGGGGAGTGCTGCTGCCCCGACCCTGTTTGGTCGTGCGGGTGGCAGCCACTCAATGTGTCCCTTCACATCGATGTTTCTCTCTCTCTCTCTCTCTTCCTCTCTCTCCCTTCCGCTCTATCTGAACAAAAAATGGAAAAATGTCCTCGGGTGAGGATGAAAAAAAAATAAAATGCATGTCCAGATGATTTTACTAATGAATTCTTCCAAGCATTTAATGAAAATATAGTACTAATTCTACATTTGCTCATTTAAACAAATTGAGAAGGTGGGACTACTTCCCAATTCATGAATGTCAGCTTTACAAGATACCATAATGAGACACATTATAAGAAAATTGCAATCCAATATCTTTATGAACATAAGAACATATATAAAAGTACATCATGACCAAATGAGATGTAATCCAGAGATGCGAAGATGGTTTAATATTTTTTAAATCAGTATAATTCACCATTTTAACACAGTAAGACTGGAAAACCTTTTCTTTATCTCAGTAGGTGTAGAGAAAACATTTGACAATATCCAGGATTTATTTCTGATAAGAACTCTGAGCAATGTAGTGAAAAAATTTTTCTTCATCCTGACAAATTTTATTTATGAAAAGCAAAGTTACCATCATAATGGCAATTACTTGGGAAAGAAAAGATTTGACAACTATGTTTATATTGCCATTTTACCCTGAAGTTTCCCTGAATAATCTGATGTTAGGTTGTGTTTATTAAAGGATTGTCTTATTCTATAAGAGTTAGGACATGGAATTTTAAGTAAACCAAAAAATAACTTACTAGTGTGTCATTGTAGCCACTTTCACTTAAAGGGTTTTTATGTGTGTGTTGGGGATTGTAGTTAGTAAACATGGTTTCATTTAAGATCATTGGCAAATATTATAAAATATATTTTATTTTTATATTCGATATCTTTTTAAAAATCTTTATTGTTGAAAGTATTACAGATTTCTCTCCCTTTTCCCCTATTGACCCCCCCTCCTCCTGGCTCCCACCCTTTTCTTGTCTTCTCCATACTATTGTCTGTGTCCATGATTGTGCATGTATGCATATATAAGTTCTTTGGTTTATTTCTTCCCACCCCTCCCAACCCCCTTCCCTGTGAGATTTGTCAGTCTGTTCCCTACTTCCTTGTCTCTGGATCTGTTTTAATCGTCAGCTTATTTTATTCACTATATTCCGTAAATGAGATCATGTTGTATTTGTCTTTCTCTGATTGGCTTATTTGGCTTAGCATAATACTCTCCAGGTCCCTTCATGTCATCTCAAAGGAGAAGAGATCTTTCTCTTATACAGCTGCATGTATTTCATTGTGTAAATGTATCACAGCTTTTTTATCCACTCATCTATTGATGGACATTTGGGCTGTTTCCAAATCTTAGCTATTGTAAATAGCACTGCTGTGAACATGGGGGTACATATATTCTTTCTGATTGGTGTTTCAGGCTTCTTAGGATATATTCCTAGATGTGGGATCACTGGGTCAAATGGCAGTTCAGTTTTTAATTTTTTGAGGAAACACCATGTTATTTTTCATAGGCATATCTTTTGCTTTGACATATTCTTTTTCAACCTTTTATTGATTTCTAATTTTTATGCTTATTATAATTCCACCTACAAAAATAAATCCATATTATTTTCTTTGGGGTACATTATTTATATGTCCACTGAATTTAAGGATGTCTAATTTCTGCCTTTTTTTTCTTTGTTTAGGAAAACATAGAACCTCTTCAGGTATCATTTGCTGTTGTGAGCCCTCTTAGTAAGTCTTCAGTTTCCGAGAATCTTTCAGGTAGTAATTGTGTTTATCCTATATTAATAAATGTGATTTGCAATATCTGTGTGAAGGAAACTTAATTTTGTTGGTTTCTTTTTTTAATTTTAGTTTTATTACAACAATGCATACTTGGTATAAAAAAACAAATAGTATAGAAAAACTTATATTTCTTACTCGTCCATTTCCATTTCAAGTCCCATACTTCCTTGGATGGAAGCTCTTTTCCCCAGTTTGTTCAGGTGGAATGATATAGATTGTAAGGGTCATTCTGAAATATCCAAAATTGTTCATTAACATTAACGTGGCATTTTGGGCACATGTACTTTCCAAGGTCTTTTTCTTTTTTATGATCATGGCAAAGCAACAAATACCACTGCCCTTTCCTGACAAACCAGAACTTGGCTGGCAAGCGTGTCATGGGAACTATTATTTATGTCGTTTCCCTGGCTGAAATCCTTTAATGGCTTTTCGTTGGGTATAGGACACAAACCGAGCTCATTAGCACAGAATCCAAGACATGAAGTGTTACAGTAGAGCTAAAATTTGAAGCATTAGTCTATCACATTCAAAAGTATATGCTCCTTAACACATTATACTGCCTTTCATTTATATCATTAAAAGTAGTCAAATTAAGCCCTGGCCAGTTTGGCTCAGCGGTTAGAACATCGGCCCGAGGACTCAAGAGTTGTGGGTTTTATTCTCAGTCAAGGGCACATACCTGTGTTGCAGATTTGACCCCTACCCCTGGTCAGGGTGGTTTGGGAGGCAACCAATTGATGTGTCTCTCTGACATCGATGTTTTTCTCTCTCTTTTTACTTCCCCTCTCCCCTTCCTTCCCTCCTATCCAAAAATCAGTGGAAAAATAATCCCCAAGAAAGGATTAAAAAAATTTTTTTAAGTATGTAATCAAAGTTTTCCTGAACTTTGTAAAATAAAATACGTTCATGACCATTTTAATGCCCTTTCAACACAATTTCATGGTACAAAATGTAGCTTGAATAAATGGACATGAGTGAAATATGGGTGTTTATTATAATGTGATTTAATCTGTTATTTCAGCAAGATAACATGTTATGCACTCTCCATGGAAAGTGTCGAAAGTTTCTAGGTATTCAGTAAACTTAAAGTTTTAATATTTTTGAATCTCAAAATATATTTCTCATGGTAGTTAATTATGTTTAGATAATATAGTAGAATCAAAGGTCAGTATTCAAAAGAGTATGCACTATATCAGAAAGACAACCGTTTTGTTAGCTACCCTGATTTTGTTTGTGTTTTACTTTTCAGGCATGGATGCACTTAGCTCTTCAAATAACCACGAGAAAATACTTTCCTGTAAAGATGGTAGGAAAACACGGACCTCTAACAGAAGTGTAAGTGTTTATATTTGGCACAATGTATTTGTTTTTAAATCTTACGGTATATTTTTTAAATTTTTTCATGATCAAATGATTATGTGTAAAATCTAGGCTTGAACAGTGTTCTTTTTTTTGTTTGTTTTTTTTTGTTTGTTTGTTTTTTTATCCTCACCCGAGGATATTTTTTCCACTTTTTGTACAGATAGAGTGGGAGGGAGAGAGAGTGAGACACATCGACGTGAAGGGACACATCGAGTGGCTGCCACCCGCACGACCAACCAGGGCCGGGGACAAACTGCAACCGAAGTATGTGCCCTTAGCGGGAACCGAACCCGGGTCTCTCCGAACCGCAGGCCGACGCTCTAACCGCTGAGCCAAACTGGCCAGGGCTTGAACAGTGTTCTTGAGAGCTAATTCCTTATCCTACCTAGCATGTAATTCAGGGTAATGATATCTCCACCTTTGGTGGTTTTTTTTTCAAATCCTAACCTGAGGATATTTTTCCATTTATCTTCAGATAGAGTGGGAAAGGGAGAGAGAAACATCAATGTGATAGAGCCACATCGACTGGTTGCCTCGCGCACAACCTGACCAGGGCCGTGTACAAATTGCAACTGAGGTACGTGCCCTTGACTGAAATTGAACCTACAACTCATTGGTCTTCCAGCCGACCCTCTAACCGCTGAGCAAAACTGGCCAGGGCTCAAATAACAATTTTGATGAATGAATAGATCAACTAATTCTTACAGGATTTTTTTTTTTTTCCTTACAATAATTGGACAAAGTGCATATGCTTCTGGGTCCATGTTTGGTAGATCGGAAATTAATAATTACTATTTCTCCCAGTAGGTTAAGTTGGTTAAAATACACCTGAATGAAATTTCTAAATTTAGAGGAAATGGTATGTAAGAATTGTAGAGGCAGCATGGGAAAGAAAATACATGTGAGAGAACATGCATTCACATATAACTGCTTGCATTGTATGGTATTCCTACTTAAAATTTTCTTTATAGCAATTGACCAGTTTTGCAGAAGAGAGTGTTTGCAGCTTATTTAATACAGAAGCTGAGCCTTGCAAAGAAAAGAAAATTAAGAGGAGGAAATCTCAAGAAAGCAAGCACACAGACAGAGTACTTCGTAAAAAGAATCCGGTGAGTGTGTGTCTAAAGATATATTACAGAGTAGAAGTGATGCATTTGTTTGTTGTATGGTTAGGGAAACAGGGAAACAAAATTTTTGTTTTTTTAGTTAACATTAGACCAAGAATAATAAAATCATCTTATCATAGCATAGAAAGGGCCGTAGGAGATTGTATACTCAATTCTTTTATTTTATTTATCTATTTATTTATTTATTTAACTCATCTTTATTGTTGAATGTATTACAAATGTTCCCCCTTTTTTTCCCCATTGATCCCCTCCTCCCCAATCCCACCCCCCTCCTGCCTTCCCCACACTATTGTTGGTGTCCATTGGTTATGCATATATGCATATAAGTTCTTTGGTTTATCTCATCTCACCCTCCTTCCCCCCTTCCCTTTGAGGTTCATCAGTCTAACAACCAATTTGTACATCTTTTTTTTTTTTTACTTTTTCCTTTTTAATTTAATTAATTAATTTATTTTTATTATAGATGTTTCTCTTTTCCCCCCCCACTGATTCCCCCCTTCCTCTCCCTCTCCACCCTGTCCCCAGCTTTGTTGTCCATGCCCATTGTTCATGCATACATGCATATGAGTTCTGTGGTTTATCTCTCCCCCACCACCCCCTCTTCTGGGGATTGTCAGTCTGTACCCCACTTCCACATCTCTGGGACTACCCCATTCCTCGGACTGTTATGTTCATTATATTCCACAAATAAGTGAGATCATTTGATACTTGTCTTTGTCTGTTTGTCTTGTTTCACTTAGGATGATACTTTCCAGGTCCCTCCATGTTGTCTCAAAGGATAAGAGATCTTTCTTTCTTATAGCTGCATAGTACTCCATTGTGTATATGTACCACAGCTTTTTTATCCATTCCAATTTGTACCTCTTAATTCCTTCATCTTTTCACCCATATCCCCAGTACCCACCCATTTGGCAAGCAACAAAATGTTCTCTGTATCTAGAAGTCTGTTTCTGTTCTTGCTCATTTTGTTTGTAGATTTCATTCTTGATAGATATGTAATAATTGCCATTTTATTGTTCATATTTGTGGTGTTCTTCTTCAGGAAGACCCTTCAGCATTTCATATAATTCTGGTTTGGTGATGATGAACTCCTTTAACTTTTTCTTGTCTGGGAAACTCTTGATATGTCCACCGATTCTAAATGATACCTTTGCAGGATAGAGTAATCTTGGTTGTAGGTCATTGCTTTTCATCACCTTGAATATCTCTTGCCACTCCTCTCGGACCTACAAAATTTCTTTTGAGAAATCATCTGACACTCTTATGGGAGCTCCTTTGTAGGTAACGAACTGCTTTTCTCTTGCTGCTTTTAAGGTTCTGTTTTTGATTTAACCTTTGGCATTTTGGTGATGATGTATCTCGGTGTGGACCTCTTTAGGTTCATCTTGTTTGGGATTTTGTGCTTCCTGGACTTGTATATCTGTTTCCTTCACCAAGTTAGGGAAGTTTTCTGTCATTATTGTCTCAGATAGGTTTTCAGTTTCTTGTTTGCTCTCTTCTCCTTCAGGCACCCCTATGATGTGAATGTTAGCACGCTTGAAGTTGTCCCAGAGGCTCCTTACATTATCCTCATTTTTTGGGGATACTTTTTTATTTTTGGTGTTCTGATTGGGTGTTTTTGCTTTCTTATATTTCCAATCGATGGTTTCTTTCTTGGCTTCACCTACTCTACTATTGATTCCCTGTAAATTATACTTTATTTCAGTTAGTTCCTCCTTCATTTCTGACTGGTCCTTTTTTATGCTCTTGAGGTCCTCACTAAGTTCATTGAGCATCCTTATAACCAGTGTTTTGAACTTTGTGTCTATTAGATTGCTTATCTCCATTTCTTTTAGTTCTTTTTTTTTTTTTTTATCCTCACCCGAGGACATATTTTGCATTTATCTTCAGATAGAACGGGAGAGAGAGAGAGAGATACACATTGATGTGAGGGAGACACATCAGCTGCCTGCCACCCGCACAACCCCAGCCGGGGCCGGGGACAAACTGCAACCAAAATACGTGCCCTTTGCAGGAACCGAACCTGGGACTCTCTGGTCTCTGGGCCGATGCTCCAACTGCTGAGCCAAACCAGCCAGGGCAGTTCTTTTCCTTAAGTTTTGTTCTTTTCTGTCATTTGGGACCTTTTTCTTTGTCTCCTCATTTTTATTGCTTCCCTGTGATTGTTTCTATGTATTAGGTAGAGTCGCTATGTCTCCTAGGCTTTGTAGGATGGCCTGTTATTGTAGGTGTCCTGTAGGATCCAGTGGCACAATCTCCCTTATCACCTCAGCTGGGCCCTCTAGGTGCACCCCTAGTGTGGACTGTACACACTTCTGTTGTAATTGAGTCTTGATTGCTGCTGGCATGTCAATGGGAGGGATTTACTCAGGTTGATCAGCTGCAAGAACTGGCTGTGCTCACTAACCACTGACCTCTCAGCTGTGCAGGGACCCACCACACAGAGCAAAACGTACTTCATCAGGGCTTTGGTACCCACGGAGTCCGCTCATTGAGTGTGTCTCTTGTGGAGGTAGTTGGGTGGTGGTGCTTTGCAGTGTTCTGAAGCTGTCCACTGGGTGTGCGTGCTCTGGGGCAAGGTCAACTTCTGCTTATGTTCTATCTGGGGCCACCAGTCATAAGCTACAAAGTGATCTGCTAATGGCTACTTCTTGTGCTGAGCTTAGAGTTGCCCAGGAAAAGCCAAGTTGTGAACCAAGGCCGGTTGCTTCTAATGCCAGGCCTGGGGCCACTTAACAAGAAGTATTGGGCTTGCTGAGATCAGATGCTGCTTGTTTGAGAGATTTTAGGAAACTCTGAAGCAGAATCCAAGACAGGCCAATCCTGTGGTAACACCTGTGGAAACAGCTTGGCTGGGCCCGAAAGTTGGGTGGGGCAGGGCCTCAGGGAATAACCAGGGCAGGGCAAACGGTGTGAGCCAGGTTGCTGGAGTCCCAGATATGGCAGCCATCTGCCGCCCCAGGGAAGGGCTCACCAAAGGAACATCAGCCTCCGCCAGCATGTCTGTCCAGAAGAAAGCCACCTCTCTAGCCCTTGTCTGGAGGCCAAAAAGCTCATTTCTTCCCTGTATGTCTCTGGCACCCTCAAACTACCTCCCCTCTCAACCCAGAGGGAGCAAATCCCAGTAAGTCGGTGCACGGCCCCTTTAAGAGGAACTGCCTGGGGCTCCAGCAACCTCAGCCTCCCTCAGCCTCAGTTCCCGCTGGTTTTTCCAGCCAGAAGTTATGGGGACTTCTCTTCCTGGCACTGGTACCCTGAACTGGGTGCCTGGTTTGAGAATGGGACCCCTCACTCCTCAGGGTGGACCTTCCCAGCTGAGGTGTTTCTCCTGACTTTTATCTGTGTGGGACCAGCTCATCTGCGCCTCCTACCAGTCTTCGTGTGGCTGCTGCTTTAATTTAGTAGTCGTAGGACTTTCATTCAGGTCGATTTCAGGTGGTTCTGAATGATGACTGTGTTATAGTTTAGTTGTAATTTTGATGTAGTTGTGGGGGGAGGTGATACTGCGTTTACCTATGCTGTCATCTTGACCAGAAGTTCTATACTCAGTTCTTAATTGCCTAAGGGCCATTTTTGCATTTTCTTGAATGTGTTAGGTATATCCAGTACAGTAAGTCATTGACACTCAAATATTAAGTCGATCTTTATGTGTGAATTTAATCTAACTTCATCCTATTTGGGGAATTCTCTAAGTTCCTAGACAGGGATGAATGTACCATCTGCTTCTGCCAGTGGCTGGATCACTCCCCCATATTTAAGGAAGAATTTAGACGCTAGCTCTCAGTCAGTGTGTCAAGGCCTGTCCTGGTTCAGATGACTTCTGTCTTTTATGGATAACCGATCCTAGCACCTTAACTCAGTTATTGGCCCCCTTCCCTTCACTGATCTGGATCTTCCTTTGCAATGCCCTACAACTTGTTAATACCGAAGCATCTCCCACTTTGAATAATATATATTTATATATCCCACTCTCCAGTCCTAGCCTTCTGTCCATCAGCACCTGCACTCCCTTACTTATGTCCCTCTGCTAGTACTAATAATCTTCTGGCTTCTCTGTGTACTCTCAAGCTTTCAGATACTACTTAATTTTCTTGTTTCTGTGCTTATCCTAAACCATGTGAGCTGTTTTCAACCACTCTTGTTGGTAATCTCAGCTCTTCATCCCTTTCATTCCATTTCTACTCTGGACTAATCTAGCCACATCCCCTCTCCCATCTCACATTGCTCCTGGAAAGATTCACACAAATGCTTCAACAAATCCAGTTCCACATATTATCTGACATTTGGTCTCATTCTCCACCACTTGCCACTTCAATTATTTTTCCAAATTATTTAGTAACTTAGTGATCAAAGTCCAGTGCCTTCTTTGAGGTCACCATCTCAGCAACATTCTACATCATTGAGAACACTTACAGTCTCTGTGGGAGGTTTATTTTCTTCCCCCATCCTTAGATGTTTGTATTACCCAGAGTTCTACTCTTTGCCCTTCCAAATATTGTATTTTCTGAGTGATTCCATATGCAGCATGGTGGATGACTCCCAAATCTTTCTGGTCTGTAAACATGTTCAGCTGCTTACTAGACATCTCTTAAACCATCCTACAAATACCAAAAAAAATCAACATTTTCAAACTTAAACTCTTCAATTTCAGTAAGCTTTCCTATTTGTAACCCTCACCCGAGGATATTTTTCTATTTATCTTCAGAGAGAGTGGGAAGTGGGGGGAGAGAGAGAGAGAGAGAGAGAGAGAGAGAAAGAGAAAGAGAAAGAGAAAGAGAAAGAGAAACATCGATGTGGAGGGACACATCCACTGGTTCCCTTCCGCATGACCCCAACCAGGGCCGGGACAAACCCACGACTCATTGGTCCACCATGGGCCAACACTCTAACTGCTGAGCCAAACCGGCCAGGGCAAATTCAGTAAACTTTTTTATGTTTCATGAAACAAAAACTGCCTTTTTTTTTGGTTTAAACGTGGCACA